ATACGTACATTCTTTTGTTCTGTACTTACTTGGCATCCTGCCATCCCTCCATATGATTCTGGTACGTTCTACGATGTTCCGGACTATTCTAGACAGCGTCCGGATTACTCGCATTACTCAGCCATGGACTATCTGACCTTATGTCGATTATGCTCCCTTACTCAGCGTTACTCATCGCTCAGTCAGCGTCCTCTGGACGTCACATGCCCTCTTCCTATACGCTTACTCATCGTCCTCCCCAGTAGTATATAAGGAGGACTCTGCAGGCCTCTGCTCTTCAGTCGTTCTCTCACAGACTGAAGAGTAAGTCCCATACTACCTATGCTTCCTTACATGTTTACTTACTAGTACTTGTAGCCTCTCTTTGTGCGGCTTACAGGTACAGTACTATGCAATCATAGTCGTTCTCTCACAGACTGAAGACCTCTCTTTGTGCGGCTTACAGCCTTCCAGGTTCAGAGTTCATCAATGGTCTGAGTCCGCCTGCGAACGCGACGCTCGTTCACGACTCCTACCTCAAACCGTGGCTTCCTCGGCAATATCACCTCGCATTGGATAAAGGCTACTTCCCTTGAGCAGCCTTACTACATCTATGATTCTAGCAACGCTCTACATCTTCCTTCCGGCCGTCGCTTATTCTGCCACACTCGTCAACCGTACAGTCGACGACCTATACGGCGACAGCATCACAGGGCTCATCCCTACATATCTTCCTTCCAGCGATGTATGGAAGGAGGGATCGACGTGTACGACCTGCAACATCTATCCTGCGTATCTCGGACACTACCCCACAACCTCGGGAGGTGGCGTAGCAGTCGACCTCTCTCAGGTGTTCAACGGGACTTGGCACGCTGCCCTCTTTCACCCAGGACAACAATCTCCCGCCGTCATTGTGCACTTTTTCGGACAAGCCATTTACGTTTTCCACACCATCGCTAACGTCGTTCCGAAGACACTAACCGTTGCCCACCTCATGTTCACTCTCGACAACGCGATAGTGGGCTACTACGACCACACGCCGGACCCGGCGGCCCCCCAACTCCTCTACCGGGTCCCGGTGTATGTCAACGAAAGCCTCCGTGACGGCAACCATACCCTGATCGTATCGGCCCAGAATACGTCTGAGTCGTCCGACATGATGTTCGACTACATCATCTACACCGCAGTCGATGCGTCCGTAACGGGTACGACTTCAATTCGTTTCACGAGCCGAAGCTTCGAGTTCTCTAAACCCTACCACGAGCAGATCCGTCCGCGCCTGCCTCGCCCTCCATACAAACCGTGTCTACGGAAGTTTCGCCCTCCATACAGACCGTGTCTACGGTTTTGCCCCCCAGTACTGGCCACCGGCTCTCCACCACGTATATCGGCATCACCGCGGCTTCCTCTATACTCGGCACAGGAATCATCGCAATCGCAGTCACCTGCTTCTTTCGAAGGCGCAAAGGACGGATGCATTCGCGGAGCAGCGACGGTGACAACAGCGGCAGTGACAGCAGCAGCAGCAGCGGGCCAAGTACCATAGCTCAACTCTCCAACAACATTCGCGCATCGCGTGTCCCCTCTGAAGCCCCATGGCAGTCCCCGCGCTCCTCTGAGGGTTTCTCGCGAGCAGCCGCGCGCCCGGAGTCCTCGTCCCCATCCACACCTCCAACCCTTGCTACGTCCTCCGCCGGGGTCACCCTCTTTGCCAAACTCTCAACAACGACGCGCTCGCATGACTCTCCTCCCGCACACTCTGCAGTAGCCTCGAGCTGCCAGAGTCCTGGCCCGCGGGACTCGAGCTGCCAGAGTTCTGGCCCGCAGGACGCGAGCTACCAGAGTCCTGGCCCGCAGGGTTTTCATGCGGAACCTGGTAACCCGGCGAGAGACGCTCTGCGCGCTGAAGTCGCAGCTCTTCGCGAGGCTCTTCGCGAGGAGGTCGCGCGGCTCAGCGATCGCGAGGTGCCCCCGCCGTACCGACCTTCACCGTGACCTGCGTGCGGTGCTCCTGACCGTGTCAGAGGACCAAGACGGAGGAAGCGGGGTGGCCGCAAAGTCATTCGCATAGCGAACAGAGCAGGCAGAGACGGGCCCCATGCGGGCTTGCTATGGACAGGCTGCCGGCGACCAGGCAAGGGACCCCTCGGTCGTCCTGTTTGCCTCTCGGTCGGTCCGGACGGGTGTTCGATAACATGAGTTCTGGTTGAACGGCCGGACAGGCGCCGCCTATTTACAGGAAAGGGCACGATACACGAGGCTGCTGTCCACTCTGATACGGTAGGCCTGGCCGCTTGTCGATTCTCACTGGGTCATGACGATGATCTTGCAATGTTGTGCTGTAATGATGTGTATCGGACTGGCACTCATTCACGTAGTATAATGGTACTTGCAGTCCTAAGCCTGTGGATCCACACAAACGCCTAGTACTTTGAAATGCCGTTGGTACCCTTTGAGCTTTCGAAGGTTCGGTGGGGGCGCCGTCGACTGGTATCCCACTGACAAGGCTAATGCACACGCACACACTCGAGAAGAAGTCTGCAAAGAAACCATGCCGGAATATGTATAACGATATGTGCCAACAAATGCGACAGACCAGGCGACCCGGGTCAGGTATTAAGTACGTGTGGTATATATCAAAGTGAGTTCCAACTCTGCCGCAAGCCCGCGCCGCCGCCGCCGCATGCCTGACGCACGCGCGCGCGCGCAATAGAAATACACCAAATTGCATGTTGAAACTGGGAAGTGTGAGGGTCGACGTGTGAGGGTGAGAGTGGATATGCGTGTGCGAGTCATGAGTAGTCAGTAGTATTCGTCTCTATTCTGCATGCGGGGTCAGCATATATCCTGCTTCGACGCAAGAAGACTCACATAGTGTTCATTAGGTTCCTGCGTGCCCAAGCGCCAATGCTACCTCTTCTCCTCCGGTGCCGAACCCACCCGGATCGCACCCTCGCTCACCGCGACGCGCTGCCTACTCTCCTTCTGCTGCCATCGAGGCCGCCCGTGACCCAATTGACCCAACTTCAGTCCGAGAGGGCTAAGCTGCTCGCCCTGCTCGTGCCCTGGTTCCGACTCCGTGATCGGCTCCTCCGCGCTCTCCTCCGCGACCGTTTCTGGTCTTCGTGGCGGAGACATTGACGAGGCGCGCGGTCGCGCACGGTGGTCCTTGTGCGGGGATCGTGATGAGCGCGGCATCGCAGCAAAGTATGGCGCGGAGTACGGCTGTGTGCGAGGCACACTTTGAGGAGGGCTGGAGGGATGGGAAAGAACCGATGGAGCCGATAGGGCAGACACAGCGGTGGACGTGGATGACACGCTCGATCGCCGCGAGTGGGGTTCTGAGGGGGTCCAGGGACTCGAGGACGTCAGCGCGAGCGAGAAGGACGTCAGCATCCTGCGCGGCGTTGACCGTTTTGGAGATGAAGAGCTTGGTTCGGAAAGGTCTATAGCTGTGGGAAATCGAAGTCAATAAGGTATAAGAAGACGGAACACGATCGGTCTGACCAGCTGGCGCTTTTGACTTGCGAGCCTTCGACCGGAACGGGTTGACGAAGGTTGAGGAAAACATCTCTCCTGGAAGGGAATACTGACGCTGGTGCGCAAGGTGGCCCGGGCGAACCTGTTTAGGAGACTGCATTGTGCCGTCCCGGGTATTCCTGCGAGTGTCATCTTCGGCATAATCGAAGGACCCCTCCGTCGAAGGAAGCGTTTCCACCGACGCCCCCGGACTATGACTGCTATTCCGGACATTGCCCGGCTTCTTCGTCGATAGTTTCCGGGAGAGCGACTTCAGTGCCTTCGCCCCTGGAAGGCGCATTCCGCGACCAGTGTGAGGTGTCGACGCCGGCGTAGAGGTAGAGGAACCTGGGAGATCTAGCACGGATCCAAGCTCGGAAGATGGTGAACCGCTTTCAACGAGCGGTAGCTCAGGAAAGAAGCGTGTGGGTGAGGGACTGCCCACCAATGTCGCTGACCCTTCCGAGAACAAAGAGGACTTGGGGCTGGGGGCCGAGCGGCCGAAGAAACGCGTGGGTAGCGACCATTTCCTCTTCGATGGAGCTTTCTTCGGTGGCGTACCGGGCTGTACGGTATCAGTGACTGACTGAGCCGGGCCACCGAATGAGGTCTCGCACGAGACGGCTTCATCAGGTTCTGAGGCGATAGACGTCGGCGGTGATACGACGGGAGACACCGGAGCGCTAGGAACGCGCGACAAGCGCGGCATGGGGGCAGGGGGTGGGGGTTTGGACTGGAGTCGAGGGATGAAGCGTCCGGCGACAAAGATGAGGACGCTCTGCACATACGTTTGATCAGTTGCAGCTCTAGAAAATCAAGAACGTGCGCACCATCATGAGCCAGACAAAGCCCCAAGCGAGGATAGCCATACGGAGGAAGATGTGAGGGGTGATGTTGAGCGTGCTCCGAGGGATTTCGGTCATGAAGAGTCGTGAATACCAGGCTGCCACGATGTGAACTGCCTTGAGGGTGGAGGGTATATTTATACTGGGAGCTGGACGTTCAAGAGCAGAACATTATCGGTGGCTGGATGGTCGGCGGCTGGCGGCGTTCGGATATGGACTGAACTGCTGGTCTCAATCGCAACGGATGCCCATGAAGGTGCGCGCGTCCAAGGATCCGCAGGAAGACCGACACTCGCGCGGGTTGAGGGCGGCGGGTCGAGGGACGGCAGCGGGACAAGGGAAGCGCACGCCGCGTGGGCAGAAGCCAAAGGAGACAACCGAGGGTGAAGGGCGGGGGCGCGGGTTAGGCAGATGAAGCGGATGAGGGCCTTTACATGGTCGTGGGCAGAGAGAGACCACCCGGCTGGACGCGCAGAGGACAGCGGCTCGGACGCTGTCTCACCCTGCAGCGGACGTACCACTCTCGTCAAAAGTCGAACCACAACCTTATTTCCCATAATGCCAGCCCAGACGCCCGCCTGCCGAGCCCCTCGCGCCCGTTCTCGTACGTTTCCGTCCGTCCGCCATCTCGTCCGGGTCGGTGCAGGGGGAGAGCGAGCAAGCCGAGGCGGTCCGTCGTCGTCGTTGTGGTCAGACCAGAGGACGCGATGTTTGCCGACGCCCGCCCTGCCCTCTGCGCCACTGACGTCAAATTCATTTCGATTATCGGCGTCTATATTCTGTGGCAAACACGTCTCCGCGAATTCCAGATCTTCTCCTCTCAACTCAGCGATCCTTTCTCAGCATCCCTCTACAGCTTTCTCTAGTGAGAGAAGTCTCAGCGACGCCTTCGCACCGTCTACTCCAGCGCATCACAGGCGCCCCGGCGAGGTGGGCGGTCCCCAAGCCTCATGCGTCGTGTTCCGACCGCGCAGCAGTGCAGACGCTAAACGAGTACACCCGGGCGTGTTCCAAAACGCACTCCCACCATCCTGATGAATGGACGCAGCACTCTGTGGGCGTTCTCGCGCCAAATATAACGAGGCGACAGGCTGGTGAGCCACCAATACTTGTCCACGCTGAGCGTCGTGCACACTGCAGCTACATGCGCTTAGAAACCCGTGTATACGGCAGGAGTCTTGATTTAACCTATGTTGAGCCACACTAGCTCTTACAGATATTCTCTCCCAGTGTGCTCGAAGGGGACACGGCCTACACACCTTACACGGAGGCTGGCCGTTGATACTCCCGAAGTTCAGCCCAGGCCCGGGTATCTCGGCTCGCCCAACAACGCTGGTACACTCGAGGCCAGCCGCAGGTTGCAGCTGCGCACACACCCTCCTATCATAACGCCCATATGAGAACGCGCATCTCCGTTGGCTCTATGACAACACCATCTCGTTCCGGTCTATCCGCAAAACATGCTCCGAGGCGCGTGTTTTGTGCGTGTCCAATGCCCGGGTCTCTGGGCAGCACGTATCACTGCGTACCAATCATGAACGGTCGTGCGATATTTGGATACACATGGACAAATGGGGTGCGTGTATAGGCTGAAAGTAACGCCTTGCGAGGCTGCGTCTCCCGCAGCTAGAGCCTTTGCTGATCACCTCAGATCGCCTAAGGTATGCCCTTCAGATATCAGTGAGCAAGGCGTTACTAGTGCACACGCTGACCACACGCCTATTGGCCTGCAGGAGAATGTCGAATATATCTGCGTGAACATCAGACACGGTTTGCACGAGGGTGACCGCTGGCACAAGCGTCGCCCGTCTAGGCCAATCTTGGCACGTCACGTCGTTCGCGGGGCGCATAAACTCTTTGAGGATCCCTGCGTACAGATACATCATCAACGGCTAGCTCCTGGCGGATGCAAAGGGTTATACGTCCCAAGCTCAACGCTTGAACCTCGGTCCACAGTTCGAACGAGCCACTGAGAGCTCAGTCAAAGTTGTGATTTGGACCGGGCGCGAGAGGCGCTTGCCCGGGTTATGCGAGCACTACGCTTTGGCCGATGCAGAGGCTGACGACGCTTTGACAACTATTCGGTTCCTCCCCCAGGTCGATCACACTGTCAATGCGGTGGGTGTCAGCCTCCCGCAGCCTCCGCCGCTCATCCAACGCTTAAATACGGGGGAGGGGAGCCCCCCTTCGCCATTCGCATCTCTCCTCTCTTCCTCCATCTCCTCCTGCCTCTTCTCCTCCTTCGCGCGTCGTACTGATTTCTCATAGGTCCTCAAGGGGTACTGACCGCAATTGCTCACGTTCTGTAGGTTAGGTACCCTCGCACTGGCCGCCCTCGACACCGACTTCGCCCCGACCTCGACTTCGCCGCCGCCCGGACCTCAACCTCGACCTCGGGACATACTGATAGTGTTGAGCTCATCGTCTTTAGGTTAGGTACCCTCAACTTCCCTCGACTTCGCCTTCGCCCCGCCTTCGCCTTCGCTCCGCCTTCGCCTCGCCACCCTTCGACTTCGCATTCCCAGCCCCGACCTCGACCTCGACTTGGACGCCCCGGACCCCCACCCCAGGACGTACTGATTGTCTTGAGCTCATCTTCTTTAGGTTAGGTATCCTCGACGTCCTTCGCTTCCCGCCTTCGCCTTCGCTTCCCGCCCTCCCGACCTTGACCCCGACCTCTTCGCGCCCCCGGACCCGGACCCTAGGACGTACTGACCGCGCTGAGCTCACATTCGTTAGGTCAGGTACCCTCAATGTCTCTCGCTTTCCGCCTCGCCTTCAACCTCGCATCCCGCCTCGCCCTCGACTTCGACTTCGACTTCGACTTCGCCCTCGACTTCGACTTCGACTTCACCCCGACTTCGCCTTCGCCTCGCCTCGCCGCCACTCGCCCCCGGTCGACATGTGAGCTCAGGTGAGTCGTTCTTTCCCGAGGGAGGGACTTCGGTCCTGGCGCATACCTTTACGTGGTCCTCGGGATAAGTACCCGTCCGCGCGCTGCGCCCTTACGGGGCAGCATGCAGGCGGGGAAACCAAAATGCGTTTTCTTTTTGCTTTCGTTTCGGTGTTGGTCGCTGACATCTTTCTTCATTGCGAGGGTATAGCTTGCCTGTGGACGCGAATATTCGAGCAAGAACCGCTGGGTACAGGATATCCTAGCTATGTCGAGTAGAGAAGCATGTACTGCCTCATATACATATGCCATAGACCACATTCGCAACGCTCCCTGCACTAGGAACATACATGAGTAGTGTGCGATTATGTTGGCCTGAGTGTAGCATACGTAGGCAGGTATGCCCACCTCTCTGTAAGAACGGCATCCGTCGTTCAGAGGATGACGATACGAGACTGGGAACGCCACAACCAATCCGTCTCCAGCTCCAGCTCCTCCTCGACGAACACCTCCTTCATCAGCGTGTACCATTCATCCTCATCACGTTCCGTGATGAGCCATGTCGCCTTCAGCGCCTCCCAAGGCAGCGGCATCCAGCCTGCGTATTCCCAGTCGATGAGGACCGCCGACTCCGAGCCAGCCCGCCACTTCTCCAACCCGCCCGGCAAAATCAGGTTCTTCGGCAATATATCTCCGTGGCAGAACACCACAGGGATGTCTTCGCGTTCTATGACGGGTTGAATTGCCGGACGGATAGTGTCGACGTTCCAGCTGATATCGAGCCCAAGCCAGACGTGTTTGAAGAACTGCGGGCTGGACTCGATGATCTCAGGCTCCTCGCGCAGCCAGGGTATACGCGGGTCCGAGATGATGGCCCCAGAGGCGGCGCATATGGCGTGGCGGTCACCGACGGTGTGTTTGCGCATGCGGGCGATCTGCGTGCGCAGTTCGTGCACGATGCGCGTTTTGTCTGCGGGGGTGAGCGTGTCCCAGATGTCATTGGCGCAGTCCCCGTCGACCCACGTCATGAGTGTGTACGTCGTGTAGTGCTTGTCGTCGCCGGTCGGAGCGTGGCCGACGAGACGGGGGGCGTGCACGCCCTCGAGCGACTCGACGACGCGCAGCGCGTGGGCTTCGTTGATGTTTTGAGATATTTTTAGGAGAAGGTTGAAGGGGAGACGGTATATGAGGGGGTATAGCTGGGAGCCCCGGCGAGCGCTGAAGCTTGCGGCCCACTTGAAGAGACGGGATTTCATCCACGCAGGAAGAACCGCTAACAGCGCTCGGATGATCCGCCACGTTTGAAACATACCTGTGGCCGTAAGCGCATGCGTTAAACTCCAATGAAAATGTGGGTAACTTACTCATGTATGTTTTGATAGTAGTGTACTCGTCCACTGGAGGTAGGTCCGCCAGGCAATTCGCTGCTCACAATGAGTGTACAAGGCAAGTGGCGGTATCTGACCAAGTTAAAGCAGTAGCCGTGACATCACAGTTGGTGGTCCGGCAATATCCGATTCGCTTGATTTGTCGGCAGCTGCATTTTGGGTTTGGGGTGTATGTAAGAGTGACCGAGGTGCAAGCACCCGAAGCTCGCCATACTTTGGCAATCTAAGTGATTTTCAATGCTATGAATACCTGAGTAGAGCTTAGAATCGCTGCGCTAGTAATGCAAAAAGCTTGGCTCACAGATATGACTCGCACCACGTCCAGAGGTAGCATTCGACACTCGTGCGCATCGCGGAAAGGCTCTTCACAGCGTCTCCGTCTCGGCTAGTTCATATCCTGCCCACACAACCTCAGAGCAGCTCGCGCACCCCACCAAGTGCTGCCCCGCATCGAGCATCTGCTCCGTCACAACGTACTGGCCTCCGCACCGACACGGATACACCCAAAGACTATCCTCCGCATCTTCCCTCTCCTCGAATTCCTCCAACGAAATGACCTGCGCAGGCCTCGGACCATTCTTCTTTTCAGAGGATGCCTTCAGGGCATCGTACTCCTTCCGCAAGTCGGGCGTATGGAGGGTGTGGAACGCCTGCTGAAGTAGTCCGATATCTGCGGAGTCGACTGTGGCTGAGGAGCGCTTGTCGGGGTGTGAGGCCAGGAGGGCGCGGTGGTAGGCCGCCTTTATGTGCGCGGGTGACGCCGAAGGCGAGACGGAGAGGAGAGCATAGTAGTCCTGAACGCGATGCTCTGCCAGTTTGGCGGAGGGTCGATGTCGAGCAGAGGATGGTGGTGGTCGCTCTCCAAGCCTCCGCGTCCGAGGTGATCGAGAATCGAGATGTGCCGGGCCGCCTGTCCGGCAGATCGAAGGGAGGCCCCTGATCACCGCGTGGCCGAGGTCAGAGAGGCGCGGCCGGGGTCCCAGTGGCGGAGAGAAGGCAAAGGACCTCCTGGGCCGTGCACCCAACTCCGTCCCTTTCCCCACCCCCCACAGCACCAGCCATGTCGCGCAGACACCCCACCATGAACGGCGTCCCTGCCCCCTCCCCGTCTACCGCGTACGGCCTCGCCCTGCTCTCCGAGTACACGCACACGCTCGACAGCGTCCCCGTCGATCTCTCGCGGAGCTTCGGCGACCTGCGCGAGCTCGACGCCGTCCTTTCTTCCTCCATCACACTCCTTACCGCGAAAGTCAACGAGCTCATCAACATGATCGAAACCAAGGCGGGCACCAACGACGAGCGTCTCTTCCTCCTCACCGAGATCGCGGAGGAGGCTGCGCGCTTGAAGCTCGGCGGCGAGGACAAGATCCGCGTCGCCTGCCACGCCGCGGACGGCCTGCGCGCTCACAAAGCACACATGAAGGCCCTGCTCGACCTCATACCGGACCAGGAGTTCGCGAGGAGTGCCGAGGCGCTCTCCAGGAAGACAGCGTATCCCCATGTTGCGACGCGCAACTTTTACCCGCCCGGCATGGCGGGCGAGGGCGGGAGGCGCAACCGCCGGGCCGCTGGTGCGGCCACAGGATACAACGGCTTGTTGGTGAATGGCGTCGACGCCAGCCCTGGAAAGAGAAAGCGGGTGGTGGCGAGGGAGGACGATGCGGATGTCACTCGGACGCCTAGCAAGAAGGAGCGCGTGGAGGCTCCCAAACGAAATGGCGCGCGTCCCAAAAGGTGTGTACCTACTTTCTTGCTCTTTCTCCGAGTTGCTATTGCAAAGCCATTTACATCTACCCCGGCGTATTTTCGCGGGATACACGTTGGCTGGACGGTTTTGCGTACTGTCTACCCATTTTCCACATATATGCTAACACTGGGCGCTTCAGGGATCGCGTCGCGTCCCCCACAGAATCTATCATGTCTGTGGCGTCACACATGCCTCAAAACGCACCTGCTCCGTCAAACAACACGAACGCTCGTCAGAACGCATCTGGACGGGCTGGAAGCAACTCAACGAACAAACGCAATCAGGGCGAAAATGTCTCCTCACGCCGGGAAGCCTTCAGCGCCCAGCCTCCGTCCTCCAGCCATCCCTCCCTTCCCGCCCCGTATGCGGCGACCGCGAACGTGGTGGTGGAAGCTCACGGCGCACGCGCCACGAGCAATGGGGTTCTGTCGGACTGGCCACACGGGCAGCTCGAGGGCCCCGGCATGCCTGTCGCGCGCAATATCTCCGCTGCCCTCGAGGGCAATGACGGCACGCTAAGCGCCGGCGGGGAGCCCGACGGCGACGCGGACGACGGCAGGACGTACTGCTTCTGTGACGGCGTCAGCTACGGCGAGATGATCGCCTGCGACGACGAGGAGTGCGAGAAGGAATGGGTACGTGGTTTCTTGCGCAGGGTTTTTGGTACAACCGGAGGCTGACCCTGTCCTCGTATAGTTCCACATCGCCTGTGTAGGGCTCACCGTTGTGCCAGACGAAATGTGGTACTGTTCGCGGTGCATAGAACGGCGCCAGAGTCAGAAGAAAGCCGGTCGGGGTGGAAAGAAAAGGACAGCTGGCGGACGAACCGCGAGGAACGGTGCATAATCGCCGTATAGAGGCGCCGCGAGACGCGATGGCCCTCGCATGGTACGTCTGTTCCGCCAAAAGTATTCGTTGCTGTACTCACCAGATCCCTTAGTAATAGTTCTTGTCCGATATACCCCCTGCTCTCTCGCTTTGATCTTCTCCTGTATTCTAGCACCTGCGTGCTACTACTCTCGACTTGCTCTTTGAGGCGCTCTCTATATCTCTGCTTCGCGCTTGCACTCGCTTGCGAGGGGGACTTGTAGTGGCATACTAGTGGCAGAAGTCTTGCTCGCCGCGCGCTGTGTGGCTGCCGACGGTCTTCTCTCACCGTATCTTGAGTCTTGACCCCTGATTGCGCAAGCAGGATGACCACACACGACTGTGTGCTTATCTATTCGAAGTTGAGAACCACTTCAGCGTCGCACTTAGGAAGAGTGACACCTCTCACGAAGTCCGATTTGAACAAACCAGAGGACGACCACCAGTTGCGTAAGAAGGAGAGACCCAAGATCGCAGGAGAATGTGTTGTGCAAGATGAACAAAATATCAAGAACGCGCTGTGTTCTCTTCCATATGTTTGGGGTCCAACTTCTGACGGATGTGTATGAACGAAACGGTAGCAGAGGGCGATGCACGGTTCTTCCCGAGGACATCGAGCCGAAGATCGAGGACTTCTCCTCCCGTTCTTCCCCTACCTCGTCGTGAGCGACGACTTCCATAGGTTCCACACAGACCGTCTCATTCGCTTGGTCGCTGCCGAAACCTAAAGCATCCTGTGCAGCTTGACCGCTGACTGACGTCTCCGTATTAGAGATTAAATACTATATGCTTGAAAATCGAGGATAGTCTTGGGGATGCTCCCATGTATGCACCGGAGTGTGGAGCTGTAATCGTGTAAATCAGCCCCCAGACAGTACTCAGTTTAACCAAATACACAGATACTTGCCATGAGGAGACTGACCTGGTGCCAGTAGCCCGACCACCATTTAAGGCTGTAATGCGGGACGTCAGTCCGGAGAGCATCGCGATACTGAGTGGCTCAAAATACGACACTCACCGCTGCATGATCCGGCTGCGCTTCGACACCAGGGGCAGCGACTTGTCCCCGCCGATATGGCGGCGGAACCCAGACGGGAACGCTGTATATAGCCAGCTCGGTCTCGCGGAATAGCGCGATCTCCTCTCGCAATCCTGCAACTTCCGCACGAAGACGGCCTCGTACCCCGCTCACCGCTCTGCTTATGCCAGTGCGTCCACTGCGCCCTGCTCCTCCGTGGTTCCCCGCGGGTGAAGAATCCGTCGCGGTGGGAGGTGTGGTATGCGCGCGCGGGTGAACGGGGTGGGAGGCCTGTGTACGCGACTTGTCCACAATCTTTGCAAACAGCCGTACGCGACCGGAATACCTGTCGGTAGGAGGTGCTCCGGGCCCCTGAGCGAGGTCGGACAACGATCGTGTACGTCGAGAACTGGGGCGTGTTGCTGCGTGTGAGAAGTCATCGGAGGGGGACGCGGGCTGCTTGGCATGCGTGTGCGCATGCAGTGGAGAGGATGTGGTAGGGATGGTGACGGTATCTGGGCGGGTGGGGATCGCGCCGGGGTTGCTGCAGCGCGCCTGAGCCTTGCGTGCCCGCCTTTTGCACTTTCGGCGTATGAAGATAGCGACGAGTCCTAGGAGTATTGTGCATAGGGCGGAGCCTGCTGCGGTGATGCCAATGATTACGGCGAGGTTCCGGTAGGGCAGAGACGGTAACACCGCGGATACGACAGGAGAGTGCGGGGAAGTCGATTGCCGGAAAGATGTAGTAGGGGGAGGGGGAGGGCTTTGGGCCGGCGAGGTGCTATTAAACGATGGGGTTTCAACCGTCGTGATAGGGGCAGGAGGAAGAGCGGATGCCAAGTCATCGGCGGTATAGACAACATAGTCGAACAGGACTAGGGATGACTCAGTGCCCTCAGCTTTCGTTGATATGACTAGAGTGTGGTTGTCGTGAGGGATGCTGTGGTTGGTATACACTGCTACATTGTACATCAGTTCGGGGCCGAATGGGTCTGCGGGATGCACGTATTGGCCAACGATCTTGTCGTCGAGAGAAAAGACGAGGGAGGTGTTTGTCGAAGTGAACGGGACAATATTGGCTATGATGTTGAAGACGTAGACGGCCTGCCCAACGAATTGAACCGTGATGTTGCGAGGTGGGCTACCGGGAGACTGAGTGGTATCGTGCCACGTCCCATTGAAGACTTGCGCGGTATCGACGGCTGTACCATTCAGGGAGCCTGGAGGAATATGTCCAAGATTCGCAGGGTAGAGATTGCAACTTCTACACGTATCGCCGTATGCCCAGTTTTCCTTGGGGCGATATGTAGGGATTATCCCCGTGCTGCTGTCGCCGTATTTGTCGTCGATGGTATGATTGACTAACGCAGCGGTACAAGCGACGGCTAGCAGGAGAAAGCAGAGTGTGAAGAGTTTCATAAGTGCAGTGAGAATATGCCCGCAGGAGAGGATGTAGACTTGCGACACTCACTTCTAATAAGAGTAGTACCTTTATGTATCTGCAGAAATTTGTCATAGTACGTATTTTGGTAAAGCCATGTGACAATGAGGATGCTCACCATCTTGCACTCTATCATCGCCATACGCCACCCGAGATCGCGAGCTGAGTGAATCGATTGTAAAAGCAGATGCCGGGCGGTGGGCCATCGTCAACTTCCTAGGTTCCCGTGGATCAGGAGACGTCGGGAGTTCATGGATACTTTGGTATACTCCGCAGCTTGAAGAGGATAATCTTTTCATGATAGCGACATGGCTGTACACTGCAACCGCGAACATGCACAATGGGAGGTTTTGTACCGTAGTTCATGCGGGCGAGGCTGTCGCCCACCGCACAGTAACTAGAGTTTGAATTTAGTATACGAGACAGACGTTCCTTACCCACAACTAAGAGTTTAGAGCCCTGAAGCTGAGTATCAAGGAGCTAAGTTGGGATGTAGTATGAAGACGAGGCCATCGTATGGGCGAAGCATCTGCAATGAGAGTGAGAAGCTGGATAGGCGCTGGTACACCTCCTTGAACTCTAGAGTTCTGTTACTGTATGATGTATCAGCCCATTATAGCGCTGGTATGTACTAAAGGTGCTGGGCGCAACTTGTGTCGCACCGCACACTTGTGGGCTGTACAAGATTCAAGTTCGTTGGAACGCAGCGCACGCGATGGTGCCGCGTTTACAGTCTTGAATGATTATCGCTTTCCGACGGACAATATCCGTGCCCATCCGACCGGCGAGGACACCCCGGTACTGAGCGTCCTCAGGCTGCTAGCCGCGTGGCAGAAAGAAGCATTCGAGTGCCTGACGGAGTGGCCGTGCGGCGACCTACTTTGTCAAAGAGTATTGTATACTTGCTACGTCCAAATATGTGTATTTTGTACATCACCTGCAAGTATCATCATACGGACTCGCCGTGACTTCTTCGATACTGGATTCACCGGCCACAACCCGAGTCCCCCACGCAGCCTGCCAGCCAAAGCAGGAAACTCTGACCCAGACTTGGTCCATCGACCATACTGCTCCAGAGATGTCAAATATGTACGCCAAGCACCGGTTGTATCTTGAAGATGTCCAGGAACGTGACATACCGATGATTAGCCAACGTACGCAGGCACTGAGCGTGAGCGCATACGGTTACCGAGACTCCGTGCCTTGACGGTAGTACTGCGCGGGGCTGTCGGGGATCCGACAAAGTTGGGCAGTAACTGCCAGTGGTCGGATCTAACACTGAGACAGAGGGCTTGCACTGGCACCGTCCAATTACTCAAATCAACGTCGCCACTGAGATGCACATACTCGTCGCATTCACCGCCAGGTCCACTCCCCATCGGGCGCCCGCAGTTATGCGTGGTATATCATCATCATCTCAGATGAGAGGTCGCGCTCGTGCTGCAGCAGTACGCGCAGCCCTGCGATCTGGCTGCGCAGAACAGCGAGCTGGGCCCGCGCCAGTCGGCGAGTCTCTCGTGAGCGTGACCCCGTCGTGCGAGTAGTGCTGCTCGACTAGGTGCTGCTGTGGGAGGGAGCCGGGACTGGCATGCCTATCTGTGTTGAGACCATATGTATTCAATCAGCGAGCTCTGCGTAGCGTCTTGAGTGATCCGTAGCAGAGAGGGAAATAGGGCGGGGAAGGGTGTAGATAGGCTCAGAGGATGCGTAGAGCGAGCCTGCATACTTGAATGATCAGAATAGCAATAAAACGTGAACACCCCGCAGCTCACCTCTTGGAGGAGTATACGGAGGGAGAGTGCCTGAGTAGTACGATGGTGGGGGCTCCGTGAAACTCGAACTGGGAACGGTTGCGCGTCTTTCCGCCATGCGCGTCGCGTCGTACACCGTGTCCGCGTCGTTGCCAGCAGCCGACCCTGTTGACCGCGCAGGTGAACTTGGCCACCGCTGCCGCCTGTGTCGTCGGAACACGAAAAGCAGCACAGCGGCAACGATGCCTACGATGAACACTCCCGCTACCGCACCGCCCGCGATCACCCCTATTGAAGGGCTCGGTGACGCCCGCGGGATCGCTTGTGAAGGTGTAGAGCTCGGTGCTGTGCCCCCCGTAGTGGGATCTGCCTGCGTGGCCGTGAACGCAGAGGACGATGGGACGAGTGATGGACCCGCCGTGGTCGTGGCTTCTTCGTCTACAGTGTAAGTGATGTAGTCGAAGAGGATGAGAGAATTGAACGGCCCGGTCGGTCGTATTTCGAGCGTATGCGGCCCATTGGCAAGGCCGGTGCTGCTGTACACCGACACATTGTATAGGATGTCCGTGCTTGTGTCGGGTGCGTGCAGGTAAGATCCAGCTGGTTCCCCATCCAGCGTGAAGCTCAGGTTCGTCAATGTCGTGGTGGAGTGGATGGTATTCGCGATGATGTTGAACACATACACCGCGACGCCAGAGAATGTCGCGGTGATGACCTGCTCAGGGCCCTCGGGGTTGTGCGTTACGTCGTGCCATGTGTTGTCGAACGCCTTGCTCACGTCGACGACACTTGAGTTGATATTGCAGCCTATGCACGCCGACCCGAGGGCCCACCCGCCGTCAGGGAGGTACGAGGGCTGCGCCCCTGTGACACTATCGCCTTGCTCGTCGTCGATTGTTCGGTTGACAAGAAGGCCATCCACGAGCACAAAGGAGGATACCACGAGCGCTAGAGAGAGGTATGAGGCTGCGAGAGTGGGGTATGGCGTGGGCATGCGTGGACTGAGGAGCTGTCCGAGAGAGCACGAAGGGGCCGCGGGAAACCTGCGCAGTGCGCGAAACCGGGTCCGAGGCAGCTCACTTGACCGGCTTGGGGTCGGAGGAGCTCGAGGTTCGACGTCAAACTTGGTCCTTGACCGGTCGCACAGTCGATTGGCCGTGGCTCTCATGCCGACGGTGATTGTTATGATTCTGATAGACAGCGTCAGATACCTAGGTCCGGGAGATGCATCTTCTTATACCTGATTATGGCCTTCAGTCAGTGCACATGAGTTAGAGCGAAAGAAAGGTTACCTTGTCGAGTGGCCGGCGAATGCAAAGAACGGCCACTGCGCCGTTTGCAGCTACTAATTTTAGGCTCGTCGAGCATGCCATATAGCTTCCCAATGGCTTCTTACAGTCCCGGGGCAGTTCGCCAGCGTAATATGTCACAGACACAGCGAGCTCACCTTCAGTGATGTGCACGTCAGTCCGCATACGTTCCCGGTGCTGGTAGTTGGTGGTTAACAGTGTCCAACATGTTTGACGCCCAGCCATTGCAATGCAGGTAAACCCAGATCAAACCCACCCGGCCCCCATACCAAAAAAACACCAGGAAGAACCAGAAACAGAAAAAAACACAAGTTCACACAGGTTGGCACACATTGCAAGTAAGAGATAGAGGTGGTCGCAGTGCTCTGCTGGCCGAACCCATACAAACATGCACATTGCGCAGATCCGGACGCCCCTTGCAAAGTACAGGTACAACAGCGTGTCATGAGTACTCGTGAGTGTGCAGCGACAGCAGCGACCGTAGCGACCAACAAAAAGTGAGCGGACGAGCGAGCGAGGGGAGAGGGGGATCCAGGGATATGTGCGAGCGAGCGAGTGAAGGAGCGTTGGAGTGGGTGGGTGAGGACAAGCCCCGGGGCGGCGGACAAAGCGATACTGGGACACATTACGACGTACAAATATACTCTAGGGGTGGTATCAAGCGGAATATCGGAATCGTCGTGAGGATAGAGAGGCAGATAAAATGAGGGTGTGTGGACGCACAACGGCGTGCGTGTGCAGGGGATTACAAGATAATAGAAATAAACAAAGGGTAGATGTGTTGAACGAAAGCGTCCCTCGCGAACACCGGTCTCCGGCCGGGTCGGTCTATTCCGCAAAAAGGGAACGGCCAAGAACGAGCGCATAGTATGTACGAAAGAGAGGAAGGCGTGACACCGCACGCACCAGAAAACCCGTGGCCGCGGCCATCGAACACGCATATAGCCATCGGGCGACAGCTAGCAGCTAGGTGCCGCTCGCAAACCGCGAGCCGACGCCTGTGCGCGCCCTTGGACGGTTGACGACGCCAGTCTTTACGCCTGCTCGCCTAAGCTCCTCGACGTTACGTCCGTCATCCCCACCGGGTCGACGGCCGCCGCCACCTCCGCGGCCACAAGACGCGCAGTAGTCCGCGCTGCCCTCGACCGCACGGAGCTCCTCGACCTCCGCCTTGAGATCGCGCACCTGGCCTTCGAGTTCCCAGATCTGGCGCTGCCACGCGCGACGTGCGGTGAGTATCTGCTCCTGCAGCGCCTGTATCACGCTCGACTGGTCGTCCTGCGCGATCATGGGACCCGACTTCTCGTCGCTCGCACGCCCGTACTTGCCGTGGGGGTGGAAGTCTGGGCTCAGTGGGGAGATGGCGGTTGCGGCGGTCGTGGGGGTACCCGTGTCGACCTCGAGCGATGGCCGCGTCCGAAGGGATGCGTCGTCTGCGACGGAAAGCTGCTCCTTGAGTTCGCGGCTGAAGAGCGTAGACACTGGGCGTATGCTGAGCCCGACGAAGTCCGTCTTGCATGGCGGTGCGCTAGATGGGAATGCTCCAATCTTCGCCTTGTCCGCGTGCGAGATGGTTGGCGTCAAATGATGCGACATGTCGTGGGCGCCCGCAGAGAGCGGCGCCGTATACGGCACCTTCGCGGTTAAGCCACCCATCGGAGGCGAAGAGGTGACGATCGAGAGATCGGGGACTTTGCGGCGAGCACTGAGTTGCTGTTCGCGCATGGCGGTAGCGGTGGCAGGAGGTAAGGCGGTCGCGGCAGGAGAAGACTCGTTGGAGGACCCTGACCCGATACTGGACCCAGAATTGGCGGCGGAGTCGCCCAGCGTGCTGGGAGACAGGGACGGGACAGGTACGCGGTGGGTGGCAGAGCCCTGCCGGGGCCGTGAGTATTGTGGGGGCGGCATCGGCTGCTGTGGGTTAGCCGCGAATGCGTCATTCGCCAGTGACGGCACCGGAGGCGGAGGCGAGCCAGGCGACACTCGATCTCGGTCCTTGCCATTAAACAGACGCATGAAACCGCTCTTCTTCCGTGCCACCTGCCTATGAGGCCCGCTAGGATGTCCCCCAGGCGAGGAGTCGCCCGCCATAGGGAGCGGGTGTCGTCCCTTGCTTGCACCTGCACTGGTGGAGCGCGCCCGTCCCTGCACGCGCTGCGAACCGTCGGAATCTGGGTCTGGCAACTGGGTCTTGGATGTGCTGGCGTAGGGGCTGGAAATTGCTGGTTGTGCTGTCCGCGAGCGTTCTCTGGCCTGCGCCTGCGCTTCCTCTAGCGAGATGAGCTTGAGGGCCCCACCGCCACCGCTGCTCTCATGCCACGCTGGCAGACCACCCATGGGAACGGCCGACAACGTGTTCTCTCGCGTCCGGGCGGGACTCAAGGGCGTCGATGCAACGATGGGAGACCCCGGTACACCGTTAAGCATACTAAGCGCCGACATGGGCAGTGACGATTTGTCGACCGGCATAGGACCAGAGATGCCCTTGCCCCCGACCTTGGTAGTGGACGACACGGAGTCGTTTAGGCTCGGGCTCACCGACGTGGTCGACGTCCCAGGGGTGATCGAGAGGGTGGTCGTCGAGCGGAACTGAGACATGCTGCTGCTGTGTGTCGTCGTGTCGGTGAGCGTCGCATTTGAATCCCCCCTGTTGGCCCCAAACGTTGTCTGAAAGTTGGGCGACGCCAAAGGGAGATCGTGTGTCGCGACGCGGACGAGATCTGGGTTGGCGTACGGGTGCGTGTACTCCATATGCTGTGGCGTCGCAGATCGTGTTGAGGAATAGCCAAACGAGCGGTCGTCCGCATCGGCATCCGCGGGGGACGTCATGCGGGAGATGGGGGAGGCGTTGTTCGAGTGCGCATCGACGTGACCGCCGCTGGACGGCGTGCGGGATCTGAGGCGCGGCAGCGACAGCTTGTCCCGCAGTGATTGCGGTGACGGATTGATGGCCAGGGACGTGGAGGACATGGATGCCTGGGCGAGCGCACTTCCAGAATATTGGGGTGAGTGGGAATTTGACAGATGGTCATGATGAAACATACGCTAAAGCGCCAGCAGCGGAGAGTGTGGACGAGGTCTCGAACGACTGTTTGGGCCTGCTCGAAGTGGAAGAGTCGTTGCTTGGCCGGGGTTCGCTGGTTCCTCTGGACAGTCCCCAACCTTTCTTGCCAGACTCGCCCTTCTTCTTCGATCGCTTCGACGGTTCGTCGAGGCTATCTCGCGAGAGCTCCTCTTCATCTTCTTCCCAAGGCGCGGGGGAGTGGAAGCGCATTTTGGGACCGTACATATTGATTCGCGGGACCTCCTCCTCCCCGTCCTCTTCGGGGGACGAATCGTCGCCGTTATGCATGCTGCCGTAGTCCGAGGATAAGCGAGGGTCGTCTTCGAGGTCTAGACTGCTAGCGGTGGGAATGTTGAGACGCTCCCTGTCCGAGATGGGCGAGCGCGGCTCAGCTAGAGATGGGCTGTAGGGATGCGAGCTCTGCGGGAAGCGGAAGGGCTGGCCGCCGTCGTGAGGAGCTCTGTCAGAGGGACGTGGGGAGAAGTGCGGGTGGCTGTATACAGAGGGCGAGTCTGAGAATTCTGAGAGGGAGGGGAAACGTCCGTGTCCGTGGAGGTCTGCGCGTGCGGCACGCTGATCAAGGAGAAGCCTGACATGGTCGTCGCGAGAACGGAGGTCGAGGGGGGAATTCATGACGTTCATGAGCGGCCAGACCAGCCACCGCGGAAGTGGCGGGAGGGAGGAGGAGGAAGGAGCGTATCGCGGAGGAAGAGACGGACGGTGAGGGAGGGACGCAGACCAACGCAGTTTAGCTCATCTCGACAAACAGCGGTCAACAAACGCTCGGTTCCGTTTCCCCAGCCAGGTCGTCTCATCAGACCCGCGCGCTGTCCATACCAGGCTTAGAGCACCAGCACCCTCCTTATCAGAACCCCCGCGCTCGCTAGCAAACGGCCACCGCTGCTGCTTTGGCGACCGATGCAGGAACACCGCGCAAGCCGTGTCCGCCGCACAGCGCGGCGTGCACATCTGTCTCGCAGCCACTGAGTCGCGTCCGCCACAACCTTCACGCGAGACGCAGCGGTCAGATTGGAACGCGAGGAGGGAAGGAGGCGGACGCGGCCGGTTATGGAAGTGAATGGAGCTCAGGCGAGCGCGGACGCCCAGCGAAGCGGATGCAGATGCAGATGTGGGGAGCTAGTCTCGTCACCAGCCGTTATAGGGGGTCCTTCCAAAACGGGACGGGCAAGAAACCGAGCAGAGGACCCCCCTATAACGTCTGGCGCACTTGGTATAGGCGGGTGGGGGTAAGGTCACTCAAGTCACGAAGGTCACCGCGGCCCCACTTCGACGTGCGCGCACGCCGCGCGACCGTGATTGCCTCAGGACGCCTACATCGCAATTTCCGCCCAAATAATTCTGAAAAATGAGAGGAGCGTTCCTGAATGGCCCCGCAATGGTCTGGGTTAAAATGAGACTGCAGCGCGCGGAGCAGCCCAGAGAAATAAAACCCGCTCGCGGACAGTGACTGCCTGTGACTGGCAGACTTGCCCGATCGAGGGCGTGTCAAGGCGTTTGACGGGTGGGCAGACTTCTTTCTGGCGTTGGCGTGACCTTACCCCCACCCGCCTATACCAAGTGCGCCAGACGTTATAGGGGGGTCCTCTGCTCGTTTCTTTGCCCGTCCCGTTCTGGAAAGGACCCCGTGACCTATAACGTCTGGACACGAGACTAGTGGGGAGCCGCGCCAGGCTCGCAGAACATGCATCTCACACAGATGAGCGCCGCAGCCTTCCGGCCCTGGCAGCTGGTGATATCATCACTCAGAACCCGACGGCCTGTGCTCTGCATGCATTCCTCACAAACGCCGACCACAGGGAGATATCGAGCACACTCGAGGACGCGGAGGCAAAGGACGGCAAAGGACGTGAGACCGGGATTTGTCCGAAGTGTGCGCCACGATCCCTTCCCACGATTGGCCCTGGTTCCCCAGCCCACGTGTCTCCCGCTCCCCGATCCCATCTGGAAAAACACGTCCCACGGGCGTCTCTTCCCTTTCCTAGTGCCCGCAAGCGCCTCTCAGTTCCTGGCTTCTGCGCGCACCTCCGCTCATCCTCCATCCGTCTCCCCCGTCGTGAAAACTATGTCCGAAACAGAAGTTGTGCTTCAGCTCCCGGCCGATGTCCCCGCTCAGTCGACGAGCACCTCCGCTGGCGATGTTACCGTTGCCCTCGCACACTCAGTCAGCGGCCGTGTCTCAGGCAAGGCATGGAAGGTGCCCAAGACTGCCACAGTGTACGCCCCCATCCCCATTCCCCTCTGTTTTGATGTACTTATCAACCGCCGAGCAGACGGTCACATCTGCCCGAAGGTGTGAAGACGAAGAAGTGGGAGGAGCGGATGGAGAAGACTAAGAAGGAACAAGCCATCAAGAAGCTGCAGTCCGAGCTCAAGCAGGAGAAAGTGGACGACCTCAAGCGGTACATCCCCCCTCCCACCCTCCCCGTGTCTATTCCAACTTAACGTACCCGCCCCACCAGCCGCCGCGAGATCACCACGGAGCGGAAAAAGGCTGCTGAAGAGCGGAAGCGGCTCGAGGAGGCGAAGGAGAAGGTGCACCCGTAAACGTGCCCGTCCGTTGCTACGCGATCGCTCACCTTCGCGGCCTCCCCTCCAGATGGGCGCACGACGTGCTGCCAGGCTGCGCCGCAAGATGGGCCGTACCAAGAAAATCAGCCACTGACAGTGCGCGTAGGCACACGCCTACACCCGTCCGCTGCTCTTGGGAACCAGCGGGGACGGGGTGTGGGGCAGAAAATCTCTCAGGCCGTCGCCCCGTCTGTCCCTTGATCGACGGCCTGGCAGCGGGTAGCGGCAAGCAGGGCTGCGAAGTCGAGGCGGACACGGGGCAGGGAAGCGGCACCCTCGAACTTTACCCGCGGCCAAGATCCCCGGACGTCTTCGAATCTGCTGCGGTGGGAGAGCGAGTTCTATCTGACTTGTCCGCAGTGCGTCGATGGGTGCCGCTGTCTCTGGGTGGCGGCCACAGGAGTCCGGATTGCGTTTGTAGGGCGTATAACGCAAGATTGCTGTGTTGTCGAGATATACCGGCGGACCACATTGTAATACCACATCGTGATACATCAATCGTCGCCGTCAACACACCCTGGAAGACAGACAGATAGACGGCCGTGGCGCAGGCGTCATAACCAGCCTCGATCTAGCGTCTGCAAAGCTGACAATTTCCACTCCTTGTCCCCATCCCTGTATTGCAAGCATGGCTGTCCAGCCCAGCAGCTCGCTCTGGAACATCGTGCAATTTTTGCGAGCCCTTAGGCATCCTGCGTATCCGCTGCGCTTCATTCGCGTTCACCTTGTGCCCTCCCAACTCGACCCTAGGAATTCGTCTTGCATACGCGACTATCTATGCGGTGAGTGACCGCAGGGACCACTGTCCATGCATCCGGGGCCTTCCGTAAACAGTGCACGTCCCCCGTAGCCCGGATACGTTCGTGCCACGGCGCCGGGCGACCATGAATCTACTAACGATGTCTGTGCCTCAAGGCCCTCGACGCTCGCCGATACAGACAGGATAGCCCCAACGGCCGGCGGAAATCTGGGGCAGTTAGACGGTGGCTCGACGTGCACCGTCCGCCCTCGACGCATGCCCGGTGCGTGCAACGTCTTCGTGGGCTGCACGAGGACACCCTTGCAAGGGGTCGCCTGTTACAGGAAGACATGTCGAGACGTCGACGTCAATCAGTGGCCGAACCGCACAAGACGCTCTAGATTTCGCCAGCGACCAAGACAATGAGATGGTCTGTGTGGAATGTCTGGAAGTCGTCGATCACGTCGGACGAGGTCGGGGAAGAACGGGAAGACGTCCTCGATCTTCGGCTCGGTGTCCTGGCGAAGATTCATGCATCGCCCCCAGCGACCATTCTATCCTCACGTCCGTCAGAAGATGGAACCCAAACATATGGAAGGGAACGCGGCGTGTATCTTGCCCGACACGTTCCTCTGCGATCGTGCACTGTCGCCGCTCTTGCAGCTGGGGGTCGTCCTCGGACTTGTTCCCATCGGATTGCGTGGGGCATGTATCACCCTTCGCGAGCGCGACGCTGAAGTGGTTCTCCACCTCGAGCAGATGTACGCACAGTCGGGTGGGGCCATCCTGCTTGCGCAATCAGAGGTCAAAATATGTTGAGAGGATCGTCGACAGCCACACAAGTGCGCAGCGAGCGATCAGAGTTTCCATGACTAGTAAGCTGTTGTACCTGTCCTTTGCAAGGGGCGTCCGAATTCGCGCAATGTGCATGTTTGTATGGGTTCGGCCTGCAGGCAGAGCACTGCGACCACCACTATTTCTCTCTTACCCGCGATATGTGCGACCCTTGTGTGCCCTCTTTTCAGAGGGAAGGGGGGGTTTGATTTGGATTGACCCGCGTATACCTCAGTGATTCACCAACAACATGTGTAGTGAGAAACAGACCCATCCTGACCGCCTACATACATAGATAACATAACGGTCCCAAGTCCCTACTCATCGTCCGCGCCCAGCAACCACCCAATCCCCTTCTGCAGCACGCGCGACGCCTGCTCCGACACGACATGCGCGCCGTCCGCCGCCGCCCGCGGGCCCCTGCTCCCACTCCTCTCCCGCTCGCCGTCGTCCGACATGTACGACCGCCCGCGCCCGCCAAACGAGAACGGGATGTTCGCCGCGACGGCGCCGAACGCCTTGCCTGCGAGCGCGGCCGCGTCCGGCGAGTGCGGGATGTGCAGCTCCGGCATGTGCATGCTCTGCAGCCGGCTCGCGAGCGACGCCGTGACCGCATCGGCCCCGTACAGCGTGCGCTGCCGCGGCGCGCTGTTGCTCACGCGGCGTGCGCCCCGTTTGCGCGACGCGAGTGACTCGCGGCGGCGCGCGAGGTCGTCCGCTTCGAGCGGGCGCCAGGCCGCGAGGATGTCGGGCAGCTTCTCGGCGGGGCAGAACTCGAGCGCGCGCGCGAGGAGCGCGAGCTTCTGCGGGACGTCGGGCAGCTCGGGGTGGCGCCCGAGCTGGAAGCACGTCAGCCAGCAGACCTCGCTCGCCGCTTCGACCTGCGAGGGGTCGGGGGCGCTCGAGGCGGAGGCGCGGAGGGCGAGGGTGGTGTCGACCATTTGTGCGGCGGCGGCGTAGGCGCGCGGGTAGTCGTCGGATTGGAGGGCGGTCTCAGCGAGCATGGCGAGCGTCTTGACGGCGGCGACGGGGTCGCGGCGGAAGCCGAGTTTGTGGACGAGGTCGAGAATGACCTCGGTGTGCTTGTATGCGTCGTTGTTGGACGAAAGTACGCGGGAAACCAATGAGAGGCGATCCTTGGTGAGGCGGATCTCGATTGGGGAGATGGGGATCCCAGGACGGGAAGTGAGGTTGAAGGAGCAGAGCCGGGAGGTGGCCTCGATGAACTCTTTCTCCTGAATGATGCGCTCTGAGGGCGCGGGGACGTCGAGACTTAGAGAGAAAGCCGCGTTATAAACATGTGGTCCAGGAGGAGAGCAGAAAAGGCACGTACCAGTCATACGCCAGCTTCATGTCTCCGAAGTGGTAGTTGCCTGAAGTCGCGTTGTCGTAAAATTCTTGAGAGCATGCCAGGCAGATATCTTCGACGACTTGATGGTCGAGGGAAAGCTGAACGCTAGAGGAGTGCAGAAGCTTCTTCGCAATATCAAAGTCTGCGCCAATCGTTAGTTGTACCTCCATCTAGTGTGAGCCCAATCACTTACTACCGGTACTTAGCAGGCCACTCAAGAATATGCGGATGATGTCGTCCTTGGACAGCAGACAGAACGCGCTTCGTGACCCGCTCTCTCCAGAGCCCGAGAGCTTGAGCATGTCCTCCAACAGCCACTCCCAATCCTCTTGCGTCTCGAGCTTGTCGTCGGACGCGTTGGCCCGGCGCGCCATCCTATTCGCCCGTGCACGTTGCTCCGAGATATTTGAATTGCTCTGCAGGAACCAACGCAGGGGCGCCGGCACGCTCCAACGCGCAAGGATTTCCCCGGACTCGAGGTGCACATCTAGGACATCAAGGGCGCGGGATAGCGAAGATGTGGGTAAGGGAGTACAGAAGATGAGTAGATCCGACGGTGTCGCGCGGGGGCGTGTGGCAGAGGGCGTGACGAAGGCACCCAGCGAGGCGATGGTGGTGTCGGCTTCGTCGGCCTCGTCTCCATCTTCCTCGGGGGCATCCCAAGCCGGAAGGCACTCGAATATGCGGCTCATGGTCGGCCAGTCGTCGATGCGGTCGCTCCCGTAGAGGCATGCGAGCGCGAGGCGGGCCATGGCTTCATCGTCTCGGATGACTCGTCGACCTTGCGGGAGCGTGGGTTTCGACGCCTCGAAGATGGCAGCGACGATGCCCAACGGGGCGTTCAGTATGTAGTCGTACAGAAGTCGCGTAGGAAGAGCCGCGTCAGGCTTCCCTGCGCGTTCCGCTCGCGACTCCAGGACGAAAAGATAGGGCATGACCAGGCGCTGAATATCATGCGCGACTGTCTCCTCCGTAGCGTATGCAAGATACGCCCGGACAACGTCTGCGGGTTCCATCGACCGCCACCTCGAAAGAGACCAGTCCTCCGCCGCATTGTCTTCAGCCTGAGGCGCGTCGTAGACGAGACGAGCGACAAGAGTGAGGTCCTCCCCGGCCTCATCAAGCCCTGGAACACCTTGCGAAGCCGCATGTTGCACGAGGCCTAGTGCTGCGTCAACCATACCGGTAGAAGAGATAACATAGTCAATCCTCCGTGTGTACCATGACGACAACTCTGATGCTGATAGCGGTTCTGGTACTGGGACTAGGTGGTCGTGTCCAGGAGATGGTGTGGGTGGGGCGATCCCGCCCTCCTGGAGTGCCTGGGTGCATTCTGGTGTTTCCACGAAGTCGGGTTCATCCCTCCATGGCTTCGGCGGTAGCCTCTGTTCCGTGTCGGAGGCGAGTTCGAACGATGGGAGTAGGTCCCTGTACTCTGCGGCGAGTGCGTACTCCGGTATGCAGTCGAGAATGGCGAACCTGAACGGCCACAGGGTCGACGCATGGTGCTCCATGAGGATCCGGAGAGCAGTGAAGTTCTCCTGCGATGCCAGGAGGCATGCTACCTCTACTAGGTCAGATGTCACAAACGTGGAGAGTGGTATTGGGGGTTTGCCAGATGACTTGGACGACGTCGCTTGAGAAGGTTCAGCAGGACCGTCCGCCCACGGGTCGTCCTCCCACTCCTCGTCAATGGTGTTCTCCTCGTCCTCGTCCGCGGCGGGGGCATCCCTGCAGATCTGGACAAACGTGTTCAAGCGGTCCAGTCGCTCCAGCAAGACAGCGCGTATGTGACATAGCTGCGCATCCGCGGTCTCGTCGGAGAAATATGACGCGAGTGTGGCATGCCGTGCGCGGGACGTCGAAGGACTCAAGGTTTCCTCGTCGTCCTCAAACCCATCCGCGCCTTCCAAGGAGCCTCTTGTTGGATGCATAGCAGCGCTCCTGGCGCGCGAGGCAGCCGCATCGGTTCTCTCAAGTCCAAGGTCTAGCAGGGACCTCTGTACGGTCGCGTCATCGAGAATGCGGTCAGCACAGGCAGCAGAGACCCAGAGGTCGTCGCGAATAGGCTCGAGCAGCTGCTTCACGTTGTCCAGCGAGACATTGTCGTCAGAGAGAGCAGTCCACTGGGCAGAGAGGTTTGGCGGGGCGGAGGTCGTGGCGGTCGACATATTCGAGAGGCGGGGACACGTGCACGCGGGACGGTAGCCATGTTGCTGCACGTGCTGGATCGATGGATCATGCACATATAGCAGCGCCCGCTCCTCCCGCCCCTCTCCCCAACGCCCTCATCATCCCACTCGACCCCGCCCCTCTCAGACCACAGCCATGGATGAAGAATACGACGTACATACCCGTTCTGAGCCTCCAGCGGGACGCGTCTGACGTTCATGACAGGTTATCGTACTCGGCACTGGCCTGACGGAGTGTATCCTCTCCGGCCTTCTGTCCGTCGAGGGCAAGAAGGTCCTCCATATGGACCGGAACGACTACTACGGCGGTGACAGCGCCAGTCTGAACCTCACGCAGGTAATGCGGTGGCCGATATCGCCCGAGCCTGATAACTCATGTGCTGTTCCTCCAGCTCTACCGCAAGTTCAGACCCGACCAGGCCGTTCCTGCTGAGCTGGGCCGCGACCGCGACTACGCCGTTGATCTCATCCCCAAGTTCATCATCGCGTCGGGAGAGCTAACGCGCATCCTCGTCCACACTGACGTGACGCGCTACCTCGAGTTCAAGCAGATCGCTGGTAGCTATGTGTACCGTGATGGCAAGATCTCCAAGGTCCCGTCCACGGAGATGGAGGCGGTCAAGAGCCCGCTCATGGGTCTCTTCGAGAAGCGGCGCGCGAAGAAGTTCTTCGAGTTCCTCCAGAGCTGGAAGGATGACGACCCAGCCACCCACCAAGGTATATGCTCTTTGGAATGTCGATCCGTTCGGCCCATTGATTGGTATCTCCAATAGGCATCGACTTGGACAAGAACACGATGGCCCAGGTTTACGAAAAGTTTGGGCTGGAGCCCGGTACCCAGGACTTCATCGGCCATGCTATGGCGCTCTACTTGGACGATGAGTAAGTAAGCCTTCATATCGTTCGGGGGTCTGTCACTCATTTCCTGCAGCTACAAGACGAAGCCCGCGCGGCCAGCTTACGAGCGCATCGTGCTCTACACTTCTTCCATGGCGCGCTACGGAAAGTCTCCCTACATTTACCCCCTCTACGGTCTCGGCGAGCTTCCCCAGGCGTTCGCACGTCTGAGCGCTATCTACGGCGGTACCTACATGCTGGACAAGCCCATCGACGAGATCATCACTGACGCTGACGGCAAGTTCGTCGGTGTACGGAGTGGCAGCGAGACGGTCAAGGCCAAGCAGGTCGTCGGCGACCCCAGCTACTTCGGTGCCGGCAAATCCGCCGACGGCGGCAAGGTTCGCGTCGTAGAGGAGGGCAAGGTCATTCGCGCTATCTGCTTCCTCAAGCACCCCATCCCCGGCACGGACGACTCGGACAGCGCGCAGATCATCATCCCCCAGAACCAGGTCGGCAGGCGAAACGGTACGTCTTTGTGACTCGCGCCGCAGCACAGTTTACTCAATGTTGGGTACAGATATCTACATCGCGATGGTGTCGTCCACGCACAACGTTTGCGCCAAGGACGTTTTCGTCGCGATCGTCAGCACGATCGTCGAGACGGACCGGCCTGAGCAGGAGATCGCGCCTGGTCTCCAGCTCCTTGGCCCCATCTACGACAAGTGAGTCTATCGGTCCTCATCCCGGTCTATGTTCTAACATACCACCCCAGGTTCATCTCGGTTTCCTCTCTATATACCCCCACATCCTCGGGCGAGTCCGACGGCGTCTTCATCACGCGCTCTTACGACGCGACCTCGCACTTCGAGACCGTCGTCGACGACGTCAACCACGTCTGGAAGCGCATGCTCGGCAAGGACCTCGTGCTCAAGAAGCGCGACGTGGAGGTCGAGGCCTAGACGCGTCCTCATGCGCACGCCCTGCAAAGCCCCTCACGCCCTAACGCCTTTACCTTTACCTCGTCTGGAGTTTTCTTTCGCCCGGATACGCCCTAGTTGAATTCATGTATAAGAAGTAGGAAGACCATCTCATCGCTGTACTTGTCGCGCAATGCATTCATCCGTCCATGCCGTCTCGACCGAGGTTGGTGGGTGTCGGGATGTATATCGCGAGCAACTAGTAGCTCTAGGTAAGCGTGCTCATACAGTAAAGTGCTAGCCAATTAATCGCCGTGGCCAAGCACAGCTTCTATGCGGTGAGGTGGTCAAATGGTAACGCAGCTTGAACACTTCAAACCTGCTGGTCTAGGTCGTCGACTAGGAAGGATATCAGTCTATCGTCGTATGCTGGTACTGATACTTACTGGCAGTAGTGGAACCCGTACGCGTTTTGGAATGAGAGGGCATCCGCTCTCCATATTCGTACGGCGGTGCCGGCTCAGCTGCGAGCTCGAGCGCGGCGAGTTCGCGGCTGTATCCGAGAAATTCCGCTGCCTGTGCACGAAGGGCTGCCATCTCGGCGAGCAGCCCGCGCGCTCCACGTTGGCTCGGACGGGGCGGTGCGTCTTCGATCTTGCGTTGCGGTCGCGAGCCCGGGCCTTCGTGTTCCACGGGACGCGGGTCAGTAGCTGCAGCTGAGGCGATATGGCAATTCGTACCTGTTACTGGTGCATGACCGAAACGAGGTGCCGATATCTTCTCGAACAGCCGCAGACGGGCAGCATGTCTCCTAGTCGTTGACTCAGACGCGATGGTTTGGACGGCGGGAGGTGCGCAGCGGGAAGCCGGTGGATTCGCCGCAACTGAGAAGCTGTCGGAGGCTTGGAGGGGGTGAGGACGTGCCAGTGACAGACACCGACTGTGTCCCGAGGGCGAAGGTGGGGAGGAAGCGTCATGGGGAGTATCCGTGAGATCGATGGAAGGCTGAACAGCTCGAACTCGCCCGAGCGTGCCCTTCCGACATGCTCGAAGACAGGATATTACGGCAGTCAAGGCAAGGAGAGCACCGAGTCCTAGCCCTCCTCCCATTGCGGCGATGAATGCGGGAGACATGATTACCCCCTGGCGGTCCTCTGGTGCCTTGGAAGCTGTAGTGTAGATAAATGCGAGGCGAGAGCGCAAAGGCGTTCCGTTAGATGAATGAGACAGACAGTCAGCGGATGACTTTCGGGGGATGTCAAAGGGTGCTTACCGGTAGGTCCAGGGGATGATACCGAGCTCCCGTATATTGTAGACCCACTGGGTCTTGTGAAGGGCGTAAAGGTCGCAACGCCGGGAATCAGGCTATGGATACCTGTGACAGGGAGGGGCGAAGACGGCTCAGGCTCCTCGGTGGTGTATACGATATAGTCGAATAATATCAGAGACCATTCCGTGCTCCCCGCCGAGATTGTGAGGACATGTTCTCCAGGTGGTAGGCTAGAGTTGACGTAGACCGGCACGTTATATAACAGTTTGGGGCCGGCCGGGTCGGGGGAATATGTGTAGGCACCGACAACGGTGCCATCAAGGGCGAATACGAGGCTGGTGTTTGTTGTTATATCTGGGACTGCGTTTGCAATGATGTTGTAGACGTAGACGGCCTGTCCGACGAAATACACGGAGACGTTGACGGGAGGCCCGCCGAGATATGTGGAGTCGTGCCAGGTTTGCATGAAGGCTTGTGTGACGTCGACCTCCGCGGCAGCTAACCCGGGCCCGTTGAATCCAAGGTTTCCGGGAAAGATGCTGCATGTTGTGCACATGGAGCCGACCGCCCATTTGTCGGAAGGGGAGTATATGGGGAAGAGACCTGTGGAACTGTCCCCATACACGTCGTCTATAGTGTGATTGACAAGGATGGCGGCCGACGCAAACATCGGTAGGACGCAATAGTGTGCTAGACGTTTCATGAGCTGGCGGACTGCGGGGTGTCGGCGAGATAGATGTGGCGGCTGGACGGGGTGACTATCAGGAATAGGATACAACTAGCAGGCCAAAAATCGGTAGCCTTTACATGGCCTGCTGTTCGACAGAGCGGTCAATGTGTCATTTCGGCGTGCAGCCATGTTGGACGTTGTACCTGGCAGGTGGCAACGCTCCTACTTTTAGGCGCACCTCCATCCCGACACTGGCAAAACCACTGCTGAAGCTCTCGGTCAGGTTCAACCGCGTCGCGTTGGAAGCGGGAAGACCCTAATAGTACAGAAAGGCACATCAGCTGAAATATCAACAGATCGCCAGAGCTGCCAGCGCGGTGCCTAGTAACTCACCGCCGTGAGGCCGTGAACACCACCTTACCAAGTGTTACTAGCAACCTATAAGTCGAATAAACGTCTCGATCGTAGACTGACCTACACAGGGCCGAGCGTTCCTGGAGAGCCGCTTCAATTCGGTGGGCTCAAAGCCTATGAAAAATTAACAATATTGTATAGGTATAGAGGTAACATCACCGGGTATCTGGAGCGTATACGGCGTACTCGTACAGTGAAACTGTTCAGCTGCCTGGGCGGCGTCATGGCTAGGTCACTTTCGAAGAGACTGGCCCGGCATACGATGCGAACTGAGAACGCGGCTTGAAAGCATTGCCGATTGATTGTCTAATCCTGCGAGCCAGATGAACATGGATATAAGTTTGTGGTCGCACGCAATTACTCAGACAGACTCACATCAGTAGAATTCGCCCGGCGCAGTTTGGAAGCCTAGCTGGTACGCCCTCCGTGTTCGTACGGCGGAGCTGGCCCGGCTGCCAGTCCACACGCGACACTTTGTGAATCGCGATTGAGGAACTCTGCTGCCTGCGCTCGGAGGGCCACCGCTTCAGCGAGTAATCTGCGTGCCACAGCATCTCTAGGGATCATGCGGGGCGGCTCCTCTGCATTATATGGGCCATCCCGATCTGCAGGGCGCTTGTAAATCACTGACAGCTGGGTTATCGTAATGATGCACGTCACACCTGCACTCACTCCCGTACGAGCGCGGTGGGACGTCGCCGATATCTTCTCGAAGAGCCGTACACGAGCAGCATGGCTCCCAGTGTCGGGCAAAGGCGCAGTCGATGCGGCACTTGACGAGGACAGCGCGAAACGGGAAGCCGGTGGGTTTGCCACGATAGAGAGGCCGTCGGAGGCTGGGGCGAAGTACGGGGGTGATGGTAAAAGGGGTCGCGCCGGAGAGGGAGGAGTCTTGAAGGTGGTCTCTGTGAGGAAGACCGAGACATCGAGAGTTCGAGCATGCAGTCGATGCTTCCGCCGAGTTCGAAAATAAATCGCTACAAGGGCGATAACAACGATCGCGCCGAGTAGGGAACCCCCCACGATGCTGCCAATGATTGCTGAAGACCGTAGATCTGCTGAGCGAGGGTATGCTAGCGATGCATATTGTAAAAAATATTAGGAGGGGGCTGCTAGGGTGTGGAGTGTTGATTGTTACTTACCAGTAGACGAGGAGGAGGCCGAGAGGGTGGGACTTGTCATGGGGGCATCAGACCGTGCGAAAGGCGGCGTGGGTGTCGTAGTGGAAGGCAGTGGACCATCATCTGCTGTTATGACGGGTTGGTACGCAGCCGGCTCGTCAGCGGTGAATATGATGTAGTCGAATAAGATCAGAGACGTTTCGGCCTCTCCCGCTGACATGGTCAGGGTATGGTTCGCGTGTGGCATGCTCGAGTTGATGTATACCGGCACCTGGTACATCAGCTTGGGGCCGGAGGGGTCGGGTATGTGAGTGTATCGGCCGACAACAACACCGTCAAGGGTAAAAACGAGGTCTGTTGTCGTTGTTGTTTCGTCGACGTCGTTGGCGATGATGTTGAAGACGTAAACGGCTTGTCCAACGAAGCTTGCTGTTACGTTGTACCCGGGATCACCAGGATGATAGGTGGTGTCGTGCCAGGTTCCTCCGAAAGTTTGTGCAACATCCACCGCTGCTCCGGCGACCCCAGATCCGTTGTACGCCAGGTTTCCGGGATAGATATTGCATGTTGTGCACTGGGGACCGAAGGCCCACTGGCTCGAAGGGGAGTACGCAAGAGGGTACGGATCGCTATCACCTTGGAAATCGTCTATCGTGTAGTTGACAAGCATGGCGGTGGATGCAAGCACTGGGATAAAGCAGATACGAAACAATCGTCTCATAAGCAGTGTCAGGATTGTGGGGATGGATAGACGCACGAGTGAGGTCTTAGAAAGCTGGCATGGATATACAGCTCATCGGATCTGTCGATGTTCTTCTTCTCGACATTCGGGCGGAGCAGTGACTAAGTCCGCGCAACGCGAATCTTCGTCGATGCGGGCGTATCATGACGCGAAGAACTTGGCTGAAATGAACACACGAGTGTTACTTCGAAGAATCCCGCAAAAATCGTCATGTATAGGTCGCAGTACGGTCGTTGCTTGATGTTATACATGCATCCCGGCAGGATCTCTACTGATGTTCCTGGCCGCTTCGATTTTGCAGAAGTACTTCAAATTCTTGAGTACGGCGTATTCCGAAAGCCATAAAACATTGTCAGCAGAGAGTTTGTCAGCAGAAGAACTAACACATTGCTTGAGCTGCCACCGCAGCATCTACCGCGGCCAGCCAGCAGGAAGTTCGAACCCAGAGTGCGGTGGAGGCTCGAAGAATCGGAACTCGGCCTCTGGGCGGCTGGCGACCATCTCAAGTTGGTCCACGTGGAGACGCCTCAATAGGCGCGCGCGCGTTGGGGCTCGCATAACCGTGGAAGGCTCCGCAAGTTGACAGCCAACGTTCAAAACACTTTGGCGCGCACCCTTCTATTCTCCTTGATATCATAGGATTGGGTGGACTGATACATGATATATTAGGTGAGTAGTGTAAGTATCAACTGGACTTTGTTCAATGCCTTCAGGCTGAGCGAGGTCGTACGGCAATATCGATGGGTATGATTTGCATATGCCTAACATGTACCAAGGTCGTTTGAGTGAAATGACTGTTACCGTTTTCAACCACGACGGGGTGCCCCAATCTGCGCCTGGTCAAACTTGAGGCTTGTCTAGGCCCTGGGAGTTCTAGCGAGAAGGACGTAAGCATGGGTTTATCGCTATGTGGCATTGCCGTTTACTTACAGGAGTATGAGCCACCCGCATAACCCGATGGGATGCGCTCTTCGTGCTCGTTTGATGGCGAAGTCATCCTGGCTGTGAGGATCTCCGCTGCATCCTCTCGGAGAGCCGCCATGTCCGCCAGGAGAAGTTCGCGCACCATGTTCCTCTCAATCTTACGGGGCGCCGCGTCTTCGGCGTCGTGCTGACGGCGTGGGGTTTCATAATCTAGTACTAGGGAGCGGATGCTTTTCAGTACTGAAATATAGCATGATATCATATATATCGCATGTCGTACCTTCCACTCGCGCACGACCGACATAAGGCGTCGATATCTTCTCGGAGAGCCGCAGGCGAGCGGCGTGCTTCCGGGATTCGGGCATAGATGCGACGCCGGAAGGGGGTCGCGAGAAACGCGGGAAGCCGGCGGAGTTGGTGCAGTCGAGAAGTCGTCGACGGCCCGGGGGATACTCGAAGGAAGTGGTCGTAGACCTCGTGTGGTCGAGGAGAGGTAAGTTTGCAACGAGGCCGAGCAACCTTTATCTGTGAGGTACATGGGGACTGCTCGTGCCCGCCTGAGCCTGCGCCTGCACCGAATCCGAGCCCAAAGGAAAGCTACTATGAGAGCGACGAGGAGAAGGGCTCCGAGGGCTCCCCCGATGATCACCCGAAGGGTTGCAGAATATGTTTGAGATACGTGGAAGTTGGCTGACGAGGCACTCGCAGCTGCAGCATTATCTGCCTGGTCTACGTAGTCATAGCACGAAGAAGGAAGAAACAAACGCACCAGCGGTCACCTGGCGGCGACGCAGTGCCAGCACTTTAAAAAAGCCACGGCGAACCGCCGTAGGGCCGCGGTTGCTTGACATTGTACATCCATATGCTCCGGCAAGATCTCTACCGACACTCCGGCCGGCTCCAAGCCTTAAGTGTTGGAGCATGCTACTATAATAGCAGAGTAGACCAGTTGAGCAATCACAGCACCTGTCGTCAGGGGGTCGGACGTATGACTCACACTACATGTACAACCTCCGCACCACATGTTTTTAGCCGCACTCGTGATTATAAGCACCATGCTAGTAGAACCTACCTGCTCGTCGCGCCGTCTTGCAAATACGATGTTCATTCGCGCACCCTTGCTTGATCACTCGTTCCTGGTACTACAACGATCCCCACGGCTGGCGGGGTCTTTCATGTTCTGTTGGAGCAAGCTGGAAATCCGGTCGTAGAGAGTGAAAACGAGAGTGTTTTGGTTGTTGTCGTAGTACAGAGGCAAACCTGAGATAGCGCACGAAACGGGACCCGGGCGTGCTACTGAACGCTTCGGCAAGCGCCGGCGAGCAGGCGCTCGCTCGCTCAAATCCAACAACTAACATGTTCAAAGTCTTGAATATCTCTCGCGATTCAATATATAAGAAATCGTCTTTGTGCAAGACATATTCTGCGAAAATACTGCGGTACGGGACGTATCAAGGACGTATCCTACGTAAGTTTAAGGAGCTCCAGAGCCTCGCGGACTTGAAGCAGCAGTACAACCTATCGGAGTTACCCCGTTCATACAGTGAAGCCGCCCTGAACTATCATGCCAGCCCTATTTCAGACAGTCTGTCGCGGCGCCTCACAATATGTGCTGAACACGCTTCACACGCGTCAAATCGGCTCTTCTATGGCTGCGGACGCAGTGGATATGAGTATGAATTGCTCGTCGTACACTAATCACCATGCTTACAGTTGCGAAATCCGCCTGTGTCGCCGACTTTGAGGGTGTGCGTTCTTCGCTTCCGTATGATGGGGGGGCTGGCTCAGATGAGGACTCGTACGTAGCGCCTTGAGCATTGCTAACGAGAAGTTCTGCCACCTGCTCTCGGAGGGCTGCCATCTCGGCACGGAGTCCTTGGCCGGATCCGGTGTTCTGCATTGCACAAGGCCTTGGCATATCTTCAATCTCGTGTACTGTGTCCGGGCTTTCGTCATCTGCGGGGCAGCGCTGGTCAATGGCTGAAGTTTGAAGAATCGTTACACATCGTACCTACACCCCTAGGGCGAGACATTGTCAATATCTTCTGGAAGAGTCTCATGCGAGCCACATGTGACCCGGCGGCGGATAGAGATGCAGTGGTAGGGGTATCGGAGAACGGTCGCGTGAAACGGGAGGCTGGTGGGTTGACTGCAGTCGAGAGGCTATCGGCGGAATGAACTGAAAGGCGAGGGAGCAGGCATGAAATATGCCTTCTCGGGGAGAGAGAAGATTCAGCGTAGGACTCAGCCCTACTATTCCCTGTGAGGAGGAAAGACAGCTTGCGTGCTCGAGCTTGTCGCATGCGCTTCCGCCAGGCCTGAAGGACAGCGACAACGAGGAGTGCGCCGAATACTGACGCCGCTGCAATTCCGCCAATGAAAGCGGGGGACTGGAGTACTAATTGAGGGTGGGCTGTTGTTGCGTTCGCAACTGCAGTAGCATGAATATAATTGATAGGAACGAGGACCATCAATGGACAGCAGTGTACGGCAACGGGATGATCATAAAACCGTTAGCTCAGGTTCAGAAGAACGTGTGCAAGGATGCTTACCAGTGGGAAAGGGCGAGGGCGAGAACAAGACACTTGGTGTTGGCGCATGGGATTGCGAAAGAGATGTTGATGTCGTAGCGAGGGGAAGTAAACCACCAGAAAGTTTGCTGGGGGCACTTGAAGATGCTGTGGTTTTCAATTCGTCGATGGATTCGTCGATGGTGTATGTGATGTAGTCGAATAATAGCAGAGACGTTGTTCCCGCTTCGGTCGAGATCTTGAGGGTATGGTCGCCATATGGTATACTCGAATTGACGTAGACGGGAATGTTGTACACCAGTACGGGTCCCAAGGAGTCTGGTCCGTGTTTGAAGTGACCAACAACTTCGCCGTCAAGGGTGAAGACAAGGCTGGTCAACGTAGTAACGTTTGCGATCGTGTTGGCGATGATGCTATAGACGTAGACGGCCTGTCCAACGAATGTCACTGTAATGGTGGGAGTATGAAGATTGGGGTGGTAAGTGGTGTCGTGCCAGCTTCCGTTGTACACTTGGGAGACATCGACCACTGCTCCGAATCTGTAAGGATTCCCGGGGTGGATAAAGCAGGAGTTGCACGAGGGGCCGTAGGCCCATTGGTTCGAAGGGGCATATGTCGGCAAGGCACCCGTAACGATGTCGCCATACTGATCGTCTATCGTACGATTGACAAGGATGGCGGCAGATGTGAGCACTGGCAGGATACAGAAAGGGGCTAGAAATCTCATGAGTAGTGTTGTGTGGAGGGAGGTGGGATGTACGAACTGCAAAGGCTGTCACAAATGGGCTTGATATAAAGATATTCAGTGTTCAGGGACGGGAGGTCTGATACCTGCATCGGGCATCGGGCGTGTCTGCAAAACGGCGACCCCACTACCATATTCATACATGCTGATGAACGATTTCTACAAACAGAAGTTTCCTATGAAGTGGAAATGTAAGATGGAGCTGACCAGTCCAAAGGCGGTGGTGTGCCAGTGGTATAACAACGAACCTTCATGCACAAGCAAGTAATTGACATTTCGGCTCCAAACTGCCGATGTCTCCACTGCTGGGTCATGGTTGATGAACTATATCATAATGTCAAGGCGAAAGTTGATATATGAGTATTAATACCATCTCACTTACCGTTGTAGTACCACTAACGCCGCGAGGTCCGTATCTATAAATCCTCATATCGAGGTGGCGGCTCGATGAACAATTGATGCATCTCCTCTTCCACATTGCGAATGCGCTCCAATTCCCCCCGCAGTACTGCGACCTGAGCGCGCAAGGTCGATACACCCGTATACGAGGACGACGCGTAGGCGCCGGAAGAGCTTGGGGGCGCTGCCTCCGCGTGGGCCGCGACGTCTTCCTCGGCCTTCCTGTCCGCAATCGGGGAGCTCGGGAGCAGGGAGACATATGGTTGTGCGCGCGAGGCGGAATTGCCTCCGGATGATGTCTGCTTGGCGTAGACGCTTTAGTATCGTCTGCCAAAATGCATGTGTGTATGTGCTCACCCTGCCAGCCACCGCTGCAAGCGGTGAAGAAGAGCGTGCAGAATCGACGGCACCCCGTGCGCCCCTATCGTTCTCCGGCAATGATGTACGGACCCGGACGGGTTTCCGTATTTTCTTCACCCAACGTTTGACGTGTGTGTGATTGGAGCGTCGACGACGGAGGTAGCAGAACAGCACGAGAAGCAGAAGGGCGAGGGCTGTGACGCCGCCAGCGGCTGCGCCTGCGATGGCACTGGTAGAGAGATGTGTCGCACCATGTGCTGAGAGAGAGGGATCGCTCGGAGGAGAAAGCGGGGAGGACGTGGAAGATGTCGGCGAAGGAAGACCAGTATCAGACCCGAGTTTTGATTGCCCAGTTTGGGCGTGTGACGCCGAGGATGAGTCGCCCGATGACGCCACAGGCAGTGCATTAAAAGAGCTCGAGAGTGATGTTATGGGCGAGGTTGACGAAGAGGTATCGATATTAGTGAAGGAGATGCCGGTAGGAGGATTGGAAGCATGCTCAGAGCTGCTGGGCGTAGATGTCGTAACTATGCCGGGATTTTGGGACGTGGGTGGAGGAAGTAGAGATGTTGCTATGGGGGACGACGACGGCGGAAGGGGATCGGCTTCCTCGACGGTGTAGATCATGTTGTCGAACAGCAAAATGGAGGCGTTGTTGCCACTCGCGCGGACTTGAATATTGTGGTCCGTGTTTACAAGATTGGTTGTGTGGAAGACAAGCGTTTGGTACTCGATTGTGGACGTACTGAGGTCCGGGATGTGTTCGTATTGATTGAAAAACGTGCCATCGATGGTGAAGCTGAGATTCACGAGGGTCGTCGTGAACGCGACGAAGTTGGGAATGATGAAATACACATAGATCGCTGTGCCCGTGAAGGGGGCGTCGATGGTGTGGTCCGGGTTTCCCGGGTGGTAGGTAGAGTCGTGCCAGGTTCCGTTGAAGGTCTGCGAGATGTCTATGACCTTGCCGGGGAGCATGGTGCAGTGTACGCAGGTCAGGCCTTGTATCCAGTTGCCAGTTGGGTCGGAGCTAGGCCCGTATACGGGTTTCACGCCCGTGACGCTGTCACCATACTCGTCGTCTATGGTGCGGTTGACTGACATGGCAAATGCGGCAGAAAGGGCGCTGAAGGCGGTCAGGAACAGCAGCGGGGAGACACTCTTGTGAGAGACACTAGGTGGCCTCAGCATAATGGCAGGGTTGTGAGAGTCGTCGCAGACGAGGGACGTCATGAATAGACTCACCCAACACCACGCTCGGCGTCTTGGAAAGCACCGGCGCCGAGTTCGAGCTACATTGAAGATGTCAGAGACCATCTTGACAGTTGGACAGCGGCGGCGATGCGATGTTAGGGTTCAGTGTCAAACTCGCTATCGGTCGGCAGCAGTGCTACCAGTGCCACGAAAGTGAAACTCAGATTATGATGATCCTTATGCGGGCGAGGGCGCACTTCATATCAAGCTCCAGGCCAGTGACGGAAGTCTCTCTGCCAAACTTAGCAGTGTTCATGATCCTGTCAATGAGAAGAAATCAAGAGCATTAAAATACGAATATACAGGACTATACCGTATACAATCTGCGGCCAAAAATAATCAACCACGCCCCTTCTCCTCGCTCACGTATGCCCGAAGGTCTTTGAAATTAGGCTCGCGAACCAGCCTCGCATTCGGAGGGGGAGGGCAATCGGGAATGCCTGCGCTTATGCTTCATCATACCGTGGAGGCGCTTCGAGCAACACGGCCTCTTCTCGGTGTTGCCGCATCTGTGCCACCTCCTCTCGAAGCGCCACCAATTGCTCCACGAGTTGCTCTCCCAGACGCGGGGATGGGTCGACCAAGGGTTGCGAGCTGCTCTCTGTGTGCGCAAGACTCGCGGTCGAGTCGGAGCCGTCGTATACGAGCCGATGGCGGGGGGAAACATGCGCGGCGCTGCTCGCCATGGACGCCTTCTCATCCGTGTTCCACCGATAGAGCGACGCCAGACCCTATTTTGATCATGATAGCTTAGCTTCGAAGAATAGGATAGCATTGTTGGAACTGACCTGTGAGGGAGAACCGCGCATTGGCGACGGAGGACGTGCATCTACAGAGACCGCTGTCCCCGCGAATAGATTCGAACCCGACATCTCGACGCTACGGAACGTCATCATATTCTCTAGACGAGCGGTTCTCGGAGCCATAGGGCCGACGTAGTCGCTGCCATCGGCGAACGGGTCTTCAGCTCCGGCGTAGCCCTGGAGTCGCGGGCGGTGGACGACGCTCGGTCCCACGTCGCGGTAAGGGATCTGTTCGGTCGGTCCCGGGCCATCACCAGCGCCGCCCGCTGCCTCCCAGCCCTGAGATGGTGCCTCGTTCCCAACAAACGTGCGATGGCGGCGTGCGCGCCTCACGCGGAGCACGCAGAAGACTGCGAGAAAGACGATAAGGAGGGCGCCTCCTCCGACCGCGCCTCCGATCGCAGCGCTCCTGACCGAGCTGTTGCCCGAGGACGACGCAGACTGGGACTGAGGGGCAGCCGTGCTAGAGCTCCCTGGAGATGTCGTCGCAGTACCTCCCAACCCTCCGTTGCTCGCAGTTCCGGTGCCCGAGGTGCCTTGCGACAGTTGTGTGTTTGAAGCGCTATTGCCGTCGCCTGATGATGTCACTGCTAGAGCTGACGCATGCAGACTGGACTGCGACGTAGATGGCGGGCTACTTGGAGATGAGGTGGTCGAGGATGTGGTTGAAGATGCGGTCGTAACCGCATTTGGGCTGGACTGCGAGGAGGTCGTAGTAGTAGAAGCTGGGGCAGCTTGTGACGTTGTGGAAGACGTTTGCGAAGAAGGCGGTGGCGCGGGGGCCTGCGAAGTCGGGTCGGGAACGGTGAGCTCGAAGCAGTCGAAGAGTACAACTGCTGCTTGTCCAGGCGGCACCCGGATAACGAGTGTGTGCTCCTCCAACGCGAGGTTGCCCATGCTCATCACGACTCCGCCGTACGTGAAGACCGAGCCGCCCGTGGGGCTATATGAGAATCCTGGCTGATCCACCCCGTCGAGGTTGAACGCCAGCTCCACATGGCTGGTGGGCGCTGTAGAGACCAATGGGGGCAGGATGTTGCGAACAGCGATGGTAGTGGCCGTGAACTTGTACGTGATTGAGGGTGGCGTGACGTCTTGTGTTGGATCGTACGTCGCGTAGTGCCACGTCCCGTCGTGTACCGAAGGCGCGTCGGGCTGGATAGCGCAACTAGAGCCGCACGTCGCGCCTTGAACCCATTGGTTTGCAGGAGCATATACAATGCTAAGATCGGTGTCGTCCACGAAAGCGTCAAGAGAAAGAACACCGAGCGCAGAAGCAGCAAGAAAAAGAGACTGTCGATGCCAAGCGACGAAGCGCATTGGTGCGGAATGAGTGTGAAGTTCGAGTCCCGGTCGTGAGCGGGACCGTCTAGAGAGGGGAACGGGACGTATGCATCTAAAGGCGCACTGGCCGGAAAAAGGACTACCGCGCTAGGTTCCTGGTGAGAGCCTAAATTCGATCTGAGTGCGAACTCATCATCCGCATCTGTCAATGTTTGAGAAATCTCCATCAGCGCGCGCACACACGGAGTTCGTAGCGTGGCAGTGGCGTGCATAGCCTCCAGGTTAATCCACTTGAACTTGCCGCGAATTTCTCTTCTTGACGCAAGCTCGTCACATTGACAGATCGTGCCTGGAATTCGGTCAATGGGAGGCGTGCTTAAATGTTCAAGATACGCAACAAAGAAAGCAAAGATACAACACCGCCTGAGGGGACACAAAAGAGTGGTGATAGACAGCAAAGAGGAAACGACACTACCATCACTTCCTGCCTTCGCCCACGCAAGGGAACCTGCCTTCTGAGCGCTGTGTATGCGGCATTAGCCATCGTAGCACCGAGACGCCTACTGCGATACTCACAAGGACTCGCGACCAATACGAAACGATGACAGCCTTCAGATCGTAGCAACCCATGGAATTCGGCTTGGAGGCGAGCGAGGTCAAGCAGCATCGTAGCTGGGAGGAGCCTCAACCGCGCCAGAGAAAAGGGCGGAGGTTTGGGCCTGCTGTGCGCGCAGGCGCGCGATCTCCTCCTGCATCGCCGATAGGCGCTCGAGCACCCTCGTGTCGGCGACTGGCGGCGCCGGACTCTCCTGAGCATGCGGCTCCGTTGCGGGCAAGGAGAGCCTTCGGGGCGCGTTGTCCTCGTCGGCGAACGGGATCGCAGGTTTCTCCTCCGTGGTCTCCTGCACGAGGGCGGTGGGAGGGGGGTACGTGGACAGAGGCGCCGGGGCCACTGTGGACGCGGACGTGCGATCGCGCTCCGACGACGCCCATGTGGACACAGGCGAGTCTGGCTGCAAGTTCCCGATGACGAGGACGGATGAGGATGTGGATGTGGAGAGAGCCGAACGTGACGGCAGCAGCCTTTCGCCTGGTTCCGCGTATGCTGAGCTGCCGCCTCTCATCAACAGACGACGCGCGCGCCGTTTGCAGAGGAGGTACAGGAGCGCCACGACAAGTATCAACAGGAGCACGCCCCCGCCAACTGCGCCACCGATCAGAGCGCCTTTGGGGACGGAACTGCCTGTCGAAACATTCTGGGGTTGCACTACAGCAGGGTCGGAGGGATTATTTAGAACTCTTGTCGGGCTGGATACGCTTGACCCGGGCCCAGTCGACTGGGAGGACACTGTATGCGGGGTTTGTATGACGCCGGAGGGAGAACTGGTCGATGAAATGGACTGTGAGATCGAGTTGGAAGATGTGGTAGATGACGCAGAATATTGAGACGGAGAAATTGGAAGGGATGAGGAAGACAGGGATGAGGAAGGTGAGGACGATGTTGAGGATGACCGAGATGACCGGGAGCTTGACGACGAGCTCGTGGTAGTGCTGCTAGTCGTCGTGCTTGTCGTCGTGATCGAGGGAGGGGGGTCCGGAATGGTGTAAACGATGTAATCGAAGAGGACAACCGAATCTATGTCGCTGGCTGTCTGGATAATGAGCGAGTGCGACGTGTTATCGAGTTCGCTAGCCGTGAATACCCGGACGTTATATTGAAGAGAGTCGTCCGAGGGGTCGAATTGGTAAGGCGTGCCAAAGCCTCCGTCAAGACTGAACGTCAGGTCGACATGTGTGGTAGGTGCCGACGCGTCGACTCCTGGGAGTATATTGAACACGCTCACAGCGGTTCCCGTGAATGAGAATGTGATCGAACGCGGGTTGCCCGGCGACGCTGTCGTGTCGTGCCAGGTCCCATCCTTTGCCGAGCTCGGGTCGGGATGAATGGCGCAAGTGGTGCACTGAGTGCCTTCAGACCACTGGCTAGACGGCGAATAGCTGATGGTGGAGTTGGTGTCGTCCACGATAACGTCCAAAGATACAACACCAAGTGCCAGACCAACAGGAATGATTGCTCGTCGGATCCAAACCAGAGCCATGAGTGGAAGGTTTAGGGAGGCAAAGAGGACGTGTAAAGACTGTGTGTGTGGGAGGAGGAAAATGAGTATCCACCTGAAAGAACAGAGTCGTTGCTGAGCTTACGAACAGTTGGCTTGAGAAACTCTACGGCTCCCTTCGCCTGATCATGATGATATTACAACCGTGACTGATAGAAGCTGTCCGAATGCGCCCGTCATGGTGGGCCATCCATCTTGCGTCGAAGAAGTCCATGTTATGCCTGTCCTGGCAGTGACAGAGATCGCAGCTTTATCAGCCTTGGACAAACTATATCCGTCGCAAGGGTCAAATATGTCGGATCCCAAGATATCGCAGCGAGTGAATAAAAGCGTAGTACTGTCCAAAGGAGTACGGTGGCGACGGTGACATCGAGGTGAGATGCACACCAATTAAGCGCTCCCCGAGGGAAAGCCTACAAGCGTCTAAACACGTCCATGCCGCGGTCGCGCCGCGCGCGTACTACGGTTTGTCGCGTACTTTAACTCTCACCACCATCAACCCGTAGGTATCCACCGTAACTGCTTGCGATCTCCACTAGCCATCGAGAAGTGACTTGCACAAGGAAGAGAACACAAACGATGGCCAGGGCTGAGGCAATCAACCATCTACTGGTCAGTTCCTCTCTTTTCAAGTTCGGGCTCAGACTGTGCTTCTCGATTACTACCAAGTCCTGAACAATCGGGACACTGGCTTTGGAAATTCTCAGTAACCCCCGACAAGGAGATACACCTCATGTCCCATTGATCATCCTTAGAATGTCTTGAAGCCGTAAATACCGCTCATACAGGTGTGCTTCGGTTACTCGAGCTTATCGCCACAACCCCCGAGCAGCCCGACGTGTGCGCACTGTGCATGCCTCAATGCTCCCCCGCGAAGGTCTACATAGTTTGGAATTCACACTTTTTCGGTGAGCACAGGGTATTATCCAATTATCGCCATCTTACGAGATACCACATGCGGTACATACTCATCAGAATTCACGCGCGGAGTTGGTCCTCCAGTACCACATCCCGAGACCTTCTCACCGCGTTCCTCACAACGGATTGAAGGGCCAGCAGCCGTTCTTGAGAAGCGTTCCCAGGGGAGCTTCCTCATTTTCTGTTCCGACAAAAACATCGATACACTTCTGTTCTGATCTCGGCGTTATACACGCTGTCGAGGGTCATGTATATGGTACCAAACCTCGAGGCCTAAGGCCTGAGGACCCAGGCCAACGTATATAACCTCTTCGTACTCCTCCGGTGGTCATCGTACCGTCGAGTGTCGGAGTTTTAGGAATTACTACAGCGATATCTCTGTAGGGATCCGTCGATGATACGGGATACGGGTAACGTCATCGCAGCAACATGCATGTACGCGTTCACTCGCCACATCATAGCCCCTAAGGCCCATGGATTAAGCGAGCGAAGCCTCTAGGAACGCCGCCGGCGCTCGCCAAAGCAGGTTCAAGAGGCAGGTGAGTCTGGCTGTAGCGTGTTGCAGTGACGACTTTCTAGAACTCCAACCCTTCTTCGCCGCCGTTCACCTGACACGCAGATTAGCGAAGCATATAAGGAGGGAGCATGCCCACCTTGAACAAGCAACACCAGCACCATGGCCACTCCGACTCCCGCCGCTCACCCCGCATCCTACACAGCGTACGCGTTCACAGAGCCTGGGGGTGATCTGCAGAAGATCACCGTAGACTGGAGAGATCCACACGAAGGCGAAGTAGTACTCAAAGTTCTTGCATGCGGTGTCTGCGCCACGTACGTCCTCTCCTCATTTAACTTTACTGGGGCGATGGTCTGAGCAGTGTTCGTTCCTAAGGGACAATGCGATCGTGAACGGAACGTTTCCTGTTCCCCTGCCGCGCATACCGGGGCACGAGATCGTTGGCGACGTCGTCGCCGTGGGACCCAACGAGAAGCTGTGGGCTGTTGGTGACCGCGTCGGTGTCGGCTGCCATGGCGGATTCTGCGCGAAATGCAAACGTTGTCGCGTCGGCGATTTCGTCACCTGCGAGGAACAGGGTCTCACAGGTCTGTGGCTATGATCGCCACTGTATACCGCAATTCTTGGTCCTGACTCGTCTCGTAGGCATCCTCATGGATGGCGGGTACGCCGAATATGCGACCGTGCGGTCGCAGGCTGTCGCCGCGATCCCCAAGGACCTTGATCCAGCCGAAGTCGCCCCTCTTCTTTGCGCCGGCGTGACCACATTCAGTATGCTTCCCACCTAGCTTGATGGATTTACATGATCTTGACATCTTATCTGCAGACGGGCTACGTAAAGTCGACCTACTCCCAGGAGAAGTCGTCGCGATACAGGGTATCGGGTACGTACAAGCCTCACGCCCAACCTGCATCGGGCCTACTGACCCGCAATCTTCCCAGGGGCTTGGGGCATCTGGCAGTCCAATTCGCGCACGCGATGGGCCATCCGACCATCGCATTGTCGTCCAGTGCTGCGAAGGGAGAGCTCGCGCTCCGTCTCGGTGCGGTCGAGTACGCCGACGGCTCTCAAGTTGATCAGGCAGCGGTCCTGCAGAAGCACGGAGGCGCGAAACTGATCATGTGCACCGCGAGCGCACCTGAGGCCACGAAGAAGCTGATACCGGGGCTCGCGGTCGACGGCACCCTCCTCCTTCTGGCGGTGTCGAACGAGGAGTTCGGTGTTTCTCCCAGTAAGCGTGCCTCCCCTTCTTATCCGCGTGGAGGGTGTGCCTCTGACCATCGCACCCGGAATACAGTGGCCCTCCTCCGCCAGCGCTTCTCGATCAAGGGGCTGCCTCACGGCCTCCCCATGGAGATCGAGGAGTGCGTCGCCTTCGCGAAGCTGCACAACATCAAGGCTATGGTGGAACGCTTCCCGCTCGCGCAAACACCGGAGGCGTCCCGGCGTCGGGAGTCCGCACGGTTCCGCGCTGTGATTGTTCCCTGATCTGCGGCAGTTTTACGCTTTGTAGATATCTGGCGCTGCCTCAGATTCAAATGAACACCAAAGATACGTCAACATCGGCGCTGTAGTATCTGCATTTCGCCTCTCGCGAGACCCCGCAGTACCGCTTTCGAGCGCCTGAACAGGGACAACAAAACTCGTCCATCTGCGAGTCACCGGGGCTCCCAATATCTTGCATACGAGGCCTGTAGTGAGTGATTCCCGTCCTTGGCTGCGCTACGCTTGCTTGGGGATCGTAAGAACCACCAGAAACTGCGATGGGCCTCCCCACTCGTGAGCCGGTGGTTGACGGGGCTTTCCGGTTTGAAAACCTGGCTCGGTGCTGGTAGCGGTTCTCAAGCCGGGCATGTTCAGTATCAAACGTCAACAACCCCACGTCCTAAAAATGCTACAAGGACCTTCCAAACGGACCACTGATCGGGGTAAGTAACCCGAGTAAGCCTGAGTTGTATGCATAAGTGAAGAAGCGCGCGCATCATTATGAGCGCCTCACTGGCGCGGGCGGCTTGATACTTTCTCTCATTCTCGCCACCATCATGGTCGTCCACCATGCTCGTTGATCAAACATCCATTCAACGATGCATCTATATCCCGCGCTGTCAGATACAAGACGCAGGTAGCAGCATGGTCTCCTTTCTCACAACACCGATCATATGCATTCTGACTTGCCGTTTCGGCGCCCAATACCACAGATGCGCGATGGTCACTTGGCGACTGCATCACAGCCCGCATGGTCCCATCGCTCCTGTCCAATACAGCGGCCGTTGGCTCCCACCCAAGGCATACGCACCTCTTTGGCAGTATCCGGATGTGAGGGTACCCCGCGCCAGCAAACGTTTGGCGTGAGGTTTGCACTGCATCGCTGCAAAACACCATCATTTGTCCCCGACGGTTTGCGCCGTAACTTGCGATCTGAGGCTCGTATTGCTGAGGACGCTCTCCATCAATTGAACGTCAAGTGCAGCGCCGACCGTGGTCGGTATAAATCGCTGCGCCAAACTCAATCACTCCTCGAAGGGGGGGCTCTGTAAAGAGAAACATCACTAGGTTCTAACTCCTCCCCCTACTCACTCTACCCGGCTCGTACGTCTGGTCCACCAAAATCCCCCGTCCTGCTCATGAGACGTCTCGTTCAGTATCTCTTCCTACCAGTACTTGCATCCACTGCCACCCTTGTCAACCATACTGTAGACGATCAGTACGGCGACAGCGTTTCAGGTGTCCTTCCCGCGTACACCCCCCGTCACCAATGGGCCTATGGCCCTCAATGCTCAGGTTGCAGTATATATCCCGATACCCACACTCATACTGGACCCAGCGCAGCCGGAGCAGCGGTCGATATGACCCAGGCTTTCCGTGGCAGCTGGCACGACACTACCGACACACATACGGGTGCCCCTTCAACCGTCTCAATAACATTCGTTGGACAGGCAGTTTACGTGTACAACATCATTGCCAACTCGATCCCAACGGTCACTACATTGACCAGCCTCGTTTTCGCCTTCAATGGCACTGTTGTTGGCAATTATACTCACCAACCCGACTCCTCCGGTCTTCTGTTGCTGTATCAGGTTCCGGTATACGTCAATACGAGCCTACCACATGGCACCCATAACCTAACGATCTCGACTTCGGGGCCGGAAAATTCTCTGCTGTTATTCGACTACATCACCTACACAGTAGACGACAAATCGGCTGGACCCCTCTCTACAACAACCCCTGATCTCGCTCCGGTGGCACCCTCTATATCTCACGCACCCCCCGCGGCTACTAGTACCGTGACCGAGTCCTCAATGCCCTCCTCTTACTCCGCACCATCCTCCAAACCTCCCCAATTCGTCGGCGGCCTCGTAGGAGGAATCGTTGGCGGCCTTGTGGCGATTCTCCTCATCCTCGGATCCGCGCTGCTACTACGGAGGTACAAATCCCGCCTGGACTGGAGACCTCGACACACAGGCGACGGCCCAGGCGGCGAGTCGGCCCCACACCAAGGCGGTCCACCAGAGGTCCGCGTCAGCAGAGCGGAAACTAGCTCGACATCGTCGCTCCTTTCCCCATCCCCTGTACCCCGGGCTTCCTTCCTCTCCGAGGACTTCACCGCCATCGCGCCCTACTCCGACCCAAAATTCGCGCCCACATACTCTCCACGCTCCTCCAAACTAGCCCCATCCACACCCACAAGGTCCCCCTCGGAAGCCCGCCCCCCCTCTAACACCGGACCAGCGGACGTCACATTCGTGCTCGACTCCGAATACGAGTTCGCGCCCCCCTCCTCCCCCTCCCCCGGGCCCACATCGGCCTTCCCCTTCCCCTTCGCGCGCTCGCCCGGGCGGCCGCCGTCGCACTCGATCGACGTGCCCGACCCCGCGCTCTCCGTGACGGGCACAGAGCGCTCGCTGCGCCACGCGGAAATCACGCGCGAGATCCAGGAGCTCGAGACGATGGTGCGCGAGATGCACTACCCGGGGAGACCGGGTGCGGACGCGAAGGCACCGCCGGCGCCCCAGCGGGAGGAGCTGAGCCGCCGGGAGCGGCTCCGCCAGCTGAAGAACGAGATCGCGCGACTGCGCGTGCAGCTCGCAAGGGAGCGGAGGCTGGTGATGGAGGCGGCGCCGCGGAAGAAACGGCCAGGGAAACGGATCCTGGCTGTGATAGAGTAGGACTTGCGGGTTCCGGTGTCGTCGGCGGTACCTGTGTGTACGAGGATAGGCTTCAACGCAGGGTCCACCACCAGTCTCCTTACTACCGTCACTCTTTTAGGTTTGCGGACATGTATCCGGACTGCATAGACGTATACCAGTGTACCATTCATCATACGGACTGAGACTGTCACGCATTTCGGGTTTCTGGGCATAAGAATAGATTTGAGGTCTACCTACGCCTTATACATAACGACAGCCGACATGGAGAGGACAATACAATACAGGGTCTCGCGGCGGACCGCACAAGACAGACAATATACGAAGAGACGACGGGATAGTATAGCGGTGGCCGGTCAAGAAACGTGTCCATGTATGATGACGCGCTTAAGACCTCTCGCCACGGAGACGACGAGCAAGGGCCTGTAGGTAGTGATTAGCGATGAACGTGGATTGAAGGACAACATGCAGAGAGCACTTACGAGATCCTTGGGCTGGATGGTGACACGCTTGGCGTGGATGGCAGCCAAGTTGGTGTCCTCGAAGAGGGAGACGAGGTAGGCCTCGGCAGCCTCCTGGAGCGCCATGACGGCGGACGACTGGAAGCGCAGGTCCGTCTTGATGGCGATGGCGATGAGCTCCTTCACATCTTCATCGAGAGGAGCAATGCCGAACGTACCTTGAAGTCCTGAGCGATCTCACGGACCAGCCGCTGGAAGGGGAGCTTGCGGATGAGCAGCTCAGTCGACTTCTGGTAGCGCCGGATTTCACGGAGGGCGACCGTTCCGGGCCGGAAGCGATGGGGCTTCTTCACACCGCCAGTGGCGGCCTAATCGGGCGAGATCGGAGCGAAAAACGCAACAACAAACAACAACAAAGCAAGGCCACAGCATCACGGCGCAGCACGCAAACCCACAACCCACGTCGTCAGCTCAGGAGGCTCTGCACGGGAAGGGGGCAATCTCCACTCACCGCCGTCGCCGTCTTCCTCGCGGCCTTGGTGGCGAGCTGCTTACGCGGGGCCTTGCCTGGTAGAAGAATGCATCTCAGTTTGGACTGATCTCTATCGCGAAGTCGTCCGCGACGCTGAGAATCGATACCCACCTCCGGTGGACTTGCGGGCGGTTTGCTGTCGAGGGCGTCGTCAACGACGATGTCGACGATACGATGAGACCGATAAGGCCTGTACGCACCTTGGTACGAGCCATGGCTATTCAGAGAGGTGGTTGAGGGTGGGTGATGGGTAGGATGCGATGCGCAACGGCGGACAGAAGTCGGGCGGGGGTCGGCGGTGGTGGTTACTGACGACGAGGGGCGGAGGGGGAGGACAGCCGACTCTGCGAGTCTTTGTTGAAGGTCCGAAGCCACGGTTCCCACGGTGCCAAAGTTCCGAGCCAACAAAGCACTAGAACGGCTCGCGCTTGGGCCATCTTCCGCGCGCGAGACGTCGGAAGGTACCTCCGCCTCCGTCTTTCACGACAATCCTTTGTTGCTTCCTCGACTCCCCCGCATATATCCACTCTATGCGATAGTTGGATTCTTTCTGCGCGGCTCAAGATTCTCAGAGAGGCTGTCGTCGTGCAAGATTTCTTGGAAACGCGAAGACGCGGCTTACGGAAACGGGCGCTTACCTTGGAAGATGCAACATCTTGTTACACATTCTACTCTTCCTGACTCTTTCCGCGGTCTCTCCCGAAGCCATTTAGTATCGCGCGAGACGGTATGCTTTCAAATGCTCTGCACGAGCACGTACCAGAACCAGTGAGCATGGTACCGGTAAGTAACGTTTCTCCGAGTAGTTCGCTGTGTTGCGTTCATGTACGGTCTGCACGCCACATTCTCGCCATCACCTCTTGCTAACCTCCATGAACATCTCCAACCTTTTCTCCACTTACCAGCTGGGCTGATGATGGTAAAATATCAATTCCGCTGTCTTGCGTTGAGTAGCATGTACACACACTCTACGGTGCGCACCGGATGGAGTCCTGGCCATCACGGAACCTTGGAAGTTATAAGCGCCCATGGTGATCCGCCTCTGGCGCGCCCTTCCTAGCCTGACGTCACAGTACCCCAACTCCCCTCAGCTGCTGACGTCGGCGCGCCATCTGTCGGGCAGTATAAGAGGCAGGGGTGTCGGTCGATGCTCTTCACTACCACCCCCAACGCGACCTACCACTCCCCCAACTCTCATAACCACACTTTCACCCTTGCCTCACACAAACAACCATGTCTTCCGGTGCCATGCAATCCAAGGTCGGAAACTCTCAGGTTTACGAGAACGGCGATCAGCGGTGCGCAAACTTTCACTGCTCGTCGCCCTTCGGCTTTCCTGACACGTACCCCTCATAGGAACGCGCCCTCAACCCACCAGTCTCAACTAGAGAAGCCCGCCGACCTCGGGCAGAAGAACGCGCACGACATCCACGACCCCAAGTAAGCTGCCCTTCTAAGAGCTTGAAAAAATATTTTCTGACACGAGCACTCGCAGGGATAACCGTAACCTTGATCAGCGTATGCAACAAGAACTCAAGGAGGAGCGGGATTCCGAGCGCAGGGATCGCGAGCGTACTGTCACCGACCCTCTTGAGGCAGCCCAGAGCCACGGCAACAAGCCTTCGCGGGGTGCCCAGATCGACGCAGAACTACAGAGGGAGGACGAGGAGCTCATCAGGAAGAAGGATGCCGCGTCGCAGTAGAGCATTCGTTCAACAAATATTTGTAGCATTAGTCCCTGCATCATAAAGTAATCATCATCGCAACTACCGAGCAACTGTGATGCCTGTCGTCCAAGGACGTGGTCCCAGCAACCAGCGAGCTTCTTCTTGTCCACCTGCGACATGGTGGGAGCGACGAAAGTGCGACGAACTGATGAACGTCGACGCGAGCGGCGAAGGACTCGAGGCGGGACGCGCGGTCAACAAACCGCGTCAGGCACGTGAAGGGGATCCCAACACGGTCATGTGATGCGACGCGGTCGCGTTGTGTACCGGCACGCCGTTGATGGACGTCCTGGGATAAATAAACGTCGCGTCTCGTTCACCCTCCCTCTTTCGTCGTCTCCCCCAGCCGTCCCCCTTGCCACCTCCTCCTAGAATGCTCTCTGCCACCTCCAAGATGCTCGCGCGCACGTCCTCGGCGTCGAGCGTGTGCTCCGACGACTCCGTCGCCAGCACGGACACCACTATCAGCCTCGGCCCTGCGGACGCCATCGTCGAGGGCCCCAAACGCACGCGCAAGCGTTTCACTACGCTTCAGCTCATAATGCTCGAGCACCTCTACCACAAGGCGTCGCACCCCACGCGCGAACAACGCGAGCAGCTCGCCAAGGACGCCGAGATGTGAGTGCTCCTTCCATGCTGCCGCGCCGTCCGCGCGTGGTGGTGCTCGGGTTCGAACCGCATGGGTCCTGACGATTCCCAGCAGCGACGTCCGCTCTGTGACCGTCTGGTTCCAGAACAAACGCCAGACCGACCGACGCATACATCGCCAACTCTCCGAACCTGTCTCTCTCCCGCTCCACCTCCAACCCTGCAGCTCGCCCGCTCCATCCTCTGCGCTAACCCCGTCATCCCCCTTCTCGGACGCATCTGGAAAGACTATCCATACTGCACGAGCGCGCACGCGTACATTGTCAGGCAACTCCGCCGTGTCCACCGCGTCCTTACCCGCCATGGGCCTCAAACGCGCGCGTGAACACGACCACGACCGGCGGAGTGTACGCCACAAGCCTTCGCGCCTCCTTTCGCTGGACGCGATCGCCGCACGCACCGAGCGCCCCGTGCTCCTCCCACGCACCCCGCCCCAGTGCCTCTCGTCCTCGCCCGCTCCGGCGTCTGCACGTCCGCACACGCCGGAGCCGCTGTCCGAGGACGAGCCGGGCGGGCGGGCGCTCTGGGAGAACATGCAGTCGTCCCCGGCCGCGCCCGAGCCGGCGAAGCGCACGGAGAAGGACCTGGTGCGGTACGGGCGGCGGAAGTACACGCTCGAGTACGCGTGCGCGAAGGAGATGGTGGGCGGCAAGAAGGGCGCGGCGGGGAGGCAGAAGGAGAAGAAGGGTGGGCGTTCTAGCGCGAAGCCTAGAACGCAGAAGGGCGGCCCGCTTCTGGGTGCGGGTACGGATACGGGTCTCGACGTGCGCGGGGAGGGCCCGCGGGAGAGGGAGGACGACCAGGAGGTGCCGGTGCTGGAGTGGGATGCGGACATGCATGGGGACACCGATACCGAGGGCGTGCCGTCGGAGGCCGTCACGCCGTCAAGCAGCTTTGGCATCGGTGGGCTGTCCGTCGCGGACGATTGCGAGAAGGAGAACGTTGTGGCAGAAACAGAGCGTGCAGCCGAAGACGCGCTCAAGAGGAAGATGGAGACGCAGGCCTCGACGCGGTCGGACGCCGACTTGATGGACGTCGCATACGTCCTTTGTGGGCTCAGCCAGCGTTGCTGAGCACTCAAACCTGGGCACAACACCTGGGCAAAGAAATGAGGGTTCATGGAAATGTTTCTTGGTATGAAGTCACGACTCACCGCAGGGTGTGTACTTGACGGCTATGGCGTATGGCATATTAGGCCACATTTAAAACTAGTGACTGCCGCGTCAAATTGTTTATGGTACTATCGTATTGTATAAAACTGTATCATACTACATACACATCTCGCAAGCTATAATTCCAAAGAGTCTTCGCCACAGGAAGCGTTCTCTCAAACCCACCCTATCTTGTACATCCTGTACCCGCCCTCGTCTGCACGGCCCACTCCGTCATGCTTCCTCAGCCCTTCAACCTCCAGAATGGCCAGCTCGCGCTGCTCCCTCCCAGCTTTCACAGCTGAGCAATGTGGGAAGACCGCCTCCACGGTGTTCGTCATGCCTTCATGCCTGCCCGTCGGGCGGATGGGGATGATGAGCCAGAACACGCCGCGCTCAGGCGCGAGCAGCCGCTCGACGCAAGCCTTGATCCAGCACGCGTGCTCGGGGTGGTACACCACGTCCGCGGCGAAGATGACGTCGAAGTGCTCAGAGAGCGGACCTTCGTACACGGGGGTCTGCCAGTCGAGCGGTAGGACGTCCACTGCGGTGTCGGATGAGGAAGGGAAGTTCGTCTCGACATTCGCGCGCAGGTTGGCGAGGACGGAGGGATGGTAGTCCGTCGCTACGACCGTAGGGGAACAGGACGGGGCGGAAGAGGCGAGGACCTTGGCCGCGACGATGCTCAGTAGCCCCGTCCCGGCACCTAGCTCCAGAACGCGTAGGGCGCGTTGCGCGGGGTTGACCAGACCAAAGTCGGAGGGGTGCATGCACATGCGCTCCGCGAGCAGGATAGAGCTGCCCCAGCTTTGGAGGCCGACGGAGGTGTGGTCGTCGCTGAGCAGCGCAGCGTCATTGAGCTCGACGTGGACCGCGCTTGACTCGGGCCCGGTGGGGAAGGTGAACGTGCGTGTGATGTCCTCTTCTTCCTCCTCTCCTGCGAAGGTCGCGAGCAGAGACGCCGTGGCATCTACGAAGGCCGCACGGGCGTCCGTCTCCGCCTCGTCTTCGGAGGCATAAGCCCACATGTCCGCGCGCGCGGTGAAGCCGGTGAGCCAGCGGATGGCATACTCGCGTTCGAAGGGGTCGGAACGCAAGACGTCGGGGTCGTAAGCATCCTCCTCTGGATCATCCTGCGCAGTTTCCTCGTCGTCCTCTTCCTCGCCTTCGGCGGAGGCGTAACCGGAATCGGGAACGGATGTGTCGTGGACGAGGTGCTTCGGCAGCAGCTTGCGTTTGGGCAAAGCAAGCGCAGGCTTGGGAGGCTTGATTGGTGTGCAATAGATGGCGCGCAAGTTATCCACCGCGACCGAAAGTTGGGCCAAGGAGTACGAGCTAAGCCGGGCGAGCGGCGGAAGGCTCGAAGTCGGGCGAGTCGGGCGAGGTGCCATCTCTATGAAGTGCTTCTTGAATTGTTATGATGTCTATAGCTTCGTGGATATGCAGCCGGAAATCCCGAAGAAAGATATATCGAAGGAGGGCCCGAGGAAATCTAGGAGAAGCGGGGGATCCGTCTAGGTGTCTAGCGGGTATAGATTCGTCTAAGAGTCTATGTCGAGCTCTAGTGGTTCTATAGAGGCAGCCAAGGGTATGGAGCAGGGACCCTTGGCTGCTATCGTGCAAGAACAGGCATCTTGGGCAGAGGAGATGAGGGAAGGAAGTGAAGATTACAGACCGCCGACGCTGGGATATAAAACACGCACGAACGTGTTTTTTGACGTCGGGATACGTGCAGGTCGGCGATAGCCGAGTTTGCTGGAGGCTCTTGGACAACAACCGTCAACAACTTATATCGAGCGCATTTCTCTCGGTGCTGCCTCCGGGAGGTTCCCAAAACCGCTTCACCATGTCTACCGCAATCTCAATTACATACGAGCTGAACCCGCCTGCGGACACCCCAACGCCCGACAATCTCGCTTCCACAAAAACGCACGAGTTCTCCATCGCGAGCGCCGATGCTGCCGGTCAAAAAGAGTACTATGTAGGCCTGCGGGCTGCGGTACTGCAGGCGAAGGGTACCCTGGGCGAGGAGCTCACCGCATGGAGAGATGTTGTGGGCAAACGAGAGGAGAACAAGGAGGCCAAAATCCCTAAGAAGAGTGAGGAGGACGAAGACGAGGACGAGGAGGCGGAAGAGTGATGCTGCACTTGGCGATGGTGAGATGATACTCAGCCTGAGCGCATATCAAGTTACCAACTGTGCCACAAGCTCCTCTTTTGTTCGACGACGGACTGCATGACAGAGCGGCGGATACTAGATGTGTATTATGTGTACGAGATGTATGTCGGTGTGCGATGGAATGCCAGTCCAGCGCGTCAAGGGACTACCCTAGCTCGACGATTAGAGACCCCGCTTCTCCTTGCCACGAGGACGCTCGCGGATAACCATCTTGTTGCTGTTCTTCGGGCCCTTGGGACCAGGCTTGCGCGTACGCACGCCCTTGGCGAGCCAACCCCAGATGGAGCGTGGCTGCTTGTTACCCTTGGACTTTCCACGGCCACCACCGTGAGGGTGATCACACCTGCATCGTATTTCAGTACAAGTAGAGAACATATGCGTCGAGGGACAAACCTGTTCATGGCCATACCACGGACGCTAGGCCTCCGGCCGAGCCAGCGACTCCGACCGGCCTTGCCCAGGTTACGGTTCTTCCAGAGCGGGTTGCTGACCTTGCCGACGGTGGCGACGCAGTCCTGGAGGACCTTGCGCACCTCACCGCTTTGCAGACGGACCTGGGTGTACTTGCCCGAGTCCTCGTGCGCGACAACCTGGCCGAACGTGCCAGCGGACCGGACGAGGAGCGCGCGCCCTTGCGGGTTCAGCGCGATGTTGTGGATGATGGTGCCGGGAGGGATGAGCCGCATAGGCACGACGTTGCCGGGTTTGATGGTGATAGAACGCAGCACACCGAGCGCAAGCGACGCGGTGGAGGCGGTTTGCGTCTGCGAGCTGCCTTCGTCGCTCTTGGTCTCGAGAACCTTGCCACGAACGTCCTTCGAATCCACGAAGCCGGGCACGAGACCGTCCGGGATGCCCTGACGGAAACTTTCCACGACGTCTCCAGCGCGCAGGGTGTCCGGGGCCAGGATGTAGCTCCAGACCTTTCCCCCGCACAGGTCAGGATTGCGGTTCTTGATGAGCGCAATATGGGCAGAGCGACCGGGGTCGTACTCGACACGGACAACGTCGCACGGACCCGACTCCATCCGCATGAAGTCGATGATGCGTATGCGCTGTTTGTGACCGCCTCCACGGTGGCGGACGGTGATGTGACCGTGGTTGTTGCGTCCACCGCGTTTTCGGAGAGCGACGGTCAACTCGCGGAGGGGCCGTCCTGCGTAGAGGTGCGGCGAGAGCGGCCGCTTGAGGTGACGAATACCAGGCGAGACAGGCTTGTAGGTTTTGTAGAGAACGGACGTTCGCGCGAGGGCGGCGTTGACCTCCGAGGGGGACTGCTGCGAGAGCGTTGCCTCGGTGGCATATTGTCGTGCGCGGGTCAGAGCATGGGGGAGGACGCAGGGGGCCGACGAGGATGACGCGAGGGACGACGAGCCGCCAGCGTTAAGGGCAGAAATGCACGAGCGGAGTAGACATCGGGCGGAGAACATGAGGACGAGCTCGTCGTCGCTGCGGCAGCCGTCGTCGTCGACAGCTCAGCGGGGCGTGGACAGAGCTGGGAGCAGGTGCGAGCAAGACGCGCCGTGAGCGTCACGGTGCAAAAGTCGTTTGCCGGCGCCAAACACGGCGCGTCTCCCAAGCTCTCATCCAAACCGCGATCATGGTACGCTCTCCGCCCTCGCAGCGTCCAGTTTATGCGCTTCTGCTCACAGAAATATGTTCTATCATGCTAGGCGACCCAAATCTCAACCGGCACGTCCGAGTTGCGCGACATAACCAAGATGGAGCGGATAGGTGCGTCTCAGCCACCGCTCGTGTATGCGCGTCCTCACACCGGGGTACCCCAGGTGCGCACTCGCACATCCGCGGCCTCGGGCTTGACGACAGGTTGGAGCCGAGGGAAAACTCCCAGGGGATGGTTGGGCAGGCCAAGGCGCGAAAAGCAGCGGGCATGATCCTCAAAATGGTCCAGGAGGGGCGCATCGCAGGACGCGCCATGCTCTTCGCGGGCCCGCCGTCGACCGGTAAAACCGCCATTGCGCTAGGTGTGTATCCGCGTTATGTCTCCAAAGTATCAACTAATGGTTAACGCGTGTCTCAGGCATGGCACAGACTCTAGGTCCAGACGTTCCTTTCACCATGATCGCCGCAAGCGAGGTCTTCTCGCTCTCCATGTCTAAAACCGAAGCCCTCACCCAGGCATTCCGGAGAAGTATTGGTGTGCGCATCAAGGAGGAGACGGAGATCATTGAGGGCGAGGTGGTCGAAATCCAGATCGACCGAAGTCTTACTGGGGTGCGTCTTGAACCAGGGGAGACATACTGGTCATCCTGACGTCAAATATACAGGCAACGAAAACTGGAAAACTTACTATCAAGACGACGGATATGGAGACTATTTACGACCTTGGGAACAAGATGATCGACGCCTTGTCGAAAGAGAAGGTCACTGCCGGCGACGTGATCTCAATAGACAAGACGTCCGGAAAAGTGACAAAACTTGGCCGGTCATTCGCGCGGTCAAGGGATTACGACGCAATGGGGGCAGACGTGCGTGTCTCGCCCCTTGGACATTATGTCACCATCTAACCATATGCTCTTGCTCTCGTAGACGAAATTCGTGCAATGTCCAGAAGGCGAGATCCAGAAGCGCAAGGAGGTCGTCCACACGGTCTCGCTGCATGAAATCGACGTCATAAACAGCCGCACACAAGGTTTCCTTGCACTGTTCGCAGGAGACACCGGGGAGATCAAACCCGAACTCCGCAACCAGATCAACGCGAAAGTTGCTGAATGGCGAGAGGAGGGTAAGGCGGAGATCATCCCAGGCGTATGTTTAGCCCGCGTACCTCTTTCCCTCCCATGCTAAACTGCTGCGTCAGGTGCTGTTCATCGACGAGGTGCACATGCTCGACATCGAGTGTTTCTCATTCTTGAATCGTGCGCTCGAGAACGAGCTCGCACCCCTTGTTATCATGGCCTCGAACCGCGGCGTCGCCCGCATACGTGGGACCAACCTTCACAGCCCCCACGGTCTGCCTCCAGATTTGCTCGACCGAGTCTTGATCGTGAGTACGCAGCCGTACACGCCCGAGGACATCCAGTACATCATCAAGATCCGGTACGTTGCCGTATGCCTCCCATGTGGTGGCCATGTGGACTAAAGCTCCCGGACTATAGGTGCGAAGAGGAGGACGTTACTCTCACGGAAAAGGCTCTCGGCATCCTCACACGGCTCGCAGCGGAGACCACGCTGCGGTATGTGCTCAACCTCATTTCATGTGCACAAATGATCGCCAAGAAACGCAAAGCCGAGTCTGTCGACGACGTGGACATCCGACGAGCATACGTGTACTTCTTCGACGAAAAGCGCAGCGTACAATGGATCAAAGAGCAGCAGCACAGGTTGGTCTCGGAGGAGGGTGTCGACTTCAACGTCAACTCGCTGCCAGCGACTAAGCCTGTTGCCTCTGAGATCATGGATGAGAGCTGAGCGGAGGGTGTATAGAACGGGAGCGGCCCGTTGTTGTTACTGTACTGTATCTCGGTGCGTCATAGGACCTCGCTTTCTCAGTCCTGAGCATGCCGAGCTGATCGCGTGGACTGTAGACCATCTTGTATTGCAGGCTTGAATGCGATGACTACCTGACCGTCACACCGTTCGGATGTCTCGGCACACCTATGAGTGTACCTGATAGCATGCACATCTGCGCGCTTCTAGCCTCATCATTGCCTATCCAGACCGAGCAGCCTGGATTCCACGCGAGCGAAGGCCTCCAATACGCATGCTACCGTTCCATTGTACGTGTTTCGCCGCTCTAGAATGACGTTATCTCACCGCTGCGAGTCTCGAGCCCCACTGTGTCCGGTATTTTGCCGCTTCGACGACCTTAATGAGTGGAGCTTCTTCAACTCTCCAAGGCACTGTATGCCGCCGGCACTTCACCTTTGAATGCTTCCAGACCGCCGCCGAGAATATTCTCCAGACTATCGCCGGTGCCGAATCGGTCATTCAAGACGCAAATACCACCGTCGTGCCGCGCCTTTGGGATCCGTATCATAGCCGACAGGTCGCGCGAAGACGAGCGTGACCAAGGAGGCATGTGCCACCAGGTTCATGCTCGCGACGGCCTGGCCAGGTGATTGTGTTCGGAAGGTAGGGATCCAAATAGCAGCGTATCCCGCATGCACGTCGGTGACCGCCCCGTATCTGAACAGCGGTCAGACGGGGCGGCACGACCGAGGGATGGTCCCTCGTTCCTCGCGCCCGCCGACGTTCTCCCCGCGTCCGGGGGATCATCGAGCGTGTGCGTGGTCGAGGGAGCGATTGCTAGCGCGCACCTGCAGTAGCTCACATGCGCGGGAGAGATGCAGCGCGGGGACGTCGACTGACGCCGCTCGAGACATACTGGGCTTTTATGTCCCACCGCCTAGCGGGCGTGGCGAACGAGCACCGCGCCTAAACTGGGCCATCTCTGCTTGCCTATCTGCAGTCCGCTGCGTAGGGCTGACACCGTAGCTCTGGGACGTCGTGCCGCCGCGTCAGGTGTGTGGAGAGTGCGACTGAATGGGACCCGAGTTGGGGAACGGGCGAATGTATCGCCCCCGCGCCCGAAATACACGACTGAATGCGTATGTGGCAGGTTTATCCGTGCCAACCCCATGGGCTCGGTTAAACGTCGCGGTCGATTGCCCCTGCGCCTGCCGTTCCGAGTGCCAACAGCGAGATCTCTACGAGATTCTCCCTCGTATCAACCTGTCTGCGTCGAAACGCCTCCGCCGGCGAGCGACCGGGTATTGCGCCCGGGTTGCCTTTCCAGGCCATCTCCAAGCATTGGCGGCATGCGCGCACGGCGGCTTCCGCGGCCTGGACGCGCGATCGTATGCACTGTCGCATGGGATGCGAAGTGCCCCGCGCTGAACCTCCGCCGGTGGCGCCCAGCTCTGGCGATGCATGCCGAGACACATGCAAGGCACCGAGCCGTCACTTTTAGTGCAGAGTCTGTATATGAGCGGACGCGATGAACTGCACGCTCCCAACCCAGACCCCCATTGACCCGAACCTCAAGCAGAGTATTATCCGAAGTACGACGCTCGCACCCATGGTACGCAGGGCCCTCTCCCAATGCTGTGTTGCTCGTCGCTCACGCGGCGCCGCAGGTCTTCAGTAGCAACACTTCTTCGAACGACAAGGACCAATCTCGGTCAACGTTGAAGACTAGAGTGCAGTCGCGACTCCAGACCGCGTTGATGCCGGTGAATACACTCCCCTTGTCTGCACCGCTCCTGCCCCACCGAGCCCCGCTTGCGCCATCGAGAAGGACTGTAACTGACAACGGCATCCCCGCCTACAGAGACGGCACATTCAGTCCTCGACGGTGATCCTCCCCTCGGGGCCCCAGTCGGAATGCAGCACTTTGGTACGTTATCGCGCGTGTGGCCTTTCCCCGCTTGTCACTGACAGTCGTGTCTATCACCTTAGGTTGATTTCCCCATCGACGATGCTCTGCTGAAGCAGCAGATAGACGAGGAAGAAGACGTGCGTCCCACGCGAAGCTTCCCGAATTTCCCTACCTAACCCGTCTATTTCGTCTAGTACACCGAAGATTACATGCTGGATGCCGACAATTCAGCCTGGTCCACGGGAAAATATACGCCGTCGAAGGCGTCCAAAAGATACGCGGGCGCACGCATCGCGATGAAAAGCACCCTGTCGCAGGTGAGCCGCGATGCTCTCGGTCCCGACGAGTTGTGCCTTACGGCCGGCATTCATAGGACCACCTGCTTAGCGCGGACAACAGTGCCTGGGTGGCTGCACGCCCCTGTGCCGCTCAGACTAAGTCGCGGACTTGGTATGCCACTACCGGACGCCACCCGCAAGCGGCGCCAGCCTTTCAGGTGAGTGATGGCAGTTGCCGCCTATGTGCTACCGTCTCATGATAACGTTATAGGCACAATTGCTCGACCCCGAGGACAGGGCGTGGATGTAAAGAGCAAATATCGGGCATGACTGCTGGCGGTGCCGGTGCCCTTGCCGCAAGGACACTCTGTATATTTTTTCTCTTTCGTTGGGTGTAAGCTAGTATCTGAACTGTATAATGTAATTACAACCGTCTCTTGCGATTTTGGTCAGCTGTGTCCCACCTCTAGATCGTCAATATTCCTAAAAGGCGGCATTACTCAGTACTGGCGCCATAAGCCACATCCCTCAATCCCTCATAAGATTGTGCCACTCTGTTCACATCTACACCGCTCGGCTCATGTACCGATATTTGCTCGTCAGGAGATAGATTGCGATGCGTCCACCACTAGCACCTAACGCTATATACACTGCTCTCTGGTGGCGCGCGGCGTCAACTAACCAATGGGCTTTGATCGTGACCGACAGCCTAAGCCCGCGACAGAATCGGCACGCCACGAACCTGAACTATCAAGAGTTGTGGTCTTGTGAACACGCCCGGTCCAACGTCTCAACGAATGAAGGCCGCTCGGGTGCTGAGTGCCGCTCGTATGAAGCTAGGCTCTGTTGTGTCCATTCTCCATGCCAATCCGCAGGATCTGCCGGCACCGAAAGCAGCGGCGTTGGCGGCTTGCTACACGATGTGCCTCTTGCAACGCCAGAGCGCGCTTCGCCACACGTTCACGTGTCGCCTCTGGTCCCGCGAAGCAATGCGAATGCTGAACTGGTCCGTCGGTTGACGCTCGGGAGGAAGAAATGGACGGCTTGGCAGTCCACAATGTAGACGTAGTGGCACTTGGGCGTCCCTTTAAAATATTCAGACCACCGTTCGGTTCAGCACGAGGTTTTACAGCGACAGTGTGGCACTGGCTTACACATGCAGCGCATGGACGTTGAATGAAGGTGGTGTCGGTCGAAGGTGGACGAGCGCACACCAGGCCACCAGCAACTTTAGCAGACGTCCAATGGATTGCGATCGCGAGCACCGGTTTCAAGCCTAGCCATGATACAGAAGAGCGCGATATGCCAGTGAGCTGATAATGCGGATATCATCCTACTGAATCGCATCAGCCAAACTTCTCCTTCGCCATCTGCATGAACATGTCCATAGTGGCCCTGTCTTTCTGCCGCAACTCTTCAGCGCGTTCGCGTCCGGCGCCCATTCGATCGCCATTTTTCTCCGCGTAGCGCTGCCTGGCAGCCTCTCGTCGTGCGAGCCTACGCGCGCGTTAACACAAGACAGGCATAGTCTCGGCATCGACTGGACTTACTGTGCCTGAAAACTGTCCCCGCCGCCCATGAGGGTTGCATCGTCCACCTCGAGGCCTTCATCACCTTTCTCCCTGAAGGCGCGATTCGCCTCCCGCTGAACCTTCTTCTTCTCCAATTGTCCTGCGCGGCCGACCTCCTTCGGGCCGACCAAGTCCTCCACCCGCTCCTTCGCCTCCTTGCGTTCGCGTTTGCGCTGGAGATCGCGCTCTGCCGCGCGGTATTCTCCTTGAGCTTCTTGTGCGAGTATGCGGTCCGACGAAGACGGCATGGAAGGACCGAGGACGCGTCCGCCTGACGGACCTGCGGCCGGACGACTTGACTGAGAGCGGTTCCAGGTAGCACGGTCGATCTCTTCGCGCGCTGCACGCAATGCCTCACTGTCTGCCCGCGACGCCTTCTCCGCGAAGGACCATTTGTATGCCGTCTGGCTGCTTGCGCTGGGCACCTTGTCCACACCGGCATATATGGCCTCTGTGCAGTGTTTGTGTGAGCTCATCGTCTATCACGCGAGAAAGTAGCCACGTACTGGATAGTTTTCCTCTGTTCCAAGCCTACAGCAAAATATGAGCCGCCTATAAGACTACGCAGACCTTGATTCGCTCCGTACCTTCACGAATTTGCGGAAGTATCTGTACCCGAGTTCAGTGACCACCGCGCGTCCGACGCGACATGCTCACTTTCTGTTCCTCTCGCTGGATAGCTCGTTGAAGTACTACAAACGGATACCACACATGTTTGAGTGACGAGTTGCAAGATTGTTGGCCATGCTGGCTTACCTTGCCCTTCTCCTCCTTCAGCCACACCTGGAACTCGTCATTCTTGAGGAAGTAGTCAACTTCAGAGATCTCGGACACGCCGTCAGGTAATGCAGCCTTCCTTTCAGGGGAGCGTGAGCGAGAACGATCTCTGGACGGAGAAATAGAGCGGTCCCGAGATGAGGACCGTCGCCGACGCGAGGACATGATGGACGTCAAGAGCAAGTACGCGGACTACCTGGCGTCTATTCGTACTTAGCAGATCGCGCGGTTGTCTCAGCAGTCTGACGACTACATGGCGGCCTGCGCACTCTCACGTCGCAGAATTATGGCACACATCACGTAGTGGGTCGGACGTGGTTCTATGGCCGTAGAAATACAATGTTTCCACGTTATGCGTATTGATGCATGAGCATACATAGAACATGAGAGACGACAAGCATAGACCTCAAGACGGATGCGGCGGTGGAAGGGGCGTGGGCGTGCATGTTTTAGATGGTGGTCTCGTAAGGTACAGGTGTCATCGTCTGGGGCGCGTTGTCCTTTACGGAGACGGTGCGGGCGGTACGGGGGAGGACGGCCACACGCTTCAGGTCGATACGCTCTGGAAAAGTTACGTTACACTTCAGCAACGTATCGGTATCGACGAGTGACAACATATCTACTTACCGCCCTTGGCCTTCGCCTCAGCATGCGCAGCGTGGTTGGACTTGACACGGTCAAGGAACTCCTGCCTGCACTTCGAGTGCCGGATGTGCTCAACACGGATGTTAACGCGCTTCTCGATGTAGCGGTTGCCGACGACCTTGTTGATGATGACACCAACAGCGCGGGGGGTCACGTTGTAGATGATGCCAGTCCGTCTGCACGTACGCAGTTTTGTGAGCCGGGAGAAGGAGACATGCATTGTAGATGTGTACTGACCCGTGGTAGAACTTGTGGGGCATGCCCTTTTGCTGAGCAGCATTGGCCTTGATATCGACGATATCACCAATCTGGAAGTTGATGAGGTACGTCGACAGTTTAATGGGGCCGTGCTCTACAGGTCCATCCTTCAGCATTTCAGAGATCGGACGTAGGTTCAAAGCTCCGCACCCTTGAAGCCCCTCTTGAACATGTCGCGCGTACGCGCCCGGTAACCGAATGAGTGAGGCATCTTGAGGACTACGAGGAGATGAGCTCCGGGACGTCAAGCACAGCGAGCAGAGGTTACTAACGGTCGTCGGCGTTGTTGCTGGTTTCGACGCTATGCGATAGTACAAACGGTGTCGGGGCCGGAGGTTGCCGAGTGGCTGAAATCTACTGTACAGTTGTGGCGAGCGCCAAACCTTGCTTGTTTGCCGGAGTTTGGACACACCAGAGAGGAAGTCGGGACAGGCCAGCGCTAAGGCACCTCCGTCGTTTCCGCCATCCTCAAGAAAAATGCCCAGGTAATGTCTTCGCGTTCGTCGTGTGCAGCGTTGTGTTAACTGTTCTGTCCAGGGCCCCGCGGAACCACAGCAAGACGTGAGTCTCATTCGTCAAGATCCACTTAGTGGAGGGATGCACCGTGCTGATCAAAGCCGTGCCCCATAATCGCTTCGGCGATAATTTTGCAGCTACAAGGTCCCTCGTCGTCCCTTCGAGTCGGCTCGTCTCGATGCTGAGCTGAAGGTGCGTACACTTCCTAATTCTCCGCTGATCGAGATGCAAACCGTCGATCGCTTGTAGCTCGCGGGCGAGTACGGTCTCCGCAACAAGCGCGAGATCTGGCGCATTGGTCTCATCCTGTCCAAGATTCGTCGTGCTGCCCGTGAGCTCCTCAAGCTCGATGACAAGGACCCCAAGCGTCTCTTCGAGGGCAACGCCCTCATTCGCCGTCTCGTGCGCATCGGTGTGCTCGACGAGTCCCGCATGCGTCTCGATTACGTGCTGTCCCTGAAGATCGAGGACTTCTTGGAGCGTCGCCTGCAGACCCAGGTCTTCAAGAGCGGCCTTGCCAAGTCTATCCACCACGCTCGTGTCCTCATCAGGCAGCGTCACATCCGGTATGTTCAGACTTCTGCTGTACTAGGAACACTCGTCCTCACTCCCATCATGTAGCGTTGGCAAGCAGATCGTCAACGTCCCCTCGTTCGTCGTCCGTCTGGACTCCCAAAAGCACATCGACTTCGCCCTCACCTCGCCATACGGCGGTGGACGCCCCGGCCGTGTCAAGCGCAAGCGCGTGGCCGCTGCTGCCAAGAAGGAGGAGGGTGGCGACGAGGAGGACGAGGAGTAAACGCCAACTCACCACCATTTTATCGCTGTATGTTCATCATCTATGGGGTCCACCTCTGTATGGCCGCGTATGCAAAGTGTATGCGTTTAGCACATCCCAGCGTGCTATCACGCCCTGTGTACTATCAGGTTCAGGACTCGAATTGCGTTGCGGCGTCTTCCCTAAGGTCTATCTTGAGTTCGTCCTCAGAGCATGTGAGCACTGTGTGGTTACACGTGCATTGAGTACGATCGAAGTACGATGGGTCGCATACTGTAATACAGATACCGTGCGTTTCGCCTACCTACTGTCGCTCCGAGGATTCCAAGTCGGGGTACGGTACCTACAGATCGATGTTCAAGAATCAAAACCCTGACTACATTCGAAACCCAGCGAACACATGTATGCATCTTTAGCTCGAGCTTGCACTATGAGGACGACGATGTACCATAGCCAAAACATTCGCTAGGTGATTGCTATGTGCAGTCTAACACGTCTGCAGCAGCGGGCGCATGCCTGAACGATAAATCGTTTGAATGCTCGCACGACATGCCTCGAGCAACTCAAATAAATGGCGACGTGTTCTGCTGTGAGCGAACTATACCGATTTTCGTGGGCATAATGGATTCTTCTTTCGTTGCACAAACACCTTATAGATGTTGTGGTTTTGCGACGTTCATGAAGTTTTCTTGCACGCGATACCAGTACTGCTGGCCTGCGGAAGGAATGGCGAACCAAGAGCGCACAGTAAAAGTTGTGAAGAAAAAAGCATGTATTGAGCAAAGAACGACTACAGAAGACAAGCAGGAGGATGTTCCATGGTTTATGTCGACATGCTGCAGTATGGGGTTAATGGGCTGCAACACTTCCTATCCTGGGTTACTCTCGAGGGACCAGGACTCCGAAGAGTCACTGGCACTGTCTCAACGGTGGAGCAAGCTAGCGTCGAGCAGCGTGGCATATCCCTCTGGGAAAAGAGGAGAGACGCGAACCCGGGGGTTTATATACCCTCCGCCATACGGGCGTCTAATTAGTTCTCACGGAACGGGCGCTCGTAACTTTCTGGCGGGACGCCGGGTTGTGCGACCGACCTTCAATAATTCCAGCTCGCTATTCCTCTTAGACCCGAGCTCGACGTGGTGAACGATGTTGGGCACATATATGGCGCAGTGTGAGTCCCTCATTTCTCACAGTCATGCTTTGACGACCTATATCTTCTGTGCGTAGGCTCGCGTTCGCTCGCGTCGACGAGCACGGCACGCGCTGCCCCCCTCCACACATCCGCTGTCCTTCAGGCTATGTCCGCCCGCTCCCGCAGGACGAAGCTGACACTCAAAACGAACATCCAGCGGCGCGAGGAAATTGAACGCCAGGCCCAAGCCAACCGGCCGCACGTCGTGCTCGGTCACAAGTCTGGCGATGCCGCAAAGTGGACCTTCAGTGACCTGGCCAGCGTGATCATCACGGAGGAACAGGTCCTCGCTGCGCCCCTTCCCGGCTCAGACATTGAGCAGGGCTCGCTGCAGCTCCCGGAGTACACCAACTACGGCGTGGGGAAGGAGGAGCGGGAGCTGCTGTTCGACGTGTTGCCGGCCCTGACGGTGGAGACGCAGGTGCAGCTGAGCCCGAAGGCCCGGCCGGGCGAGGGCAGCCTGCCCCCGGATGCGAACGCGCTGGCGAAGATCGAGGGTGTGGCGGCCAACTTCGAGCTGTACAAGACGGGCATGTTTGCGAAGCTCATCGACCTGCGGAACGCGAACGCGCGGGGTATCGCGTACGAGAACCGCAGACGGATCGTTGCCGCGTTCTCGGAGGCGGAGAACCCGAATGACACGGGGAGGCCTGAGGTTCAGGGTGCGTACATTTGGCTTTGGCTGAGGGTGGACATAAGGTTGACACATTGCACGCAGCTGCCCTCGCAACGTACAAGATCCGTAACGTGTGGGCACATCTTGGCCGGTGCAAAAAGGACATTGTGAGCCGGCGTAGTCTGCGCAAGCTCATTCACGAACGGGCCAAAATCCTGCGGTACTTGAAGAAGGTAGACGAGGACCGGTACGATCGCGTGCTAGAGCGTCTGGGGCTGGAGCGGAGTGCTGTCGAGGGCGAGCTTGTGGTATGAACTACTATAGGGATCGAAGCTATTCACACCATCTTAATACGCATTCTACTCGCCTGCTTGTCCATGCGTGGCTGCGAAGCCCCCCTTTTAGCCCCACAGTGTGTGCCTGGGTAAGTAACGTCGGCAAGCACTTAAATGAAAGCGCGAAGGCGCCCCCTGCGTTGACATGCGACGCCTTCATTGCGTCTATAGTGTGCTACCTCTCATCTTCTGCTGTCTCCACACTCTGGCTGCGAGCATTGTACCCTGGTTGCGGCGCGAGCAAGCGGGGTATTCACTACGAGAGTTGCCTAATCGGGCGGGGTGAGCCCGGCTCGGGTGGCTGACGACGGTGGCGGCGGAGACGGCCCTCCCGCGCATTTCGCGCTTGACCGCGACAATAATCGACGCCTCCGCAGACTCAGCCCCGGGCACGGTCGAGATATAACCACGCAGACACCATGGCCCTAGGTGCGTCCTCACAGCACCCGCAGACATGCGAATCGTCACTCACTTCCGCTCCGCTGCCGCGCTAGTCTCCTCTGCTCCGGGCGCGATGGTAGACTTCCCGTCCTCCGGTCAGGACCTCCCTCCCAGTCCATCATCCCTCGATCCCAACTACCAGCGTCCGACGTACCTGCCGTTCCGTCGCATATCGCTCCCGTCGGCGCCGAACCTGCAGCACCGACACTCTATCGTTAGTACCGCGTCCTTCGACTCACTGCCCGAGGAGCCACATGGCGGAGCCCCCGTTACTCCTATGGTTATCCGGAACGCGATACGAGGTCCAAAGCACCGGCCGTCGTCCATGGACGGTGCAAGGAAAGCCCTACGGAGAAGGGAGTCGCGCATGGTGGACGAGCAGAAGGAGGCTAAACGGAGGAAGGTCATCGCTGAGTTCTACGAGACGGAGAAGTCGTACCTGGACGGGCTGGAGCTCATTCACTCTGTGCGTATATACCCCGCTTTCACTGCGACGGCGTTCCTGACATGCGCTGCAGCATTTCCTCACACCCATCATCAAGTCCCTCGATACCCCACAACCTCTGCTCGATCGCGCAGAGCTCACGTCAATATTCTCTAACTTCATCGACATCTGGAACCTGCATCGCTCATTTTACGTATCTCTCACCGCTTTCCTCAACTCTTGCGCATCCACCCGCACACATGAACTACCGCCGCCCCTTTCGCCCGTGCTCCTCGCGCATTTCCCCTACCTCTCCTTATACACGCCTTTCGTGAGCTCGTTTTCGGACGCCCTTGCCTCGTACGCCTCGCTTCTGAAGAGCAATCCCGCCTTTGCGGTGTTCATTGCCCAACAAGAGGCGGACTACCGCTGCGGGAAACTCAAGTTCCGGGATTGGCTCCTAACCATCGTCCAGCGATGTCCGCGATACCTCCTGCTGCTGAAGGACATGATTAGTTGCACCGACCCCGATGATCCTGAATACACTTCCCTGACCGCGGTCCACACTCTGGTGTCTAAGAGTATGTTTTCATTTTATCTCTCCATAATGAGCTGGGTTGACGTTCGCATACAGTCACCATGTCTTTGAACACCTCGCTACATACACATGCGCAAACGCTTTCGTTACTCGCTCTGCAACGCAACACCGTCAACCTCCCATTCCAACTCATCACCCCCGGCCGGACGTTCCTCAAGCGCGCCTCCCTGCTTCAGATGGAGGGCTCTGCGCCCAAGGAGCGCGAGTTTCTGCTGTTCTCGGACTGCCTCATCTGGCTCGCCAGCGCGGACGGCGACATATTCTCCGACAAGTGGAACGCCATCGCACGCTCTGGCGGCGGCGGCAATGGCGGCGGCGTCGCGGACATGCTCTACCGGACGAGGAGCGAGACGGCGGAGGGTGACGGGCTTCGGAAGAGGCAGTCGTTCCTGCAGCTCCGGTCGAACGCGAGCCCGAAGCGGAGAACCCGGCAGGCAAGCAGCGGCGTCGATGACAGGTGGGTGTACAAGGGCCATGTGGAGCTCGTTGACCTGGAGGTGGTCGTGAGTGTACCGGCAGCGAGCACTCCGGAGCGGGGGTTCGAGCTCCACAGCCCGCACCAGTCGTTTGTGATATATGCAGGTATGTCTATCATGCCGTGCACCGCTGCTTGGATGCACACTGACATGCCCCACAGCCACGGAGGAGGAGCGCGATGAATGGATCACCGCCATCCGGACGGCGAAGTCGTCTCTTCTGGTCTCGTTTAGTGTTATGCAGCTCAACTCGACCTTGACATCGTCGGCGTCAAATAACCACCTCCGACGTACGCTGCAGGCGTTGCCGTACGATCCGGAGGACTCATCGAAGCCGAGGAGAGGCAAGGTGGAACATTTTGTGCCCGCAATATGGGTTCCCGATGGCAAGACGGAGAGCTGCATGCGCTGCGGGCGGACTTTCGGATGGCGGAGACGAAGACACCACTGTCGATTGTGCGGGCGTTGTGTGTGCGGCGGGTGCTCCAACAAGGCAAGTACCACCGAGGTGTGACACATGCCCTTCATGCTGACCTCAATGCGTACAGACGTTCTTCATCGTGGATCCCAATGCCAAGGAGTCTTCCAAGTCCGCCCGCGCGTGCGAAGCGTGCTACGATACTGTCTTCCCCTTACTCGAGCAACCTTCCGAGCGTCAGGTGTCCGTCACCGCAGGGACTACGCACTCGCACTTCACGTTATCCGGCCTAAAGTCCATGCCCTCCCTCCTCCTAAACGACATGAGCAGCACGCCTTCCGCACTCATGGCGATCGACGTTGAAAGCCCACGGCGAGCACTCACGCGGATAGAGGACGCCAGCGAGTCCGCCACCCCAGAGGAGCCAAGCGGGCCTTCCGTCGCCGCCGTGCGTCTCAAGCCCACCCCGCGTCCAAAGAGCTACGTACAGATCCTCGAGGACTTCCATGAAGAGGGCCACGGCGCTGGTGCGCGCGGCGAGTACGCGTCACCTTCTCCTTCTGCGAGTCCGCGCGCGTCGCGCTTCAGCGAGCGCACGATGGACGAGACGCACGGCGTGCTCGACGAGCGCGACGAGGACGTATTCAACGACCACGGCCCCGGGCAGGACGTCGAGGTGTCCCCTGCGGACGATGGCGAGCGCAGCGCACCGACGACACCGCGCCGGGAGAACACGGCGCGGCGGCACAAGCGGTTCTCGCTCCCCGCGGTCGCGCTGCAGACGAGCCCGGTCACGGCGCGGGCGAGCGGTGCAGCTGACGCGCGCGGTCAGCGGTTCTCGCTCGTCCTCGGTAAGGGCGGCGGGGTTGCGCGCGCGAGTGAGGACTCCCCGAGCAGGCTGTTCCCTGGTCTGCGGCATAGCATGGCGGCGGGGCGCCTGAGCGAGCTCTTGGGCCGGGGAAAGGATACGTGAGGGCTTACGGTATGCCCCTCTCATCATGCGATTACGCAGTGCTTCTGGCTAGACGATATTGATAATGGCGATCTACGGACTGCGACGCGGTTCGGCGTGGTGATGCATTTTATATTGGACCGCAGCTCATGATGATGACCTTGATGAATGTACATTTGGGATACCACTTGCTCTGTAAATCGGCTGCTCACCTCGCGCAATAATAATGCCACTGTATCACTATAGGAATTGTCTCCAGTTCTATAAGCATGGCGCAAAGACGTTGTGTATCCACGGTCGGGTTATACTAGTACGTACTTGGTGGCCTCCGTTTTGACATCGGCAACCGTTGTGTACCAGCGCTTAATGTGTTGGACCTGGATCGCGAATTGCCACAACGCTGAGACCTGCCATCACGGTTCACGGCAAAGCATGGCTTGCATCTATTGCATCTGCGGCGACCTTGCTCCGATCTTCTCAGCAGCGCTGTCATTCGGATGACGCTGGCTGCGCTGCTGAGCCACCATACACCCATCGGTACGCCTTCGTGCTGGCGCTATGTTACGGCATATGTGCCAGTCTCCTCATCGCGACCACCATAAGCGCAGTACTCAAAGCAGAAATTTACTGTTGCATTTGAAGGTCCGCCCTTGTCCTGGATTTTTCGGTGAAAACCTCAGGCCGGAGCGTTGCAGACTCGCCCCATCTACAAATGAACAGCCCGAGCATGCGCAGCGCACCGGGCAGCCGTATTTTCTCTCCGCGGTACCCACCCATAGCCGGTTCCAATCTGCAGCTGACGCGTCCATACCCAACCCCGAGGAACAGCCCGCCTTCCAGATATCCGACGTACACCGTGGCGACCGCTCGACGTTCGGTCCAACAGCCTGTCAACAGAGCTAGAAGCGAAGCTTGCTGAAAACGGTATCCTACCTGCTCTTCTGAGCTGAACGCGAGGCTAATCGGACGCGCCGCACAACACGAGGGAGGACGCGCAGTTCTCAAGCGCCATCGGCGGCGAGCTGCATATTAATCCAGCATGAGCGGAGACGTCGCACCTTTGGCCCTCCCCACCATGCTGCCCACCTCCCTGCGCGAGAAAAGAGCGCCTCCCGCTAAGAGCTATCTGCGCTTCATGGCCAGGCGCTACCTCGTCTTCACCGTCGTCGGCATCGCTCTGCTTACGCTCGCTGGCCGCGTCTACTGGCCGCACGACCGGCCGTACCGTTCCAGCGACACGAGTTCCAGGAATCCGCTTGCGCAGCACCCTCCGCTTCCGCCGCTATATGAAGCCTACCACGAGGCGGAGCTGCGTCTGCCGCAACACCATTGGGATCAGAGGCGTCCGCGGGAAGAGGAGAAATTCCTATTTGTTGCAGGCCATTCGCGCAGTACGCTTGTGACGTTTTATCGTTATGGAGGTTATCATACTGACTATCAATGTTTTATAGGTTGCGGGTGGGGAAACGCCATGCAGGAGCTGCTTTTGAACGCGTACATGGCGTATAAATCAGGGAGATCGTATGCCCAGCCATACCCCTTTGTCTGGATGAGTACTTAACCCTGACTGCCAGATTTGTATTTTCCAATTACACCTGGAACCCCGACGGCTCGAAATATTCGGACTATAATGGGAAGAAGATCCCGTCATTGATACCGTTCTCTGCACTGATAGCAGGTAGGTGGACTTTCTATGGTTTTTGGTGGGTCCAATCCACTAAGCCGCCCGACCAGGTCCTATTGTTGGCGATAAATTTCCTGAAGGTGATCACACACCGCTGGCTGTGCACAGAGATTACTTTGACGCTATGTGCCCGGACAAGGTGACCTTCATCCGAGAGGACATCTCCGAGATCATCAGTTTCAAGAACTCGGCGAAGGAAATCACGGATGGGTGGCATGACAAGCTCGCGGGCGTAAAAGATCAATGCGTGCAAACGGCCATAAACTCGGGCCAGATCTACAACTTCGAGTGCGTGCCTTCCCTCTCCCTAAGGCCCCTGCGCCAACCATGAGAACTGACACAACGGCCCACAGCGTCTTCGGCGACCCCCGCGCGATGCTAGACATCTGGCCCGAGCTCTCCACCTCCCCCATCCTCACCCACTTCCGCTGGTCCCCCCTCGTCGAGCTCGCCTTCGACACCAACCGCGCCTTCTTCCTTCCCGCAACCTCCGCCGAGCCCTACACCTCGCACCAGCCGCACCTCACCAACGCCGAGCGGTACCCCGTCATCCCGGGCCTCATGGCGCTCCACGTCCGGCGCGGCGACTTCGGGGATCACTGCCGCTTCCTCGGGAGCTTCGCCGCCGACTACGCCGCGTTCAGCGCGCTCCGCGGCCTGCCCGACCGCTTCGCCCCGCCGCGCACGGGGAACGCAGAGGCGGACGCGGACGTGCACCGCTCTCATTGTTACCCGAGCGTGCGCGAGATCGTGGCGCGCGTAAGGGAGATAAGGGCGAGCGCGGCGGGGCAGGGCCTGCAGAGGCTGCATATCATGACGAATGGCGACGGGGTTTTCATTGCGGAGCTGCGCACGGCGCTGGGGCGCGACCAAGATTGGAAGATGATCACGAGCAGCAGGGACCTGTCGCTCAATTGGGAGCAGAAGTACGTCGCGCAGGCGGTGGATATGCTCGTCGGGCAGCGAGCGCAGGTGTTGATCGGGAATGGGGTGAGCAGCATGTCGCTGGTCGTCTGTTTATGGTTCGCTGCTGACAGTGGCGATTGTGTAGTTCTCGACGATGACGTCGAATATCGTCACGATGCGTATGGCGAATCGGATCCGGCCAGACAGTACGAGGTTTTGGTGATCGCCGGAGGAAGTTGGTTGTATCTTGGATGTTTGTAGAGAATATAATAGTAATATTGGTGAACATTGAGAAGGGACTGGGTGACATATGACCCTTTTTTCGGCGAGTAATGGTAACAAACAAAGCGATACTTTTAGCAGGAGTATGCAGAGAAGAGCGATGATAACTGCCACATTGGTCGTATGCGAAGGGGAGGCAAGCAGAACAAAACGGAGCGGAACGATAGCTGGATGAGACTAGGACCGGATTCTACACGAAAACCTGACGAGTCAACGGGAACGACGAAAGCAAAGATCTGTGGGATAGCAACGAAACATAGGATTCGACAGTAGATATATGCGGCACTAATGCATGCGCAAGATGCCGCAATTCGAGGATGAGACGAGAACGAAGAGCGGGAATGCAGAGGGGAACGAAGACGGGGAACGGAAAGCGAGAGCGTTTGGGAGAGCATAGGTGAGAAGAGGGCACGATCAGAGGGAAAGCAAAGAGATCACGACCGAGGGTAGTGGGCCCAGCTGTGGGGAGGAGCTCGGTGGCAAACACCTCTACGGATTGCCACCATCGCCACCGCTGCTGCTTCCACTGCCCTCCGCATCGCTTGTGTCCTGCTCGCGCTTGATATCCAGCTTGAATCGGCCGATCAAGCAGGTATCATTGAGCGGCGAGAATCCCTTGCCCGCGGGCGGCATCTTCCACTTTGCTTCCAGCTCCTCAGGATCCTCGGCATAGTACGCCTCCACCTCCTCAGGGTGCGAGGCGAAGTATCGCCCGACGCAATCATATTCCGAAATGGGTTCGTCGGCCCCCTCCTCCCTGCGCCTCCTTTCCTGGGCTTTCCAGAGGCAGAGCGATGGGACAGGGAATGGGAGCTCTTTGAACGGCTTAACGTCGATGGACGAGGAGTCGACTATCCGCGGATTCTGGAGATGGATGCCCTTGTACCCATCCTCGGGCGTGCACATGAAGATCTCGTGATAGTGGGTGTGCTTGCGCCTATGGTTTCTCTGGTTGTCGTCGCGTACACCAGCGTAAGTGCAGCCGGGCTTATCGCACGGCACAGCTAGCCCCCAGACGTCAGCGACGAACGAGAGACACAGGGGTAGCACTCACGCGCGTCGTATATGCCATTGCCGTGAATGGTCATGATGTGGCGATTGACGTGGTCGCGCTTCGTAAACGCTTTCCTGCACGTCTCCACAGGACAGATGTGTTTCCGGCGAGGGTCGTCGGTGGCTCCAGCCTTGGGGACGAATCGCCCCTTCGTACGCTTCGTGAGCCCAGGGACGGCCTCCGCCAACTCCTTCCTGTGCGTCATAGTATCACGGAGTGTGTCCTCGGGTTGTCCGTCTTCCAGGCGGTGCCATTGGCCATGTTGCTTGTACCAAGGTTTGCCGTCGTACATAAGGATGTCGTCCGGGTCGACGTAGCTGTGTTCGGGGTTGTGCTTGCGTCGCGCACGATAGGTGCGGCGCGGCTGTTCGTGGTATTTTCGCTCAGGGAGGCCACGAGGCACAACCGCCGCTTCCTCGGATGCATCACGGGAAGAATCCGCGGGCGAGGCGCTCCTGGGGAGCGGGGCACGGAACACAAATGATATGGGCTTGTCCGACTCTGTCAAGATGGGCGGGCCACCCTGAGAATGGCGGGGCTTCAGTGCAACGCGTGGCGACAGAGACGATGCACAGTACCCATAGCTCTTCACGCTCTTTGTCAAAGTACTTAGGTGCGCAGTGTTCAGGCATGGCGGCGGAGCCTGTAGACGCAATTCACAGCGCTGAGTGTTTTGTGGGCGCACGGGAACGGTCTGTGTGTGCACTGGGGGAGTGTGGCGTCAACTGCTTTGGGTATAACGGGGCCAGACAAGTGCACTCACCGCTGCAACGATGTCGAATATTGCGCGCAGTTCGAGCAGTTCGCTGCAGGTATGGCTGAGAGAACGCCACCGATGGTGGTTGGTAGACGCAAGGAGAGAACGTGCACGGCGCACGCCGAAATAACCTAGTACTTCGCTTACGTAATGCTAAGCGGTCGCCCGGGCCGTCCCTCTTTCACGCGTTGTGGTTTGTGTGGGACGCCCATCGTCCTTCCTTTCTCACCGCGCTCACTTGTCTTCAGGGCCCTGACATACGCCCACTGAGATTATTCTGGGCACAATTCCGTCTGCTTTATCTCCTTGGCCGTCCACGCTCGCTCTGCAGTGACCTCAGGCCGCTGATTATACTGCTGAAAAGGGCACCAGGATCAATCTGGCATAGGTTTTACAAGACGCGTCGTTGAAAAGAGGTTGGACCATACTGTACCCGCCAGACGTTAGGCGATGTCCCCTGTCCCCGAGGCCTCGGTCGATTACCATATATGGCAGGTCACCTGCCTTATATAGTATACGACCTTCCTTTTCGGGTGTAGACGCTCGTCTAACCCCTAGCCTAGGGGTCCATCGCTTCGCCTAACGTCTGGCGGGTACAGTAGAGTGCACGGGATAGTGGGGATCTGGCCTGTATGCGGGTGTGCTCGATAAAGGCCACGAGTTGGTCAGCTGGTCGCTCCATCAAGCTTTGGCTACAGAGAACATGCACAGGTCTCCCAGGACATTAGCCAGCCGGTGAATTCGGAAAGTTGCGCCAGCGACTTCCTGCGCCCAACCTATCAGCATCATGAACAGCGGCCGCCGAACAACTTCGACCGACATGACTCGCAATTGACCCTCCTGACATCCTGCGAAAACCACGACGGCGATTGAACAGCCAATCATGACGGCGAGGACGTTGGGCGGCGTTCTTAACAATACTGGTCGCCGCTCGAGACCATGCCGTTCATCACCTGCCCACATACTTAATGTACATCGCACACTGGCATTGACGACGTTTGTCCGTCATGACCCATGTCATTCAAGTCCGCAGACCCAAATGCTTCGACTTCTCTAGACCTCGGCCCTCTATGGCGCCTACCACGCCGGGCCGATACGTGTACAGATATGGCTATCCGCTTGTTCTGCGCCCAAGGCAGGGACGTCCAGTAGCGGCGTGGCACTCATCCGAATCATCTATCCCCGGCGCTTCTATGTCAGAAGAGAGCGGCAACATGGCGCTGGCATGTGCGACGGTGAGTCTCGCCCGCATCTTTGGGGGCTCGTTCCGTGATGATTTTCTGACATAGCTGCCGACTCACGTAAGACGTTAGTCAAAACTGTCATATGAGGGGCATTCCGATGTGCTGACACCCCATTCGAAGGTGTGTGTGAGGCTTCGTGATAGTTACGAGATAGACGTGCTCTAGTGCGTACAATTTTCGATGGGGACAGAATTCCGTCCGGAGCGACGGCACAATCTTTGGTACTCAACTTTTCAATGTATGCGCTACATCTGGGCAACCTCAATCACCGTAAGAACTTTCATAAATCTCTGAAAACTGATTTATTGAACACAATTCCTTCTACAGATCGTCAGCTGGATCACCACAGCATCTTGGTACGTTCTTGAGTTCCGCGCGAAGCAATTCTCAGCCGCATCTGGGCCGAAAGCCTGAGTACTTTCAGCCATACACGGAATCCCGGATAGGTTTATCGTGGCTCAGGAACTGCCATCGGCCGTAGGATTGTAGATGCGGCTGATCTATCGTATTCTGCCAGAAGCCTCTTTCATTGCATCTGGTCCAGAGTACCGGCCAACTCACCCCAATTTTGCAGAAGTTGAGTCGCTGTATCCGTCGTTATCAGAGCACTAAGACCGTAGAAATTTAGGGACTTCAGGTACGCCTTCTAGACAATATCCGTCTGCACCTTCGACGCTCTCCATGCTCGCCCCTCAACCATCTTCCGCAACATTGTCCCCTCTCATCTCCGCCGGCGACAAATTCGAAGATACCGTGCAGGGTCCCCTGCATCCCTCCTACTCTTCCAAGCCTCTTCTCCTTCATTCAGCCGCTACTTCCATCCCCACTCCGTCTCTTGCGGAACCCGTCGGGGTCGGCCGACCACCGCCCAGGGCACCCACACGCGCCCATCCCCGCTTCTCTCGGCAATGCCCCGACGAGACCACTCGCAGAACGCACGAAGGCCAACAAAGTGCTTCTCTGGCCCCTCTTTGCGCTGTGTCTAGAACTCCGCGAAGATTCCGAAATCGCTCCCGAGGCAAACAAGCTTCCATTCTCGGCTGTTCCTTTGTGGTTCGAACTTCAACGTTCAACCTTCAGCACTAGTCGCCGTGCGGGATGCTTATTGGCAACTCGCGCGGTCGTCCGCCGTGCAATACCTTCCGCCGTGCAATACCGCCCGCCGTGCATTTTTACGGCACGCTTCGAAGCACCGGGTGCTGGTTCTGCCTGGCGCTTCTTCTTCCTGCAAGACGGCCACAGGTCAGCACGCAAGGTTCCCGCCCCGGATCCGACCCGCAACCAGGCTGTATTCGGAGCCTCAGGGATGGCAATCTGTACATACTGTGGCAACGGCCTCGACCTCGAACCAGCTACCCGGCCTCATGTATCGCAACCTCCATCGTCGGTGCGAAGACGACCACGGAAGCGTCTCGAACCGTGACGGCGGACCCTGTATCTCGGAGTCGACCTGCAGCTGCTGGGCCTACGGTGCGATGCAGGTGCGGCTCGGTGCTGGTTTCCGCGCGCTGCCGTCCAGGGTTCTCAGGCGGACCGTTGGGCGGCGACGGCGTATCGTTGGTGCTGTAGATCTGATCCAAAGCCTATACATACGCATCTCCATCGGGTCGCCGGGCCTGTTGCCTGTTGCCCTGTCGCCTACTGCTCCCAGCCTGCTCGTCGTAGCAGCACTCCGACCAACTGACCGGAGTTCAGACCGCTCTGCTGCTATGTGCAGCTGAGTGCTACTAGCCGCGCGCTGCGGTCGTGCTTGTGATCGCGTGCGATCCTGATCTCATACAACATCTCATACAACCGCCGTCAGTTATGAGATCGTCGTGCCCCCCGGGCCGGGGCCCCGCTCCGCAACTGCGAGGAATGTCCGCGCTCGTGCGGCCCATTGAGGCTACTCCGAGGCGTGCGTTATCATTGTCAAGGTCAAGGTGTGAGCCGCGCTGTGGCGTCCGTCCGAACCTTGGCGCCGCATCTCGATTCTCGATGCACTATATAGCGGCTGCGCCGGCTTTCAGACGGATCGAAGTTTGGATGCAGCGCGAGATGAAGCAGGGTCGCAGTGCGGGAGGCCGTTGCGATGCGTGCAGTCTAGTGTGTGCAGTATGAGATTCGCCCATAGCACTGAGCAGGCGGCGCGTGTTCTGCGGGCGGCTGCAGTGCGCGGGCGTCCGTGCAGACATTGAGGGACCCGTTCGGCGACTAGGTGCCGGGCCAGTGTGTTACTGTACGGGAACGGTGCAGCTCCGAACGGTGCTTGAGTTTACCACATAGCATAGTCCTACCCCGTAGCCTGATCACGATAGAAATGGACCGTTAATTTGGAGGGAGCCAAGCCGTGCGCCGCGCAGCGCATTCTCTCTTTCGAGAAGAGCTCTATACATACGGGGGTGCCCGTCCAAGCGGCTTCGACCCAAGCGGCCGTACGCTTCAGCTCGCGCACCGGCACCCCAAATATTAAAGTCGGTGGCGAGTTCGCCGCCGGCCGGTAGCCTTCAGGCGTCCGTGTGCACATGGCCCCCACCGTGACTTCCGGCCGCGACCTGACAGGGTGTGGCGCATCATACGGAGAAGCAGGTGTTAATGAACAAACGCCCTCGGGCTGCCCGCGCGCACCCCCGGGCGAAGCACAAATGTCTACCGTATACGGCAGGGGCACCCTGCACGCAGTCGACGACCCGGGAGGCGATGCAGCCGCGTCCTTACGTCACAGCGAGGGCTACCGGAGCTCGCCCGCGCACACTATGGGTGAATGGGTGAATGGGAACGAAGGCACCCGGCGTCTTGCCTGGGAGCCCCACCTTGGCAGAGGGTGCGGCGCGGTACGGCGCGGCCGATCACTGTGCGTTCGGAGAACAGTAGGGTGGCAGCGGTGGGTAGGTGCCCCAGGGCAGCAGCCGCGTCTCAGACGCAGAAGCGCAAGGGCCGCGGGGCGATCGATGATGCAGCATACGCCTTTGGGGTGCGCAGACGCAGAAGCGCGAGCCGTGCGTGCACGGCGTGCCCGGGCGTGCTCGCGCGCGCGGGTGCGGAACGCCGGGCGGACGGAGCTAGGGCGACCGCGTATCCGAGGACCGCTGGCGAGGCTCGCGTTCCCACCGCGCACGCGCCGTGGGCGTGCGGAGGCCTAGTAGTAGGGAGGAGCGGAGGCGCAGGCCTGGGGCGAGGTGTAATACGCCATGCGCGGGCGGCGACGGTGCAGCGCGCGCGGGACGCTCGTGCTGGTTCTGGGCGGACGCATCAGGCGTGAGGGGGCTTCTGGGGGACGCGGCGCGATGCGCGGCGTGCGGCAGGAGCTCCGGGGGACGCGGGGGAGGTAGCGGGGCCCATATGGCGAAACATGCACAGACATATTACGTGCGGCGGCGGAGCGAGCGTGATGATATTCAGATTCGGGACGCGGTGGGTACGTACGTGCATTGCGGGATGTTCGCGCGCGTTCATTCCCGGGGCGAGCGCGAAGAGAAGATGAATTCGCGGGCGAGGGTATGAAGAGCGTAAGAGCTGTCGTCATGGGATGGGCCATAAGCGAGTTGTGGAGGAGTCGGCGTGGGAGGGCGGACAGAAGGGGGATAGCGAGATGGAACATTGAATTCGACCAGGATCGGAGATTGGCCGAGGACCGTCGACCAGAATTCGGAAAGTTTAGATCGCGGGGAAGATCGCTCTCGCGCCGTAAAGCGTATCGCCCCCGACAAATCGCGCGTACGAAGCGGGGCGCGGCTCGGGCTGGTCGCCGATAAGGGCGCGGGCGGTGTGTGTGAGCTCGGTGATGACGGCGGGGGCGGGGAGAAGAGACTGGGCGTGGACGGGGGAGCGGGAGCTGCGGGCGAGGCTGGGCGCAGCAGGCGGTGGAGGAGCAGACGCCCGCGAGAGGCGTGGGGCGTGGGAGCGCGGGGCGGGACGGGGGACCGGGGCTGGGACGGACAACAAGGCTACACAGAGCGTGGACAATTCCCATCCGGCGTTCGGTGGCAATGCGTGCACAGAACATAGCCCAGGAGCCCCGGCTGTGCGTCTGCATGTCTCCCGCCTGTGTCCCTGCACCGTCCCGTAACGACGTTTGACGACCATTCCCCTTCTCCTTCGCTTTCTTGGCCCAGGACCGCCAGCGGGCGCAGGCGTGCCTCCCCGTATTTACATCCATCCATCCCGCCAGGCTTGGCCGTGCGTGCCCCGCCCCCACCGTGCATCGCCCGACCCGTGCACTGCCCGTCGATCTCCCTGACGTGCTCCGAGCCCGACCCCAGGCGTCTTTGCCCGCCTGGCCCTTCCTATTTCTGCCAAGAACGTTCTAACGACTCTTACGACCTCGACGTCCCATTCCATTCCAAGCCCTTCCCCAGGCAAACTCCGTTGCGCCCCGTCCGTGGCCAGCCCTTTGCGGCTCTTCTCTGCTATCGCACACCTCTTTGTTGCCTGCGGGATCACGCGCATCCGCCGGCTCGTTATTTTTCTTTTCGTCCCAGACGTGGTTCCGGATTCATAAAGGCTCCAGCCCACCAGCCCTCCTCGATCACTTCCGCCGCCCGTTCCTGAAAACCCAGTCTGCGCATTGTCCGCTCCCCATTGGTTTCCAACGGTGCGTAACCCTTACCGCTTTCGTCCCCCGATCTCGTCTTTCTCGAATCGGCTCTTAAGCCTCTTCTGGTCTCACCCCTTCCGCCCACCCGCCCCATCTTAGTCCAGACCGCCCAGCCCGTGCTGACCTCCGCGCTTTATATGCTTGCAGGTCCTCTGCATGTACCACCACCACCGTCAGCCGCTCATGGATGTCGCCACTTCGTTCCTCATGCAGTTCGCCCCGCCCCCGCATTCCTCGCCTCCGCACCCGCAAGCCCTCCATTACAACTACTTCGATCGCGCGGCTGACCACTCCCGCCGCGTCCCGCTCCAGTCCTCCTTCGTCCGCTCGTCCGCGCCCCGCCAGATGCAGCACTACGCGCCCCAGGCCATGCCCTCGTCCTACCGCTCGACCTTCTCCATGGACTCCTCCTCGTCCTCCGGCACCGGCTCCTACGGCCACGACGGCAGCCCGCTAGGCTCGCCGTACGAGAACGCGGACCTCCAGCCACCCGCAGTCAGTGGCGGCGGGCAGCCGTTCCCAGCGGACGCCTACCCGCACTCGTGGCCCCAGGTCGCGCAGCAGCCCCCGAGTCAGTACCAGGACTCCTACGCTGCCGGCTCGTACGAACTGCCGTCCTCCGAGACGTCGACGTCCGCGGCCGATGGCAACATGATGCAGGGAGTGAAGACGGAGGACAGCCTCGAGTCGTACGGGAGCGCCGCCGGAGGGCTCTACATCGCTTCGTACGCCGACCAGATGCAGAGCGCCGCGTCCATGCCCGACCACCAAGGCTCGCTCCCCACCTACGCCATGAACCAGTATTCCCCAGAGGTCGTCTCCCAGCAGTACGGCTACACCCCCGCCGACGCCCAGCCGCACCACCCGGGCGCCGATGTGGCTAACATGTCGTCGTACCTCCTCACCCAAGCGCACCTGCAGTACCCGGAGGAGGACACCCCGCGCTACGTGAACCCCACACAGGTCTCGCCCATGTCGCCATACGCACAGCTGCAGGAGCTGCCGCAGGACCAGAGCTGCGACCCGCGTTTCACGCTCGCGGGCGGCCTCCACACGGTGCACGGGGGCGCCAGCCCCTCCGCGTTCACCGACTTCGACGTGGACAGTGCCGCGAGCGGCTCGCCGTCGCTCGCCAGCGCCGCCACATCCGCGCCCATCCCGGTGCCGGCAGCGGCAGCGGCCGCCCAGCGCAAGCGCCAGCGCGCGGTGAGCTTCACGAGCAGCTCGTCCGACGAGGAGCTGCAGCCGTCGAGCGGCGAGAGCGAGCACGACGAGGACGACGAGGGCGAGGACGACGACTACGTGCAGCAGTCGCCGCGCGCGCGCCGGCGCGGGCTCTCCGCGTCCTCGACGTCCCCGTCGACGTCTACCGGCTCGTTCTCGATGGCGCGCCGCCTCGCCGCGCCGGTGCCCGTGCCGAACCTCACGAAGAAGAGCCGCGGGCGGAGGGTGCCCACCGCGCAGCAGGTTGGGACGCAGGGCGGGCCGCAGAAGGTGCGCTTCTTCGTTTCGAGTCCCGCTTCTCCCTGCGGCTGCTCACACATCATTGCATTCACACAGCGCATGTACATGTGCAAGGTCCCCGGATGCGGGAAGTGCTTCGCCCGCGGGGAGCACCTCAAGCGCCACGTCCGGAGCATCCACACGAACGATAAGCGTAAGTCCCCGTCCGCTGTGTTTTTGCGTCACCGTGCACGGTTGCTGATGACGAGCGCAGCGCACAAGTGCCCGTACCCGGGGTGCGAGAAGGACTTCAGCCGGCACGACAACCTCGGGCAGCACATGCGCGTGCACAAGGGCTATACGATGCCCAAGGCCGGCCCGCTCTGATGATGCGCGCGCGCGCACTGCGTTTTCCATTTTTTTCTTACGTCCACCGTTCAACATGGGGTCCACGGGTCCAGTCCAGTATGGGTTAGACGGGGGCGGCCTGCGCGCTGCAGCGCGCCGCCCCCGCAGCGCCGGTGCTCCGGCGTGTCACGTCTCGCGATGAATTTCCTTCTTACGGCCTTTCAAGTCTTTCTCTGCCTCTTTGGCTCCTCTGCTTTTTCTCGCCTTACCCCTTCTCCCCCACCTACCCTGTGCATCATTCCACCCCCCACGCCTGCGTTTATCCCTCGGTTTACACGATCATTATTCCCAGTCGGTCTGCTCCGTGTCTCTCTGTCTGTCTATAGCCCCATGTACCATGTTTAGCTGCCGGTGTATCGCCGTGTATCCCCCTCCGGACTCTGGATGTATCATCTGCCTGCTCTGTATCGTCTACCACCCCACCCCCGATGTATTCTTATCCGGAAACGTGTTACAGTATGCGAAATGCCAGCTTTATGCCCATGCTCTCAAACGTCACTCCTCCCAGTCCCCACACGCGAATATTGCAACCCCGGCCGCCCGCTATGATCTGTGCAGTCTGTCAGCGCTGCATATGCCGATCACTAGCTAGTGCGCGACGCGTGAGCCGCGTTACGAAGGCGAAGAAATAAGCTCGTCCATTGCACACGCCAGATCTGGCGGTCCCGTGCGCGGATCCCCTGTTTTCAGTCAGCCCGCCACCGCTTTTTCGGTGCCGCGGCTGGGCAGCTGTCAGCCCCGCCAGCAGCCTGAGTACGGTTGGCCCGCCCGATCCGCCGCTCGCCCCGCGCCAGAAGCCCAAGCCCAAGACCACCCAGAACGCAGCACGCACGCATGCACAGTCGCGTTCGTGCTGCGCCGCCGACGGTCGTAATACAAATTCACACCGACAGGGAGACGGGGCTCGAGCGACGAGGCGCATGTGCATGTGCGTCATGGGCGCCGTCAGCGGCCGCGACGAGCTAGAACGGGTGATTTGGGGGCGCAGCTGCTCAGCTGGACGCGGACGCGCGCATGGGGTGCGCCCGGGTAGCAGGAACTTCCAGCGGACGACGCGGCGTGCGATCGGCGACGTAGATCGGCGGCGGGGCTCTCGAGAAGGAACCGCGCTCAATTGGAGGCTGGCCCGTGGCAGCCAGCACTCCCGAATTTTCGAATATTCGACGTTTCTGGGAGGGACGCAAAGGAAGGAACGAGTTGCAGGGCGCACCGCCTCGCGGATAAGAGGCGTGCCCCCCGATCGACGCTGTCAGAGCGGGGGACAGAGCGATCGGCGTGCACATTATGCGATTGCGATTGCTTGTCAGCACGGGCTGGGGGGCGCGTGCACCGTCCGGAGAGGCTGAGTGTGGCGGTCACGCCGCGAACTTGTAAGCCGCGTCCGCCCGTCACGTTCGTCGGGGCGGCGCGCCCTTGGTGCGCGAGAAGGCATTGCCCCGCCCGCCCCAGCGGTTCTGCGGCTTCGTGTGGGGTCAGCACGCGTACGGGCTTCTTTGTTGTGCGCGCGCCACCGGTCGTCGGTCGATCGTAGGGGGTACCTTCTCTATGAATTTCCGTCGCATGGCTGGTGTAAACGGTTGAATGGCCTTCTGGAGGCTCGATGGTGTGCCGCCGGGTGGTGCAACACGCATCAACCGCATACGTTCTTGTCAGCCACCGCCAATGCACCGGGAAGGTGAACCCTGAGCAGAGGTTCGAGAAACGCAGAATGTATTGCGGACAGCGGAGCATGGGAGCGGCACGGCCCGCCCGCGAGCACTAGCTCGTGCACCCGCCCTCGAGCTCCGCCCGCCCTCCACCAGTGACATCCGCGCAGTCCGTCAGCGTCGGTGTGGCCTGCCTCTCGGGCAGCAGCCCGCACGGCACGGAGGATCGAGCGTGCAACGCTCACGTTTCTTTGTTCCCGCCCCGTCCCGCCCCGCCCGGTGAATTTAATTGTGCAAGCTCGATTGCATTTCCCGCCGCCCGTCCCCGCGTCCGACTGCAGCGCACGCACGTCCCCGACGGAGGTGGCTGGCACCTGGCACCACGGCCAGCCCCGCACGGTGCCAGCCACGGGCCAGCCGTCTCCCCGATCGGGAGCCCACAGCTCCCGGATGGGGGGACCCTGCAAGTCCCTCCCGCCCCGGCGCGGCGCGATCGGGGAGCGATCCCGTGCCTCGCTGGCCGCTGCCGGCGCGTGACGCGGGGGGCTTGGGCTTGGCCGCGTGCGGGCGATAATTGACAATGATAATTATGCCGGGGCGTGCCCCGACGCCTCAACGTTCCCCGGGTGTGTCAGCCCGCGCCGGCGTCGGGGCGGGGTGTGGTGGCCCGACGTCGACGACGCCTCCATGGGCCGTAATGGGCCGGCGGCGGCGGCGGTGCGAGTGCCTGCGCGCGGCGCACACTGTTTATCGGCGTGAATCTTGTCCCCGGTGGGGGTGTTCCTGGGCGTCGGTCTCACTTTGCCCTCGAGCTCTTCTGACGGTGCGCGTCGAGCCTGGGGGGCGGTTTGGCTTTCGTGGCGCGGCCGGTGCCTCGGAACTGGGAAGCCTCTTTTTGCCGTCGCCCTGAAAACTCCGCGGTGCGGGCCTTGCGAGATCGTCATTGGGGGCCCAGCCCGGATCACCGTTTGCCTCATTGTCGTCGTCGTGCGCGGCTTTCGCTGGCTTTGTTGGCCCGGCGCGTCGTCGTCCCGCTTGGTACGCCGGACCTGATCGTCCTGTCCGTCGGGCGTCGCGGTCCTGGAAATGCACTACGCGGGCATTCGCCCGGCGGTGTCTCACCTTTGCTTGTCCAATGCCGTAGCGCAGCCTGTGTGGCCGATCGCCGGCACATGCGCCTTTTGCTCGCAACGCGCCCGGGGTGCGGCGGGGTGATAACGGGTAATCGTACATTGCAATGAATTACTGTGGTACAGAGCTGCTATGGTATCCTGTAAAGCGAGGAAGCGGAGGCTGCATCAATGGGCCGCGCAACGCACCACGATCAGAAGGGCAGAACGGACACGATCATCAAACTATACTCACATTGGGGTAGGAACTGCATAGCTGGCGACAGTGACGACCAGCATCACCGCTTGGACACTGGGGACACGGTGAAGAGACGAGCCGAGAAGAGACGAAATGGGTTTGGGTCGCTGGCGGGGATGGGACGTATGCGGCATAGACAGGTGGTGGTGGGAGGCGCCGAGACGGCAGATCGAGTGGTCGGCGAGACGGGAATGGAGATGCTCGAACAGGTAGGATCAAGAGAGCGTGGCGCTGTTAGCGCTATGTGGGTAGGGCGCGCCTCGAGGCTACGCGTCGTCTGTCATGATGGCGAAGAATTCTTGTTCGTTGATTTCACCATCCTGGTCGAGGTCAAACTCATCTATCATGGCCTGGCTAAAAGAGGCGGACATGTTGGGTTAGTACAACGGACTCATGTTTGAGGGTGCTTTAAGATATGGAGAGGCCAAAGACCAGTAGTGCACGGAATAAACCGGACCGGCCGGTACTCACAGCTCGTCGTCCTCTAACCGATCTCCAATCTCCTTTGCAACGCGTCGCAGATTCCTTAGGCTGATCTTGCCGGTATTATCGTCATCAAAGAGCTGGAATGCACGTCGGATCTCCTCCATTGGGTCTCGGGCCAAAATGCGTTCGCTCACTGCGGGGAGGGAGCATATATTCAGGTCGGAGTTGGTTGAGATATAGCGGATACATTCGTTAGCAAAACGCGTCGAAAGACACTCTGGCATGTCTGTGTTCAATAGAAATACGCACTGATCTTGGCAAAGTCCTCGAAGTCCATCAATCCATGACCCGACTTGTCGTGGTCGCGGAGGATCTTCAAGACCTCGGCCTTCTTGAGGTCGAATCCCAAGGCGCGCATGGCGACCTTGAGCTCATGGTAGTCTACACATCCGTCCTTGTCGGTGTCGAAGAGCTCGAACGCCTCCTTGATCTCCTGCTTCTGCTCGTCCGTGAGCTCGGGGCGTGTGCGCGACCGACGCGCGGTGGCTTTCTGAGCCGCAGAGGTAGAGTACATCGCAAAGCAGTCCAAAGGTATTCAAGACGCGTGAATTGAGCTTTCCAAGACGCGTCGCAAGGGAGGTTCGCGCGAGAGGGGTGGAGGACGAGAGAGAGGAGGAGTGAGACGTGTTGGACGCGTCGACGCGTTCCGCAAAGGTCGGTGTTGTTGTCCACGTGGGAGCCACGCGACTCTGACCCTAAGCTAGGGGCGCACAAACAGCCGCGCGGTGATTGGTATCATCTTATCTTATCTACCCCGCATTCACGCTTAAAAGACTGGGCGCGGCCGCGGCATGTCGAAGACCCGACTGCAAAGATGATAAGCACGGCGTCCTGCGTGCTGTTAAGAGCCTGCCGTCCGCAAAGACATCCCTTTTACCCCCTTCTCGTCCGCTCAGTGCAGTCCCGCTACCAACTCAACTTTCATACCTCCGCAAGAAGAAACATGGCTATTGAGATCGCGCCGCTGCCTGTGCCTCCCACTGCTGATGCCGCGAAGCTGAAGGACTTCGGCCGGGAGGTCAAGGGCGTGAACCCGGGATCTCTCTCTCCGGAGGAGTTCAAGGAGGTCCATGATCTGCTGTACAAGGTTCATACAACGACAAAAGGTTTGCGATGTGCGTGCTGATGTCTACGATGATAGCATGGTGCCCTCCTTTTCCGAGACGTCGTCCTCTCGCCCGAGCAGCAGTTCGCTCTGACCAAGGTGAGTAATTCAGAAATCGTACCACCACCGGAGGCTTCAACTATGGCGGCACAGGCGTTCGATCCCACATCGGAAAGCTACGGGCATGGGAATAAGAAGACGGAAGGCGAGAAGAAGTCCATTCTCCACCCCGACCTCAAGACCATCCCTCGTGTCCCCCAGGTTCAGCTCATCGGCAATGGCATGGTTTATGACCATGAGGGCCTTGCGGAGGCTAAGCTGAAGCACCCCTCCCACACAACCTTTCACAAGACCCGCGTCTCGCCTGAGGATGAGGACAAGGGCTTCACCCGCTACTACCGCTGGCACATCGACGCTGCACTGTACGACCTCTCCCCACCGAAGGTGACCACTCTGTACGGTGTCACTGTGCCGAAGGGCGAGCGCCAGCACGTGCGGTATGACGATGGCACGGGTGAAGAACTCGATGTTCCGCTCGGCACCACCGCGTTCGTAGACGGCAGGAATATGTTTGGCATCCTCCCTCCGGAGCTGAAGAGCGTGGCCGTCCGGACGAAGGTCAAGTACGCGCCGCACCCGTACGTCTGGATGGCGCCCGCACACGCACTCTCGACCGGGCTCGGCATCATGTCCGAGGGGTTGGAGATGTCGTATGACGACCTGCCGCCGTGGGAGGAGTCCAAGATTAAAGTGCTTCCCATGGTAAGTCGGATGACGTTTCGTGGCCGGCACAGCGGCTGATAATCAAAGTAGCTTTGGAAGAACCCTGTTACGGGCGAGCTGCACCTGCAAGTGCATCCGTGTGGCGCCGCGGAACTCATCATCGATCCGCTCCCGGCGGGGGCGAAGCGCGAGGGCGCGCTGTACCCCGACGGCGTGCACCTGAAGGACTTGAAGGAGGTGCGGGACTTGCTGTACAAGATGCAGAGACCTGCTATTGCGCCTAGTGTAAGTGCCGTCATCGGACCTTACCTGATCACACGAGCTCATCACGCATCGCAGTTCGTCTACCCTCACGATTGGTGAGTACTTTCGGAACTTGCATAGACGCCGTTTGCTGACCAGATGGGGTACTGCGTCTAGGCACGAGCGCGACCTGGTGCTGTTCCACAACCGGGGCGTGCTGCACACCGTAGTCGGTGCGTTCAAGCCGGATCAGGTTCGGGCGTTCCACCAGTGCAACCTCGCCGCTTCGGATGACCCCAAGGGCCCGTCGGAGGAAGACGTGAAGCAGTGGGCGTGAGGGTCGGGCGAGATATAGCCGGCGGAACGTCAGCTGGATGCTTCATATGTGTTCTTGTACTGCTTGTTGTCGCACTCTTTGGATTCTCTGTCGCAATCGATGTTGTACGTGTCCACAGTCGCTCCGGAGGTCGCGTGAGCACACAGGCTATTTTCTGACCTCGCAACGGTTCCGCTGGGACTGCGGATGCGGCGCAGTCACTCAAAGCGATATCGGGGGCGCTGCGGAGGTTATTCCTGGTTACATCATGTCACGTGCGCGCCAGCTCGCTCTAAGAATAGGCGTTTCGACTGGCTGTGGCGGGGGACTTCGATAACTTATGCGGTGGTCGCTCGCGGTCCTTGGCCTGATTCCGTCCATACTTGTCCCCTCTGCTCCCCAGCCTGCGCTGGCACTCCTCGTCTGCGCTCGCCGCCAGCTCGCCCACTCTCCTTCTCGCTCCTCATCATCAACTTACTCCGCACGGCTGGCACGCGTCGCTGTATACGAATAGACACGCTTCGATACCCACGCAGGGCATAACACGCCATGGGAGGCTCAGCACTGCGCAAACGAAGCGCCCCCAATAGCTCCAAGAGGCAGGAGGAGACGACGAAGGGGACCGCCTCCGTGAGTGCACGGTTACCTTCCGGCGTGCAATGGGATCGCTGAGTGCCCGGTGGGGTCCATATAGGACCCACAAGCTGCCACACAGTCCCAGGCAGCAGCTTCGAACGGGACATCATACCTCGTGCTGATCGTGCTCTCCGCGTTTGCGTACCTTGTATACCGGGTACGTGGTAGAGTGACTGCTCAGACGGATTGGATGCTTATAGCGCGGCCACAAGAACCCCGCCATAGTGACGGTACCGTGGGCGGAATTCATTGGCACAGAAGTGCAAGAGACGGGGCCGAGACTCGCCAATTTTAGTGCAGATGTTCCGAAGCGCGACGCCGTAGTGGCGGCATTCAAGGTGTGTGCTTCCCCTTGCAGGGAGAACCACATCGAACTCAGTTTGGGTTCGCTCAGCATGCTTGGCTAGCATATGGTGCGTGTGCATTTAGTCGCTACTTCTGAATGTCCCTCTCATAGAAACAGAGCGGGACGCTATGGGCGACGATGAATACCATCCCATAAGCCGCAAGGGCACCAACCTCACAGAAGCCGGCGGCATTGGTTACACCGTCGTGGACTCAATAGACACCATGCTCATCATGGGCCTGCACGACGAGGCCACGCGTGCTCGCGACTGGATCGCGAACAAGATGACCTTCGAGCGCGACGCCGAGTTCAACACCTTCGAGGTTAGCAACAAATATGACGTCACAACCACCGTGATAGACTCACGTCCACCAGACAACTATCCGAGTTTTGGGAGGCCTTCTGTCGGCATATGCCCTCACGAGGGATGAGATGTACATCGAGAAGGCGAAGGACCTTGCGGACCGCATGATGCCCGCATTCGAAACACCATCAGGATTGCCACTGTCAATGGTGAATCTTGCTGCGCGAAAGGGCATCGCAACCGGCGACAACAAGGGCCTTGTCAGCACGGCGGAAGTCGCGACCCTGCAGCTCGAGTTCCGGTACCTGAGCCACTTAACGGGCAATGAGAGGTATTGGGATGTTGTCGAGAAGGTTCACCGTCTGCACTAGTTTAGTGACTGAGTCCCCGGCTGACACCGCCTGCAGGTAATGGAGACCATCAAAGGCTCCAGTTTGAACACTGGCCTGGCGTCAATATTTATGAAGTGAGTGTCGGAACTGCCTTCCAGATATAGATGACTGACATCGATCTTAGTCCGGAGGATGGCCGATTCGTAATGTCTGCCATTCGCCTCGGGTCGCGTGGGGACTCGTACTACGAATACCTCTTGTGAGAGATTATATCCTGTGGCCGCCTGTGAGATACTAATCAATTCCAGGAAGCAATATATCCAAACTGTAAGTGCTGTACCGCGACATTGGGACAACAATTCACCGCGCTCTTAGAATTATTCGGAACCGGTGTACCAACATGTGAGCATACCTGATGCCGTTCCAGCCACAGTACTGATGGGCGCATCTCTTGAAGATGTACGAGTTCGCGATGGACGGTGTCCAACAGCATCTCGTTAAGAAGAGCCAAATGGCACGGTTGACATACACCTCCGAGCTAATACCCGAACGCTCTCCTGACGGACAGATGTACGTACCCCGTTTTCTGTCACTCATCGCGTCTAATTCATGAGTTTCGCACAGATCATGGCGACTTCAACCCAAACAGGACCACTTGATCTGTTTCTTCGGCGGCTCGCTGATGCTTGGGGCTGTCACCACGGGCGCGGCGGTCCAACCCGTCTCAATACCACCACACACCAAGCACCTAAACGCCAAGGGACTCCGCGACTGGAAGACGGGCGTCGAGCTGATCGAGACTTGCATGCGTACACACGAGACTGCGACAGGACTCTCCCCCGAGATCGTCCACTTCCGCGTACCGAAGGACGGGTTGTCCGGGTCGAACGTGCCCGACGATTGGTACATCAAGGGAGCAAAGTCAGTCTTTCTTTCCAACAGCCATCTCCGTACACACATCTCTGATCACGGGCGCTGTGCACAGACCTGGGGCCCCAGCACCGTACGATGCGCGATACATTCTGCGGCCGGAGACGGTCGAGTCGCTGTTCATCGCATACCGCCTGACGGGCGACCAGCGCTACCGCGACTACGGCTGGCAGATATTCCAGGCGATTGAGCGGCACTGCAAGATCGAGACGGGTGGGTATGCGAGCATCTTCAATGTCGCCGCGGTGCCTGTAGAGCACGAGGACAAAATGGAGACTTTCTTCATGGTGAGTACGCTGTTCGGCTTGGATGTGGCAGGGAAGTACTGATGTTTGTGCGGCAGAGCGAAACGCTGAAGTACCTATACCTGTTGTTCGAGGACGACAGCGTCCTGCCGCTATCAAGTACGTGTCGCCCCTCTCATGCCCTGTGCCACGAACTGACTGGCATGCCTCATAGAATATGTCTTCAACACGGAGGTATGCGTTCATTTCGCCCTATATGCGCAATCGTCGCATTCTGACCGAGTCCCGTTTTACAGGCGCATCCATTCCCCATCATCTACCCGACCCGCCACGCGGCCTTCTGAGCGACCGCCCGCGCCCATGTATTGTAGCTGCTAGCTTCGTACACCTATTCCTGTGTACACGTACCCGCACTATTACCGCTATATATTGCTATCTTCGCTGCACCCCTTGCCTCCATTCTTGTGAGTCGTTGGGCATAGGCATATATTGGTTACCCTAAGGTAAGCTGGTATCAGTACAATTTATGTCGTACATGGAGCATTCATAGGTACATTACACCCGAAACGGCGACGGGTGGCGAGCGGTATCGTGAGGTCGTTACTGCGGGTTTATCTGCCTGCGCTCCTACTCGTATAAAGCATAAAACTACGGTCCGACGTCGGATCGTCCATTCCCCAGCATCAGCACCTATGCGTATTCGTACAGCTCGGGCCTTCTCAAGTTTAAGTTATCTCTGTCCGTCAGCCGGAGGCCGGCGGTTGTACAGTGTAATCGTCCGGGGGTATCGGTTGTGGTATCGCCGCTCAGTGTTCACGCCGTGCTCGCGACGACAGTCGCGTACGACGGCGGCGCCGCGCGCTTCTCGTCGAGCTCGTCCGCGGAGATGTGCTCCCACGGCTCGTCGAGCTCCGCGTCCTCCGCGAGCGCGTCGTCCAGCGCGATCACGAGCGGGATCGCGGGCACCAGCTCGAACTCGCCCGCTGCGCCCGAGCGCCCTGTCAGCAGATGCACAAACGCAGAGAAAAGAAAGAGGGTGCTGCTCACCCTTGCTGCGCCGCGCCTTGGCGGGCTTGACGAGCTGCGCGAGGTGCACCTCGAGCGAGCCGCGCGCGCGCGTCTCGCGCTCGACGACGTCCGCGATGATCTCCTCCACGAGCGGCGAGCCGGGGGTGCCGTGCGCGAGCGACGTGTCCTCCTTCGTGCTCGCGCTCGTGAGCGTGAGCGCCAGGCCTGTGCGCCGTGCGGAGGGGGAAGTGGAGGGGCAGTGGCGGCACGGGCGCCCGTCGGAGGTGGGGGTGGCGGCGGCGGCAGCAGCGCGCTGTCGCTCGCGCTCGCGTTCGCGCTCGGTGCGCTCCTTCGTCTTCTTGGACCGTTGGCGGTCGCGCTCGTATGCGCGTACGGCCTTGAGGATCGTCCCGTCGTTCTCGACGTGTAGGAGTGGTGAAAGGGGGCGCGGTGACGTCGGAGCTTCCGGTGCGGGCTGAGTGTCGGCGGTAGGGGAGGTGGTGTCGACGGTCGGTCCAGGCGGTACGATAGCGCGTGTGGATGTACGCGTGCTGGCGGCGCGCGAAAGGCGGCGGAGGGAAGCGGGAGAGGTGAACGCAGGCATTATGGCTTGTTGTAGGGTAGGGTGGGTTAAGAGGTGTATATGTAGTGTTTAATGTTACAGTGAAGGGGTATGAGGTCTCTAGCAAGGGCGGGTGGCTCGGTGCTGGCAGTGGTGGTGGTACGTGGTCAAGGGTGGGAGCGGGAGCAAGTGGTGGTATGGAGGGAAGATAAGACAGCGGGCTGAGACTGTCGGAGCTGGCTCGGGACAAGGCTGGAGGGGCGCGAAAGGATCACCGCCCCCGTAACGGTGGAGCGCCGACTAAGTACGGTATCGTGCAGGTCTCCGGACGCAGCTGGACGCAGCGCCGTCCCAGTCCGCGCGCGCGATAGCCCCCGCGTCTGTGAGTCCGCGACTGCAGCTGTCCGGAGTGGGACCGCAGCGGTACCTGGCCGGACGGCGGAACGCACGCTGGGTACATGTCGCGACCGTGCGCGGCATATGCAGCGCCCGTGCGAGATAGGTGTGCGTCGGAGATGGTGCCATCCTGGCCTGCTTTCGGTGCGCGACAGCGTCGGCGCCATCCATATGTAGACGCGTTGGTGACGGTGCATGCTTGCTGATTGCGCCGCTCTGGCGTAGTGCCGCACCTACTAAGAGCGTGCCTCACGTCATTGGCTGGCTGCTTACTCCGTGAGGATGACGACAGTACTAGCCCATTCCGACCTGTGGGAGCGCTCCGTATGCAGCGTACCTCGCGCCTCCGCTGGAAGCGCGTGGGATGCAAGGAGCGGGAAGTCATGAAACTGACAGGACCTCGGCCGAAACGTTCACCGTCGAAGGCACGTTTGAGGTCGGAGGTACAGCGTTGCACCGACGAACATGTAATCCAGTCAGCTCGATAGGATCGTGGGGGTAAAGACCTTATCACCTTGCGATGTTTTGAGTACCTACAATGGTTGCGGGCTTCCGCAACGGCCGACTGGGTGAGTAACGCGGGTAGGTCTATGTCCCGTCGACCGTAGATCTCACGCTGTGGGCATAACACAGAAATTCGGATGGAAGCAAGAATAAATGGGGCGCAAAGAGCAGAGCACAACCCCATTGATTGGACGGCCCAAGTATGTATGGTATGACTGGTGAGGTAGAGGAGAAGAGAAGGTAAGCTGGCGGGTCGACTTACCTCTGCTCCAAACGTCCGATCGAGGTACAACGGAGTCGGACATGACGCAAAAAGGGAGCCTTCGTGGATAGCCCAGGCCGATGCTGTAGGCCAGGTCGTACTTACATGCCGGCCGAAGCAGCGGTGAGGACGAATAGCATCGAGGAACGTCCTAGATCCGCAGAAGATTACATGTGCTCCCGTTTGCCATGCCCCAAGCGCTTGAAGTAAGTTCTGCGCCACGACACCCAGTCATGTCCAGGCCTTGACTCGACGCTCGAGAATTGCCCAATCAGCAGAAGCCACTCCAGGACGACCGGCCGAGTGCAAAAGGGTACAGCCCAGGGTGAGTGGAGAACATCGTCCGAGACACGGTTGGTTGGGCGAGAGGCGCGTCGTATCGCGCACGATCCGTGACTCTGGCGCTCCCACCGGCCGTTCGAGGATGGCCTATAGATAAGCGCCCATACACCGTGGGAATCTCGCGCGATAGAAGAACGCGCTCTGCGCAGAGGAAACGCACCACCGCTCTTGCCCTCCTACCATCGATATGTCCATTACCAAGATCCACGCCCGCCAGGTCCGTTTTTTCCTCTTGATGTACGCGTAGGACAGGGCGCGCTGACTCTTGCATACATAGATCTTCGACTCCCGTGGCAACCCCACCGTCGAGGTCGACCTCTACACTGCCAAAGGTACGCGGTCATTATTCGGAACGCGGCGCGGGATTGGCGGCAACTCGCACGCGGTCGATTGGCTCCATATATGCGCATGATGCGCCCTTGGACATCCATACATAAGATCGCGCGAGGGGCAACATACGGACGCGATCTTCAGGTGGATTACCCCAACGAAAGGGAGGGCTTTTCGCTGCGCATATAGGATTGCTTCCGCGGAGCTATCGCCCGCCTCCCCTCATCCCGCACCGTGTTCGCCGTCTCTCCCCCCAGTGTGCGGAATTAACGCGCTTTTAGGCCGCTTCCGCGCCTCTGTGCCCTCTGGTGCCTCCACCGGTATCCACGAAGCTGTTGAGCTTCGCGATGGTGACAAAAACGCCTACGTCGGCAAGGGTGAGCCTTCTTCGCTGCTTTCAGGTCCCGCCCACTTCTCTAACGTACATATGCGTAGGCGTCCTGAAGGCCGTCGCCAACGTAAACGACATCATTGCCCCCGAGCTGCTCAAGGCTGGCCTCTCGGTCACCTCGCAGAAGGAGATCGATGACTTCCTGATCAAGCTCGACGGAACCCCCAACAAGGGCAAGCTTGGCGCGAACGCGATTCTTGGCGTATCTATCGCCGTCGCGGAGGCCGCCGCTGCGGAGAAGGGCGTCCCCCTCTACCAGCACCTCGCGGACCTCGCCGGCGTCAAGCCCCCCTTCATCCTCCCCACCCCCGCGTTCAACGTTATCAACGGTGGTTCGCATGCGGGCAACAAGCTCGCGTTCCAGGAGTTCATGCTCCTGCCCACTGGCGCCACCAGCTTCACTGAGGCGATGAAGATCGGCACTGAGACCTACCACACTCTCAAGAAGGTCATCAGCGCGAAGTACGGCATCGACGGTGAGCTCATTTTGATAATGGACCCAATATATGCTGACATGGGGAAAAGCCGTCAACGTCGGTGACGAGGGTGGATTTGCTCCCAACGTCTCTGGCGCTGAGGAGTCGCTCGAGCTCCTCACTGAGGCCATCAAGAAGGCCGGCTACGAGGGCAAGATCAAGATCGCGCTCGACGTTGCCTCGTCCGAGTTCTACAAGGACGGCAAGTACGACCTAGACTTCAAGAACCCCAACTCGGACCCCACGAAGTGGATCACCGGTGTCCAGCTCGCGGACCTCTACCTGAGCTACGTCAAGCAGTACCCGATCGTGTCGATCGAGGACCCCTTCGACCAGGACGACTGGGAGGCGTGGACCCACTTCACGGAGCACAGTGGCATCCAGATCGTCGGTGACGACCTGACTGTCACCAACCCCCTCCGCATCAAGACCGCCATTGAGAAGAAGGCCTGCAACGGTCTCCTCCTCAAGGTCAACCAGATCGGTACCATTTCGGAGTCGATCCAGGCGTAAGTGCTCTGTGCACTCCCTTGGGCATATACAGTCACTGACTATATGCTGCACCACTAGTGCTCAGCTCGCGCAGTCCGACGGCTGGGGAGTCATGGTCTCCCACCGTAGCGGTGAGACTGAGAACACTGTCATCGCCGACCTCGTTGTCGCGCTCGGCACTGGCCAGATCAAGACTGGTGCGCCCGCGCGTAGCGAGCGTGTCGCCAAGTACAACGCTCTCCTCCGTATCGAGTACGCTGCATTACTTTATCCTATCGTTGCCCAATGCTGACCATATCCGTGTTCTTAGGGAGGAGCTTGGCAACGGTATCTTCGCTGGCGAGAAGGGTCTGTCCGCAGGGACGACCGCGCCGGCTCTGCTCAAGAAGTAAAAATTCTACGGAATACGGAAGGAGAGATGTACGCTTGAGAAGTCGCTGTGCTCATAGATTGTAACACATCACATCAATCGCATTTGTTATCGAAGCATCATCCAATGTGTGTAGACTGGGAGTAGCTCTGCGCGCGAGCGGGTAGACACGCGACGCGTCGGTCGCGTGACCGTGTTGCTTGTTACGGCGCACGGCTTAGGCGCCTGCTGTAAGCTGTACTCGGTGCAAACTCGGTCATCACTCGCTCTGTAACTCGCGCAACTCTAGTTGCCCTTGCCTCCCCCTCTCACACTCCCGCTGCATATATCTGGAAAACACCAAATTACCTGAGCTTTTCCTGGAAACTGTCACCTCCAGCATGGCTGCAATGTGAGGAGACAGCGTGTTCAACTCTAGATCGAAACGGGTAGACTTACCGTACGCAGGAACGTAGACGCGACTGCTATCGCTGGACCCAGCAGCCTACCCCCGAAACCAATAACAGCACCAGTGCACGACAAGCCGGTGGATGAAAAGAGGAAGAGACGACCTAAACGCAAGCGGGCACCAGGCTCGTCGACCGGCCCTACTGAGGATGGCGAGGAGTCCTCCAACGAGGCCCCCGCCGAAGTGTACAGCACACCATGGTTGGACGCATTGGGCACGACGGAGTACGAGAGTAAAGAACAGAGGTACGAGGTGTCTCGCTTTGCACTTGGCGTGCGGGACGTAACGTGTGCGGGCAGGTTGCATGACGAGATAGTTGCGTTCTTCAAGTACGCGGCGCCCACGCCGGATGAGCGCCATGCGCGCGCGATGGTCATTGCGGAAGTCTCGCAGGTTGTGAAGAGGAGGCTGCCAAAGGCCTCGGTGGATACCTTTGGGAGCGTCGCGCAGGACCTGTATCTACCGGACGGGTGAGTGTGTCTGCTCGTCTTCCGCGCATTGCTGACACCTCAAATGTGGCGGCGCCTCGTCTAGTGATACAGACTTGGTCATCACAACGCCCCACCCATATGATGACGAAACGAAGAAGCGGGTACTCTTCCAGCTCGCGGCACTCATACGCAACACAGGCGTGACTGCCAACCGCGTTCAAGTCGTTCCCCGAGCCCGTGTACCCATCATGTCCTTCCAAACCACCCCCAATCTCGGTGAGCCTAAAGAGCATGTCAAAACACTCACATCTACTGACTTGGTACCCATTCAGGCTCTTTGAAAATTGATCTCAGTATGAACGCTGCAGACGGCCTGCGTGGTGTCTCGGTACTCCGGGGATACTTCGAGCGCATGCCCGCCCTCCGCTACCTCGTATTGGTGCTGAAGAGCCTCTTGTCGCGCCGCGGCCTCAACTCTGCGTCCAGCAGCGGGCTGAGCAGCTATGGCCTCATCTGCCTCGCCATCAGTTTCCTGCAGCTCAACCCCGGAGGGCGGCCCGCCGCATACATCGAACAACCAATGGAGAGCGAGAGCCTCGGCGTGCTGCTCCTCGACTTCCTAGAGTACTACGCGGACAAGTTCCCGTACGACACCTCGTACGTCTCCGTCACACAAGGGAAGATCCTCTCGAAGGAGGACAAGGGCTGGGCGAGCGAGACGAACCCGGAGGCCCTGTGCATCGAGTGTCTGTTGAACCCAGGCACGTCGCCGCTCGCTGTATGCGCGACGCCCCCGCACATCTTAACCGTCTGGTGGGTGTGTAGATAACGACGTCGGCCGGCCGACGAGCAAGATCCGGACTATCCGCGCGCTGTTCCGGGAGTCGCATGCACTCATCAGCGCATACCCGTTCGCGCCATCTCCTGCCGCCCACAACGTCCTCGGCACCATCCTTGGTGTATCTGAGTCTGTGAGCATTATTTCACCAGGATCTGACCTTCGCTTGAGAACGTAGCTGACCACGGCATCATTTGCGTCTACGCCAACAGACACTTGCACACCGTGCCCTCATAAAAGACGTCGTGTCCTCTGGACGGCTAATGCAAGCGCTGCAAGACGTCAAGACCTCGGGACCACCACCAGGTCCGCCCGGACGTCGCCCCCCGCCGTCGAGTGCCCAGCAGCCATACCCGCCCCGACAATATGCGCGGCCGAACGGCGGTCCAATGCACGGCAGGGAACCGCAACGGCGGCCACAGGGTCAAGGCGGGCTGCCTCCACCGCCGGTACAGTTGCCCGCGCGTCCAGTACCGCATGGTTTGCCCGCGCGCCCGCCGCCAGAGAGAGGCCCCCAGGGCCCGAGCATTGGATCTATGCGGGATGGGGGTGCCAGGGCACCGGGCGGGCGACTGCTGGATCGTCTGAGTAACCCCCAACCGTTGAGAAGGCAGAGGTCGTGATTTGCTATATGATCCTCAGTGTTTGTGCGGTGAGTTCGTGTCTTTCTTGCCTTGTCGAACCATACTGTATGCGGATAGGAATATTTTGTAATGTCACGCAGCTTGTAGCATGCTTCGAGGCGGTTGTCTGGGGTATACCTCGTAGTCATATATCCGTCGTACACTGTTATACACACCCATGAACAGCATCACCTGCAGTCTTACCAGCCTCTGCGAACCAAAACTACATAAAGGTGAGCGCATCCCTTCATCCACCTAGCGTTAGCTTCACATCCCTGATGGTCCCCTTGAACCCCTCTCCACCTATAAGCTGCGACGGCGCAGCGAAGGACATATTTCCGAGCGCCATATACTCCCCCCAGATATCCATGAGTGTATGCCAGTAGCGCGGATGTGCCTCATCGCCGTCGATGACCGCGTAGGTGTACTCGCGCGTTCCATGGATCGCGACGGACGTGAACCGGTCCGAAGGGAGAACGTATCCGAGCGCATACAGTTGTCCCGTCGCCTCGAACGTGAGGTTCGCGACGTGCAACTTCGAGTCTGCGCCCGCGAACAGGACGCCTGCGTTAGGATCTCGCACATCAGGCTGCACGCGGAACGCGAGCGTGTACGGCGGGCCGACGGACGGGACCCCTGTGTCAAACGATGGAGGCGGCGCCGCATGTGCGAACACGACGTCCCCGTGCGCGGGCCGGACGACGCGGTTGAGGTTCTGCCCTGGGGCCGCGGCGTTCAGCGGCGGATACGCCGCGTCGAACTGCGCGCGCGAGAGCTCGGTGGACTGCACCCCGCTGCCCGCCCACGCCTTCTCGCCGAACACGGCGGCGGAGCGCGCGAGCTGGTAGTACGCCTCGAGCGCGGTCGTTGCGTTATTGCCCCAGTCGTTCCAGAGCGCGAAGAGCGCGCCGCGCAGCCCCCGCGCGTCCGCGCGCGTGTTGTTCGTCGCGTCCGTGCGCGAGAAGACGTTCGGGGCCCAGCCGGCGCCGCCGGGCGCGCCGCCGAAGAGGAGGTCCTCGTCGAGCGTCTGCGGGAACTGGCCGCCGTCGGACGTCTTGCCGTCGAGGTAGAGGAAGGCCTGCTCGGAGTTGATTATGCGGTAGCCCGAGGCGAGGAGCTGCACGGGGATGGTGTCCCCCGGGAAGTCCCAGTGCTGGATGGTGACGTTTGTGGAGACGGAGAGCGTGTCGCTGGGTTCGCGCGTGCCCCAGATGCGGATGGCTTTGCGTGCGGTGGAGGCGATATGGTCGGCCATGGTGTTCACGAAGGAGATGTAGTCGTTCGCGAGGGCGGCGTCGTACTCGTCTGCACCGATAGAGACCTCGGGGGATGAGAACCAGGGTAGGAACTCGTCCCAGACGGACTTGATCGTGGGGATAGTGTCGGGGTGGGAGAGGTTGAGGTGGTCAGGCGCGCCTGCCTCCATGAGTTCCGGCTTCCACTGATTAAACACGAGAGAATGGCCAGGAGTGTCAATCTCGGGGATGATGGTAACGCCGTGCTGTGCGCAGACACTCTGCATCTGTAAGAACTCTTGCTTTGTCCAACTCTCATTCTTCCTCGGGACGAGCCCCTCGAGCGGAGAGCCGGCAGGTGGCTGGAAGCGGAACGCAGCGTACAGGTTCTTCCAGCCTTCGTTGCCATTGCCGTACAAAAAGTCGGGGTTCCAGAGATTGTCTGATGCGTGCAGGTGTATCTCGTTGAGTTTGAAGAAGGATGCGTATATGCACAAGTCGCCTGTGAGAGAACGTGAATCAGGGTTGTATAATTCGAAGATCCACATGTGAGACCTACTCAAGAACGTAGTTTCGTACCAGTGTCTTCCCGCGTCCATCATGAAGCCGCGAACTTCCCAGCCTGGTGAGTCAGAAATGCTGCCCGCAGGAAGTGAAACGGATGATACACCCTTGGACAGCTGCATCGCAACTTGCTGTAACAAAGTCCTAGTACCCCACCAGACACCGAGGGGGCCGGAGCTCTTGACGGCCACTGAATTGTGAGTTATCACGATGTCGTATCCCTCGTCCGTAGGATCTCCATTGTACAGCTTGTATTGCAGGGACGTGTCCAAAGTCAGGTAAATCGTGGGGATGCCCAGGGTGGTGCCCGGGATACTGGGAGACACTGAGACCGGTGCAAGGCGAAGGTGTGGTACGATATCTTTGATATCATCGCGGAACGTGTTGGCGAAGTCGAGGAGGGACGGGGTGCCGTGGTTGGCGTGCTTGCTGTCGACGACAATTTGCACGACTGATGACAGCTCGAAGGCACCATGTGAGGGTGTGAAGGATACGACCGAGGGTATTTGTGGCTCAAGACCACTGCCAAGGGTCGTCGAGCACGCAGCAGAGATGAGGAAGAGTACTGTTTTGAGCAACATTATCCCAGAGTACTCGGACACAGTAACCAAGAATAGATAGCCTGCGTTGTGGCTAGGTATATGGTCAGCGACTCTGAAGAAGATCGGACGGTCTATGCTACTGACGTGACGCACTCTCTCGCTGCTCCTCTGTCGTTGGGGGAAGGGATATAGGAATGACTTCCTCTGCATCTTGCATCTTGTAATCATAGTACCCCCTTATCGCAATCGTAAAGACCACGCGAAGTCGGACCCAGGTCAGACCGACTGTCTCAGCAGTAGAAGTTCCATCGCTTGCAATGATGTCGACGAGGCGAAGAACACATGATGCATGGTGACGGTAAGGACGATCGAGGAAGGCGCGCCTTAACGCCTCCGTCGACACCGAGCGGGCCGGGCGAACCTCGGACTGAACACCGAATTCGGCGGGACCCCGCGCGGTGGAAGTTGCGCTACGCTCGCCGCCAGCGCGACGTTCTATAGTTGAGGCGGTCAGCTGCTGCTGGCGTGATGCCCCCTGTCGTGAATAATATATAAACGAAGAGCGGGCGGGACGTGGCGAACCAGGCTGAGCCCATCTGCCCCACCTTCGACGTCCCCTGAGCACCGCGCGCACCATGCTGGTCACTCGTCTATCTGTCGTTCTTTTGAGCGCCGTCTCGTACGCGTTTGGTCATGTCATGAGCGAGAGGCGCGCCGCGGCCCACTCACCAGGTCACTGGATCGCCGCGTGGACGTCAATGCCCCAGCTGACGGAGTCCGCGAACCTGCCGAATCCGCCATTCAACGAGACCGGCCTGGTATTCAGCAACAGCACCATCCGCCAGACCATTCACGTCACAGCCACCTCTCCCCACATCCGCCTGCGCATATCGAACGCGTTCGGCATCACCGACCTACCCATCACCGCGGTCACCATCGCGAAACCATTTGGCGGGGTACCGGGCATTCCTGCGATCGACACGAGCACACTGAAGACCCTAACGTTCAGCGGCTCACCGTCATTCACAATTCCGAATGGCGCGCTTGTAGTGTCCGATCCGGTCGACTTCGAGGTCAAGGCGGGGACGGAGCTGAGCATAACCATGTTCCTCGAGGACGGCCAGGTCACCAACGACATCACCAGCCACCCTGGCAGCAGAACAACGAGTTGGTTCACGTTCGGAAACCAGGTTTCTGCAGCAAACCTGACCGGCCCGGCGTTGCAAAACGTCGCACACTGGTGGGTGACTTGGGCTTCATCCCTGACGCGTCCTAGGGCTGACGGTATTCTGCAGGTTCTTCATCAGCACGCTCGATGCATGGGTCCCGAGGACGCAGCGCACCGTCGCGTTCGTCGGCGACAGCATCACCGACGGCCGCGGCAGCGACACCGACAAGAACAACCGCTGGCCAGACCTCCTGTTTGCACGCGTGCACTCCTCCAACGACGTCGCGCTGAACACTCTCGCGTTCGCGAACCAGGCCGCGGGCGGAAACCGCATCCTCGCCGACGGCCTCGGCCCGAACGCGCTCGGCCGCTTCGATCGCGACGTGCTCTCGCAGCCTGGCGTGAAGTACGTCGTCGTCTTCGAGGGCGTGAACGACATCGGCGTCGCGGCCCCCACGCAAGCCGCGCAACAGGCGATAGGGGACGCGGTCATCGGCGCGCTCCGCCAGTTCATCGTGCGCGCACACGCGGCGGGCTTGCCCATCTTCGGTGCGACGATCACGCCGTTCAGCGCACCCGGGTTCGACGCATCTGTGCAGGCGTACTCGAGCCCCGTGCGCGAGGCGACGCGCCAGCGGGTGAACAGCTGGATCCGGACGGGCGGGGAGTTCGACGGGTTGATCGACTTCGATGCGGTCGTGCGCAACGCGTCAGCGCCGAGCCAGCTCAGGGGAGACTTCAACTCGGGCGACTTCCTCCATCCCAACGTCGCGGGATACACGGCGATGGCGAACGCGTTCCCCATCGAGCTCTTCAAGCAGTTCGAGGACGGCGTTGGTGGTTGGGCTTGAACAAAAAGGGTTCTGCACATAGCGCAGGGGTGGTATAACTAGCACTTTGTAGCACAACGCCCTCTCACGGGAATGCACCGCATATATGCGGGTTATAATGCCTTGTCATCGCCTCTGAGTGAGCGTGTTTGTGTGTATGCACATCGCTATTCCAGCTATGACAAGATCATATCAATGAAAGGACAGGAACTGACTGAAGTGATTACTTACCGGCTTACAGTCTACGTAGCTGGACGGCTTGTCATTGCTCTTCGCGCTAGCTTTCATCCGCTTGAAGCACGGTATGCCGTGACTTGAATAGACCGAATGTCTGAGCCTGTTCTGTGCGCATCAAAGTTCGTACCAGAGCACAGGAGTGAGAATGGTAGGAAGCTCGAGTACGGACACGACGAAGGAGCAACGAGCTCGAGAGGCTCAGGTACCCGTCCCCGATCGAGATCGCAGTATGTCCGAGCACGTGGCCTCCGCCTGCAAAAAAGTGACAAGCGCCCATCGCTCGCACGGAAACGCCCTGCTCGGCCTCGGCGGATATTCTTCCCCCTCCTCCTCCATTTATCATGGCTCCTGCAAAGAAAAGCCCTTCCTCCTCCAAGGGGAGGTCCTCGACGTCGGACATTTACATTAAGAAGACGAAGGGAGAGAACTTCTACCGCGATGCGAAGACGGTTAACCGGCTTAAGATGCTCAGCGGCGGCAAGGCCATCCGCGACAAGACCGGGAAGATCATCCAGGCTGCTGCGTTCCAAAAGGGCGAGGACGAGACGAAGCCTGGGATGGTGCAGCCGGACAGGCGGTGGTTTGGTATGTTATGATTTTCGCAGCTTGACGGAGGAGAGTTATAACATATCGTGTAGGAAACACTAGGGTCATTTCCCAGACTGCCTTGGACCACTTCCGCACAAGCCTTGCGACCAAGCAAAATGATCCCTACTCTGTTCTTCTCCGGAGAAACAAGCTGCCGATGGCGCTTCTGGACGATGCTGCCAACCCCAACACCCGCAAGGTATGTCAATCCCGAAGTGCGCTCATAAATCACCCCTTACACCCTATCGGTAGCGGACCCACATTGTCGAGACGGAGCCTTTTAAGGATACCTTCGGCCCCAAAGCGCAGCGTAAGAAGCCAAGACTCGATGTGGGTACCTTCGAGGAGCTCGGGAAGTCCAGTGCTGCCGCTGCTGAGGAGGTCGAGGATGCCGCCCAGCTCGAAAGGGACGCAGGTACATTTGCATGTTTGTGTCCGGTGTCTCCCTGCTGACTTTACGTGGTGCAGAACCTATTGCCTCGACCTCGCACTCAAATGCTGTCGGTTTCGAGACGCATGCCGATATCATTGAGCCTATCTATATGAAGGGTACCTCTCGCCGGATATACGGCGAGTTGTACAAGGTCATTGATTCCTCGGACGTGGTCATTCATGTCATCGACGCTCGGGACCCCCTGGGCACGATGTGCGAGTCTGTACTGGACTACATTCGCAAGGAGAAGGCGCACAAGCAGGTTGTGCTTGTTATCAACAAGTGCGATCTGGTACCGAACTGGGTAACTGTATGCGTATTCCCTCCCCTACATCAAGCTGTGATACTGACAACGGACCGCTAGGCACGGTATATCCAACATCTCACACCAAGATACCCCACGCTGGCTTTCCACGCGTCTCCGAACCACTCCTTTGGCAAGGGCTCGCTCATCCAGCTGCTCCGTCAGTTCTCCCAGTTGCACTCCGACAAGAAGCAGATCTCTGTCGGCTTCGTCGGTTACCCCAACGTGGGCAAGAGCAGCGTTATCAACACGCTCAAGAGCAGCAAATGCTGCACCGTCGCCCCGGTACCCGGAGAGACGAAGGTCAGTGCCCATTGGAAACTCTTGCGCTTCGGCTCTCACACGGGATTCAGGTCTGGCAATACATCACCCTGACGAAGCGCATCTACCTCATCGACTGCCCTGGCATTGTCCCAACGTCTGCGAAGGACTCACAAACGTCGACTGTGCTGAAGGGCGTCGTCCGCGTTGAGGCGCTCCCAACTCCTTCCGAGCACATTCCCGCGCTCATGGAGCGCGTCAAGCCCATCTACCTCGCGCGCACGTACGGTGTCGCGCTCCCCGACGCGGAGGACACTTCGCGTGCTTGGCCGTACGAGACGTTCCTCGACAAGCTCGCGCGCATGAAGGGCCGGCTGCTCAAGGGTGGCGAGCCCGACATCGAGGCGGTTGCCAAGATCCTGCTGAGCGACTGGGTGCGCGGCCGCATCCCCTTCTTCGTGCCGCCCCCGGAGCGCACGGACGAGCTGAACCGCGCGGAGGCGAAGAAGGCGAAGATCGAGGCCGCGAAGGGTAAGGGCAAGGCGAAGGGCAAGGGCAAGGCTACTGCGCAAGGGGAGGAGCAGCTGCACCCGATCGGCGTCAAGCAAAACCTGGGGTCGATCATGCAGAAGAACTCGTTTGTTGGCGAAGACGTGCGGCCGCTCGATGAAGAAGAGGCTGGCGTCGAGGGTGCGGACGATGATGCTGCGGTTGCTGCGACTGAGGGCGACAAGGAGGTCGCGGGCGAAGAGGAGGAGACACTGGGCTGGAACGACGTGTTCAAGGGCGATGCAGCATCCAAGGACGAGACGGGCGACGAGGATGAAGGCGAGGAGAGGGCAACAACCGTCTTTAGCAACGTCAGCGACGACGAGGATGCTGTTTCCGCTGCTTCGGACGATGAGTCGGAGAAGCCTCAAAAGGGGCCTCGTATGAAGACGAACAAGGCATGTCTACAATTTCAGTTTATACGCGACGGCCTCACTAACATGTTTGTGGCACACTACAGAAAAAGGCGTCAAACTTCTACTCCACCGCGAACGTCAAGAACAAGAACCGCGAGAAGGCTGCTGTCATGCGTTCGCTACGGGGCGGCAAGGATCAGCGCAGCAAGGGCAAGAAGAAGGCGTAATCGTCTTTTCTCTGTACACAGTTGTTGTAATGTGATCATCGGTGTTGGACAGCATGAAACAAAGGACGTGAATCGGCGCGAGGTCGTCGTGAGAGTCGTGAGACGTTCAGGAGTGTAATTACTGTCATTGCTAGGCGCAGTTTCCAAGGTACAATATCGACAGTAACAAGCCCGTACGCTTTGTCTGCGACAAGGAGTGACTCAATGCAGCCCGTGTGCCGTTGTCATTAAACTACCTGCATACTTTGCGGGCTTCCTTTGCAGAAGCTTGAGTATGAGTATTTTTAATCGTTTAGAAAGCTTGTGAGCTAACGGTCGATACAATCCGTCAAGTACGTCGATCACCGCCGCGAACGTTATGTTGTGATCACGAGCGAAGTTGGGAGCAGATTGACTCGACGTGCTTCGTGCTACTGAACTTTAACATTTCAGAATCGGACAGGCTTCTTGGAGTGGTTATTGTGAAATGTGAAGACATCTCGCTTGATTTGTACCAACGTTGACATGTTTTCAGCTTACGGCGAAGGGCCCCGGCCCCGAGCAAGCCACAGCTGGAGTACTTAAGGCGTGGGTCTCGTGGATAGGAATGAATTCCTTCTTTCCCCTCCATTTGAGCGACAACTCGCTTCTGTCCGGACCTTTGTTTCATTGCATTAATACTCGGTATTATCCCATTACACTACACCTGTACAGCTCAGCAGCTGATTCCAAAAGTCAAGCGCATTATCACTAGGGCCCCGAAAGCACGGACTCGGATGCATAGGCTTTATTGCTGAACGTCCCCGAGTCGCTCATTGTCTCGCCGTGAGTCATCACACTTCACTCATCCCCGGAGCAATTCATCGTTTTAACCCTTGACCCAACCTTTGCCCAATGCTAATGGACGTTCTTAGAGAGTTGCCAAACGCGGACGGTTGGGTGTTTGGCGAGAGCCACGTGGGTGTCTTCCTTAATTGAGTGCGCTGAGATGCGCCGAGGAACTCGGACCGTGTTCCCTGACAGTGAGTGCGCTCACTGTTTCTCTTCTCCATCCCTCCACAACGCTCCGCGCTCATGGCTACCACCACCACCACCCTCGCCTCTGAGTTCACTGTCTGCGACGACTCTGTAGCCGATATGCTTCCTACTCCGCCTTCTACACACACTTCGCGCTCCAGCTCCCCTAGCCTAGTAGAAGCACCCACACCCGAGGACGTCGACGCTCCAACCCAGTCCAAGAAGAAGAAAAAGAAGAAGGTCAAGAAGACGACTAAGGCCAAGGATGCCACGCCGGGAGGCAAGGGTGCTGCCGGACCTGGAGGAGACCGCGACCGCCCACCTGTACTCTGCATCAGCCGCAATAAACACTGGCGGTATATTAGTTCGTATCATGTAAGTGGTCGACTATGCGTATCTATCTTACCAAACTTCATGGAGTATGCAGGGACCATGGCTCCAACTTCCGCTCGAGCTACTCGAATCTCTGCTTCTACTCAACCTTGACCCAGCCACACTCCATGCAGCAGACATGAGATTGCCTCCGCTCCCCTCCAACACCGCTCTGCCATCCCCCAAGCAGCGCGACCGCGGGTTTGCCAGCCTTGGCAACTACTCACCCCCCGACTCCCCGCGAAACACTTTCAATGCCCTGCCGCCGCCACCTGCTTTCCCTACACCGCGCCCTGGCAAGGCAACCCCTCCCCCCATCGATCCCGGAGTGTTCCGCTCCGTCGCTCACATACGCCGTCTGATAGACGAAGCATCCGAGCTGTCCGTGCGCGCTAGTTCAGGACTTTCCGCCGCGGCACTAGGGTCTATGCGCAGCGGGCCTGGAATGAACGGTAGCGCGTGGGCTACCGCACAGTCCCTTGGGCTGAACCCTCTCGGTGACAGTGGTAACGGTCGAAATGTCGCAATGTCTGCCATGCGCGTGCACCGCTTACGCGCACTGGCGGTCCAGAAATTAGCAGCCGCTTACAAGACAGATGAGATTGCGTCCAGTGTGATGGTGATGCAAGGCGGGAGCGTGTTCGATGACATAGCGGAACGCGTTCTGAAAGTCGGTACGTCGCGGCCTCGGACGTGCGTTTGTCGAATGACGACCAACTGACATGCGCGGTCCAGATCCACACGACGTTGACGCGCGATACGTGCACTTCTTCCACGAGAAGATTCCCTCTAGGTTTGTGCGGTTTAAGTGCGCTGTTTGTCGATTATTTGACACCTGCATATGGACAGGCAACTTGCGGAGTCGACTTCGACGGCGCTGCTCGACGAGCTCATTGCGCTTAACCCACACCGACTCGAGTTTTACCGTACCCGCGGCATAGTACACTGCTTCAGGGACGAGTACGCCCTCGCCGCGAAGGATTTTACCCACGCGCTCAAGGAGGCACGCGCTATGCGGAAAGCGCGGACCGTCCATCTCAACGGTAACTTCGGGGACAAGCAGCGGGGCAAGGGTGCGAAGAAAAAGAAAGGCAAAGCCGGCGGTAGCAAAACCAACGGACAGGCGCCACCAGACGGGACCAGTGTCGGCGCAGAAGGGTCCGACGCCGTCGCATTCGACGGACCGGACGGGGAGACCATCATGCTACATCCATCCGTGCTGCCCGACGCGCCCGAGCCTATCGAGCCCCAGTGTCTATTCCTGCGGGCAGCTGCGTATCTGCAGCACGCTGTCTTTCTCATCGAGGATGCCATTTTCAAGCTCGAGGGTATCCAGAAAATTCCATCTATCGACGGCGCGGAGATGCGCCTGTGCTACGTCGAGAACGGTAGGTACGGTGGCGTCGAGATCGGGAACCCCGACGGACCCCTCGGAAAGGGCGACGGCGCGAAACTACAGGCGTACCGTGCGGCGCTCACCGTGCCCGTTCTCCGCGAGCACGTCCTCACGCTCGTACGGAAGAGCATGCGCGACCATCGCCAGTTCCTTGCGCACTTCGACACTCTCGAGGGTGGCCCAGGCTTCGCCGACGCGGACATAGCGCAGCGCACTGAGTACGCGTTCCTACTCTCCGAGTCACTCCGCCCGGGCAGCCAGTCACCGCCGCCTCCAGTGCCGGATACCCCACCTGTGTTCACGACGTATCACCCGCTGCTCGTCGAATCGCACTTCTCAATCCTGCTGGGCCACCTGATACTAGGAGACTTCCCCGCGCTCCTCCCCGCGTTCTCGCGCGCCGCCGCGCTCGTCGACGGGCTTGAGGGCTACCCTGTGTTCCTCCCACCGCGCTCGATGGCTCAGGCAGAGTTCATCGAGGTGCTCGAGCGCCTCGCAGGCGGGTGGCGCAACGGTACTCAGCCGCACTCGCTCAGCCGCGCGAACTCGAAACAGCTGGCGATTGAGGCACCCCCACCAGCGCGGCCAGCCACGCGCTCACCGAAGGCGAAGGAGGTGCACAGAATCCCAACGCCACCGACGCCGGACCGAGATGTGTACGGAGCGTCTGGCTCAGGCGTGAACGGCTCGAGCTCGAGCACCTCGTGTCCAGCGCAGGCACCGCCGTCGCCCTCTGCATCCGCTGCGTCGCTGGACGGTCGCACGCGGGAGGAGCTTGCGGCTTCGCTGGACGCTGCCCGTATCCTTCTCTCCCCCGTGGCCAAACGACAGCGGGAGAAGGCGGAGCGAGCGGCCGCGGAGAAGACGGGCGCGAAGAGCGGTGGGGCTGGCGCGGCGAAGAAGCCTCTGAACATCAACATCCCGCTGCATGGGCCGCGGGTGGAAATCGTGCTGGCATGGATGGCAGCGGTGTTCCTATGCGAGCTGGACGGTTCTGTGTGAGTCTGATCGAGTGTGTACGTATATCTGGGGACCAGATCGTGCTGGCGTAGACGGCAGCGGGGTTTCTTGTGCGAGCTGGATGGTGCTGTGTGCTGCCCGTCTGGTATGTGGGACATCCTGTGACCAGTTCGCTGCTGCGAGGACGCTGAACTTTGGAAGGGGTTTGTACTGATGCAGGTGTATTTGGTACGTGGGCTTCTGTGATGTACTGGATAGGCAATGCCTCGATAGGAACCATCCTCGCGATGGTTCGTTTCTGGGAACGGCGCGCCCAGCGTCGATACGCGCGTTCTGCCAATGGCGAGTCGCATGTTCGCACCGTACTGCGCAAGGTGGACACAAGCTTAGGCTTTCATGTGCTGCATCCCATCTTCGACGAGCGCTGATCGTGGCGCTCACCCAAGAATGGCAAAGCAGCGTCGAATACCTCCTGTTCGCTGCGCCGGCGGTACGAGCGATCGGTCCGGGTGCCCACACTCCAGTACCCCGGGTAGGATAGACACCGGCCAAGACGTCATAAACACCGCGACACCCTCGTATTTGTCCCAGGCGACAGGAACAAGCTGATATCGCCCGACGTCGGGCTTGCCGCACATGGTCGCTTCATTCGCCATTCGCTAGCGCACCGGCCGACGTCGCACGGCGGGTCGGGCGCCCAGGGCGGGCGGGCAGCTGACGGTCATGGGGCCGTGGGTGTCGGGGCCGTTTACGAAACGCTGATACGCTTCGAGTGTTCCCAGCAGACGGCGGAGTGGGGAGCCTGCACGCCTGACCCTGCGTGCTTCTGATTCGGACGGCGCGCCTGTCGACGTCTGAGCCGAGGCCGCTGCATGTCTCTTTCTGCATCGCCCAACAGGTCGCAGATGATGCTCGACGGGGCTGCGTATAAAGAGCGCACCGGGAAAGGGGGTGTTTCGCGTCTCCTGCTCCGCTGCTCGCTCGAGTTCACCATGCTTGCCACCCTCCTGGCCAGCGTCCTCTTCCTGGGGCGTGCTACGTCGGCGCGACAGCCGCCGTCGCTGGCACGCTCGTTTGGAGCCAGCGTACTCGCTGAGGATGCTCCCTCGCGCAATGTTTCATCTTGCCCAGGTATGTGGTCTTCATTTTGCGAACGTGGGGTCGTATGGGGTCGGAGGCACGCCCCCGTGGGGAACACCTGGAGATGATTCTGCCCGTGATATCACGATCGTCCGTTCAAACTCCTTGTGAGAGTATGACGCGATCGACCATGTGTGGCCGCCGCTGGCATAAACGAATGCTCTTATCACTTGCAACTGTTGTGGCATGTGCAGTAGTTTCTGATCAACTTAAATTTGGCAGGATACACCCTTTCGGCTCTGCATCAGACAAAAACGGGATTGACGGCGAAGCTCAACCTCGCCGGCCCTGCCTGCAACGCGTTCGGCCACGACGTTGCCAATCTCACGTTGGAAGTGACCTACGATACCGAGACACGGTGCGTACCTCTGCGAGACGTTCCCTATCCATGAGAGTTTCTCACGCGGGGATCGCGCAGCCTTCACGTCAACATCTACGACACTGAAAAGTCCCAATTCACGATCCCAACATCCGTCATCGCACTTGCGAACGGGACCGGCGACGCCTCTCTCAAACAGAACTCCGACCTCGTCTTCAACTACGAGTCCTCGCCCTTCGCGTTCTGGATCTCGCGCCGCTCCGAGCCCCACGCGCAGCCGCTCTTCGACACCCGCGCGTCTTCTCTGCCGCCCACGCCCATTGCGCCCGTCATCGCGGACGACAACAGCACCGCGCTCGATGGCTTCCCGCTCGTGTTCGAGGACCAGTATCTGCAGCTCACCTCCGCTCTCCCGCTCGGAGCGAACGTCTATGGCTTGGGCGAGGTTGTTGCGAGCAGCGGCTTCCGGCGCGATGTCGGCACCAACGGTCCTGGCACCATCCAGACGATGTGGGCGCGCGACATCGCGGATCCCTTAGACGAGAATGTGTGAGTGCTTACAGCATAGACATGCTGTAAGATATCGTCTAATGAACTTGTCAGCTATGGGTCGCACTCGATTTACCTCGAGCATCGCTTTAACGAGACCACGAAGCGTTCTCAGTCGCACGGCGTCTTCCACTTTAGGTACGCATACCTCTTGTCTCCTTCAACCTCACAGGCTGACCGCACAAACACACAGCGCCGCCGGCTCCGACACGCTCCTGCTCACGCCGCCCGGTTCGCCCGTCTCGCTCGTGCAATACCGCGCGATCGGCGGCACGCTCGACTTCTACTTCTTCTCCGGCCCGAGCCCGCAGAAGGTCGTCGAGCAGTACGGCGCGCTCGTCGGGCTCCCGACGTGGCAGCCGTACTGGGGCTTCGGCTTCCACCTGTGCCGCTGGGGGTACACGAACCTGACGGAGACGCGCGCGCAGGTCTCGGCGATGCGCGCCGCGGGCATCCCGCTCGAGACGATGTGGAACGACATTGACTTGTACCATGCGTTCCGCGACTTCACGACGGACCCGGTCAGCTTCCCGAGCAACGAAGTTCGCGACTTCATCCAGGAACTGGTGCGTATCATCACGATCTGTCCGAACCAGATAGACGGGCGAGTGCTGATCGTGCTTGGGGAATTTGTAGGCTGCAAACAACCAACACTACATCCCGATCGTCGACGCTGCTGTCGCTGTTCTGGTCAACGATACCGACGTTGTGAGTATCCGTTCTATCTCTCATAGTAGAACTGGTGCTGACCGTCTTTCGCAGTATGACCCCTACACCAAGGGCGCTGAGCTGTGAGTCTGGCTCGATGCCAAATATCTGACTGTCAACACTGCACACGAGGCTCATACCGTCATCAGCGGTGCGTGGATCAAAAATCCGGACGGCTCAGAATACATTGGCCAAGTCTGGCCCGGATTCACTGTAAGTCGTCCTAGGCCGCTCGTCGCTCGTTCCGTATCTCACATGCTATGGTAGGTCTTCCCCGACTGGTTCTCCGAGCACAGCACCGCGGTCTGGACGGAGGCGCTGAAGAACTGGACCGAGCTCGGTGTCGAGTTTTCGGGCATCTGGCTCGACATGAACGAGCCGTCCTCGTTCTGCCTCGGGTCGTGCGGCACGGGCATCGATCACACCAACACGTCTACGCCGTTCCTCCTGCCCGGGAAGCCCGGTAACCTTGTCACAGAGTTCCCTGAAGGGTGAGTTGTATGCACATGGGTACGGGACGTGAGGGCTGACTGGATGTGGTTAGGTACGATGCGACCGTGTGGGGGCCGAGTGGAAACATGACCATCAATGGGACGCTCACTTTCAGCAACACGACCAACGATCTTGCCAGGCGCGGTCTAGGCGGCCTAGGCGCCGGCGACCAGCAGGACGTTGATCTCAACGACCCGCCCTACGCCATCCACAATGGTGTGTTTGTAGTCCTCTGGGGCTTGATATGCGACTGAAGTTTGTCACTAGGCGACGGCCCGCTCTCCACGAAGACGGTCGCAACAAACGCTACGAACGCGGGCGGTTTCGTCGAGCTCGACGTGCACAACATGTGGGGCCTCATGGAAGAAAAAGCGACGCACCTCGCGCTGCTCTCCATCGCGCCGACGAAGCGGCCCTTCCTCATCTCGCGCTCGACGTTCCCCTCCTCGGGCAAGTGGACGGGCCACTGGCTGGGCGACAACTTCAGCAAGTGGGCGTACATGCACTACAACATCCAGGGCGCGCTCCAGTTCCAGCTCTTCCAGGTGCCGATGGTCGGCGCGGACACGTGCGGGTTCAACGACAACACGGACGAGGAGCTGTGCAATCGTTGGATGCAGCTCAGCGCGTTCATGCCGTTCTACCGCAACCACAACGTCATGGGCGCGATCTCGCAGGAGCCGTACCGGTGGGACAGCGTCGCGGCCGCGAGCCGCACCGCGATTGCGGTCCGCTATGGCCTGCTCCCGTACTGGGTACGTCGCGTGCGCCCCTAAGATGCGTGTATTGTTGTTCTGACTGTGAAGTGTGCAGTACACGCTGTTCGCGAACTCGTCCTTGCACGGGACGCCGACCGTTCGCGCGCTGTTCTTCGAGTTCCCCGACGAGCCTGAGCTGTTCGGCGTCGACCAGCAGTTCCTCGTCGGCAGGGACATCCTCGTCACGCCCGTGCTCACCCCGAACGTGAGCTCCGTCGACGGTACGTCTTTCCCCTCTACCTGAATCCCCCACAACGAGACTGAACGATTCTCACAGGGTTCTTCCCGGGCCACGGCCGCGTCATCTGGCGCGACTGGTACACGCACGAGGTCGTGAATGCGACATCGGGCGTGCAGACGACGCTCGACGCGCCGCTAGGGCACATCAATGTGCACGTCCGTGACGGGTCTGCAATCCTCCTGCACGCGCAGCCTGGGTACACCACGACCGAGACGCGCGCGTACCCATACTCGCTGCTTGTGTCGCAGGCCGCAGATGGGTACGCGTTCGGGACTGCGTACGTCGACGATGGCGAGAGCGTGCCGCCCATCCCCAGCTCGACGCTCACGTTCACCGCGCGCACCGGGTCTCTGCATCTCGCGGCGCACGGGAACTTTGCGGTCGCGCAGAAGCTGGACACGGTGACGGTGCTGGGCGTGGGGAGCAAGAAGCCGAGCGCGGTGAAGTTGAACGGGAAGACGCTGTCGAACTGGGAGTTCGATGAGGGACTGCAGCGGCTTGTCGTGAAGCAGCTCGGGCTTGACTTGAACAAGGCTGCGTCGCTGACTTGGGCGTAGGCGCGCTGTTGGCTTGTACAAACATTCGTAATGCACAATGAGAATGAACATGTCATGTTCTCACAAAAATATGCTCAGTGTAATGAGGAATGCGAATGAGTGATTCTGCGCTAAGTGGGCGAGTAACGGTATGGTATACAGAATCTAAGTCTGGCGTGAACACATCTAGGTAATCCTATCAATATTCGCATAGCATCGAAACCAAGGACGTACCGACGCGGAATCATTGCCTTCGTTTCTCCGCAGCTGTCGCAGACTCAACGCGCACTTGGGCAGCGACCGCGACTAGATGCTTAAGAATACGGGGCAGTACCAAAGAGCCTGCGACGACCACAAGTGCAAGCAAGAGCAGCAAGGTCGGCAATAGAGACTCGGGGACCAACCCGAGTATTAGCGGTTCGACGGCGACGATGAACGGAACAGGCTCGACGGTGCGACCTTCGTTCGCAGGCGAGGGCGTGAAGACGCCTTCGCTAACGAGACGGATCCTGGCGTACTTTCGGCGAGTAAGGGTGTGGCGGGTCCGCGTCTTCGGAGACGTGCTCGGTAGATCTTCTGGCGAGTACAGGTCGATGAAGAACCCTGCGGGATACTGGAGAAATGTCTGAGTTTCAGCCGGGAATGGACTGTGTACCCGACCTACCGACGCGGGCCAGGAGATCCTCAGCGTGAATTTCGAGTACTGGGACCAGGAACTCTCGTCCGTGTCGATTGCTACCCAAGCTTCATGTGGGCAGCTTCCCAGAGCGTCCGCTGAGAGAGGCTCGCAGACGGTGACGATCGACGTATCGAGCGGCGCGGGCAGCACTCGTAAAAGTGCTTGAGTATTCGTGGGGCTCAGTACTGGCCTGTACATTCAAATCAATACACGTGCATATTTCCCAGAGAATGCGAACTGATTACATACCAGTCTGTTGCCTTCAGATGGGGAATGTCGGGGCCTAATGAGGCCTCAAAGTTGACGATTTCGGTGTTGGCCAGCACAGTACGGAGTGGGCCGACTGTGCAAAGACCCAGTACTAGAAGCAAGATTTCTCTGGGTAGTTTCATCGTATGGGGCTGGAAGCTGATTTGTTTGGTCGAGTAACTGTAAGGTGATGAACGTCGACTGCAGACTGCCGCCGTCACCGGACAAAGCATGGGCGCTTGCAACCCGCCGATCGGCGGAGGTCCGAAGTGGGAAGGTGTTTAGGTTCGTCCACGGCACCTGGCCCGTGCGCTGGAGCGGCCTGGTCAGCTGTCTCGGCTCCTCCCACAGCATATATACCCGTCAGACGCCATAGAAGTCGCCCACGACCGTCGTCATCCTCACTATCAACCACACACACCCGCCATGGCAGACACACTCGCACAGCACGCCCCGGCCAGTGAGTATATGTGGTCGCACACGCATATAGACGCGCTCCTGAGCATCTATCACGCACTACAGTTAAGGTCGGCGGACGAAGGCTCTCGGTAACCGCCAGACCGCCCAAGCCTGTTGCTGCTCCCGTGTATGTGCTTTTGCAATGTATATTGCGAGGCATAGATTCACGAACGAGCGCTTCGCAGTGAAACGCACACCGCGGGCTCGGACACTCCAGTCGACTACCCTCGTCCCGCTCCCCCGGGAGAGCAGCAACAACTGCACAAGGACGAAGAGGAAGTGCCCAAGAAGAAGCAGGGCAACGGCGGCGACGAACACGAGCGCCGGATCCAGGAGAGCCTCTACCGTAAGGCGGAGCACAACCGGCCTACGAGGGAGTTCAAGGGGAATCCCAAGACCGCAGGCGCGAGGATCAGCCAACCCGCAGGCAAGAGCCTGGCGATGTGATTTACGCTTGGCCAATACTTGCGAAGTTTCTTGTTGTCGATTGTATGAGTAGGACGTTACCGTGCATCTGTATCAATAGCTGTAATATATCCAACACCTCGACGCTGGGCCATAAAGATCACGCTACGGATGCTGTTTTTAGCGAGCGGAGTGCGTGGCGAAGCACGAAAGGAATGTGGAGGGTCTGTATACTCCAGGGGTCTAAAGAGATGGTTGTGAAGGTGGTAAGTCTCGGTGGAAGTAGCATATTAGGCCGACGTCTCCGGCGAGCAATGTAATGCAATGCAGGCTTGGTAAGCCGTATCACCGCAACGTACATACCACGACGAGCTTTGAAGCTCATTACCGACTTTGACCAACATTCCCTGCAGTTTCGCACCCTTCGCCGCAAATGGAGGTTGTATCAACGATGTCAATTGAAGCTTCGTGTGGCCAAGCTTCCGGCGACACCCACATGCGCGACAACGCCAACCTTGCTTGAGTATTCTCCGGACCTCGTGAGGCTGGCGGCGTCCACATGTCTTGCCACCCGTAACGCTGTCCTGTCCTTCCGTGCAACTCAAACCCGCACTTGACGGCACTTTGTCCACAACAGCTCACCGGGGCGGACTACGCTGGCTGCGGCGGGCGGACCTAGGCCTCTAAGAGCACGCCGATATGTCGACATGGGCGCTGCCTGGTGGGAAGGAATGATCTCGCGCATCAGTTCATGGCTGACAACTCTCACAGCCATGCATACAATCGAGGCCGGTATACTCGCGGGGAGGAGGAAGAGTGAACCAACTCAGCCTCGACGATTACACGGGCGCTTCTTCGATCTTTGTCAGGCCGGGTCACGTGCGCTATGACACAGATCTACGCGATTGCTCGGGAGGAGCGCGATATAAGGCTGCCCGTCCGTCCCCAGTCCGTCCACACACCTCCCCTACCCCGCACACATCCACCATGACCGTCGCAGTCCTTAACAACCTCGAGGAGTTCAAGAGCGCGGTGCGTTCACCCCGCGGACGTGCATATTCGAAGCGGAGGACTGACCTTCGCGCGATATATAGATCAACGGCGACAAGCCGGTCGTCATTGACTTCTGGGCGACCTGGTGCGGCCCGTGCAAGATCATCTCGCCCATCTTCGAAAAGTTCTCCGAGCAGTTTGGCGACAAGGTCGCGTTCTTCAAGGTCGACGTCGACGAGGCGCAGGACATCGCGCAGGAGGTCGGCGTGCGCGCGGTGAGTGGCCATCGCAGCGTGCGCAGTGCCGCGATAGAGTTGCTGATGCCCGCGGACAGATGCCCACGTTCATGGCGTTCAAGAGCGGCGCCAAGGTTGGCGAGACTGTCGGCGCTGCGCCCCCCGCGCTCCAGGTGCGTTAACCGCTTGCTCGTGTTCGATTGTGACGGTATGCTGATAGGCGTGATGTTGTAGAACCTCATCACTGGCCTTGCGGCATAAACGTGCCCGGTGTAGCCATTGACACAGTATCCTTATCGACGAGCGTGTGTACTATGCAGTTTGATTAATGAATGTACCATTGAGAGGAACACCTCCGCACCTTGTGAGCTTCGTGTATCGCCATACCGCCACATACCTCAACGTGCATGCACGATGGGGATGTTCACAGGCGTTCAAGTCGCTGTGCATTCCGAGTACTAGTTGTACGCGGTGAGTTCGTTTCCACCGTGAAGCATATACTATGGCGGCTCACCCGAAGTAGACCATAGCTAGATGAGATGCATGGCGATCCTCCGAGGAACAGACCATGCTTGTACAGATGCAACAGAGTGCACACCTGTGAACCGCATGGGCGTATTTGGGATTGAATATGCGTACAGTCCCGCGACTGCTCCCGAGTATCGCCTGATGGGCCTCGACCTTGGCCGCTTCCGGCCCATGTCTTTCTTCAGCGTACCATCACCACCACCTGTAACAACATGTTACCATGATACAGGCGTATAGACAGCGGGCGTCCGTACAAGCTGGCCTATAAACCCCTTGTAAAGCGACCGGGGTCAGATGACGCGCATATAGTCTATGTATATCGCATCCGCAGATCCCAGAAAATCTCGAATATGTAGGTGCGCACCCGTTCCGCAGATCGCACTGCCCACTCATAGCCTCCGTGCACAGATCAGCTTGCATACCAAAGGAACAGACTGGGTGACCGTAGACGTTGTCGCTCAGCAGAGTCCACAGCGATAGCGCAGTGAGGAACATATGGGTCTGGAGCGATTGAGGCAACATCGCGGGCGCCATACCCCTGCTTCTCCAACACCGAAGCCGCACTTTCCAATCAGCAAACTCCAGCCCGCGCCGGGCCACCCTCTATAGCAGTGTACGTCACCCCCACCATCCCTCCACCTCGATGCCCAAGATCATGGGGGCACGTTCAGGTCATGCGTCTCGGCGACGACGTCGCTTCGCTCGCCGCGCCCCCGCACGGCCCATCCGCCCCCGCCGCCATATATAACGGCTCGCGCATTGCTCAGCATCGTTGCATCTGGGATACGCGCAATGCTCGCCTTCAGCATACTCGTGGCCGCGCTGTGGCCCGCGCTCGCTGCGGCGGACGTGCAGAGCCTCTCTGGCCTGTCGTGGACGCTGAAGAACACGAATGGGTCGATCGTCGTGCCCGCGAAGGTACCATCTCAGGCGCACCTCGATCTCTTTGACGCGGGAATTATCACCGAGCCGCTGTTAGGCATAAATGGTATGCACTGGCTTCATATATGTGGATCAGAGTCTAATCAAATGTGGTGCTGTGGCATAGACTTCTCGCAAAGATGGATCATAAACGATAACTGGACATATACGGCCGATCTGACCCCGCTAACCCAAAACATGAGCGCCGACGCGAGAGCGCTCCTGGTCTTCTTCGGTATCGACACCATTGCAAACATCGTGCGTAGGTGTGCGGATATATGGCTCCGTACTGAAAGAATATGTGTAGACTGTCGCGGGGCACCCGGTCGCTTGGGTCAGCAACCAGTTCCAGCAGTACGTTTACGACGTGACGGACTTCGTCGTGGCCCCGGTGAATAACGATACGAACGTCACCGTCGCGCTCGAGTCGGCGTACTTGTATGGGCTCAACGTTACCGCGCGTCCCGACGCTGAGATATCTCCAACAGGCGACGTGAGTAGTACTTGCTTGTGCTAGTTAGGTTTTGAGAAGGCTTACGCTGCTGGCCTGATATAGTTTGAATACGCCGGGATCCGGCAATTCATACGGAAGACCCAGTCTGACTTTGGTTGGGATTGGGTATGCTGCAGTCGTTCAGCTCTTGTCCATCCGCCCTGAAACACCATTTCCTTAGGGCCCCGCATTTGTCCCGAGCGGAATCTTCAAACCCGCATATCTCGTTACCCTTACCCCCGATCGCCCCCACATAGCTGACGTTAGTACCGATGGCTCCAGGGCGGACCCAGCGTCGCACCCGCTTCTCGCATCCGGAGGCAGCGTGCTCGTCGAAGAGACCTCGCTCGAGATCTCCAAGGTCGGCCAGACATCGATAAGCACCCCCAACCAGACCGCAGCCTGGCTCGTCAACGTCACGCTCGGCGTGCGCTCCGTCGTCGGCTCTGACCACCCTACGCTGACGATCACGATCCCTGAGCTCAACGTGACCTCAGGCCCTCTCTCCGTCGACCCTATACCCGTCTCCACCAACGCCACAACCTTCCTTTCCGCGGCGTTCACGATTCCCGACGGCGTCCCCGCGCGCTGGTTCCCGCACAACCTCGGTACACCACAGCTGTACAACTTCACTATCGCGCTCGCATTATCTAACTCTTCCTCGCCCGGCTCCTCCGTGAGCTTCACGACGCGCAGCGGGTTCCGAACGGTACAGCTCGTACAGACCCCGTACGATGCAGCAGATGCAGCAGCGCGCGGTATCACGCCGGGCGACCAGTGGCACTTCGAGGTGAACGGGCGCGCGTTCTACACACTCGGCACGAACATCATCCCGTTCGACCCGTTCTACGCGCGCATGACCTCCGCGCAAGTTCGCTGGGTGCTCGAGAGCGCTGTCAAGAGCGGGCAAAACATGGTACGCCCCCCTCCCCTCTTGCCCCTGTCTGGTAGATGCGAATGGGACTGACGGGGCGCTCTGGAACAGCTGCGCGTGTGGGGCGGCGGGATCTACCAGCCGTCGGACGAGCTCACGGGCGGGTACGACTTCTACGCGGCGTGCGACGAGCTGGGCATCTTCGCGTGGTCCGAGCTCATCTTCTCCGACGCGCTGTACCCGATCAACGACTGGCTGCTCGCGTCCGTCGCGCCCGAGGTGCGCCAGAATGTGCGGCGCATCAACCGCCACCCGAGCAACGCGCAGTGGGCGGGCGGGAACGAGATCGAGGGGATCGTGATCACTGTGAACCAGACGCTGGCCAATGGCACGCATTACTTGGACGAGGTGCGTGATTTGGTGCGGATGGTGTCTTTCTAGTCAGAAGCTGATGCGGTGTGGTGCAGTTCCAAACACTGTTCGGCGAGTTCATACATGACATCGTTACGGACGAGGAGTCGTCGGTATGTAACATAATCCATTCGCTAGGCGGATCAACCTGACAATGCACTAGGTCGCATATACGGACTGCTCGACGACTAGTGGTGTACTGAGTCTCGATCCGTACGAGATCAGGTATGCCAACAAAACGGAAGGATCTATTTACGGCAACGGCGGTACGTATATCTGAGCAACAGGCTGACACACATTCTAACAAGTACTATCCAGAGCGTTACAACTATGACGCTTCGCAGGCGTTCAACTACAGCACCTATCCCCGGTCTAGGTAAGGAACGCTGTACTCCCTCATTCCAGATTCGCTTGCTGATCCTGGTGCCAGGTTTATGAACGAGTTTGGGTAAGCGGAACGATCACATAGGCGAACGATGAGATATTGTACTAACTTCCCTGCAGGTTCCACTCGCAGCCTTCATTCTATAGCTGGGAAGAGGTTCTCGAGTCCCCCGACGACTTCTCATTTAACTCCACCGTCGTCGCCTCCCGCGACCACCACCCACCCGCCGGCAGCCTCGCCTTCCCCAACCCGAATGCGCCCCAAGGCCAGGCCCAGATGACGACCGCCGTCGAGCTCTGGCTGCCGACCCCGAACACGACCGACACGAACCAGACGTTCGCGCAGTGGTGCTGGAGCACGCAGGTCTTCCAGTCGCTCAACATGGTGTCCGAGATCGCGTTCTACCGGCGCGGGGCCGGCGAGGGCGAGAACAACCTCGGCGCGCTCGTCTGGCAGCTTAACGACATCTGGCAGGGCGCGAGCTGGTCCTCCATCGAGCACTCCGGGCGCTGGAAGGTGCTCCAGTATGGCATGGCAGACATCTTCCGCCCGGTCGTCATCTACCCGTTCTGGACGCCCGACAACGCAACCCTGGAGATTGTGGTGACGTCCGACCGCTGGGAAGACGTGCAGGGCGCGGCGGCGCTGACGTGGTATGACTGGAGCGGGAACTTTATCGACTCGTCGACACTGCCGTTCACGGTCCCGAGCCTGAACAATACGCTCATCCTGGCCATCCAGGAGCTCGACAACATTGTCCCGACTAACCACAACGCGACAGACGTTTGGCTGTACCTCAACATTACCGCGCAGGTGGAAAACCGGACTGTCACGCACGAACAATACGTGAGTAGACGTAGACGATTTTGCACTCGCGATGGTTGGAACTGATGACTTCTCGACAGTTCACTCCCGTGTCTCTGGCTACAGCAAACCTCGTTGACCCGAAGATCAACGTGACGACTGGGGCAAACCTCACCTTTACGCTCTCGGCTCAAGGAGGCGTCGCGCCATTCACCTGGCTCGACCACCCTGCCGGCACGGTGGGCTTCTTCGCAGACAGCGAGACCGGCTTGCCGTCCAACGGCTTCTTCCTTGTTCCGGGCATCGATCGCACAGGTAAGCACTGATGAGGAGACCGCCTAGTAAGAAGGATGCTCAATTTTTACCATAGTGCAATTCATCCCCAACCCTGAACTTTCGACGGTGGTGGACCCGGACCCGGCGGACTTCATGGTCAGGTCTTTGTGGAATAACACTCACCTGTGATCGATGACGTCGACGTGAAAAGATACGGGAAAGGAGAACGAAAGGATGGCGGTATGCTGTAGCTGATTAGTGGTTTCCAGTGTTCTGTATGAAATTGAGTGCATTCGCATGTAACCTAGGTGTGCGGACTACAGGCGATAGACGAGACGAGACGAAACCGGGGGCGATAAGGTTCAATCAGGTCATGAGAGGTCATGGCAGCGAACGCCTACGAACCAGAGGACGGGGAAGAGTGTGTTCGTGGGACTACAAGAAATAGGGGGTAAGGATGATAGGAAAAATGGCGCAGGTCCGATTAAAAGAATGTAGCTACTGTCTGCCTGACTGAGGTCCGTCGTGTACATCGAGGGTCATGAGGGAGTCATACACAGTTCGGTCTTCAAGCGTTGCGGCGGGTCCTACTGGGCATACCCTTGCGGAGGTGCGGCGCCTGGCGGCAAGTTGTAGGATCGCGAATACCTGTTCGAATTCTGTGCCGGAGGCGCCTGTGACGTCGGTCGTCTGCCTTGCTGTCTTGACACCCGGCGGACACCACCTGGGCTGGAAACGGGGCCGTTGTCTGACAAGCTGATACCGCGGACACGCTGGTTGGCGTCGGGCAACGGCGGCGGGAGCTCTTCAGGGTCGGAGGTGAACGGTACTTGTTGGTCGGCGTATCCTGCCATCTGCGGGGAGTACGCGTACGGATTCTGCGTCTCGCCGGGAAACTGGTTCGCCCCGGTGTTCTGCCGCAGAACGCCGCCGCTGCGGGACACCCGCGCCTCGAAGTTGTTCGGCGCCTGGTAGCGGCTGTCGTACTCGTCGTTGTAAGACTCCTGCGGACTGACAAGGCGTTGTTGAGATCCGATGTCTGAGTTGTAACCATCCTCGCTGGACCGTGAGAGGGCAACTGTGGATACTGACGGTGTGGGAGCAGCGTTGCGGTTAACGGACAGAGGCGCAGGCAGCACGACAACCTGATTGCTGTCGAGTCGTTGTCGCTGAGGGCCGTTATACGACGACTCGTAGGTGCTCTGGTCGAACTGTGGAGGCTGGGGAGTTTGGTACTCAGAGACCAACGAGTATCGCTTGGTGTTATCCCTAGAAAGTATATTATCAGTCAATGTTAGCCTGTCAACATCCTGCACACATACCTCTTCGGTGAGTTGCCCCTCAGATCATATGCGGCAGAATCCCGGGACTGCGTGCCACTCTTCCAGCGACGTTCGCGCTCGAATTCGGCCCAGCGCTTCATCACGATATGAGATGAGTCGAACTCTCCTTCCTTGTCTCCGTGGTTGTCTTTCTTCTCGCCTGCTACCTGTCGTGTCTGACCCCACGAGAAGTCGTCGAAGTGCCAGAATGAATACGAAGGCAGGATACCGTTCCAAATAGGGAGCGAGAGGAGATACACCAGCATCCATCCGACGTATGCGACCTTCCGGGATGTGATGACGATCAGTAGACCCGGAAGACCGAGGACGATGGCGAGAAGGATGAGCGGGATGGTGGTGTCAGGGCCGCCGGGGATGATGGAAGAGACGATGAGGTAGATGGTGAACGAGATGGCGGCGGGGAGCACCAAGGTTCCGGCAAGCTCCATGCCAACGACGAACTGCATGGAGAAGCAGAATGTACCGCACAGGTCTCGAACGAGAAGCAGCTCAGCCAAGTTGTGAATCGTCGAGTTGATCCACCGACGACGCTGGGAGAGAAGCACCCCGAACGTATCCGGAACGACGGTCTTGCACACAGCCTGGGGACAGAAGACGTTCTTGCGCTTGGGGAACGTCTTCAGCATCAGCGTCGTAAGGTATCGATCCTCGCCAAGGAGCAACAGGTTCTTCTTGTGCAGCGTGTCGACGACGTTCTCTGAGTAATGCTCCACGACGTCCGGGTTGGCGAGGACAGGGACCCAGTAGCCGGAGTCGCCCTTGGGCGCTTTGATGCGGTACATGCTGAAACAACCAGGCAAACAAGTGACACCTCCGAACATGGACTCGAAAGCCTTGTTCAAGTGGTGTGAGATGTAGTACTCGAACACTGTGAAACAACTGAGTGACTATGATCCTCGGAACATAGACTTCTAGACTGACCTTGGATCATCGTGACCCACGTCTCTGCCTTGTTCGCGATCTTCGTCTCGCCGCAGAGGCCCATGATCTCGTAGTCGTTGACCATGCACGATACCATACGGCTCAGCGAGTCCGGGAAGACCTTCGTGTCGGCGTCCACGCACAGCACGAGTTCGTAGCGATCCGGACTGATGCCCGTCACGCGCCAGATGGAGTTGAAGAACTCGTACTCGAACGTCGTCATGCGCTCGTCAAACATGACCTTTTGCATGAACGACATGAGCACGATCTGACTGTCGCGCTTGCCACGGTTGCCCGGCTTCGCGTCGTTGGCCTCGAGCGGGTTGCCGACCTTCGCCACGAGGACAATGGGCACGCGCTGCTGCTTGGACCGCTCGACCGTCGCGTTGTCGTAGTGGTAGAAACCGGCGTAGACCTTCGCCATGTTGTGTCGCTTATGACCGTCCGCAATCGCGACATAGGAGTGCGCCTCGACGTCGCTCGGGTCGATGACGAACTCCTTCATCATGGTGAGACAGATCTCGGGGGTCGTAAGCGTATTGCCGGCACCCTTGACCATGCCGTCGGCGATGATCAGGATTAGCTTGTGGCTGTTCGGATAATCCGTAGTAGCGAGGGAATCGAGGGTGGTGCGGAGACCCTCCACAGACTCGGAGTACGCAGTGACGAGGCAGACCGTGTGCACAAGGGGGTAGCCGTACGGCTCGTAGTCGGGCGCGGGTTGGGGGATGACATTAGGGTCGAGCGGGAAGGGGCAGGGGTTGTCGGCGAACATGCGTTGCGAGTCCGCGACTAGCGAAGTCGAGCTACGAGACTGGCGGTAGGCAGGGGTATCGGGCGGGGAGGGTTTAATGCTCTTGCCGCTGGACCCGTAGATGCTCGAGGTGCCGGAGCGTTTGTAGGGTATAGGCTCCAGCATGCCGTACGACGTGGGCGTTCTCCCTCCGACGCCTTTCATCACGCTCTCCGATGGTGTGAAGCGGGAGGTGTTCGGGAGGAAGGTGTGGCGCTTGTTGGACTTGGGAAGACCGTTCTTCTGCACGTTCGGGCGGTACTGGCTGGGGGCGGGACGGTATATGTCTTCCGTCCAGTTCTCGATCTCGGCCGCACGCGCCATACGCTCCTCGTACGTCTCCTTCTTGAAGTTACCCAGCTTCCACGAGAAGAACCACGCGAAGAGGACGGCCATGACGAAACGAATGCCGACGACACCGATAATGAAGACCAGCGAGACGTACAGAACGACCTGGGAGGCGACACATCCGATGCTCTTCGTGTCGACGAAGCCGACGGTGGCGACATCCTGCAAGCACTTCGCGAGGGTTTGCTGGTTGGTGCGAGAGAAGTACATGCTCAGGTCCTTGCCGTTGAACGTGCCGTTCGGCTTCTTGAGCTCGTCAAACAGCGCCGGGTAGTCGACCTGTGACTTGTCCAACCACTGCAGGAGATTGAGGTCGATGACAGATCTATGCAGCACCAATTAGCACCATACCGTGAGAGACAGCGTGATACTTACGATTCGAAGACAGCCAAGTTGCGGCTCGAGTTGTGTATGTTGTCCCATGTGTAGTATACTTGGCCCTGAGGTCGTATACTGGCGAGCTGGGTGCGCGCGGAGGACGCTGTGTGGCACGTCGTCGACGACCCGTAGTTCGTGAGGTTGACGCCGGACGTCCCGAACTGGTTGTAGACGTTGCACGGAAAGTACCAGTCCAAGTCGCCATTGGACCCGCTGATGGTCGAATTGGCCGCCTTCGTAATGAGCGTGCGGCAGTTCTGGTTCACGTTCTGGAACATGAACGAGATGTCCGCGCCCGCGGCATTCCAATCACCCTCGAACAGGGGATTTGACTTGCCGCTGAACTGTCCGACAGCGGGATGGTCGAACTTGCTAAAGTCGTAGTCGTACCCATGAATGATCACGGAGGCCGTGTCGATAGTGCCGGTTTGGAAACGATTAGGCTGGGTGCCACAAACGACCTCCGTGAAGCCGAAGGTGATAAAACCGACGATAGCCATGAGGCAGAATATGATGAATAGCAGGCCAATCTTCTCTCTCCATGCACGCTGTTGCTCGGGTGTACGGATACCTGTGACACGTTAAGCTAACACATTCCACGAGTGCCAAGGAACAGCGATTTACCGAATGTGCTGAGAACAAGCCCGGGAATCCACCATGTTAGAACCCAGCAGTAGATGTACCACGCGTCCTTGGGGCCCGGACCAATATTGTCGAGGCAACCCCTCGATTTCCCCATCTCGAGCGTTGGAGTAGACGCTGTCGACTTCTTTCGCCTCAGGGTACCCCGCTTGAATAGCGCAAGACCAGACTCGTGCACATCCTCTTCTCGGCCAAGGAGAGACTTGCCGCGGCGCAGCTGCCCTCTCGTGGGCGCATTGCCGGTCGCTAATCGGGAGAGCGGGGATTGAGAGGGGGGTTCGGCGGGGATCTACACAAGAAACTCAAGACTACGCACTGGAGGGGATGGCGTCGCCACCATCGTTAACCATTTGTGCGGTGTGGTTGCGGTAATGCCACTGCCTGTGGCCCGGGTCGATCTTCTCTCTGTCGGGCCTCACCAGGCTCTTTTTCCTGCCCACCCTGCCATCTGCGCCAAAACCTCCTTCTACATCCACTGGAGGAGGCGAGGTGCTCTGGTAAGCCGAATAGAGTCGTTGGCGATTCTGGTCGAGACGTTCGTTTCTGTCGCCGGCTTCCTGATTCTGGAACGAGATGCCCCTCGGATGATCTTGTGGATACCCCGGGCGGTAAGTCGAGGCAGGCTGGTCAGGATACGAAGGGTAGGCAGGGTACGACGGGGAGGATGGGTATGACGGAGGAGACTGTGTCGGAGCCTGCATCGGCTGGGTCGAGGGCGGGCGTGTTGAGCGTGGCGGACGCTGACCTCTGTGGTCCATGGCGGGCAAAAGAGAGTGATGTTCACCGCATGCACGGTGAGCAGGGAGGGAGGAGGAGGGCTCGACGTCGTCAAGGACGGCGATGAAGGGGGGAGGTGAGCGCGTGGGTGGTGGGTCCTGTCAAGGTATCGCCACCATCGATAGCTATTTACCGCGCTTTGTTACCACGGCTAACTCGGCATACAACCACTTTCTTACTCCTTCACACAAGAATTAACTCCGTCACTAACACGCTTTATATGGTGGAGTAATATGATGCACACAGTTACTAGCCTACCCACGCCTCGAGGTTTCCAACCACCTCGCCGCAGGCCTGCGTTGTGCACAGTCGCACACTGAGACATTATTTTTCAGAATATAAAGCTGATCAAGTGTGCAGCATGTGCTCCGACAAAATCCCATCGGTCAGTACTATAATTACCATAGCGCTGCGGAAGCGGGTGGTATGGCCGGGCTGCCCATGTCTTGCGAGGATGGGTTTGTTCGGACACAGTGGGAGAGCATGCTGACACAGTGAAAAGCCTGAGAATGCCACAAGAGCTACTCCGCGCTTCGCCAGACTTCGCCCTATCGAAACGGCCGGCGCCCCTCAAGAATCGGACAGAAGAACAATCGGTATCATACCAGCCGCGTCGAGGCTTGGTTTGTACGCCGGGGCGGTCCGATAGAAGGCCCATGGGCCAATATGCGGTACAACACAGCAAGGGCGAGAAACATACACGTGGGACCGTCGGATGTCATGTAATCTCCCGTACGTCTCCTTCACTATCTCGGAGCTGTGCAGAGCGTTCGACCTCCTACGAGGCTAGGCATGTCGTCGAGGGGGTGCGACGTACGTCGCAGGGGTGTGTGATATGCCAGCTGCGGAGCCTTCAAAGAGGCTTGCTAGGCAGTTGCGTGGGCAGGATGCCATAGCGCTTTTTGATGGTCACTCGGTGACGTGAGAACTTGTCATCCGGGGAGAATCGTGCTGGGTGGGGGTGAGACGGTTGGGTAGAGGAGCGAGTGTTGGATGAGCGAACCTGGGTGCGCAGACTTGGTGATCTTGCCCGTCTCTGTGATTTTCTGCAGGTCTGTCAGAACATTTATCTTGCGTCGGATATTTCCCGCTTACCTTGAGGGTGTACACCCTGCTCCCGTTCTCGTCAATCGTGTACATAAGATGCATGGCGGGTGAGGGTGTTGGTGGCGGCGAGGACGAAGGAGAAAAATGAAGCGCTCGTTGCTCGTCGCTCGTCGGCGCCGGACCGAACACAGCGTCTCCGATATTAGGCGCGCGTCGGGTAGGATGAGAAATCCAAGGGAAATCGAATGACTTCGTCGTCGAGGCGGTTCGTCTGCAACCACATAAACTATGGCGAAAACCCACCAGGTGCTAACGACACCTCCCCAGGGCACCATCGTGCCTGAGCACTCGTACAACGACGATCAGAAGGCGCAGATACAGGCTTTGCGAGAGGTGCGTACCCCAGCCCCCAGCGCGGCTCGTGGTCGGCTAAACCCGCGTCTTCTACCCAGTATGCGGAAACCGCGCTACTGCCAGAGTCGGACTCCTATCGCCCATGGGAGCTGCGATGGCTGGACAAGCCGGACACCATGGTGCGCTACATGCGCGCGGCAAAATGGAATCTGGAGGACGCGAAGCGGCGGCTGAAGGACACCATGGAATGGCGACGCGATTTCAAGCCCGATTTGATTGCTCCTGACGAGGTGCGTATCCTGTTTATCCGCTAGTCGTGGTCGTCAGTCGTGACGTCAATTGCGCCCGATTTTTGCCAGGTACGCATCGAGAGCGAAACTGGAAAGATGTGAGCACCTTCTACTTCCGCAAGGTCACGCCACCGACGGTGGTCCTGGGATCGACAGCATCCTCAACGGTTTCGATATTGATGGCCGGCCGATCATATACATGCGCCCTGGCCGGGAGAACACCGAGACGAGCCCCCGACAACTCCGGCATTTAGTGTGGTGTTTGTGAGCCTTGTTTACTGTCGTTCAGTGCTTCGGGATCTCACAGCATCTCGTCGGCAGGGAACGGGCAAAGGACCTCATGCCACCAGGTCAAGAGTCTGTGACGATTATTATAGATTATAAGAGTACCACTCTCAGGACTAGCCCTTCTGTTTCCATTGGACGCAAAGTCAGTACATGAGTTCCACTCAAGTCTTAGTTTCTTCCGCTCACCTCGTTCGGATGATGCCCGGAACAGGTACTGAATATCCTGCAAAACCACTACGTCGAGACCCTTGGCAGAGGCCTTATTATCAACCTTCCATTTCTTCTGAACTTTTTCTTCAAGGGTATCACTCCGTTCCTGGACCCTATAACACGGGACAAAGTCAGTATACTTCTTTGACCTTATGTATATTGGCGACTCACCCCGGACTTGTAGATGCGGTTCAATCCTGACCTTTCGGAGCTTGTTTCGAAGGAACAGCTCGACGCAGACTTCGGCGGTGACTTCGAGTACGAGTTCGAGCCCACCAGCTATTGGGAGCAAATTGTTACGTACGCGTCGAAAGCCCATTCTGATCTCTCGCCGTCAACTGATTTATATGGCTCATAGGGCTTGCAAAATTGCACCAGATGGAACGCGAGTTGCAGACGCACCTCCTTCTCAGCCTGACGCCTCTGTCATTTCGCCCCCGATTGAGACTCTCGCCGAAGTAGATGCTATCGCGTAAGTGCTCGTGGTAGTCGTGTGCATCAACATACCATTAACGGCAACTGCAAAATAGAAGAGAACAAGCTGTCTCCGCAATTCCTCAGGGCGCTGAGGAGGTTGCCGTCATAGCCTGACGCCTCTCAGTCCGCCCTGCGACGGCGAGACAGCTCCTGATGCCGCAAAGCACCCCGCACTAGTCCCTAACTGTATCTCATGCCTCCCTAGAGCATCGCCCACATCGCCGCTGCCACCATTTTTGTTGTTGTCACTCCTAATGTATCAATGCCCTCATCTATTTATCCGAAACGAGCACAGGCCCTGCTACAGGCCCGAGAGTGTCAGTACCCTTACATTTAGTGGCTCGGGAACGACGTCCCCAATCGCCGCGGGCGGCGGTGAATATATGCGCACGCACCTGAATTGCTGTCAAACCTGGCGCCCGGCGCTGCATGGAAGCAGTAATTCCTCTGCAGTCCTCAGCGTACTTGACAGCCCGTAAGCTAAAAGAGCAGACCGCGGTTTCATCAGCGAGCCACAAAGATCATATAAAATCACGTCTGGCGCGGCCAAATCCCCAAGTACGCGCGTCCTCTCCCCACGGCCGTCCGTTCTCGTCCGCCCTCATTCCGCAGACTGAAGCCCGCCATGGTCAAATCGCGTGAAGAGGTCATCGCGGAGTTCCATGAGGACGTCAACATGACTGTTGAGGAGCTCGAGAAGTGGCTCGAGGACCCAAAGAGCACCAAGGCGGGCACCGGGGTCGGCATCGAGAGCGGACACAAGATTATCGAGATTTTGCGCAAGAATCCGGACAAGGACCCGGAGAAGTATGACGAGGTGAGCAATTCGACACTTTGCGATTGGCATGTATCGTGAAGTGCAGAACTGACTTGTGGCCATGCAGGATGATATCGCGCACATGCGCAAGGTAGCCAGGTGCGTGTCCAGGATACACTTGCTGGAAGTGGGAGTGAAGACTGACCTGCCGGTAGTTACATTAAGCGACACTTGGCGCAGGAAGATCACTTGAAGGATATCAAGACGCGCGAGGAGCTCGAGAACGCGAAGAGCACCATCAGGTCAGTCCGTTTGCTGAGTGCATGATGACAAGCACTAACGCCCTCGCAGCCTCAAGAACTGGGGTCATGTAAGTTTGAGTGACCGTGTGATACGACTGTCATGTTGACACCGTGTTATCCTCAGGATCCCTTGAAAACGTTGGACAAAGAGGGACAAGCCAAGGGGGCGGAGGAAGATCCGGAGGTTGACGTAGTAGAGAATGGTGGCACAGGCAAGAGTGGCACTGCGGACGCGCAGGAGGACGGCGAGTCGAGCAAGAAACCTCAGAACGGCGACAGTACATCGGCGAACAAGCGCAAGCTTGATGCGGACGACTCTGGGGAGCGAGACGGGGGCCCTGTCGCAGCAGAGTCCGTCGCAGCCGACACAGCAGCTGCAGCGAAGGATGTCAGCGTGGATAAGGAGGATGGTGAAGGAGTCGACGAAGACTCAGCGGACCGTCCACGGAAGAAGTCGAAGGTGAATGGCGAAGAGTAGTATGGGCTGCGGTGTTGGCATTCGAAGGCTCGTCGACATTCATGTATTCTGTTACTCGTTCCACACGTCGGCGTTCTGTTATAATGATATAAATGCGCAGTACTCCGCAGTATACTTCGTGCACGTAGTGCGACGCGCTGCCAGGCCGCCCTCCAATCGAAGCCTGTCTGCTCATCAGCCTGAGCGAGCATCTTCAGGTTCCGAGTGAGAAGTTGGTGTAACAGCATCGCACCTATGTGCGTTGTGCCTGTCTTCAAGACCCTGCTTGCGAGGGTGTCGTTTGATTTTGAGGTCGATATATAGTCGAGGGCAGGATGCTACTGCGGTGGCCATCAGATCTGGATCTCGCTATGTGGGGATGACTACCGCTTCGGGTCATCTTCGGGCAGGAGAATATATGCCATGCTTCCAGCCGACTCCCGAGTCGACCACCAGGCCTCTTCCCTGACCTCTGCAGCTGTGACCGCGACGACTGACAACCGCCGCCCCCCGTCCAGCTCAGCGGTCGCCATGCTTCGCTCACTGTCTCGATCAATGCCCAAGACCAGGCGATCATCGACCTACGACCTCCCACTCACTGGGCGCGAGCGCCAAGGTCCCCGTCAGTGGTGGGCACGGTTCCACACCAAGCGCATCCTCCGGGTGGTCGTCTTCGCTTTCGCTGGTCTCTTCGCAATACGCCTATTCTTCGGCCTGGACGCGTTCGTCGCGGTCGTCAAGAGCGAGGCGGACGATGGGAAGCCACCGCTGTACGAGAAGTACCACGAGTGGGAGTTGAAGCTGCCTCAGCACAACCCGGACTTGCCACCACCTGAAGGACGTCATGGGCAGTACATTTGGATGGCGAATCATGTACATGGTGCGTCTATCTACGCGCTGTCATCATGTGCGGCGTTTGATGCTGGCGGACAGCTTCCGGGTGGGGTAATGCTATGCAAGAGCATTTGCTGAACGCACACCTCGCGTACGAGTCCGGACGCTCGTAAGTCTCAGCCTCAGAGGTGTCAATGTCGGTCTTGAAATGTATCTTGGTGACTTAGGCTTGTCTTCAACAACTATACGTGGAACAAGGACGGGTCAGACTATTCCGACTTTAACGGACACCTCATTCCCTCTCGTGTGCCGCTTGCCGCCCTCATACGAGGTATGTCATCACCTCCGCATACGTGTTCTTGGTCGAGAACACGATGTGGTACACGCCCCTCGTCGGTCCCTTGTGTATTAATTATCCCTTGCTTTACAGGGCCTGCAGCCGGAGGAGCGTTTGCCCCTGGAGACCCCGCACCACGAGCGGTTACCAAGGAGTACTTCGATGAAGTGTGCCCTCCCAGCGAGCGGCATGTAATCATGAGCGAGGAGGTCACGAACGCATACGAGTCCGAACAGCATGCTGGAAAGGTATTGGACGCCTGGGTCGACAAGCTTAAGACCCTGCCACGCTGCGTAGAAATCAACGAGCTCTCTGCCCAAATATTCAGCATCTGGTATGTCATACACTGGGTAATGCTCTAGGATTTGACACGACCAACTGCCTATAGGATATTCGGAAGCCAGCGCGTGCTTGGTATCTGGCCCTCTCTGAAAACATCGCCCATCCTGACCGAGTTCAGGTGGTCACAACTCATCGAAGACGCATACACGCTGAACCGCCGCCTCTTCACCCATGTCTCCTGGCTCTCCAATCTGTTCTCTACAGACGCATACCCCTACGATGTGATACCCGGCCTGCTCGCGCTCCACATCCGGCGCGGCGACTTCGAGGGCCACTGTCTGCACTTCGCGAAGTGGTCGTCCCAGTACAACGGCTTCAACCAGTTTCCCGAGCTCCCCGACCACTTTGCGCAGCCCGAGCAGGCAGGCTGGGGCGAGCCCACCGAAGAGGGCAAACAGATCTACCTGCGCCACTGCTTCCCGGTCATCCAGCAGATCGTCCAGCGCGTGTCGGAGGTGCGCGCGACGCCCGCGGGTCAAGGTCTCAAGGATATTTACATCATGACGAACGGGAAGAAGCCATGGGTTGCGGACCTCAAGGCTGCGCTGAAGGCAACGGGCGGATGGGACCACATCGCGAGCAGCCGCGAGCTCGTGCTCAACAAGGAGCAGCAGTATATCGCACAGTCCGTCGACATGCTGATTGGGCAGCGCGCGCAAGTGCTCATTGGCAATGGGGTGAGTGCTTTCGTGTTTCTGAGATCGCGGGCAAGTACTAACGTACATTGCTCGCGTGTTCGCAGTTCTCAAGTCTCACCTCAAACATCGTCATGATGCGAATGGCGAAGGATCTACGTCCTGACTCAAATCGCTTCTGGTAGTTCTGTTGCGGTGGTAGTTCTCCCGGGGATCGGCTCCTATTTTGTATACTGGTCATATTGGTTATATTCACGTAATGACTAATGGTTCTACTACATCTACTCAACCGTCTCGACGCATGGTCACTATTGGAGATCCCCTTCTCGTTGAGTCGAGTTACTCGTGAGTTCACCCCAGGCTGTGGACGGAGTGCTGGGCGCTTCTGTGGCACTTTGGAAACGAGCGCCCAAGGGAAGACCCTGTGGTTAGGGTCAAGGCGCGCCTGTAAGTGATGTTTGTTCGTGTTTGTTACTACACAGTACCTCTCAGCCACCACCGCCGACGTTCCCGCCCCCACCGCAAAAGTAAGGCCGCACCCGTCCTCAAGATGTCCTCCGATCTCCAGTGGCTCCTCCTCCGCGTTCGTAACCCTCAGACACGTCCTAGGCTATGCTCGTGTCTGACATGATGATCCTTGGGCCTGCAGAAGTACAACTCCTTCACCGTTAAGCGGGTGGAGGAGGGCCCCATCTTCTCCAAGGAGCCGGTGAGCCGAGGTCGACTTGTTGTTTGGAGGACGTGGAAATTGACACGTACACGCGTCGCAGGGTAACCTCACCAACATCCACTCATGGAAGTACTCCGGTCTCGCTAACGAGAAGGTGTGTTTGTCTTCCAGCGATACACCGTGATTGGATGCTAAGTATGCTCTTCTGTTTGCAGACCATCACGGTCAAGGAGACCGAGACTGGTGTCCAGCTTGCGTACCGCAAGAAGAGCGCGTCTCCTCTTGCCGTCCATCCCGCTGTCTCCACCATCTCCATCCGCCCCCGGTCAGGTCCCCGCCGCGCGGCTGGTGTGACTGCGAAGCTCGCCAAGCGCGGCTACCGCCCGGACCTCCGCGCTGTGAGTAATGTTTTCACGCCTTCCTTTTTCCTTTCGCTCTCTTTATTCTGCTGTGTCGTGTTTCTGTATCTTTCTCCATTGGAGATGCACCTACTAGAGCCTGCTGGACTGCCGAAAGGCGTTATGAAAGTTGGGTGTGGACATGCGTGCAAGATCACCTGGTCTGGACGGAGGTCGATCAAACCTCCCCTGGATACGAGCCATGTCGCTATCGGGTACCGTTCGACTCTCAACGCGGTTTGCCCGACACTTTGGCACTTACATCTTTTCTATACTTATCAATTTTTCGCATACTTATTCTCTTCGTATTCCTTGTGTTTTCATTCTATCGGTCGACGCATTTACTAACCTACCTACGTTTCAGGCTGCCATTGCGCGCGTGTCTGCCCTTCTGGTTGCGAAGAAGGAAAAGAAGGCTGCGCCCCCGAAGAAGACGCGGGGCAAGAAGGCCAAGACTGCGTAGATGTATTGTGTGACCGTCCATCTGTACTCCTCGCTTTCCACTCGCATCGCATTTACGCACCCATGTCCATGCCCACACGACGAAGTAATCTATGCAGCTTCGGTCTATGCATGCAGCATATTTCCATTGAAACTACCTTTGATGCCTGCCTATGGTCGTAGACCACCCTCAGCGTGGGCTCTACACCACAAATTGTACCTCGAGCTCAGCTATCCGAGTAAAACTCTCTGCGGCTTCCTTGCCTGCGTACCCAACGGTGAGCTTCATGCATGCAGACGGACTTGATACGCTCGCCGTCTCCGTCTCCCACTTGCACACAAGTGTGATATGTATCTGTTCGCTGGGTGTACGGGGCTAAGATGACTGTTGTAATTGGTAGTTGTACCTTTTTTGACAGCATTTCCTCATGAAGCTTGAAGGTGGTGTCGGATTGGACTCACGTCTTATTAGCCAGAACTCGCAGATAAGCTTCCTATCTCACACCTCCTCATTGCTTGGATATACGTGAAGGACAAGGTCCGTGATGCATGTATGTATGATGTGTGCGCAGAAAGAGTACCATGGACAGAATAACGCAATAGGGTGCATCGGAAAACGCGTGCGCGGAGCGGAAACCGTGGATAGTAGTAGAATGCGTGTGGTAAGCTGCAGGGTATATCATAAGGAATGCGTAAATACGTGCGGCAAGAAAAGAGCGAGGATGGTGATATGTCCACAAGAATATGGATGGCTTAGATGACGCCGTGTAGTTGAAGATGACAGGAGAGACGCGAGAGGACGGATATGAGAAGAGGGGAAGGAGAGGAGGGAATGGGATGGAGGAAAACATGCAAACAAAGCGACGAGAGTGTGCAATGAATCACATACGTCCTGAGTGCGAGGGGCATCGGCGACGTCCCTCAACCCGGTCTGTTAGTCCGCGCGTTCCAGCTCGACGGTGGCGGCCCGCCCTTGTTCTTTGCGTGTTGCGTAGGCAGTGGTTCGTTCGCAGGGTTCGTCCGCGTTCTCGGCCGCTGCTGGCCCCCGCCCCCTCCACCACCGCTCCGTGCGCTCGTCGGTCCCCCTACCTCCGAACGCGCCCCAGACCCGAAACCGCCTCCGCCCCCGAAGTACTGCGAGTTGCGGAACGCCATCGATGCGCGCTCTCCAGGGCTGCCCGCGTACCCGCTCGGCTCGCCGTACGCGCTGCGTGAGCCCCAGCCAGGGCTGCCTCCGCCGTGCTCGCTCCCGCCCGCGACGCTCCCGCCGTACATCGACTGCGAGCTCGGAAACATCATCGGGCCACCCTGCCACGGACCGCCCATACCGAGGCCCATACCGCCCATCCCCATGTTCATGCCCGGGAACATCCCGCCGTTCGCGCCCATGCCACCGTACGCACCGAACGCACTCGTCGCCGAAGACCCACGTTCCCATTCCTCGTTCGCGGCAGCAAGCGCCTGCTGTGCGACGGCCATCTGGAAAGCCTGCTTCGCCGCAAGCATCGCCTGCTGGTGCGCGACCATGAACGCCGGGTCGGCGTTTGGGGGCATCATGGGGAACATGAAGTTGCCCGCGCCGGCCGGGTTGAACATGCCCGTTGGGGTCTGCGGCGCGTTGAACGACATCGGCGTCGGCGGGGTGACGTTGATCGGACTCATGCCTGCGCCCATCATTGGGCTGTACATGTTCATGCGCGGGCCCATGTTGTCCATGCGGGCGCCCTCGTCGTCGTCGTCCGTCGCGATCGGGCCCTTGCCGTTGACGATCTTACCGAGCTAAGGGAGACATTCGCGTTAGCTCCAGGGCTCAGAGCGAATAAGGCTACCCTAACTCTTACCTCGATCGCCGCCTTAGCCTCGCTGCGGCGCCGTTCGCGCCTTCTGCGCTCGTCTGGGCCAGATCCCTCCGCATTATCCACATCTCCGCGCACCCCAGGACGCCCACGTTCAGGTTCGTCGAACGTGACGCTTGCGCTCTTCCTGTGCGTGCGCCGCTGTGCACTCATTGCCGAAGGCGCGGTGGCACTGAGGTCGCTACCGTCCACCGGCGTGATGGGCGTCCGGCCACTACTCGAGTCGCCCGTAGAGCTTGCAGGGCTGTTACCGCGCAGGCCAAACCCAGAGCTTGACTCCGCGAACGGTCTCGGCGGTGTGGGGAAGGACGAGAACGCCGCAAGGGAAGAAGTGCGGCTGCGAGGGAACGGAGCGTTGGCCTCGGAGACGGGGGACGGCTGCGGCGATGGCTTCAAAGCAGACTTGAGGGGACGCATTGTCGGGGACGAGGCGGACGAGCCAACATTGCGGGTGTCGGGGCTTGTGGTGCGAGTAACCAGGCGCGGAGGCGGCAGGTCATGGGGCGGCGTGTCGAGCTGCGAGTTCCGGCGCACGTTCGACCTTGACCGTGACCGTGCGTCCACAGAGCTTCCCAGAGGAGACGGCGAAGGCGAGATTGAAGGCGCTGGCGCTGGCGATGACGAGATGATGGTACTAGCACGCTGTCGTCCAGCGCGCGTAGGGACGGCGCCACTTCCAGTCGATTGACCGGACAATGACGAAGTCGACCCGGCTGCGGCTGCAGCCAAGAGACCACCACCAGTGAACCCCTTCGATCGCGCCTGCTCGCCATCGGCAATGAGAGTGGATGCCCTTGCGCGGCTCGTCCTGACCGTCTCTTCAGATGCTCGTGAATCAGCATGCCACTGTGGCTCTTGCTGGTTGAGGGCTCCAATAGACAACATAGAGAACTGGGACGTGGGCCGGGACGTGACCGCAAAAGCCGGTGGTGGCGTCCGCGTGCGGATGGGGGTAGGCACGATCGGAGGCGCGTCTGGGGCGGCCTTGCCATCGTGCTGTTTGACGTCTTCAAACGTCGCGTTTGGCGAGGACATCGAACGTCCATTCGGCTTCCTCGGCGGCACAGGCGAGGGTGATGGTGAGGGCGAGGCTGTTGCTTTCGAAGGGAATAGAGTGGCCTCCGGGGGTTGCGTCTGACTTCGTGTAGGGGGCTTGCGCCCCCTGCCGCGCTCTTTCTCTTCCTCCTTTGACCCATCTTGGCTACTGTCTGTAGACGGCGACTGGGCGCCTTTGGCCAGAAGCGCTAACCTATCATTCAAGCTAGGTTTCGCGGCGTGTGTCGGTGTCGTCGGTGGCGGGGATGCCTGCTTCTCCTTCTCACGCCAATTCATCAGGCTCTTCCTGTCGTCAACTGGCGACTCCTTCGCAGGAACAGGCGGCCGGTCGACAGGAGGTCGAATAGGCGGTGTCGTTGCGATCGTCGATATGTCAATGAGTGGCTTTGGCGGTACACGCGACTGCGCTCGTGTCGCCGACGACGGCGCGGACGATGCGGCACTGCCAGGGCGCCTCGCACTGATGAGCGTGGCGAGTGGTGCATCATCTGACGACGATGAAGAGCTGCTTGAGCTAGAAGATGAAGAAGAGGAACGGATAAGGATAGAGTGGGGCTTTGGAGGAGCTGGCTTGGTTGCAGAGGTTTGAGGAGAGGAACCTGCTAGATTATCGACAAGAAACAGCGTTGAGTGATGCCCGAAATCCAAAGTAGCGGTACAGCGGACATACCGGGTTGTCCTGGCGTCTGGATCCCAGGGCGCTGTTGTGGGCCCGACTGGTGAGAAACCATCCCTGAAGGACGGCGGGCTGAAACATCGGGCTGCAGGGCTGAGGTCGAGGCTGATGCACGAGGTCGCGAATAGAGCCCAGCATCCTTCCCGGCTGGGGCCGCAGGAGGAAATGCAGAGTGCGAGGAGGTTGATTTCGCCATACGTGGAGATGGTGAAGGGCTAGGACGCGCTGCTCGATGGCCCAGCTCAGATATGGACTTCTGCCCGGGGCTTATAGGTGATTTCGTGCTGCCTTGGGTAATCGTGCGATTGCGACGCGGCTTCAACGTGGAGGAGGCTTCCGAATCATCGTCCTCGGAGTCATCGGAACTACTGGAAGACGAATCATTTGACTTGGCTGCACCCGAAATCCTTGCGGAGGAACGGTTCACGAAGGATGATGGCGGTCGTAGACCGGCCGACGATCCTGGAGAAAGGGCGTCATGGGAGAACGAGGGTACCGGAGAGTTGGCGGCGCTGCGCCGTGCATGCGCTTCTCGGAAGGCAGCAACCGAGATACGCTGCGACGAGTCCGACGCAAAGCTGCCTTCGCGCGGGCGAGGGCGCACAGGTGGTAGAATGGAGACTGAGTCGCTTGGGGATTCAGGGCGGACATGACGGAATGAACGCAGGTTGAATGAATCTGGATCCATGGTACTGTCGGGAAGCGGCGCGGGTGAGTCCAACGTTCGTGGGGGCGGTGGTGGCTTGGACTTTTTTCGTTCTCGATGAGCCCAGGAGAAGATGCCTTTGTTAGGCTTGGGAGGTAGGGGAGGAGAGGCAGCATCTGAACCGAGGTCGATCCACTCTTTCGAGTTCGAGTGTGAGGATGCTGTGGGCTGCACTGGTAGGGATCTCGTGGAGAGCGCATTCGTGGGGTCGTCATAGGCAGCAAACACCGCTGATCTACGTGGAGGAATGAATAGGTTATGGTCGGACTCTGACCTGACAGCAGAGAAGCTGGACGGTGGAGAGAGTAGGTTCGTGTCGGTCCGAGAGACGAGGGGCTTCTTGGACCTGAGACCCAGCTTCAGCTTCGAGGATGAAGCTCCCGAAGGACCCGCGTAGATGGATCGCGGCGGCGCACTCGCGGCTGAGTGCAAAACATAGTCGGGGTCGCTGGAGTCGAAGTCGGAGGTGGTGCTCGTGGAGTGCTCGGTGGCCGCGTCCTGCGTCCTGTGCTTGTCGCGCTTTCCAAAAATGCCCAGGAACGGCATGGGCGCGTCGAGTCGGGGAGCGAGCTCGACGGCGGGGACGGAGAGGAGGAGGAGGGAGGCGACAAGCGGGGTGGAGGAGAATGAGGCCAATTTCTGGGCGTTTCGCGCGTCACTCCTGCCATTTCGGTATTTGATCGTGTTTGTCGCCAACGACCGCTCCGGCCTCCGCGCCATCCTCCCCATCCTCCGTGCCAAGCACGTTGTTTCGGACTTCCCCTCCTCCCTCCACCCGACCGCCTCCGTCAGGCAGTTTGGGCACTTTAAATGACCGGGATGCTCTCGGGAGTCTGAGCACGCCTTTTCTACTGGCCATTGCTCTTGCCCAGATCAGGTTCCAACGATCAAGACACGCATTAAGGTGGTCGTGCTCTCTCCGTACGTCCCAGTACGTGCCCATGCCGCACCCTCCTTCCCTCTTCGATTTCTCCCGTTCGACCATCCAGTTGCTCACCCTCGGGCCCTGTGGTGCGATTGGACGAGTTCTGCCGGGTGTGTTCTCACATGCCGTACGTCTGCCGCAGTTGAGTTCAAACAAGGTTACCCATGCCCCATGCGCTAACAGAATATTTCCGCGCTGCAACCACGCTCCCGCCACGTCTTATCGAGCTCCATGTCCGCGTGTGCGTGATCTGAGCTTGCGCTCGAGCAAGAACGCGTCGAACTCCTTACGCTGAGGTAGAGTGGCATTTCCCACTCAATGGGAGTCGCCGTTTCCTTCGTGACCATTTGGCTGCATGGTCCGACAACCGTGGTCAAGTTGACCTATTCACAGGTGTCCTACATTATGTGCTTCTTCGCCATGTGCATCAGTAGATCTACCGCAATCACCGTAAGCACGGAGCCTATTACCGGGCCCATCGCGCCTTAACGAGGCCGCGGTAAGCATTCCGTGCAGGTGAGTCTTCAGAGCAACACCGTACTTAAGTATTGCTAACCGGTCCGCTTCTTCCCATTAGTGCTACAATACGTCGATTTTGTACATTGTGAGAGTAAGCAACAAATGTATACCCGAGCATTAAAACAAACGCAGTTTGGTGAAAGAGCGCGAGCTTGAGATGCTATGGGAAGAAAACATACGCGTCCTTTGCCTTCCTTGCTGTACATCCGGGCGTTCGAAGACAACCTTTCGACCTACATGGAGAAGGTTATTGTCAGACATACATATCTGTCTAATAGTAGCAGGACAAAGAGCGTGCGACGTACTGGGGTTCACCGGTTTTCCGCTCACGGCAGCCTTGAGCGCCTCCAAGACTTCTCCTGTCCACTCAACGTATGCATGTAGCCTCCGCAAACGATCCCCTCCGGCCATGCCGAGCTCGTCCTCCTGCACGGCGGACCACACGCTGCTCAGCACCTCCACGAGCTCGTCGGTGACCAGCTCCCGATCTTGCTGCACCAGCTCTACCAAGAGCGGGACCATGTTGCTGAGTCCAAGACAGATGTACAGCGACGGTTCACGCCAGAGTGACGTCCGGAGGAAGTCGCGGAATGAGGCGAAGGCGCTCCGTGTACGTGTGCGGACCGCTGCCCGCTCCTCTGCAGAGAGGCCGGGTGTTGTCTGCCGGAGGGCGCAGTGGATGATCAGCTCGACGCTCTGGAGGTAGTGCCGGAGCGTCGTCGATGGGTCTGACCCGCCGGGATTGCGTGTTCTCCATTCGGCCATGACCATCACTATATGCGGGCACGAGGTGAGGTCATGTTTCCGAAGCGATGGGTATACACGCACCTGTGCGGATCCCGCTGCTCGTTGACTCAGTCTGGAGCACGCCTTGCTTTCTTAGATGCATGACTATCTGGAGGAACGCCAAGTCCGCGGGCGCATTGTTGTCCATGGCGAGGATGCACATTAGCTTCAGCCCGTCATTATCGAACACGTCGTCTCTCTGTGGAGGGAGGCGTCCAAGAAGGGTCATGACGCCGTCCTCCCAGCACTGGTCGCGTTCCGTGCGTCCGACCGTCAACATGACTCGTAGCATATCATACGTGTGTTGCGGGAACTTGTCCTGCACGCGCGAGACCTGCTCGCCCCACACGCGCGCCCGCGCCGCGAAGATCTTGTCGTAGCAAGCCATGGCCTGCTTCCATGGGAGGTCCACGAGAAGAAGCCGCGTCTTGTCGAGACAGCCCGCATCGAAGGTAGTCGTGTACGCCATCGCCACAAGGTCACCCTCCAGCGCGGGCGTTGTTTTCGCCACCTCCAGCTGTTCGCGCCCATACCAGGCCGGAAGCTCCTTCTTCGCGACGCACACGACAGCATACATCCTCCAAGAAAAGTCCGCGAGCGAGCCGATGAGGCCACCGGTGCGGCGCCACTGCTTTGTGAGGTTCCAGGCGTTCTCCACTATGCTGAAGAGGAACTGCCTGATCGCCCTGCGGACACCTCGCAACGCTATGAAGATGCCAATGGCTTGCGGAGAACGATAGCAGCAGTCCACCCTGAGCACCGGCAGGAGGGTCGTCACGGCGAGGAAGACGAAGAGCGTGCCGACGAGAGCGCTCGCAACGGCGGCCACCGTCCCGTGCAATGTCCATAGCAGGATCACGAGCCCGGTGAGGAAGAGTACGAGCGCGATCTGGAGGAGGATCGGGATAACGATGACGATACCCCCGACCCGCCAGCGGCGGAGGCTGTTGACGCGGTACTGCCGGATGCGCGCACTCTCGCGGGACGTGCCGGACACGCCCACGCTGAGCTCGTGCAGCCACTGCTTGACCATGAGCGCGATAGAGGCAGACGCAAGCGAGCACACGAGACTCGAGAACCACAGGGTGTTGATCCATACGGCCGAAGCGGGCGCGCGGAACGGTGGGTTCACTTCGTCCTCGGAGAGAGCGGGCTGCGTGGAGTTGAGGAAGGACGGATTAACGGAGAAGCTGGTGAGCTGCGCGGAGATTCGCTCGAGCACCGCGAGTGTGGGATCGGTGGGCTGGGGCTGGAGCAGCTGATAAGACTGCACGTTGAATGCCGTGAGGACCGCGGAGAACAGACCGGCCTGGCGGAGGATATGCGGGTGAGCTCGCGTGCCAGGAAAAAACTACAAGGAAGACCAACATAAACCAGGAGGGTGTCCATCTCTTCCTTCCATCTGTCCACGAGCTCGTCGTTGTACGTCTTCACGAGCTCCGCAGAGTGGGCCCATGCGTGTGCCTTATCCGCCTCGCTGTATCGCTCAGCCAATGTCTCGCGAAGATCCTAGACATGGGTGTATATCAGATTGGGAACGTTTGTTGGAGGCCAAGCACCTCCTACGTCAGGCCCAGGTAGCGTCCACACATCATCAACGCATAGGGTCGCGTCCGAGTTCTACGGCGGCAGTGTCGAATGTTAGTCAAATTATACATCAAAGCAACCCACGAAGACGCACCGTGCTATCACTGGTCTCTAGCCTAACTGGGCGAGATGATCCTGCGTCAGCAGAAGACGCAGCTTGTTCTGGAGATGCAGGTGACTCGGAGGACATTGGCGAATTGCTAGGCGGGGGATCGCAGGCAGGCAGGTCTCGTCCTTGAGGGCCGGAGGAAAGAGTTCAGCTGCGCATCCCGAAATTTCGCGCGGCCTGACAATGTCAACATCTCGGTACTAGGACGCCCCCTCGAGCGTTCAGCACAGCATTGCACGGCTTTTGCATTCGAGAAAGAAATACTCTGGAAGCACTGAGCAGGCGATAGGAAAAGCCCGGCGACGATCTCAGTAATGATAGATGACGGGTAGATCTCACGGGGCTGTGTGAGACCAGGTAAGACCGGTTTGAACGTACATGAATTTCTGTAGACAGATAGTTTCGTGAGCATGTACGCCGATGTTGCAATGTCCTGAGGTAATGATTTTGAGGAAATTTAAAGATGGAAACGATGGTCTCGGGTGACCTCTATATGAAGAGCCGCTCTTTGGAGTTCAACGAAGTTAGCAGTGTCGGGATTTCCCTTTTATGGAAGTGTGGCGGGACCCAGGCGTCTATACCACATGAGATCAGGCGACATGACTTTTTATAACTTGAACTCGACCACTACTGAAGACGGCTGCACCCAAACACTTTGGCGAGCCTGGTATATTCTGTTAATTTCTGCCACCGCAGGTGTGACTAGCTGAGTGAGGAGAATACCTTGTATCCTGCTAACTCTTTGAGAGTCCTCTGAGCTCTGCGTAAGTATATGAAGTCGCAATTTACACGAGAGGTTCGTGGCTTCAATGGCGAGCTTGTGTATCTTGCCCCCAGTAATACTAATATTTTACAGCCCGAAAATACACAGCAACGTTACCACGATATCAAACGACCCGGGAATCGCACAATTACCGACGTGCAATGACAGGCGTGAGCCTTGAAGTCCTTTCCTGTCGGCCACAGCAAGAGGACTCAACCTCCATTATTGTCGCATAAGAAGATTAGTCCGCAGCGAAGAACCTCTTTGCATTTGTGCCAGTACTCATGGTGTATACGTGGCCGTGGAGCCATCTGCGGCCACGCGTATCCCCCGCATATAAGAGAGCCGCTACAGCTTTCATCTCGTCGCCTTCTCCGCATCTACCCTCTCATCCGCATCAGTACTCGCGCCTCTGTAAGTTTTTAGCTTATTGCGCAGCAGCCACCCCTTCTTACAGCCAATTCAGATGTCACCAGTATCGGCACGAACCGTTTACGAAAAGCAAGCACGCATATGGCACCCAGACCTGACCCCGGAAAACGACTTCCAGATCCTCGCGCTCGGAAGCAACCAGCTCGAGAGCTTTACGACTGCCGAGAAACGCGAGTGGCTACAGCACGAATGGGCGAGTACCGTCCCCGCATATGGTTCCGCGGAACAGGCCGAGCGCGACATCAAGAGATTCCTGGACGCGAAGGCACCAAAGAGTTCTTGGACGCGATGGTCGAGCCCATGAAGTGCACCCACAGTTCGATATCCGCCAACTCTAATATTGGGTGACGACATCGTGCAGGTGAAGTCTGCGCGCACGGTGATCCAGATATTCGTGACCCCCAAATGGACCTCTGGCTCTGGCTCTAGCTTGAATCTAACCCCAACGTGGAATGGAACTAGTGGAACTTGGACTTTGTGGACACAGCTACAATAAGCCTCCCATAAGCACGGAGAGTAGGGGGTTTTGTACGGTGGCGCCGGTACCTGTGGTGGCGCGGCTTGCAGCCGTAGCCGGGCGGTCTTCCGTGCTCGCTGAACGGAACCACGGCATCCTGCTGGACAAGAGCGAGAAGAGCGAGGAGAATTTTACCCGTTTGAATGGGCTGTGCTGGGCGCGAGAGGTGGGGCGTGTGAGAGGCGCCGTAACTTCACCAACAGCACAGGGCTCTCTCAAGTTCGTCCTTGTTCCACTCATTGCAGCTACTTTGCTCAACATCTGTATCAACAGGTCTCCCGCAGTTTTCGCTTGAACGTTCAACCTTGGACCGAAGAGTTCGGATTGTAGCCGCGTCAAACGTGTCAAATAGTACGCATAAGTAGCTCAAGCAACTCCGACGTTACCGCGATCATGAGAGGCGGTCTCTATTGCGGGAATCCCACAAAATACCGTGCGAGGCCCCTGCTCCTGATGACTTCATTCTACTGCCACCGTGTCCAGGCCCAAGCATCATAACCTGATAGCCCGAGGGTTTCACTGACAAGGTTTGACAAGGTTGGTTCTGCGCTTCTAGCTTCTGAGAACCGCCTTGCCCGACACGGAGCGGGATGTTTGATGAGGGCTGTGGACTGAGCACAGTTTGAATGCGATTGTACCCCGGAAGATGCCCGGCATTTGAGAGCTGTAAGCGTCGCGGTAGGTGGGAATGCGGCTACTTCTCGCAGCCGCCACTTGTACCGGTGCATGGCGAAAGTTTGATCAAAATGGGGGAAGAACACTCAGGAACATGAGGTACTCGTCCTATGCTGATTATGTTGGGCTGCGATGATGTGCCGGGGAGGGTGGGGGGTAGGAACGAGGCCTCTGCGGTGAAGTCCGTAGCCATGTGTTTTGATATCAGTGAACGCTTAGCGCCCGTTGCCAATCGGCGAGTGACAAAAAAGTGGAGAGCGTACACCGTCACCTTCATATCCTCGCCGAATCCGTCCATCTCTCTCTTTCTCTCTCTCGCCATCGTCTTCCTGTCATCCGCATACATTCGCTCTCAGATCTAATTGCCTGCTCACCGTTGCCGGCGTTACTCTCGAACGGCAGCGGCCGCCGCGAGGCTGTTCAGAACCTCATCCGCCTTCGGATCCTTTCCAACTCGTGGCCTACACGCCTCAAGCCCACGCAACCTCCTCCCCTGCGTCTAACCCTACCTTCTCCTTCTGGTTTTTTTCGACCTCCCTCTCCCTCCGCCCTTCACTCCGTCGCCCCTGTCGCCCGACTCCGTCCTATCGGTCGCCCACCCGCGCATGCTCAGCGTCCTCCCCACTGCTTCGCCGCACGATTCCCCCCGAGTCAAATTCGCAACTGCCCTCGGCTTTGCCAGTGCACGCAAAGAGCCTGCCACCGCTGCTGCCGGACCGTCTCGCCCTACCGACGACGGAGCATACCTCTCGTTCACACGACGGAGCGTCGATATAGTAACTGGCTACAGCGCCAAACGGAGACAGCGTAGGGAGCGTTCGAGTGTTACCGACAGCTCTCTCTTTGACCCCGACCCTCAAGCTCACACCGCTACCCCCGCCACATCGTCAGCCATGCCCGGAAAGAACATCTCGTCCCCCGTCATCTCTGTGCGGAGACTGCATCGCGTGGAGGAGGGTCCATGGACGATCAGTGTCGCGGAGACGCCTCACGATCCGAGCTCGTACAGTCTCTACATTAAGAGTGAGTTACATTTCTATCTATCCGCATCGCACGAGGTATCCCCGGCGGTGTCGCAGCTGGCGAAGTGTCACCTAGCTGGACCTCTCCGTCTCTTCACGTCGCACGCGCTGTGATTGGTGGTGTCATCAAGCTAGATTCCTATGTCTACCCGCGGCGCACGAGGTATGCCTGGTGGCGTTGCAGCTGGCGGAGCATAGTCCGCGGCTGCCACCCCAACACGTCGCGCCTGGCAGCGCTGGGGCTGCAGTGTGCGACCACAAAGTATTTCCCGGTGCCTCCGCTCCTCACGGGGTTATGATAGGCACGCTTGCTGTCAGTGCATCTGCCGTCACCGTTGCGCTCTCACCACACCTGACATAGCTTGCTCGGGGCACCGCAGCTAGTGGATGGGCCCACATGTTAGCGCATCTACCGCCGCCGTTCGCTGCGCTGTCGCCGCTCCCAGCATCGCCTGCTCGGGCCCGCATCCGACGAGCCTTGGCCCTTCGCGCGCGCTCGTCTGCCGCTGTTGTTCCTGATTACGTCAAAGCAGTCATCCATGAACAGCTTGTTGACACCATCCCGCAGCTCCGACGCATAATATTACCCTCACGCGCACGGCGCAGGAGGTCGTGGAACTCCATGCCAAGCTCCGCGACAACTTCCCCGGGCTGAAGATACCGTCTCCGCCAATAGACGTGGCTTCATTGCCCGTTCCGCCAAAGCGTAAATCGGCCTTCCTGAACACGCTATCCCGGCTCGCATCTCCGTCGGGCAACAAGAGCAATGGCACAAGACAGGCATCTGGCCGCCAGCAACCCTCGAGCAGCCTTTCTAGCAGTGCGGCGTCAAGTAATGCTTCCTCCAGCGCCCAAACGCCAAGCGCGACGCCCGCGAATGAAATCGGAGACCCGTTTGCTGAAATCGGCGAGAACGGCGAGGACATATCCGCTCTCGCGGCATCGAACAACAAGGTCATCACCGGGCTCGCGTCGTATCTCACATCTATCGCGAACGAGACCACCCTCCGCCAGGCACGCGCGTGGAAGCGGTTCGTACGTGTGCGCACAGATGACCTCCAGAGCGTTCGTGTGGAGCGTGCTATCAAACGTGTCCGGTCGGACATCGCTGCGCATGCGAGCCCGACTACGTCATCAGAGGCGACGAGGTCAATCAGCCAGGTCGTGTTGGATGGCGAAGACGCGGCCGAGCAAGACGGCATCAGGGAGGAGGATGCGGATGCGGATGTCGACGAGGACATTGCGGAGGGCGCGGAGGATCGTGCGGCGACGCCGGTGTCTCCCAAACCTGCGCCAAAGTCTGTCGATGGACTCAAATCGGCGGCCTCGCAGTCCGCGACCTCGAACGGCGACGTGACCGATGACGAGTTCGCTCCGAACACTCCCGTCCAAGGGGACAGTGCTGCAAGCCATTCCCGCATCATGCGGTCCCAGTCGGCGGACCCTATGGCACGTGCCTCGCGCGTATACTCGACTACTCCCTCGCAAGCCTCTCAAACCGATGCGTCGTCCGTCTCTACGACGGAGCGGCGCTCGGCGCGCAAGAAGCGCAGCAAGTCTACGGACCCGAACAGCGCAGCCAAGAAGTCGCAGCGCAAGGTAGTCGTCGACGACTTCGAGATGATGCGTGTACTGGGCAAGGGTTGCGCGGGTAAGGTCCTGCTCGTGCGCCACAAGCCGTCGCAGGATGTCTACGCGCTGAAGGCGATCACAAAGCGGCACGTGCTCGCGCACCAGGAGCTGCAGCACACGCTCACGGAGCAGGCGGTGCTAAAGCGCATGGCCGCAGAGAACTCGGATCCGTTTGTGGTGAAGCTCTGGTGGAGTTTCCACGACAAGGAGAACTTGTTCCTGGTTATGGTCGGTCGATCTTCCCGAACATGACCGTGGGTGTACCTGACAGCTTTGCTTAGGACTTCCACCCTGGTGGCGATCTCGCGACACAACTCGCGCGATGGGGGCGGCTAGGACGTGACCGCGCCCGCTTCTACGCCGCCGAGATTGTCGAGGGCGTCGAGGGCTTGCACGCTGCGGGCGTGATCTACCGTGACCTCAAGCCAGAAAACATCCTCATCGGCGCGGACGGACACATTGTTCTGACGGACTTTGGTCTCTCCAAGGAGTTCCCACGTCGGACGGCCGCCCTTACCGCTCCGTCCACGCCCTCGGGTTCAAGGGGCGAGTTCATGGACACCGCGACCGCCCCTGCTTCCACTCCCTCGACCCCTCACTGGATGAAGGGCGACGTCGCGAACGATATGTTCCAGCCCAGCTCAGGCGACACGACCAGTACGTTCTGCGGGACGGCAGAATACCTGGCACCAGAGGTCATCCAGGGCCTGCCGTACAGCTACGAGGTGGACTGGTGGAGCTTCGGCACGATGCTCTATGAGATGCTCACAGGCATCGTGAGTACCAAAGCACGGGTTAAAGGTTTAAGCTTACTGAATGCGTGTTGCGTTCGCAGACGCCATTCTGGGCGGAAAATCACTCGGACATGTACTACCGGGTGCTACAGGACGAGCTGCAGTTCCCTGAGGACAGGACGATGGACCAGGACACCAAGAGCTTGATCCGCGGTGTACGTCGCGCTTCTGGTCTCTTTCGAGAACGCACCATACTGACCTGTGTCGATAGCTGCTCCAAAGGAACCCTGCGCTCCGAATGAAAGAACCCCGGGTGAAGAAGCACCCGTACTTCTCGATGATGTACGTGCATCCTTTACTCCGTCTAGTCCGCGTCATTCTCACGACGTTTTGTTTGGCAGAGACTGGTCCCACGTGTATTATAAGCGTTACATACGTAAGTCCCTCTAAGTCCGGGTGTTCGCCAAATCTAACAGACGTGTGCAGCCCCGTATATTCCTCCAATCGACCCCTCGAATGCCAGCGATACCCAGAACTTTGACGATACCTTCCTGGGCATGGAGCCCGTAATCAACGACGAGAACGAAGAGGTCGACACCGACGCGGAGCGCACGGATACCGACCGCACTGACGGAGAGGACTCTGTCGCCACGCCGTCGCAGTCCCGGAGTCCGTCCGTGCACCCGGTCGAGGACGACTCTGTCGACGTCTTTGATGGGTACTCGTACAAGGGCCGGCATTCGGTCATCATCGACGATGAGGAGGAAGACGGGGATGGCGAGGACGAGGAGGACGAGGATGAGGAGTCGATCAGCCCCAGCCTCGACTCCATCCTTCCCGAGGAACCCGTCTCGGATGTGGCTACCGTGCCCGAGGAGGTCGAGGAAGTCACTGTACCCGAGGACGTCGGAGAGACGGAACCCAAGACTCCGGAAGCTCGCCCTGCCGCTCTGCCGACAGAACCGGAGGCACCACCAGCACTAGCACCGGTGGAACCGGCGAAGCCGGAGGCTGCTCCGGCGCCCAGCCACGACCGCACTGCGACCACGGTGTCCTCGGCGGAGGCCGCTGCTGCCGCCGCAGCTTCACGCACAGCGGAGGACGCCAACATCAAGACCGCACCGAAGGTCCGCGCGGGCAAACAGAACCGCAACCGGCGGGAGAAGTCTGGCATTCCCGCATTGGACCGGGACATTCCCGACGCGCGCACAGAAGACGAAGGTCTGGCGGATCGCGAGGAGGACGAGGACGACTGGGACTTCGTCGAAGCGGGCGGCTTGCTCGTGGAGGAGCGCAACGGCTCGAAGGGCACGACGCTCTTTGCGCGCGGCGTCGTCGACCGCTACAAGCTCTCCGTGTTCCGCAAGAGCACGCCGAGGAGGTCGACCCCGCGTTCGTTCTCGGGCGTGTCCCTCGACTCGGAGCTGGAGCCGGCCGAGTCGCCCACGCCGTCGGACAAGCAACGTCGCGGCCGCACGCCCGGCTTGACCTTCCGCAAACACCCACGACAGTTCCTTCGGCAGAAGAGCCCCCCACCATCATCGCGCTCGGCCAAGTCGCTCACAGCGTCCGCCTCTGCGACGATGTCGGCTGCGTCAACAGTCTCGAGCGCTGGCCTCCTCACCCCCTCGCCGTCACAAACCGCAATGTCGCACTCGTTGAAGTCCAAGGAGTCTGCCATCTCCATGGGTACGGTGAGCGAGTCTTCGGACCCGTCCCTCAACGGCGACAATGCAGCCCATGGCGGAGACACCGTCAAGGGCGCTGCCGTGAACGGTAACGGACACGGCGAGGACGAGAAGCAGCAAAAGAACAAGGTGTTGAAGAAGTACAAGGAAGGCGCGGAGAAGGTCCTCTCGATCTTCCAGTCGCCGCGGTAGTCCCACCGGTCCCGTTCCCGTCCCCTTTCCGCCTTGAGGTTCTAGAGTTGGGCTCGTATGTGGAGCAAGGGACAGCTTTGAATGCTGGTCTGCTCGCCGGTTGGATCCGTTCACTTTCGCCATGCTCTCTAATCCTGTCCCGCTCTCGCCCCCGCCCAGACGCTGGAACCTGTCTTGCGTATTATATCAGTATGCTGCGCCTCATCTATAGCTATTATTCACCGCCGTACATACACACCACACCACAGCATCAACCTTCATCTTCATCTGCTCGCACACACTCCTTGGACCCTTCGCTGATTCGCGCACGCTGGCTTGTCGACGTCTTCCTTTTCTGCATTTGGCTCCGTTATGCCGTAGTAGTATATCATCATCAACACACTCATTCCTGCCGTTATCGCTATCCACATTTCCTCGTTGCGCCACCGCATTGCGTTAATAGTCAACAAATCGTACAAGATTGCGCAGACGTGTCCTGTATGCAGGTGGGATGGTGCAGGCCGCTGCCCGCGAGTCCCGCTTGAAGCCCCCACGTGGCTAGCAAGCAGCTTGCTGGACGTTTACGTTCCCGTATCGTCTTCCGTTGGTCCGGACTCATCCAAACAATTCCTCCAGCGTCGTAGGAGCAGTTATAACGATTTCAATCAAAGTTTGTCCACCAACGTCTCGTCGTTCGCAATGCGATGACATTCATTGAACATTTCTACAGTACACTACAAAAGACCCATGTTTCGCACCCCCGATGGGTACATTGCGCAGTAAGCTCTTCAACGCTATCGGAATGCCCAAGTACTGACATGATATACCTATAGTGACTATAACTCGTAGAGGGGATTCCCTTCTTCGTCGTCCGAAACGATGGCTTGCTCTCGCAATGGGACTCTGAAACGCATGATCTTCCGCTTATCGCGCAGCAGCTGACAATACAGCCCGTCCCGCAGGATGAATTTCTCGGCGCCTGGCTTGATCTGGTCCTTGTCGATGCCGTGCATGCGCTCGATCGACGACAGCTTTATGGACACGGGGTCGATCCATGGCGCCGCAGGGTCCGGTATTCCCCAAAGCTCGTAGTTGTCGGGCACGTTCAAGGGGTCCTTCGTGCTGGAGTCCACGAAATCCATGCAATACTCCGCATCCGCGAGAGAGCCAGGCCAAAGGCGAAGGGAGAGGTTTGAGTGGGGGATCGGGAGGCATCGAGCCTCTGGATCGTCCGGGCCAGGCTTCTCCTGCAAGATCTGGTCAGCATACCAAATACGATCGTAGCGCAAATATGACATACACCGCTAAGCTCTACGACAGCATCTAGGAATTTCTTGATGCCGCTCCGAGCGCTGGCTTCGGATCCGTAGGTGGCAACGGTGTCCGTCCATGCGTCCTTCAACCATTCAAGTTTCTGGGAGGTACTCTGGTTCTCGAGCATGTTGCTGCCCAGAGCAAGGATCGCGAAGTCGTCTTGCGGGTCCAAGTCTGGATGAAGCTTGTTCGCCTGCCTTGCGTACACGGTACGCGCAGGAACCGGTCCAGATCGAGTGCTCTGAACGGGGGGCGTGGTAGGCTCCCTAGGGGGCGAACTGGGCGGTGGGCTTGGCAAGGTCTGCATAGGTTCTGCTCCTGAGCGTGCCATCCCTGAGCTACCGAAGTAAGACATCTGATACGGCTTTTAGCAGGAGTTTCAAGCCGTCACTACAAATTCTAGACTCACGGCAATTGTACGGGGAAAATGTAGAGAGGGTTCGCGGGGAAGGGGTGCGAAATGGCCGCAGCGTGAAAAGGCGAGTTCTTATATCCTCGCTTAGCAGGCCTTTAGCCACTGATGGGTACAACCGCAGCACTGGCTGAACTGGAGAATGAAAGCCGCAAAACAAAGGGAACTCTGGCTTACGCATGGTGCAACGTCGATGCAGGAACAAGCGCGTCAATATGCATGGCTAATGCCGTCATGGCAAGCTTAGACCTATCCAACAATGGCCCCACGAAGTCGGCCAGCCAGCTCACCTGGGCTCCAGTCTGACCACAGGCGAGAGCACCACATGTAGGGTCCTACGTGGCAAATGCATTGTTCGAAGATGGCAATGTATCGCTATAAGTGGAAGCAGGACAATCGCAGCGAACCTGAACCCCCCCTGCGAATCTCATGCTGATGGGCCGCTTGGAGCAGGACGGATCGTGGCCCGCAGCCATTGTGTCTCTTCATTATAAAAGACGGCCGTCCGGCGACCATCCCCAAGTGCCCCAGTTATCCTCACCCACCACACGTCGTGAGTCGTCTGTCTACTGACAGCTTATTCTCCTGCTGACGTATCTTGCCCGGGGCCCGACCAAAATCTAGGACAGAACACTGCTCAAGTCGTGTACTGGTCTTTCCGCAGTGACGAACTAGCACACAGCGTCAATCTCATCGTGAGCTGTGCCTTTGAATTCGTCATAACCATCGCTGACCTCGCGTTTGCTACATGAAGGCATGGCCGATCAAGAAGAAGAGCACTGGGTTATTCCCCAGGGCCAATTCATAGGCTCGTCTGGCATGGTGTTCGTGGACCAAACGGCCGCGGACATATATTTTAACAATTACTGGCGCACCAACGGGCCAAACAAGAGGATCGCCCTCGTCTGCACAAGCTGGGGAATGTCAATGCTGTACATACAGCGGGGCCAACGGGGCGGACCGCCGCAGTGGCTCCCGGACCCCTACGTTCTTGGCTCAATCGTCGTCCAGGATCATGGCGTACAACCTCCCAATGGTGTCCCGATGGTACCCGCTGCCATCCGAGCTGTGCACGCCGGCGCACCGGGTCTTCACATGGTCAACGATCAGCTAGTAGGGGGGCTTCGGCTGCCTTGGCATCGGCGAGTCACTGTGAGGCGCGAGAACGGTGGATCTCTCCACTACCATCAACCCAAAAGACGCCGCAAGCATGAAGAGCATGTAGTACCCGTCATCAGGCCCGACGGTACCCACCACCAATTCCGTACGCTCGTCTACGGATCACAGGTGTCGAACTACAGACGTGCAGAGAGGGACTGATGGATCGTCATGGCGGGGATCGGTATGATAGCATGTATTTCAACGTCGTATATCAAGGAGTTATGGATTTCGTAAGTTTGTAGCGGCGGAACGTCTGGCGTCGAACGAATGCAATATGTCCTCAGTCCAGTGAGACGACGTACGCAAGTGATTTGTTAATTTGTCTTGATTATTGGACGAGTTGAACGTCCTTGGAGTACATATACCAGCTTTTAGGCGACGTGGTGAAATAAGAGCCTGACTAAAGTACGTCAACAAGGGACGTCAAGTACTGGCAGTACGAGAGGCAGTGGTAGTAGGTAGCCAGGCCGGCCGACGAGGTTGAGAGGCTTGGCGGCTCTTGGCGGAATCAAGCGCGGAGTAACGTGACGGCGTGACAAGCCATGTTATGTGGCTAAGAGCGGCAACTGCCGAGATGTCCAAAGCCAACAGTTTCGGCGCTCGATGCTCTTGCCTCCGTCAACCACAGCTCTCTCTGGGTCTGCTCAACTCAGCACTGAATCGTCTTCGATACCTCCGCCTACAACGATACGGCACATCCGAGAACACACCAGACAAACACATTGCAAAATCGCGCTGTTGAAGAGAAATGAAGACACAATATGCACGTCAGGTTCGTGTTTCTGTGGCGAGGTGCGGTCGGGCTTGGTGCTAAGGTGGTAACTAGACACAGCCATCTAGGCAGCAGAAGCCATACAGCGACGTCAAGCGCAAGCGCACAACTAAACCGCGCATCAAGAATGAACCACCGACTGCTCTCTCGAAATTGTCAAGTCCCTCCATCCCCACACCTCCCGCCCCCGGTATCGGCACCATATTATTTCGCAAGCTCTGTGCCGAGAAGATTCGCACAGACTACCCTGGAGTCGAGCCACGCAGCGACTTCGATCTTGTCGCTTTGGGGAGTAGGCGCTTCCACGGTTCCCCGGCCGAAATCTACGCACAGCTGGACGAGCAACTCGCAAGCCACGTCGAGTCCGATGGCTACGAGTTTATCATGAACAGCGCGAAGAAGCTTTGTGACGCCTATGTCGAGCCAACCGGGGTACGTGTCTTACGCCGTATTCACCATACACGCCTACTGAGTCTCCGCTACAGATCAAGCCCGGACAGCTCGGCACTGGCGAGAAATCCGTCTTCATCCGCCCCATCCCTGACTCCAAGTACTCAATCCGACTGTTTCCCGGTTCGATATCTGCCGCCGAGTACTGCCTGGACTTCGTCGAGTCTGCGACCGGGAAGGCCGTCAACTCTCCCTTCAAGTTCGAGCTCTGGGCAATACCGAACCCGGATACGCCATGGCTCTCCTTTCAGATATGCGGGCAGCTACGGTCGATCGAACACGCGCACGGCATCAAGCAGAAAGACATACTGCCAGGCGCGGAGAAGTTCATCTTGCGGGACGGGCAGACGTGTGTGCTGGTGCGTCCGGGGAAGCGGTCTATACGCTTCACGGTGCCCGTGCGGAAGGTGAAGGCTCCGGACGTAATCGATGATGTGGACGTCCTAGACTTGCCTCAGTTCATTGACCCTTGATTCATCGCTGCATCTGCCATTGCTTTGTCGTTATCCCTGTAGACCCGGAATGTAATCTTAGGAGACCCGTGTATGTATTGTATTTACTAGTCAATTATGTTATACGACTCGCCCAGTTTCACGATCACCAAAGTTTGCAACGGCATTGCTCATGCAGCGGTGCGATGCGACTGACTCAAAACAACCGGAATTCCGCAAGGGTAATTCGTTAAACGCCGAACGGTGGCTAATGGTCCGGCAGCCGCCGAAAGCCCAGCGCTGAACTTGACGGAAGAGCATTCACTTGTCTCCGTCCACCACCCAACCCCCTCCCTCATTTCTGGCGCATTGCGCACGCATACAGCGTGCGGGTATTGAAACGGTGCACCGCGTTCCGCCGCTGTAAAATCGCGCTGAGTCAGATAATGAAGACTACATCTGCACGCAAGGTCAGGCTGGTTAGCTGGGGCGAGGCATTTAATTCTAGTAGTAACTTTGTTCGACTTGTAGACTGCGAAGGCGCAGGAGCCATACGACGACGCAAAACGACCTCGCAAGCGTACAGCCAAGACACCTAAACCGAAGGAACAACCGACCTTGCCCCCAACACCAGCAGCGCCAGGACTGTCTTCCACGCATTCGGGTCCCGCCCCGGGAGCCGTGCATTATCGCAAACTCTGCGAGGAGCATGTTCGCAGACGGTACCCTGGCCTAGAGCCTCGCAATGACTTCGATCTTGTCCAACTCGCAAGCGAATTTTACAAGGGTACACACGCGGAGATTTTTGCGGCGCTCGACGACGATCTTGCAGACACGAGCGAAGCCTATGGCTATGAAGTCATGATGGAGAATTCGACCAAGCTCTTAGAAAACTACTTTGAGCCTACTGGGGTACGTCTGTGACATGATGTTTCGTGTGTCCAATACATATTCATTCACCCCTCGCTGCAGATCAAACCCGGAAACTCGGCCCTCCTTGACGACAAGTTCGTGTTCGTCCGGCCCATCCCCGACTCCAAATATTCGCTCAGGCTATTCCCTGGATCTCTGTCGGCTGCCGAGTATTGCTTGGATTTCGTCGACTCCGCCACCGGGGAACCGGTCAACTCGCCCTTCGAATACGAGCTCTGGGGCGTACCGGACCCGGACGCACCGTGGCTTTCGATGCCGATAACGGGGAAGCTCCGGTCTATCGAGCGGGGCCACGGCATCAAGCAAGAGGACATACTTCCAGGCGGAGAGAAGTTCGTTCTGCGGGACGGGCAGACGTGTGTGCTCATGCGCCCTGGAAAACGGCCTGCCCGGTTCACAGTACCGCTACGGCGTGTCGAGACCACAGATGTGGCTGAAGACGTGGACGTAATCGACCTGCCGAAGGTCGTCGGTCCGTGATGCGTCTCTATACCCGCCGCTGCCTTATGGCCCCCTTCGCGGCTCGGGCATCTGCTTGACTTGAATTTGGTGTATCATACGTACTCGTCATGAATTTCATGTTGCTCAACTACTTGCGGGATCGTGTATGAACCCAATTGATTTAGCCATCCAAGCCCTCTCGATGACGCAATAGCAGGCGTTGCCGGCCGCCGTTCGCCGTGATTTTACTGTCAGATTTGTACGATACAGCACATGCGAAGTTCTTGAAATTGACGATTACAGTCGTAGATATATATCACGCACACGGGCCAACGAACTGCGGTAAGTCTAGCACATCCACTTCATCGACCACGTCGGGAGTCTCCATCTTCCGCACCGGCACCGTGAAGCGGAGAGATCGCTTCCCCGGACGTACCAGCAGACACGTCTGCCCGTCCCGCAAGATGAACTTCTCTGCGCCGGGAAGAATGTCCTTCTGTTTGATTCCGTGAGCGTATTCGATTGAGCGCAGCTGCCCGCATATCGGAAAAGAGAGCCACGGCGTATCCGGGTTCGGTATTCCCCAGAGCTCGAACTCGAAGGGAGAGTTGACGGATTTCCCGGTCGCGGTGTCGACGAAGTCCAAGCAGTATTCGGCGGCGGAGATCGATCCAGGAAACAGCCGGACAGAGTACTTGGAGTCAGGAACGGGTCGAATAAATATGAAGTTGTCGTCGTCGTAGAGGAAAGCGGACTGTCCAGGTTTGAGCTGCAACCAATGTCAGGAAGCGTGTACGAGACAAGGAATGGCATGTCAATGCGCGTACCCCGGTTGGCTCAACATATCTGTCCAACATCGCCGTGGCAGCTTCCATGATGAACTCGTAACCAACATCCCCGACATCTAGCGCGAGATCCTCGTCCAACTGTGCGTAAATTTCGGCTGGAGATCCCTTGAATCGTTTTTCTGACAACGAGGAGATATCGTAGTCATTGCGAGGCTTGACTCCAGGATAATCTTTGCGGATCTTCTCCATGCAAAGGTTGCGGAACAACACCGCGCCCATACCGAGTCCGGGCTTGGAGGAACTCGGTGGGATTTCCGGTGGAGTGGGCGGCGTAGCCTTGTTACGGAGATTTGCCAGTGTACGCGTGCCTTTGAGGTCGCCGTAAGGCTGCTGTCCCCTTGCAGACTAATACAAGTCAGCATAAGTAACGTATACATATCTCGCAGTTGAAAGTACGAACTTTGCGTGCGGGCTGAGTCTTCATCTTTGGGACGAGTGATCAGTTGGGTAATACCAGTAGGCCTGTCAAAGTGTTCGCAGATGGCACAAGCGACCCGGAGCGCGCTGCGACGCCGTCAGACTGAGTATAATAGTTTGTCAGTCATCCAGTATCTTGTTTTCGAGAGCCACGTACTGTAGTATATCCTACTTGACACTCCTTGGGAAGGGCACACGACTCCAACAGCGAACGTACAGCGTTGACGTCGTTCGAGTCCGCCGAGAAATGTGAGGGAGTCAATAGCGCCAAGTCCGCGTCTCTCTCAGAGATTGTGGAATCCGAAATAGTCTCCTTACCCACTCGATGCTCACAACGACAGCGCGGTCGACCAGACGTGTTTGAGGGGTGTCGTACTTAGACCGACCTTGACGGTTGAGGATAAGTCTCACAACGCGACATCATGAACGGTGGCTGAGGGTGGCTAGCGGTCCGGCAATTGCCGCTGGCTTAGAGTCGAGAGCATTCGTACTTCCAGCCTTCGTCTACCAGTACCACTGGATACTCCCAGCTCTCTCATCTCCACACTCCACACTCCGTACGTGAGTAACGTGCTACGACATAATAGCGTGTAGCCGTTCTTCGCTGTAGAGTTGTACTCCGTCAAGACATGAAGACTAAGTCTGCCAGTGCTCGTAAGGTTTGTCGCTTCCGTGGCTCAGTACGCGGGGTCTAGTCTTGATCTTCCAAAGCCTACGAAGGCACAGAACCCATACCAGGATGCGAAACGACCTCGCAAACGTACAGCTGAGACCCCGAAACCCAAGGAACGACCATTGCCCCCAGCTTTAGCACCGTCCGCTCCCGCCCCCGGGGCCGTTCCTTTCCGCAATCTCTGCGAGGAAAGAGTTCGCGAACTCTACCCTGGTCTGGAGCCTCGCAACGACTTCGATCTTATCCAACTTGCTAGTGAACATTACAAGGGTACTCACGCGGAGGTCTTCGCGGCGCTCGACCTCGATCTTGCGGAGACAAGTGAAGACTTGGGCTACGAATTCATGATGGAAGAGTCAACAAAGTGCTTAGATGCCCTTGTTGAGCCTACTGGGGTATGTTTGTGACACGACGTCCCATGCGTCTAACAAATATCCATACACTTCTCGCTATAGGTTAAACCCGGACAGTCAGCCTACGTCGAAGACAAGTTCGTGTTCGTACGGCCGATCCCCGACTGCCAATATTCGCTTAGACTATTCCCCGGATCTCTGTCCGCCGCCGAGTATTGCTTGGACTTTGTCGACACCGCCACCGGGGAACCCGTCAACTCGCCCTTTGAATACGAGCTCTGGTCTGTACCGGACCCGGACGCGCCGTGGCTTTCGATGTCCATCACGGGGAAGCTTCGGTCGATCGAGCGAGGCCACGGCATTAAGCAAGGTGACATCCTGCTTGGAGAAGAGAAGTTCGTCTTGCGGGATGGACAGACGTGCGTGCTTATGCGCCCTGGGAAGCAGCCGGTTCGGTTCACGGTACCTTTAAGGAGGGTCGAGACCACAGATGTCGTCGAAGATGTGTATGTGGTCGACTTGCCGAAGGTCGTCGGCCCATGATGTGCTTGTATACTCGTCACTGCCTTATGGCTACTGGTTCATTCGAGGAAGCGTCTACCTCTCGTTACTCTTGGTCGTATCGTGTATACAGAGCTTCTATGATAATGCTGTGTCGCGTTTGCACTGCACACCTCGTCGATCCTGGCCAAGTACGGACCCGAATTCCACATTGCCACACATAGGAAGCACTTCTCGATCAGCCTCAAACCGCAGGCTTTACTAATACTGTACTTGAGCCCAGCAAGAAGTGCAAGGCCCTGAACCCTGAGGCCTAAGAACGATGCCGAGTAGGTTGCTCTGTCCCAAATCAATCATGCCACAACGCCAGGCTGCGCGCGCACCGCGCGAGCGCTCCGCCCGCACGTCCGTCGCTCGGTGGGTAGTGGCCGCCGGCATCGTTCCGCGTTCGCTCTTCATATACTGTGAGCGCACATCGTGAAGTACTTTGACTAAGACTTGCTAAAAGGCTGAGTATCATTCAGAGCGGGTGTAGCTGGCCGCCGGGCGCGAGGGCGGCTGATGTTCTGATTCATCCGACACTCGTCGCGTTCTGGAGGCCAGACTAAGTGGATATGCAGTCGCCTCGTGGGAGGTGCTGCGCTTCGAGCTCTCTTCCTCCTCATTCATGTCCGCCGTCGCCTCGCTGTAACCGCACGGACCCTCCTCCATCTAAACTTTGCTCTGCGGATTCGGAAGCGGACGCGCAAGATTGATCGTGTGCCTGTCCACATCGGCTACGCCCTGCAAGACGCGGTGTCGCGGACCCTTCACGAATCACAGCGGGAGTGCGTGCATTTGGAAAGGCACAGACTCAGGGAGGCACCTGGCAGAGAACGGGGAGGTTGGCGTGCAGCGCGAGGTATCGTTCCGACTCGTTTGTTAGGGAGAGAGCATGGCCCCGGGGTTCTTTGCGAAGTTGGTGAAGTCGTCGTCGGGAAACAGCAACTCGCGCTCGCGCAGCTCGAGCGCTGCGTCGTCCCCCACCGCGACCTCGCCCAACAGCCGCAACCCATCCATCAGCATCAGCCCCGCGGCGACACCCAAATCATCGTACGAAAAGCGCAATGGGAGCGCAGTATCGCAGTCTGCGGTCAACAAACCCCAGCTCACGGCGCTCGCGGGCGTGGGGGGCTATGAGAGCTCGGACTCGGGCCCCAACGTGACCGTCATCCCCCCCTCGCCCAATCTGAGCGAGAACAGCATCCCGCTCCCCGATCCCAACTCCCACAACCACAACAGCGCCGTCCGCCCGCGCACAGCGTCTGGTACGACTGGAGGCCCGCGGCCAATCACGCACGAGGACCCAGGCACAGAAGAAGGCTCAGCAGCCTATCACAGGCGTCTCCAATCACTTCCGGCAATATCACCCTCTCCAACGGCTAGCTCGCGCGCAAGCTCGGGGCCAGGCTCGACAGGCGCGGGGCATACACATATCGACCCTGCCGCGCCTGCCATGTCTCCTTCTCCCACAGACGACGGCCTCGCTACGCCCACTCCTGCCGGGCGCACCACATTCGTTTCTCCCCACCCTCCAGACTCCAACTCATCCTCCTTTGACTCTCGCTCCGCCGACGAGATGGCCAACCAGTCGCGCTCCCGGGAAGGATCGCTCTCCTCGAAGCAGGCGAAACAGGCGGCCAAGCTGCGCGCAGCCACGGTCGCTGAGGGGGGTCCGCAGCATCTGCACACCCCCAAGGAGCTGCGACATTCGTCGTCGAAGGGATCAATCAGGAGCAAGCTGAGTATCATGCTTCCTTCGCGCGACAACAACCCCCCTCCGCCGCTACCCACCACGACCTCCCGCCATGAGCGCACGCTCTCCGCCCCCGCTTCCCCGCCAGGGAACGTACCCAATGTCTCCGTCCTCGTCGAATCACCCACCGGAATCAACCCGCCCAGCGACTTCCCATCTATCTCCCGTACAATCTCCCCCGGCGGGGCTACGCCGTCCATGGGCTCCACACTGCTTGTTCCCGACAACTCGGACGCGGCCTCCATCAACTCTATCGGGAGCGCGACGAGCAAAAAGCGGCGTCCATGGCGGCGCGGCTCTAACCCGAGCCAACCGCGCTCTGCCACCGTCGGCCCGACGGCGAACGGCAAGTCACCTCCGCGCAAGGGCAGCGGCGCGGTGGGCGGGCTTGCGTCGGCGCTGGCTGCCTCCGGGCTTGCCATGGCGAACCCGGGAATGTCGAACCCAGGCATGACCCTGCCGCCGTTCTCTGAGGCATCGTCTAACGGCGGTCCAGGGACACCCGGCCGCCCGCGACGCTCGATGGACACACCGAAGACTCCGCCCGGGTCGCGCTCGCGCGGTGCCTCGATCAGCTATGGACCGAGCGACTACTCGGACCGAGATTCATTCCACTCGGGCAATGACGCTTATTCGGACGAGGAGGGCTCGGACAGCGACGAGCTGGACCTTGACCCGGACGACATCCCGGTGACCGGCTTCGCGGTCGCGAGCAACAAGCGCAACCAGGACTTCCACGAGCTGTTCCCGACGGTGCCGGAGGGCGACTATCTCATCGAGGGTGCGCATGGATGCCTGCCTTCTCGCGCGCATATGCTGACCACCGGGCGCAGACTACGGGTGTGCGCTGCAGCGTGAAATCCTGATCCAAGGCCGGCTGTATATTTCGGAGAACCATGTGTGCTTCCACGCGAATATCTTCGGGTGGATTACGGACGTGAGTACCGCTGCGAATACGCGCCGGGTCTTTAGCGCCCGGGCGCGTGTGTCATGACGTGTCTGATGGGTGTGACGCGCTGCAGCTGTCGATTCCAATGTCCGAAGTCGTCTCGCTGGAAAAGCGGATGACGGCGTTCGTGATCCCCAACGCCATCCAGCTCTCCACCCGCACCGCAAAGTACACCTTCACCTCCTTCCTCTCGCGCGACACCACCTTCGACGTCCTCTACAACGTCTGGCGCCTCGCCCGCCCCGAGAACTCCTCCGTCGGCTCCCTTGGCATCAGCCCACGTGGCTCGCTCGACAACGGCGACTCAGAAGACACCTCCGACGGCAGCCCGCCGATGAACGGGAAGGCTGCCGCCAATGGCGCTCCTCCAAAAGCTGTCAAGCAGAAGGTCACCCAATGCGAGTGTGGGCGGGCTGGCCAGCACTACTCGGAGACCGCGATGGAAGCCATATTCCCGGGCACGCCGGAGAAGATCTACAACTTGATGTTCACGAGCGGGTTCATTAAGGACTTCATGCGGATTGACCAGAAGCTCATCGGTGCGTGCACTTGTGTCTGTCTTGCGTAGGGCGGTGCTGACTGCAGAGCAGACGTCCAAATCTCGGACTGGATGCCGATGGACAACCCAAAGCTGCTCGCGCGGAACATGTCATACATCAAGCCACTGAATGGGAGCATCGGACCGAAGCAGACGAAGTGCGAGCTGCGCGACGAGACCGCGTTCTGCGACTTTGACCAGTACGTGACCATGCTCACGACGACGCGCACGCCGGAGGTGCCCAGCGGTGGTGTGTTCTCGGTGAAGACACGGACGTGCATCACCTGGGCGAGCAGTGTCACGACGCGGGTTTTGGTGACGACGCAGGTTGAGTGGACAGGACGGAGCTTCATCAAGGGTGAGTCCCGACAGTTCTCAAACTCGAACCGCCGCTCACTCTGCGTATGGCCAGGTATCATCGAGAACTCCGCCCTCGCCGGCCAGAAAACCTACCATGTTGAGCTGGAGAAGAGCATGCGCAGCTATATCCACGATCACGCGTCCGAGTTCATCCCCGAGGGTGTCGACGTTACCGTTGTGGAGGAGGCCGAGACCCAGCAACAGGCTGAAGTTCCGCAATCACCCCTCCCGCATACACCCAGCCAAGACGAGGCGCGGAAGGCGCGCGAGACGGAACGCAACCAGCGCTCGCTGCAATGGGCGTACGACACGTTCGATGGCGCGTACACCGTCGCGCGCCGCTCAACCGAGGGCGCGCTCGAGCTCATCCGCGACGCGTGGGACCAGTCCTCGTCCACGACGATCCTCTGGTTCTTCATCGTCGGCCTGCTCGTGTCGAACATCTGGACGCTCACGCTCATGGGCACGCGCGAGGAGGTCGGCCGCCGAAAGGAGATGCGCAAGACGGAGGAGCGCGAGAAGTGGGTGCAAGGTGTCGTCACCGCGCTCTGGGAGGAGCTGCTCACGACGCGCGGGAACCATATGGGCGGAGCGGGCGGCGCGTCTGCGGTACCGACCTTCCCGCCTCTTGTACGGCCTGCTTCGGGGGAGTGGCGGGAGGAGCTCGGGCAGATCACTGGGCAGCTGGATCTCATCGAGCAGCGCGTACGCGAGATCCGGGGCACGCTGGGCCAGCTGGAGCAGTTGGCCCAGCTGGATTAACACACGGCCTCGCGTGTGGTTGAGTACAGTAGTAAGTAGTAGTACCCACTTCCCGACCCCGCTCGGATGGACTCTTTTCTCTCATAATGCCTGCGGTGCTCTGTGTCCCTTCTATGCTCCGCTTTCGCTTTTGATCTACACTTTCTTGACATCTGGCGGTGCTCCTAGGACGGCTGTGAGTCGGGCGCGTGGGCTTGCGCGCTGTATTATTATTTTGCTATTCGCCCTCTTCTTGTAGTATGGAGCACGGAACACAATCGACAATACATCAAATGGAGCTGTGACGTTCTCTATGCTTGTTGGGGACTTCACGCGATGTGTCAGTAAACGGTGCGTTTGCACAAACCCCGAGTCCTACTTGGCCGGCTGCGAGAAGAACAAAGGCAATTATATATTCCATGTGGGTATAACTGGGGTGTGTATATGTCTGTTCAAGAGCCCCTACTTCCGCAGGTATAGCCCACAAAGCAACGACGAGTATAGAGACGAATTACGGGCCGACAACTTTCGGCAAGTCGGCCACATCTACATCTTCGACCACAGGTATGGTCTCCGCTTTGCGCAAAGGGACCGTAAAGCGCAGGGGGCGTTTCCCAGGACGCATAAGCACGCACGTCTGCCCATCCCGCAGGACGAACTTCTCTTCCCCGGGTACGATGTCCTTCTGCTTGATGCCGTGTGCCCGCTCGATCGAGTGCAGCCTCCCGGTTATAGGCATGGAAAGCCACGGGGCGTCCGGATCCGGTACGCCCCAGAGCTCGTACTCGAAGGGCGAGTTGACGGGTTCCCCGGTGGCGGTGTCGACAAAGTCCATGCAGTACTCGGCGGCGGAGAAGGATCCGGGAAACAGCCTGAACGAGTACTCGGAGTCGGGGATCGGCCGCACGAACACGAACTTGTCGTCGAAGTAGATCGAGGTTCCCGGTTTTATCTGTAGCCAGAGATGACTCAGTGCGACGCGTGAGTCCATAGCGAGCGACGTACCCCGGTGGGTTCGATATAATTGTCCATAACCTTCCTTGCGGCGTCCATAATGAATTCGTATCCGTGCGCTTGGACATTGGACGCAAGATCCTTGTCAAGGGCCTCGTAGATCTCCGCGGGCGTGCCCTTGAAGGGTCTGCTTGTAAGTCGTTCAAGGTCGTAATCACTTCGAGGCTCTATGTCGGGATGAAGCTTGCGGGCTTGCTCGATGCAGAGTTTGCGATATTGCACGGCCCCGGGAGCGCGTCCTGCCAGCTGCGCGGGAGAGAGACCCGGCGGTGGTGGCAAGCTAGGCGCCGCAATAGATTTCTGAGCCTTGGTGGTACGCTTTCGGGGCCTCTTTGCGTCAGTATATGGCTGTTGCGCCTTCGCAGGCTATAAATTGGTCAGGTCACTAGAGCTTTAAAGACATCTCGCAGCTGAAGAGACTAACCTCGCGTGCAGATTTATTCTTCATCCTCAGCAGCTGACAACTTCGTGCGCTTCTGATATGCGCAATATGCTAAGTATCTGTGCAGCGTGATTCGGAGGAGGCTGAGAGGGCCCGCGCGACTGTGGTGGACGGAGGCGAAGTAACTAAGGGCTCTTCAAGACGTGTCCTAAACCGGACTGTCGGCAACTGCCGGACCTTTAGCCACCACTGGTACATGTAGCGCTGTCTGTTTCGATTGAGATCAAGCCAGAAGCTTCGACGAAACCTGTTTAAGTCTATAACTTCATGGAGCATCTCCCTACATAAATGCGAGCACGTAGCATCGCAAAATGGGGACATACGAGACACCGAAGTCTGCCTTACTACGTCCATGCTCCGATCCAAGTTGAAGATAACTACAAAGCAGCCCGCAGCGGAGGAAGAAACGAACTACCCGATGACCTTAGGCAGGTCGACCACATCAACATCTTCTTGGGTGCTATCGACTCTCCGTAGTGGTACCGTAAAACGAAGGGGTCGCTTCCCCGGACGCATCAGCATACACGTCTGTCCGTCCCGTAGGATAAATTTCTCTGCGCCGGGCGGGATCTCCTGTTGCTTGATGCCGAATGTATGCTCGATCGACCAGAGCTTTCCGGGGGCAGGCATCGACAGCCACGGCGCATCCGGGTCAGGTACGCCCCAGAGTTCGAATTCGAAGGGCGAGTTGACGGGTTTCCCTGCCGCATCAACGAAGTCCAAGCAGTACTCGGCGGCGGATAGTGAGCCGGGAAACAGCCTGAGAGAGTACTTGGATTCGGGGATCGGCCGTATGAACACAAACTCGTCCCCGCCGAAGCAGGCCGAACTTCCAGGTTTTGCCTATAGCCAGAGTTAGATGGTACCAATCGGGCACACGGAACGACAATGTAACAAACGTACCCCAGTAGGCTCAATATAACTGTCCAGAAGCTTTGTGGCTTCCCCAGTAGTGAGTTCATATCCGTGGAGCCCGACATTCATCGCGAGGTCTTCGTCCAATGCCGCGTATATCTCTGCGTGGGTGCCTTTGAGAATTCTGGTCGCGAGTTGTAGAAGGTCGAAATCGCAGCGAGGCTCAAGACCAGGGTAGTTTTCGCGGACTTTCTCCGCGCATATCTTACGGAAATGTTCGGTTCCGGGGGCAGGAGCTTGTTGCGTGGAAGAGCCTGAGGGAGTCGATGATGCTGATACTGCTGGCAAGCTAGGGGGCGCGACGGGTTTCTGAATCTTTGCCGTACGCTGTCTGGGTCTCTTGGTGTCATTGTACGGTTTCTGTGCCTTCGCAGGCTATCCGGGGAAGTCATTGATATCAGTGCCAACATACTGGTGACAACCTAACTGACAAACCTCGACGCGTGTAGATGGGGTCTTCATGTCTTGACAAAGTACAGCTCTGCAGAGAAACGGCGGTTGCACGACGTTCTACTACTCGTAATACGTTATGTAGTGTCTGAGAGTACGTGGTGGTAGACGAAGGCGAAGTACGAATCGGAATGCTCTCGCTTTAAGCCACCGGTAATTGCCGGACTGTCAGTGGCCGGCGCCACGCGTGCTTTACCCCAGCCTGTCCACAACTTATACTTACAGCACTTTCGAGCATCTGTGACGTTCCATACACTTGTTGGGGGTTTTACACGATGTAACAGTACACGGTGTGCTTCAAGCAGAGACTCCGAGTATCCGGCTATGAGACTTCTCTGACCTTGATGAAACTTTGGATGAAGAACACAGACAACATTGGGATGACAAGTACTGGGGAAAGTATAGGTAAATTCAAGCGTACCTAGAAGTAGATACTTCCAGGAATACAGCCCGCAGGACACCCATGGGTATAAGAACTAATCACGGGCCGACGACCCTAGGCAGGTCAACTACATCCACATCTTCAACTGCAGCGTTTTCGAACTTCCGCAATGGTACCGTGAAGCGGAGGGGCCGCTTCCCCGGACGCACCAACACGCACGTCTGCCCGTCCCGCAAGATGAACTTCTCTGCACCGGGCGTGATATCCTTCTGCTTGTAGCCGAATATATGCTCGGCCGACCGCATCTTCCCAGTTATCGGCATTGAAAGCCATGGCGCATCCGGGTCGGGTACGCCCCAGAGCTCGAATTTGAACGGCGAATTGACGGGATTGCCGGCGGCGTCCACGAAGTCCAAGCAGTACTCGGCGGCGGATAGCGAGCCGGGAAACAGTCGCAGAGAGTATTCGGAGTCGGGGATTGGCCGTACAAAGACGAACTTGTTGTCGTCGAGGTAGACTGACTTTCCAGGTTTGATCTACAGACAGAAGTGCATGAATATCTATCAGACACAAAAGACGCAACGTCATGAACGTACCCCAGTAGGCTCGACATGCGTGCCCAAGAGCTTTGCGGTTTGCTCGCAGACGACATCGTACCCGACGGCTCCGACGTTCATCGCGAGGTCTTTATCCAGTTCCGCGTATATCTCTGCGTGATTGCCCTTGAACTTTTTGATCGACAGTTGTAGAAGATCGAAGTCGCAGCGAGGCTCAAGACCAGGGTATTTTTTGCAGACTTTCTCGACGCATAGCTTGCGGAATTCCACGGCTCCCGGGGCAGGCGCTTCCTGCGTGGAAGAGAGTCCCGACGATGCTGACGCTGCGGGCGAGCTAGAGGGCGCCGCAGATTTCTGAGTCTTAGCAGTACGTTGTCGGGGTCTTTTAGAGTCGGTGTACGGTTTCTGCGCCTTCGCAGGCTACGAGAAGTCATTACCAGTGCCAACATATGTACTTGACAACGTGAAAGACAAACCTCGACGCGTTTGGCTTTGGTCTTCATGTCTTGACAAAGAGTTATTCTTGCAGCAAGCGACGGTTGCGCACTGTTCTGCTACTCGAAACGCGTTACTCGTGTATGTAGTTTAGTGAGTAAGCCGCGGGTATCTGGTGGTAGACGTCGAAGACGAAGTGGGCTCATCACAGTGCCCTCGGCTCTAAGCCACCGGCAATTGCCGGACTACTAGCCACTGTCAGTGATGTAGCGTTCTTAGACTTGTCCTCAACCTCCAAGGACCGCCAACGATACCCCTCAACCAAGCCGGTTGTCGTTGCTAGCATCAAGCGGATAAGGACAATACTTTTGATTCTACGAGTTCTTTCGCAAGAAGAGCGAAGTTCGCGCTAGCACGACCTTGTGCACATTTCTCCGCCGAACGACGCGGTAGGTGTTCTGTCGGAGCCGTGTACCGTTCACGAGAAGCGTCAAACAAGATATATAAACGCATGTGTGGTTTCAAAACCGGAATACTGGATGACTGACAAACCGTCATATTCAGTCTGACCGTGTCGCAGCGCGAGGGAGTATCGACTCGCGTGCGCCTGGAACGCAAGCCTCATTGCTTGGAAGGTTTACTATTAGTGCCTGATCGGTTGCTCATTCCGAACATGAAGACTCAGCCCACCCGCAAGGTTCGTACTAGCCACTGCGAGGTATCCATATGCTGCGACTGGTTATGCTGACTTCTCATAGCCTGCCAAGGGACAGCAACCTTACGACGACCCCAAAGGCAATCGCACAAATAAACCCCGCAACAAGGTTCCGTTACCATGTCCGCCGTCCATTTCGTCGAGTTCTTCCAAGCCCTGCCTCGGTACCGGCTCTGTGTTGTTTCGCAACCTCTGCGTCGAGAAGGTCCGCAAAGACTACCCCGGAATCGAGCCTCGCAGCGATTATGAGCTCGCCAGATTGTCCGAGATATGCTTCAAAGGTTCACCGACTGAAATTTACGCACAATTGGACAAGGATTTCGCGATGAGTGTCTCAGCATGCAGTTACGAGTCCATCATGGAGGCTGCCACGGCGCTCTTGGACAGTCATGTCGAGCCAAGTGGGGTACGTGCATCGACATGCTACTCCTTGTCCCGTACACGCCCGCTGACTCTCGTTGCAGCTCAAACCTGGATACTCCGCTCACGTCGATGACGACGAGAAGTTCATATTCGTCCACCCAATTCCCGACACCAAGTACTCCGTCCGACTGTTCCCCGGGTCGATCACCGCCGCCGAATACTGCCTGGACTTCGTCGACTCCGAAACCGGGCAGCCGGTGAACTCTTCCTTCAAGTTCGAGCTCTGGGGTATACCAAATACAGATACGCCGTGGCTCAGCTTTCCGATATGCGGACAGCTGCGGTCGATCGAGCGTGCACACGGTATCAAACAGAAGGACATTCAGCCAGGCGCGGAGAAGTTCATTCTACGAGACGGACAGACGTGTGTGCTGGCGCGTCCGGGGAAACGGTCTCTCCGCTTCACGGTGCCCGTGCGAAAGACGGAGATTCCGGACGTGGTCGATGATCAGGATGTATGGGACCTACCTCAGTTTATAGGCCCATGATTCACCTATACAATTTCTGTCACTCTGTGGCTCTCTTCATACATTTCGCGTGTACTTCGCCCTGCACATATGACAGTAATATTAAAAATCACGACGGACACCAGCCAGCCACACCCGCAATCGCTATATCCAACTTTCAGACCTTCGACGAGCTTTCTTTGGAGAGGGACAGGTCTGGTTGACGCTTGTCGAGCAATATTAATATATACGTCGAAATATCGACATGGTACGATTCGGCGTCCTGCGCCCAGATCTGGCCCAGATTTGCCTCCGGAGGAGTGGGCGGGAGGCGCGGAACGACGCGGGGGAAATGACGTCACGCGCTCCTCACGCGTCAGCCCACGCGGCCCTTCGATCGCTTCCCCGCGCGCGCCTGGTGGTCTTATTTCAGAGGTCTCGTTCGCCGCGACCGCACGCAGCACCCGCCTCACCCGCCCGTACATAATCTCGCCCCTCCCCCTCTCACCTCCCTCCCTCCTCCTGCTACCTCTCCTCACGCGCCTCTGACGACCGTAACGATCTCCACGAACGCACACGATGGTCAGCATCGACAACCACATCCGCCGCGGACATCCCGGTACGTCCCGCCCGCGTCGAACAGCGTGCTGCGCAGAGAACTGACCGCATCCCTCGCGCTGCTGCAGTCATCTTCGGCTTCATCATCTTCTTCAGCATCATCGAGCTCGCCATCTCTGCGTGGCTCGTGAGCCGGTTCAACCTGCGCCATGACTACCTCTCCATCGACGTGCGCGACCGCACGCGGTACCTGCTCTTCACCTCCTGCTGGACGATCTTCTTCTCCCTCTTCTACTTCGCGCTGTTCCTCCACTCCCCGACCGGGGGGATCATGACGAGCGTCCTCAGTCATGCCGTATTGTGAGTGCTGAGCCTGCGCCGTATAGCATATTTCTCATGTCTGACATATTTTCGCAGCCTGTTCTTGACCTGGGTATTGTGGACGGCAGGCGCTGCCGCCATTACCGCAGCTCTTGGAGGAGGACTGAACTGCTCGTACGTAGTTTTTTTACACTATTTGCGTAGTATACCCACTAACCAATCTACCGCAGTGCGCACTTCACGTACTGCGGCCAACTAAATGCCTTGGAAGGCTTTGCCTGGGTCGTCTGGTGCGTTGCTACCTCTCCTCATTCTCCTGCGAACCCTTCTGACCTCGTGGGATGTCTGCAGGATCTTCGTAACCTTCGCACTCCTCGTCGTCTTCTTCCGTGGGATCTCTGCCTCGCGTCGTGGCGACGGCTACCGTGGATCCCTCATTGCGTAAATCATCCGGCCCAAACTACTGTTCCTACCCACGCGTCGTACCGAAGTGTGTTGTATCTTTGCGCGCAAGCTAGCGCGCGTTATTCCGGGACTATGGTATCATTTGTTCCATTGTATCCCTAGTAGTTGTTTAATACATTTCAAACAACCATCGGAGTACATGCCAGAAGCTTGAAGTGAGATATTGACACCGGACCTGTATCGTAGAGCTGAGCCGACAGAGGGGATCGAACTAGGTCCTTGACAGTTCGAGACATGAAAGAGCATCCAGGGAGCACCGAGCTGAGTCCAGAGTGCAGACACGTAGAGCAGGCCTAGTCATCGTCTGCAAGCCCGTAGTCGTTGTGTACTTGTCGAATGGTCGCCTGCCGGTACGACGCGAGCTGGGTATATGTGCATACATACATCGACCTTCGCGTTCATCCAGCAAGGGTACTGACACTCACCTTCCCAATCAGGATCTAAAGGAGCACGACACATTAGCGAGTATACAGAGTGCAGACGTGCAGCACACACCTGAGTGGCATCTTTAGCTTCGTTGTACTGGTGCAAGAGCTTGATGTGGCGCGAGACGATCTGCGCCGCGTCCTCGTCCTCGCTATATGCGTGCAAAGACATTTTCAGCAAACCGTGTGGTTCACGCAAAATGCAAGACGCACCCGAGGACCTTCTGAAGCTCGTCAATCTCGGCTTGGATAGCCTCTATGCGGGCCTGCTGGGCCTGGGTCGGAGTGGTCAGTAGGAGCAGCGTAATAGTGGTGTTTCCTGACCTTGCCGGACGTCCTAGCGTGCATATCGAGCGTAGAAGAGATGAAAAATATTTCTGTATGCGCGGAAGAGCGTGGGGGCGAATCTAGGTGGGCGTAAATGGGCGTATGAGGCGAAGGAAAGAAGGACTTCGATCGAGGAGGCGGGGAGCACTTCTGCGAGTGCCACGGTCATGTGATGGCTTCTTCGCGTCGCGACGCGTCGACGGCGGCTTCCAGTCCTTCGTCGTGCCCTCCAATAAGCAAGTATCTCTTCGTTGGAGTCTTCGTACCGCGGTGGCAACGGTGTTATTTATGGTCATGTAAGATAACTGCGCTTTCGAATTTGTTGAGGCCAACCCGCCGGGTGCCGGGAGGATGTCGACCCGACGATTCCCAGGCGATGGCTGTCTGATAGGCAGCAAGGAGAAAGCAGCTGAAGACTGCTTGTGAAGACGGCGCAGGTAGCACAAGGATACTGAGCTTCTGGCCAAGGACGCTGAAGCAACGACAAGGCTCTGGGCAAGGGACGTCGGTATCTGTCCTTGAGCGCCCCGACTCCGACGGAGGAGCGCGCCGGCGCCGTAGCGCAGACTGAGATCTGAATCGGCTGCGGTGGGTGCTTTCAAATATACACCGGCGGGGACGGCATGGCCGCACGCCCTGGCCCTGCTTTCCACACGACTGTCATCTTCTCACTGTCGCTGTCTGTTACTGCGCTGCCCGGGCTATGCTTGTCTGACGGGGCCCGAGGACTACTTAGAGCGCGCTCTGCTGGTTTATCTTCCGCTTCGATCTGTCTCCCTAGGTTTCTTCCTCTGCGGTTCGCTCGCTCTCCGAGTCCTCCACCATGGCGGGCCTTTTCTTCAGGCAGTTCGCGGTCCTGTTCTGGAAGAACTGGATCGTAATGTCAAAGCACCCATGGGTACGTCTCGACCAGTGGACAGAGTCGTCGAGGAACGCTTGACTTAGTCGGCGCGCACTCTGCCTGTAGCTCAACATTCTGCGGTGCTTCATCATGCCCATAGCCTACGGAATCTTCCTAGCCGTCGCCCAGATATTCCTGACGAAGCCCAACAATGTGAGTACACAGTATTGCTCTCCCCCTCCGAGCAACGTCCTCAGTCCTGCAGTACGGGCTGGGCAGCCCCGTCCCGGTGCACAGTCTCGCCTCCGTCTACGACGGCTCCCTCGCGCTCATCTGGGCGGACGGCACGAACGGCACAGGGAGCAACCCCTCCGCACACGACATCATGGCACTCGTCACGCGCGGCTTCAGCGGGAGGCAGCTCAGCAGCGTGCGGCAGCTCGACTCGCCCGCGGACATCCCGGACGCGTGCCCGCAGAACTTCAACCTGTTCTCGGAGTGCTATTCGGCCGTCGCGTTCAATTCTCTTCCGGGGCCGGATGGGCTGTTACCGCTGAACTACACGTTGCGGGCGGACGGCGGGCTGTTTCATATAGATGTGTTCAGGCACACGAGCGATTATGAGGAGCGGATTTTGCCTCTACAGTGGGCCATAGATAGTGTAAGTGCTTCGTCTCTCGATTGCATGTGTGTGTGTCTCTGACGCTGTCGTATGCATAGGCTATCATAGAGTTGCAGACTGGTTCTGCCCCGCAAACCCCGCTCGAATGGCCCTTTACTCAGGAGACGAACGAGCAGCAGAACACAGACATTCGCCTCAGTAAGCCGTATCAACCTATTGAACCAGCAAAAACTGACTGCTGGGTCTGCAGGTTATATCCGAGGTCTGCGCACATTGCTGGTTCTCGCATTGTAAGAGCCACTCTTCCTCAGCGCAGTCAGGCACTTACAGCCCACAGGTTTGTATGTTTCGTCGGGATAGCGTACCAACTCCCCGGGTCATTCGGCGGCGAGAGAGCCAACCTCCTGACTGCCCATCTTAAGGCGATGGGTCTCATGGACTCGGCGCGCATCATGTTCGTATTTCACTATCCATTCCAATTCACAGACGCTGACGCCGCGGCGCTGCAGCTCCTGGCACCTGAGCGTATCGCTCGCCTACCTCCCCGCGTGGATCATCGTCGCGATCATCTGGCACGTCCGCATCTTCACCGCGACGAACGTCGGGCTCGTCATCGTCATCCACCTCCTGCTCGGCCTCACGCTCGCGAGCTGGTCCTTCTTCGTCGCCGCGCCGTTCGGCAAGAGCCCGCAGCTCGCGGCGGTCGCGTCGACGTTCCTCGCCATCGCGTTCGCGATCCTTGCGCTCGTGTTTGCGCGCGCGAGCAGCGGCGCCGCGTTTATCTTCACGATCATCTTTCCGCCGGGCTTCTATATCTTCGCTATCCGGGCTGTGTGTGGGTTCGAGGTGCACCAGATTGCGACCAGCGTGACGCAGCCCGATCCGGACAACGGGTTGCGCCTGCTGCCCCTCATCATCGCAGCCATCGTGAGTCGCATGCATTTCTTGCTGTATCTGTCAGTATCTAATGCGCTGCGCAGATCGATGTGTTCTTGTGGCCGTGGCTGGCAGTTCTGTGGGAAAGACATCTCTACGACGCGCACAATGCGACCGACCGCTCGTGGTGGTCTCGCCTACGACACCGCAAGACTACGGCAGAGAACGCACTGACAATCGCGCCGGACACTGCGGTCTCGATCAAGAATCTTGGTAAGGACTTCAAGACGTCGTTTTGGAAAGGGGAGAAGAGCCTCGTCACCGCGGTGTCCGACCTCAGCCTCGAGATCCCTAAGTTCGGCATCTACGTCTTGCTCGGATCCAATGGGTGCGTCCAAAGGCGTAGCACATTAATCGCTTTTGCTCGTGTGCTAATAGTATGACAGTGCCGGGAAGTCCACGACGATGTCCGTCCTTGCGGGGCTGCTCGGCCGCACGCGCGGCTCCGTCGTCTTCGAGGGTGGCGTCGAGCATCCGCCTCGCGGGACAATCGGCATCGTGCCCCAGAAGAATGTCCTCTTCCCTGAGCTGTCTTGTTACCAGACCCTGCGTGTATGGCGTGCGGTGAAGCGCGCGGACACCCACGCGGAGGAAGACGACATCGAGCAGCTGCTGAAGGATTGCGACTTGGGCAAGAAGATCCACTACAACGCGAATGCGCTGAGTGGCGGGCAGAAGAGGAAGCTGCAGCTGGCGATCGGGTTGATCGGCGGATCGAAGAGTGAGTAAAAGTGGCAGATTGCTTCTTTTTTGGAACTGGACTGATATACCATCGCAGTTGTTCTGGTTGACGAGGTACATCATCGTATCAAGTCAGGAGTATTCAATAGGTTGCTGACTCGCCTCAGTGTACCTCTGGTGTAGACCCACTGTCACGTCGTGCTCTATGGCGAACGCTCAGTTCAGTGCGCCACGACCGGACTGTCGTTTTCACCACTCACGTAAGTATCTACCTCACAGTTCCGCACCTGCCACTAATCTTCTGCGTAGTTCCTGGACGAAGCAGACCTCCTTGCGGACACGATCGCTGTGCTTGCTGCGCCAGGCAAACTTGTCGCCCACGGAACTCCTGTTTCACTCAAGTCCAATTTAGGCGAGGGTTATACTGTGGTCGCGTCGTTCATGACAGAAGAAGGGCTGGCGGAGAAGTCGACCATTGGACACCAGACCGAACTGCTAGACCGCATCCGGACGATAGCCCCGCTGGCCTACACGTCCTCAACTACGCCCAACGAAGTGTCCTACCATCTGAAGCTGAAGGATCCTGCGATCGTCCAGGAGGTATTGGAGCTCGTGGAGGAGACCCGGGAGACAGATGGTGTCGCCAATTACTCCGTCATGAGCACCTCGATCGAGGACATCTTCTTGGGACTGATGCATGACGATACGCGCGCGGACGAGAAGGAGCTCGAGAAGACCGGATCGTCCACGACGCCGTCTCTTTCGACCACCCCCGTACCGACTCCGCCCGTGCTGCACCTAACGAACGGCCGGCGCCGCTCGCCCCTCAGCCAGGCACTGACCATCTTCCACAAGCGTGTGCTCATCGCACGGCGAAGCTGGCTCACGCCGTGTCTAGCTGTTTTAATCGCCGTCGCCGGCTCCTGCGTCCCCATCTTCTTCCTCAGCACTCGCCAACAAACCTGTGTAAGGACCTTCCGCACGGTACCCACCACCCCAGTCTACCTCCCTGTTTCGCCTCTCGGGTTCATTGCCGAGAACATCACAGACTCGCGCGTGCTCGAGTCTCCGCCGGGGATTATTTCCACGCTGGGGAATACGACACGGACGCTGCTCATAGACAGCTTCCCCGATAACTCGACATTCATGAGCACCATCGACCAGACGTTCCGCAACCAGTCGTTCGGCGGAGTCTCGATCGACCAGCAGTCGGGCACGGCATTGTTTGCGTGGGAGGCGACGCCCCCTGGGCTCACTGGCCTCGTCATGCTCAACCTTGCGTCCAACCTCTTGTATAACACTGCACTTAACGCCACAGGGAAGACGCCTCCCGTGCCGAGTCTGATCCTTGCCAATTACCAGACCTTCCCCGGGATCGCAGCGGGAACGCTGGTGGCATTGAAATGGGTTGCATTCTTCGGCGCTGCAATGGTATGTCCTCTACTGCGATGGCTACCACACGCGAGATGACTGACGTGCGGCGACAGGCTGTGTACCCTGCGTTCTTCTCTCTTTACGTCGCGAAGGAGCGCCGCTCGTCCGTCCAGGCCATGCAGCTCTCCAACGGCTTGTCGGACCCTATTGGCCTCTGGCTCGGTCACCTTCTCTTCGACTCCGTCTTCGCAGTAATTGTCGCCACACTTGTTGTCATCGTCTTCGCCGCCGCCTCCAACCAGTTCAGCGGTCTTGGGTTCTTCGTAAGCCATTTTCCTATAAATCACTGAAAAGCAGCAAGCAGTCACTTACGCGTCTGACCAGTGGGTGGTCCTAGTGTTATATGGCATTGTGGGCTCGTTGTTCGCGTATTGCGTATCGCTCATGGTCGCTTCTCCCTTGGCGGCATTTGCGATGGCCGCTGGATACCAAGTCATCATGTTCGTTGTAAGTACTCGATGTCCATGTGTCGGTATTGATCACTTTGCTAATGCGACACAGCTGTACTTGGCAGCGTACTTGCTCACCCTGACCTACGCAAAGACATCTCAAGCTGGCACGGATCTTACCATCATCCGTTCGTACACGACCATTTGCAAGCTTAGTTGAGGTGTTTATTAACGCTGCTATAGACTTTACTATGTCAGTGTTGGCTCCGGTAGCCAGTGTGGTAGGTCAATAAGCTTTCTCGGACGGGCTCGGGCTCACCTTGATCCATATAGCTCCGTGCATCGTTTGTTTCCGTCAACCTCTTCTCTCTGCTCTGCGATGGAACCAACCCAGTCACCGCTGCTTCCCTTGGCGACATATCGCGGTACGGCGGCCCGATCCTGTATTTGTTCATCTACGGCTTCGTGCTCTTCGCTATCCTCGTATGGGTCGACTCCGGGTCGCTCCTGCCCCGCAAGATCACGCAGGGTCGAAAGAAGGCTCCCCCACCTGCCGTTGCGGAAAGCACCCAGTCTGCTGCGCCCGGTAGGGTTGCGGGCAAGGACGTCCACGACGAGGCTGCTGTGGTAGCGGACTCTGGCGATGCGCTGCGCGTGCTCAACATCGTGAAGGCGTTCGGTAGCGCATCCAACAGGGTGGTGGACAATGTCAGCTTCGGTGTATCCCAGGATACCATCTTCGCCCTTCTCGGACCTAATGGTGCGGGCAAGACCACCACGTTCAACGTCATCCGTATGTATTTTCCCCTCTACACGACATAGCCTGCTTTAACAATTGACCCTCAATCTAGGTGGCGATGTGATCCCCGACCAAGGCGACGTGTTCATCAACGGCGTTTCGATAGTACACCATCCTCGAGCAGCCAGGTTGTCCCTTGGAGTGTGCCCACAGTTCACAGCGATCGACTCGCAGCTGACGGTCCGAGAGCATCTCCTTGTCTATGGTCGTCTGAAGGGTCTGTATCGCGGAGAGGAGGTGCAGAGCAACGTCGAGCGGCTCATGCGCGCGACGTCCTTGCACATGTACGCGGACCGGCTTGCGAGTAAGCTGTCGGGCGGCAACCAGCGCAAGCTTTCCCTGGCAATCGCGCTTATAGGTATGTTACTCTTTCGTCTTCCAGGTCCCCAGTCGCTGATCTTATTTGTCAGGGAACCCATCCGTGGTACTGATTGACGAGTTTTCGACTGGCATCGACGCGAAGATGAAGCGCGATATGTGGGGCACCCTCCGGAACGTCGCCGTCGGGAAAGCGATTGTCATCACCACCCGTGAGTTATCACGTCCATTACTTCTTACACACCCTGTTGTGACACTGTTTGTCTAGACTCCATGGAGGAGGCATCCGCACTAGCGAACAAAGTTGGTATCCTGGCGAAGAAGATGCTTGGTGAGTGCGCCTGTAGGCCTTCTCAGTCGCAGCCCACTGATGCATGGTATCATCAGCGGTGGGAACAACCAACTCGCTCGTTGAACGCTACGCGACATATGAGGTACACTTCTCATGTCGGACGCGCGAGGAGGTCGTCCACGCGCAAGAGCTGATGGCCCAAATCCCTGGTGCGCGCATGGCCGACGACGTGGCGACTCGGTTCGAAGTCCCGATCGGTGGAGGGATGTCCCTCGCTAAGCTGTTCGCTGTGCTCTCTGGGGGTAACTTCTCGGAGTACACTGTTGAGCGTGCGACGCTAGAGAGCGTGTTCCTGAAGGTGATCAGGGAGAACAATGTGCTCGAGGAGGACACGGAGAAGCGGAGGCGGTGGTGGAGGATATGCTGACCTGTGCTGTGCTTCTTGTTCTACGCGCTTGGATGACCGCTCTCGATAGCTGTGGTATATACCGGGGATACCCAGGGACACTAGACTCGTGGACGTATATTACCACTGTATGTTATTCCTACATATGCATCGGCTGATCACGACGCGGAGGTGGTTCAAGTCGTGAACTATCAGCGCTCATGATATGGTACGTCGACATCGCTATTGAATCGACTGTCTAACACCCCCGTCTCTCTATAGGCACCGCCCTGGACACGGTTCCTTTATGGAAACGCTCAGCTGGGTACATACCGTCACAGCGTGCATTCGGCCAAGACCGCGTGGTAAATGCAAGGCAGAGGCAAGGTCTACTTATCCTGCGCATATGTGCCTGAGGGGCTTCGCCGTGCCCCCCACTTCCCCGCCACTTCAAATATCCACGCTCAGCACCTCCTGCACATCCTCCTCTCTAATGCCGGTCACTCTCGACTTCCCTATAAATGTCAACGATTTTGTCCACAATGGTATGGACCTGGGTACGCCGTTCATGACGCCAGCGGAGCTTGTGGCTTCCAACAGCAGTCACCCCCGCGGCCTTGTGCCGGTTCTCCGCCTGCCAACGAAACCTGCACAACCGAACACCGATGTCCGTTACACACTCAAAGCCCCACGTCCTCTCCCCTACTCCGAATACAAACTGTTCCGTGCGCAGTTGCTCGAGAACGAGAACGTCGTTGGCGATGTCGTCTGTAAGGCAGCCGAAGGGCCAGGCATTCTGCTCAGATCGCTGCGCACGGAGGCCAATTTGTACCAGGGCAGGCTCGTCCCACTCCAAGGTGATGTGGTGCCAAAGCTCATTGGGTACTTCGAAGGCTACATGCCTGATGAAGAGACGAAGCTTGGAGTGCTCGTCCTGGAGTATGTCGGCGAAACATGGGCTGACGGTTCTTCGTGGACGTCGCGAGAACTCAGGTTAGTACCAGTGCGCATTCTCAAACTCGATATCGACCCATTCCCATGACTTCTCCACACAGCCAGAGGATTATAGATGCGTACGTCAAGATTCACAAGGCCGGCGTCCAACAGGGATCGCCGGAGTGTCTGTCTTATACCATACGCCCAGAAGACGAACGACTGTTCATCGTCGGGTTCTCCGGTGGTGGCGAGCACGACTGCCGCAAGCCCGACATGATGATTCTCGAGATGGGCATGATGATGCCCAACGTGCCCTGGCTCGACTGTAAGGAGCTATGCGAGCTGTTGGCACAGCTTCATGCCTGGATTCCGTGTGAGTGCTCGCTTTCGCTCCGTGTCATACTGAATCGCGCTCATGCTATGGCGCGTCGCTGCAGGGCACGTTCCATACATCGGAGTCAGCGCCCCCATAGAAACCGTCCTCGAGGGAGAAGAGGCCCTCGTTGCCATCGCCGTTACGAACCACGAGGACCACGCACGGGAGGGAGCGAAAAGCACAATCAAAGACCTGAACAAGTTCATTGAGAGAACGGGGTACGATATTCCCGCCGCGCTCGCGAAAGATAAGGCCATGCAGGAGAGAATGGTGGCTGCTGGGGTGGTAGTCCAAAGATTTATGTCGAAGGATGGTTCTGATTCGGAATCGTCGGGAGAAGAGTAACGCGTCATCTATTAGCAGTTCGTGCTAGCTGTCACATTGTAGTTTCCGAGTGCCCCGTACGGGAATTTTGGACGTCGAGTTACAGACATAGAGCCTGCCGTTCCTGAGGTCGTAATGAGTGAGCGGAAAGCGGGGGATGCGATGACCGTGAGCAGGACTCTCACCTTCGTCATCTTCCCTGCACAATCGAACCCTCTGGCGGCGTGCGGATCGATTCGTACAGCCGCTGTACCGCGTCCCGGACCTTGCTGTCCATTTTTGCGTGGTTCGCAATACGCTCCAGTACCTCTTCGGAGCTCAGGTAAATGGCGAGATACCGTATCACTTTTTCGGCTTCCGGAAACTGTTCGTGGAGCTCCTTGAGGAAGGTGATGAACTTTGGGTCTGTGAGCGAGTACAGGTGATGATTGAAGTGCGCAAGGTAGGCATTGTAGCGTCCTTCATCCAGGCCGCTGATGAGTTCGCACAACTCATGCAGCTGCTTGAGCAGCCGTTTCTGCGCGAACTGGACGTCGTTATGGCAGAAGCCGGGGCGGAGATGGCACACCGCCAGGAATTTGATGAACCGGTGATGCATGTCGATTTGGAGGTCGACCGTCGTTGCGCGAGACAATAATCCTTCAAACGCCTTTGTGACTGGAGATGACAGAGTGAGCACTAGAACATATCGCAGTAAGTTTGCTGGATGACTGACTTGCTTGCGCGGCGTTTCCGCAGCTGATCGACTGGTAGTGCGCCGGGTGCAGCCATCTTCGGTGCGACAGGTCATCAAGTATACGGAACACGTCGATCGTATACCCATCGTTGTTCGTATACGTCTCCAACAGCCTAGCGAGGGTCTGGTAGAGCTGCACCGACACTTTGACGTCGATGTACGGGTACTCGAGTCGTCGCCTGAGGTCTGCCACCAGAACCTCGATCGGTTCCTGCGAAAGCCTGTTGCTGTCGTCAAAACCGTCTAGGTGCGACTCGATGACTTCGAGCGCGAGAGACACTGCCTTGGCGCTGGAGGCCGATAGGTTACGGTGCTCGAGACCTGACTGGGGAGCCACGTCTCCGCACATCGCCTTGAGACAGCGATGACCGAACCGTGAGGGCAGGGTGCGGACGCAGCGCCTGAGTACCTTGTCCGTGAACTCGACCGAGTCATTCAGCACCAGCGCGTTGGCAGCCAGCAGTGCCTGCTGGTCGAGGTTGTGTTGGTGCTTTTGCACGATCGGTCGCTCAATCCCCGCCCATCGTAAGTAGACCACGCGATCCCGTACGTTTCCCACGAGTTGTGTGGCTCTGGCAGACCGCCATCGTAAAACGAAAGCGACCGCTTGGCCCAGTGTCCAGGCAGCACGACGTATGGTTTGCACGACGAAGACGGATGCGAGCGCCTGTGGAGATCGGTAGGCGCAATCGGGCGCGAAGGCAGGAGCGAGGACGGTGACGATGGTGAACACCAACAGAGTGCCGACGAGCGCGGACGCAACGGCGGCCACGATCTGATGCAGCGACCACAAGAGTACCAACAGCCCCGCCAGGAATAGCGCGGATGCGAGCTGCAGGAGAATGGGGAGGACCGCGACGATGGTGCCCACGTGCCACTTTCTGAGAGCCTCATAGCGGTACTGTCGCAGACGTGCGATGTCGCGCGACGTTCCGAACAGACCAAGTTCGTTCTCGTGCAGCCACTGCTTCACCATCATTCCGATGGACGCCGCAGTAAGGCTGCATATGAGGCTCGAGAACCACAGAGTGTTGATCCACACAGCAAGCAGGGTAGCACGGAACGCGGATTGCGATCGAGTGGCGACGAACTGCTGCGTGGAGTTGACGAAGGCCGAACCGACCGTGAAACTGTTGAGCTGGGCAGACATCTGCACAAGAAGCGCATTCGTCGTGTCCGTAGGGCTCGGTTGGAGCAAAACGTATGTCTCCACCGTGAACGCAGTAAGCACCGCCGAGAAGAGACCCGCCTAAAGAGCACACACGTTATCAGTGTGCGTGTTCGACGGCTGGACAAAGTACGCACGTAAACGAGGAGCGTGTCTATCTCCTCCTTCCACCGCAGTAGGATCCCTTCGTGATGATCCTTGATGACTTTAGCGCACTCAGCCCATGCGGACGTCGCTGCCTGCTCCGCATCATGCCTCTTGGTATGAATTCTCTTGTATAGGGCGTGGGGAGTACGATCCTGGAACACGCGAGCCGTAAGTCTCCAGTTCGCTTTCCTTGACAAGCGCACAACTCGATACCCTTTCACGACTCTTCATCGATTGCCCAGTAGTACTCGGACCCGCTGCCGGGAGTGCCCTTGTGGTAGTCTGGGCCCCGACGGGAGTGATCTTCCCGCCGACCAGAGAGCCGGCCCACGTGGCATTCGAACGCCTCTTCTCGGAGTCCGGTACTGTTTGTGCATGTGAGAGGTCCTTCATGGCCTCAGATGCCACGGCCACCAGTCTGGCCGGGAAAGGCGATTGAGGCATGAAGCCTGGTAACGCGGGAGGACTCCCAACGCTCGGCGCGGCGGGCGAATTAGGCATCCCGGATGTTCCTGTGGGGCCAGATTGGGACTGGCTTGTGAGGGAGCGTGGTTCCCGTCGACGGCCTCTCGAAGCCATGATGAAATGCAAACTCTGGACTAGGGATGGTCTGCTGAAAGAGTGGTCGGTGAGCTGCTCGTTAGCGGATCGCAGCAGGAAGGGGTTGACCAGGGTGCTGGGTATATACGTCGCCCAATCACCCGCTGACATACATCATTCATGCCTCCGGGGCGTCCGGAATGCGATATTTGGCCGTTGGCGACTTACGGCACCTCACTTTGAAGTTCGCGCACTGATATCGATGAAGCGCTTCCTCCTGAACACGTACTGCAGATCGAATCAGAAACGGTATGGCTTTCGGGGAGGTCGCTTACATTCAGCGTCTCGACGGGCGCGACGGCGCGGATGGAAAGTCTCGAGTGGTTCCTCCCCAGTGCTTCGCAAAACGCACCACATGCTGATTATGGGCGCGCGATTCGCGACTCAATGGTGAGAGGGAATTCTCCCCTGCTCTTAGCTGAGAAGCGCACAACGTGGTGGCCCTAGATAACGAGAACCTGAGGTTCAGTCGTAATAGCGGCGTTCCCTGCATGTTGAGATGTTAGCCAGAACCAGGAGCAGCACTGTGTGCGGATCGGACCACATACCGAGTCGTACAGCACCATCAAGTCGTCGAACAACACACTTACGGAGTAACTGGTAATGCTCATCGACTGTAAAATTGGATAGACCCGCTATCTAGCACCAGCCCACCAGTCTTGACAGACTCGGCGGTACCGACGAAGACGCTTGAAGCAGCCTGAGGCAGGAGACGAACGGTTACGTTGAGATCAGGCGCCCGTTGTTGACCAAACACTTACACACAGATGACGCCACCCAGCGCTGCGACCCGAGTAACTGTCCATATCCATGAGTTTGTAAATTTGTCGAGCAAGACTAATTTATAGCTTCGAGTACAATATAGAGTACAGTACAGATGGGCGAAATGGTATACAGGCATCTCAAAACACTACAACCAGCTCTACTGGCACCAAACCAAACCCCGCCGCCCAACTCACTTCTCGCGCGCCGACTCCGCGTCCAGCCCCGAGACCGAGAACTCAGTGGTGAACCGCACATCCGACGGCGAGCCCTTCGAGACACCCACGCCCATCGGGAGGCCCGCCTGGTGGAAGTTCATCGACGTGAGCGTCTGGTCCATCGTGTCCTTCGTCCACGCTGTCCCGTCCGCGACGCGGTAAATAATGAGGTACGTCGCGATCGGCTGCGCCCCGGACGCGAACCCGAGCCAGATCTGGTTGATGGGCGCGTTCATCGCGTACGAGACGAGGAAGGCGATCGCGAACGCGGAGTAGAGCGCGGCGCTCTCGACGATGAGCGCGGCGAGCGAGAGGTATTGCTGGGCGTGCGCGGGGGGCAGGTGCGCGAGGTGCGTGCGGCGGTAGGCGAGGAGGCGCGCGATGATGAGGGCGGTGAGGATGACGTTTACCCCGAGGGAGATTGTGTAGTAGGCGGTGCCGTATGCGAGTGGCTGCTTGCTGTAGAGGGAGAGCCCTGGATGACTCGACTGCAGCGTCCAAAGTGTACCCATGACTAAGGGAGAGCGCGTGTTAGAAGGTGTCGTGTCATTCAAGTAGGGGGACGTACCAAAGGATGCGACGAGCATGAGGAAGGGGAAGAGGTTGACGAGGTATGCTGTTGTGCGACCTGATGCAGTCCAGATGATCCAGCTACGCCAGAGCTACAGCGACGCGTCAGACACGTCCACAGTTGGTCAGCGAGCGACTCACCATGAGGGTGTCGCACATGAAGGTCATGACGAAGAGCGTCGCGTAGAATATGACGTTGATCGCGAGGTTCTGGGTGTCGAGGAAGTACTGCCATGGCCCGGTGGGGTAGTTCCGGTTCTCGATGTAGAGCTCCTGCACAGTGCGGGCCTGGACGACGGCGAACATGGTCTCGACGATAAGGAGGACGGTGATGTAGGCGAGGAGGAAGGTGGTCCGCCAGCCGCGGTGCCTCTGCTTCCATAGGTATAGTGCACATGATGTCCAGAGGACGAGGTGGACGCCTGGAGAGACAGGTGAGCGACACAAACTTGCAAGCAGCACGGCAATCACGAACCGTAGCCTACGCCTGCGACGAAGTCCCCGGCGAGGAAGAAGCGTTCGAGGTTGATCGTCGTCTCGTCCTCGTTGGGGCCATAGTACGGTTTCGACATATGGTGCGGGTGCGGCGCGCTGGGGCCTGTCCGGGGTATGTACAAAGGAGCGACGGTGCGTCTGGGAGACCCAGAGGATGGGGAGATCGCCAGCGTCGGCGAGGCGCATGCTTATATTTGCTGGACCCGGGCAGCCGGGGCGCAAGACCGTTCACGCTGCTCGACGCGCACACCAAGATCGGCCCAGCACACGGGCCTTGCCGACGCGCGATCGGAAACACGCCTCCCTCCCACCGCGCCCGCCCATTGGCTGCCGGGCCCGGCGCCTGCTGCACGGAGCCCGGGGAACGACCCAATATTGACGGTGGCGGTGCACAAACTTAGTCTTCCTCCAAGACCGCGCCAAGCCGCTCTCCTCGGCCTTCATCCAAGGCACACACCTATCGCCCGTGCCTCGTCCAGACCCCGCACCTCGAACGTCTGCAGCCTCCAAGGTACTGCAGCACGCCCTGCGCTAGGGAAGCAAGTGATCTGGGACCTGCCACGGAGGCTCTCTCTTCCGGGAACCTTTCCAAGCTCGCGTTGCTGCGCTGATATCGGTGCACATCGATACCTCAGATCTGCACGTTCCTGGCGCTGATCCCGACCTCGTGCTTCGTCTGCAAGACGTCACCGTGCCTCTTCGTGATTCGCTGCAACAACACAGGTAGGAGTGCGGCCACCCGCAGTACAGAGAGAACCACCGCAGCTTCAAACGGCAAATTATACTTATACTCGCCAACGTGCGTACGAACGCACCCTCAGGAAAATAAGTAGCCCTCGAAGGATGTTCCTACTCGACCCGGCGAAGATCAAAGCCCGCTGTCAAGCCATTCATAGCCAATCTTCAACCCAAAGCCTCCCCCTCGCAACACCGACTAGTGGCGCATATCGGGGCCAGCGGACAAAGTTCACACTCACTCCTCTGATCGACATCGAAGATCTGCACCGTCTGCCCCGCAGACTGTCAAATTGGCATCACGAAGCAGTACGCAGCCCCGGATACGCGCGCGCACGTCAACGTCAACGTCAAAATGGCGCTGATGCTCCCCAGGGCTCCTCCGGCCGGCGAGCTATGCGGGCGATCCTACTCGTTCGTATACGTAGCTGCGGCTGCGGGGCTCTCGTTGCAGCTTTCCGCTGAGTGCGCATCTGTGGTCAGTAACAGGATAGCAGAGATACTTCGCCTTGGCATCTCCTGCCCGCACCTCGAGGCTGCAGGGTCCTGTAACTAAATCATCGGAGCCCGGCGGGGATACCGACCACACCAATCTGCCAGAGAACCTACACGCACTCTATCACGGCGATATTCTCCAGCCGGAACGCACAATAAAGAATAGAGAAAAACGAGCGCAGAAAAAGGTAGGGTCCTCATTGTAGCCACAGCCAGAAACGCCGGATCGCAATACAAGACGCTATAATACTTGAACTATGGTACATACTGCTGTACGAGTACTTATACGAGGCCGCCCGCGCACGGCGGGCGGCGTCGGCATATGCATATGCACGGAGCGCGAATAGGGATTCGGGAGCTAGGGGGGCGGGCGGGCGGTGCGGGTGTGGATGCGGATGCGGTGCCCGATATTAAGGCCCACGCACGGGGGCGGGGCGGAGACGGTGGGAAGCGTGCGGGCTGCTATGTACGGTCCTTCGACGACGACTGACGAGTGGAGAGCGCTGGACGGAGAACGAGATGAGAGCGAGTGTCCGACGGAACGTGTGCGTCTATGATACTGATGGGAGCTTGCAGCCCGTGATGCGGACTAGAGCAGAAGCTGTCAGATATTGCCTCTTAGTGAGAAATGGAAGGCGAACGCACCAGTGCCATCCCAGGAACCGACGGCGTAGACCATCTCGCGTGGGTGGAACGCGAGGCTGCTCGTGCGCGGCGTGAATGGTGTTGTCGAGTCGCGTGGTGGCGGGATCGCGAGGCCCGTCGTGAGCGAGCCCAGCGCACGTTTCGTCGCGAGCGACTGCACCTCTGTGCGTTGCGTGCGCCAGTTTGAGACCATGAGCGAAGAGGTACTGTACCAGGTACGCGTGCAGTCAGCGATGCGGATCACAGGGAAATTCAGGAGACGACATACGCGGCGAAGACTTCTGTTTGCTCGTGCACGTCAAATGCGGAGAGGCCCTGCGGGAAGAGGTCCCACGTCTGCACAGGGCTGTCGCCTCCGCGGAGGTCCCACAGCTTGACCTCGCCATCCATACTTGACGAAAACTATCAACATCTGTCTGGAAGGTCTTGCTAAACGAAGGCGCGTACCTGCCCGAAAGGAACTGTCCAGAGAGCGTGGGATGCCACTTCACGTTCTGCACCCAGGACGGGTGCTGGTGGTACGACCTGACGACCTCCTCGTGCCGCCGGTCAAAGATCTTCACCGCGCCATCCGCGAACCCTGCCAGGAACGTGGGAGCTGAGCCGGTGTCAGACATGAGCGCCGTGACGGGGCTCTCCGCATTTGTGTCCAGGTCCTGTGGGTGCCGGTGGCATGAGAACGCGCGCACGCGCGTGGTATGCGATACAATGCACTGACCATCATTTGGCTCTCCGTGTGTGCGTCCCACACGCGGACGATGCGCGAGTCGCCGCCGACGAGCAGCGTGCCGCCGGACTGCTTCCAGTCCGTCACGACGCCGCTGCCGCGCTTCACTTGCAGGACCTCGTTCAAGCCGCGGAACGCGCTGACCATCTGCACTGGGCCGTTGCAGAGATTGGGATCGTAGTTGCGGTAGAGACGAATCATCCCGTCCGCTGATAGATTGCGCATCAGCACCCGTCGACGAGCTGAAGAAGGTTCGCAATGTACCTGCACCGGTGAGGATGATCCCTCCCACATCTTGGTTGATGATGTGCAGGGACGTGATGCTAGTTCCCCGAGGATTTCCGTTGAAGAAACGGTTCAGACGTCGGCGCTTGATCCAGTCCCATACGCTTCGAGAAAACGCCCATCAGTATCGTGACCACCTTGCGAACGTGAACGATCATTATGTAGACATACGTGACCATATCCGACTCATTGGCAATGACGAGATGAGGGTCGAAAGCGTGGAAGGCGAGGGAGAGCGGCAACCCATTGATCTGGATCGTAGTCACCGGTCGATCCCATCTGCAGCGCGCTGTCGTCGACATGTCAGTCAATGACAGGTGTACATCAACAGATCTCATGGGCGATCACTCACGCGCTTCCAGGGCCTGCTTGTGGGTGTCCTCCATCACCTGCTCGTTCCGCTGCTGCCGCCAAACCTGGTAGTTGTACTGCACGCTGCCGGGCTCATCTGCCTCCGGTTGCTAGGAGAAGGCCAGATTGTTAGTGAACGCATCTCGTCACGGGGTGAAACACTAGATGAAACACTCACCCTCATCTGCGGCTCCTTGAAGTACTCGCAACACCAGTCATAAAACCGGCTCTTCAGTGGTAGAACATCGCGCAGGCCGACGCCCGTGCCGAGGCCGAGGATGATGCTGGAGTCCATCGAGAAGGTGCTCCCTGACGGGCTCGCTCCGCCACCGAAGCCATCTCGGTGGTGCGAATGACCATGTTGCCGGTTGTGGCTGTTGATACGCCGCCGCGCCCGCAGGCGCTCCATGTCCTCCGCCATCAAGGCGTCCATGACGTTCCAGGGCATGAAGCCCATGGTGGGCGATTCGGGTTCCTGCTGAGACTGAGAAGACAAGCTGGTGCGCGATGCCGAAGCTGGCTGCAAATAGGCGTCATCCGGACTTTCTGGACGCGAATAAGGCGACGTATACTGGGCGAAGTTGAGATTCGGGGATGGTGGTCTCGATACACCCTCGACGACCTCTGTACGTTCCTGGGCGTGTTCGGTCTGTTGGGGTCGCGGCGATGAGCGGCCATCCTCCAGAGTAGGGAACGCGATGTTTCCCGCAAGGCTCCGCAGCGCGTTGGCGAAGGACGATGTCCGCCGCAATGTGCTTGACACGCCATTCTGGATCGTGCTGGTCATAGTCTCACTCCGGGTTAATGGAGGGCGACCTGAGGGCGACAGCGGTACCTGCGAGCCCGTATGCGTAGACTGGTTCGACGGAACGCGCTGCCGTGTACCGTTCAGAAGTGACTTCGCATCCGACGCGGTTGTGGGAGGCCTATTAAGCGTCGTGCTCTCCAACCTCGTGAACGGAGACGCCAGCAGGAGGGCCATGATGTAGTCCACGATAGTCTGCGCGTTCGTGGCAACCTCCTGGTACGGATCCACGGAGAGCTCAAGCAGGATCGAGAAGATCGTGAAGAGTGATGACAACAGAACCCGGTTCTCCGCGCGGTAGTCCTCATCGTCGCCGAAGCTATCCAGCCACTCGGTGACGGCGAAAGCCGCAACATCGTCGTCCGGATGCTGGTTCTCCTCGCCTCCCTTCCACCGCCGGTCCTCTTCCCAATAGATCCATGCACAGACGATGAAGTACCCACGCCATTCCTTGACAAGACAGCTGATGAGCACGAGGAGCTCTTTCCGGACCATCGGACTGGCGTCTTCCTTGATCGCAAGCGTCGCGCCTGTCACGACTGCGACCTCCATCCGGAAGTGGTCCGGCTCGTCGAGCTGGTACATCGTGCCGCTTCCGCCGCCGCCGAGCTTGTTCAGGTCCGAGGAGCCAGACGCGCCCAGGAACGTGCTGAGCGCGTACAGGGCAGCGCTGCGCACCTCCGGCGAGTCGTCCGAGAGGAGTGCGATCAGTTTGTCCTGCATGCCACTGTCGACGCCGTAGACCTTGATATCATCGTTGGCATCCCATATCTGCGCGATACACAGGGCGGACCACTGGCGGAGCAAGAAGTCGCCCTCGTCGAGATGCTCAAAACATGAATCGAGGACGCGCTCGTTCAAGCACGCGTTCTGCCCCTGCACGTAGTCACGCGCGATGGTCGAGAGGATGAAGGCGCACATAGCCTTGTGCTCCGAGCCGTTCGGGAATACAGCCTGTCGCGGATCGTCCTGAGCTGCGAGCGCGGAAGCGAAGTACTTGAACCCTCCGTTATTGAACAGATCGACCTGACAACTAGGGTCCACGGCGGAGATCCGCGCCCAGATGAAGATCAAGACAGGCTTCAAGTCCTGGCCCGCGGCCTGGAGGAGACGCGCAATGTAGGGGAAGATGCCAATTGTGAGCGCGAGATGTACCGCCCAGGGGCCCAGGTCGACGAACTGTGACAGCAGAATCAAGGCCCGCAGTCGATGTGGCTGGGAAAGTAGGACCTGCAGGACGATGGGAAGCTGATCTGGAGGTTTGCGAGGAACGAGATGGTGGTCGCTGTGCTCCAGCGTGTTGGCAGGGTACGGTGCTTGGTCGGTCGCACCGTCATAACCTAGCTGATCCATGGGAGTCTGTATAGGCAAGGAAAGCGGACCCGGCTTCGTAAGTGCCGATCCGCCTCGGGAGATCCAGACTTCGAATGCAGTGAGCTGGTCGGTGAAGAATCTGCTCGGTATGTATGTGTACGACTTCTCGCCAGGGGTCGTTGACGGCCCTGCGTGGGCTGCTTGACCGTTCGCAGCTGCCTGCCGTCGATTCCGCGCGCCAAGGGATACATCCTTCGGGATATTGGAATCCGCGTTCTTCAAGAGATCCGGGAGTTGGCGCAGGCACGCGTCTACGGCCAGATCCCAGGCCGCCCAGAGAGGATGAGTGTTGGTCGGAGGAAGAGGGGGGTATGTATGGGGCGTGCAGTGGTAGTTCTTCATGATGCGCTCGGCTAACAGGAAGTTGCGGAAGAGGGAAGCAATTAGCAGGTCGGACCGGTACAGGCGCGTGAATACCTCGCGAGGGAACGTGGTCCACGCAATGGTGTCCGTGATCGCGGTGAATATCCAGTTCAGCTCTCCGAGGGGCGTTCGTCGGTCCTTTAGGTCGCCTGGCAGCTGCATGACCTGGTCCGTAGAGATGTCGTTGGGAAGCTGGTTGTTGAGCAGGAAGTATCGTAGCGCGATGTCAATAGGGGAGGTCAGACACGAGGTGAAGAGGTCGGCGGGAAGTTCTGGGCACGAGGGTAACTGCTCGTCAGCTGCGCACGCTGCTAGTTGAATACACTCTGAATATGGAGGCGTGCCCTCGGGATAGCCGCCTCCATGTAGCTTCGCGTCGCTGTCGCGCTGCTCTGCGAACTTGACGAAGTTGCTGAGCAGGTTTCCTGCTGCTGAACAGTCCCACAGGAAGATGCACGGAGAACGGAGCCAGCTCTGGATTTCCTGAAGGGCTATGGGGATGTACTGCGTGTAGTTCCGGTTGAAACACCACAGTTCTCCACTAGGCGTAGGCTTCGGTACTCCATGTCCGTTATAGTGAAAGAGGACTGCATCATCCATCGCCTGCTTGCGCAAGGTAACACAGAAGCGCTTCAGGTCTTCCTTGGAGGGATCGAGGATCGGCTTGTAAGATATCTTGGGGTTGAGGCCCTCAAATTGGTGCTGAAGGTTCGTGCCAATGACCTCCAAGGCCTTGTGGGACGGCATGGTATGAGGATCTACCCATGCCTCAAGAACAGCGCAAGGGTTGGTCTTGATGATGTCTGGAGGATCGACGTCGATGTTAAGGCAGAGAACCAGAGCGGCATGCGCGGTCTTGATCTTGCCAGGCGCCGCACGCCACGGTACCATCTTCGGTGTTCCAGGAGGAGGAGGCGTGGGGTTTCCGCAGGTAAGGTGTCGCTTCGCCGACCAGTAGGGGAGCATTGGGACGGCGTCGGGCAGGTCTGTAACGGATGTACGCAAGTCAGGGTCATATCCTCCGTTCATGCCTCTGGTGCCGGTGCGGCTGGAGGACGGGTCTGAGAGCGTGCTAGAGCGGTGGTCCCGCTCTGTCTCGTCGTCTGCATCTGGGTCTCCGTGATGGGTAGGATGCCACCCATTGCTGCCTGCAGCCGCTTGGGAATCTGAGGTCGTTGGATTGAAGGTGAAGCTTACCCTCTGCATAGTGGTGATGACCGTTCATGATTGCACAAGTCCGAGCTCAACCCGTCTAACCAGAAACCCTTCCTCGCGTTTTCCAACGACAGAGACCCAGATGGAACACAAGCAGAGGTGAGGGGCCAGCCGTGAACGCAAGGAGTCAAGGTGCAGTTGATGTCGGTCCCGGGTACATGGCCCGATTACGGTATGACGCAGTGTCCACTATCGGACCTTGAAACATCAATAAGCTTTCAATGGTAAGTGTTACCCCTGCTATTGACTCTCGTTGAAGCCATACTTCACTGCTTTCACATTCCGATCAGTGCCGTTTACAGCACATTCAGGACCTCGCACTGTAGACGCGTTGCTTCATGCCGCAGGTCTGACCTCTACCCTCACCTCCCTCGTTCGCTCGTCTCTTCTTTACTCTGGGGTTCTCTGCGGGCAGCCTTGGGCCTGGCTTAATTTCAGACTAACGAACTTTACGCAATATCGCTTGGTCTGGACTGGAACCTATGCCTCTGGAGCCTGTTCTCGGGGCACTTGTAGAAGTTCCTGCTGGTCGGGGTACCGTTCGCTTCGCGGGGGCAACCTCATTCTCCGCGGGGAAATGGATTGGTATCGAGCTATTTGACGGTCATGGGAAGAACGACGGCACCGTGCAGGGCGTGAAGTACTTCTCCTGCAAACCAAATTATGGCGTCTTCGTCCGACCAAGCCAGGTGAAAGTTATCGCTCCGCCAGAACCAGTACATGCAGTGAGTGTTACAAAACTATTCATTCTGCATATTGGTGCGAACCACGACCTAGCCCACAGTTGCGCGGGCGGTCGGCCACCAACGCACCGGGAGTCTTTCGCGCACTCCGTCCGTTCGTTCCATTCCCTCCTCTCCGCGTGCCGGTAGCCCAGCGAAGCCTTCTACCTCCTCGCTCGGTAATGGAAGCGCACCACACTCTCCTGCGTCGCGTCCGGCGCGTCTCGGGTCCCCTACGAAACGCGTTCCCTCGCTCACCCTACAACCTCGCGCCTCGCTCGCACGCTCATCTTCCGATCTCCTCAGTCCTACCGTTGGCCGTAGCCGGAACAACTCTAGAGATTCCCCTGTATTAGAGCCTGCACCTAGACTATTCCCCAAGTCCCAAGTCACGCCCGGCCATTCTCCGCCACAACTCTCATCCTTACGACATGCTACCTCTCCCAAGCAAGAACCTCCGTCCTCACCCGCTCCGGAGCCTGAAGTTGACCCTGAACCTGTGGCGTCGCCTGAGCCACCCACCGCCAAACCGCCCTCACGTCCCGTAACTCCCATAGTAAGTTCACTTACGACCCTTATCCTATTCCGATGCATAATCTTCTCAGCGAGTCGTAGATGATACCGAAGTGCAAGAGCTTCGTGCAAAGGTTCGCGTTCTCGAGGCGAAGCGTGCGGACGACGCGCGACATGTGCGCGAACTCGAGACGCGTCTCAATGAGGCCGAGTCGTTCGTCGCGCTCCGGCCGAAGCTGCAGGCCAAGCTCAATCAACAGCAGACGGAACTGATCGCAACGCGACGCGAATTGGCGGACGCACAACAATTAGCACAACTGGCAGAGAGTCGCATTGTGGACACGCAGGAGCAGCTCGAGATGGCAATGTTGGACAAGGAGATGGCGGAAGAGCGCGCGGAAGTCGCAGAAGCTGACCTTGAGGATGTCAAAGAGAGGTTGGCTATCGTCGAAGTCGAGCTGGAGGTCGTCCGCGAAGGTGGAGGCGATGAGGGAGGGGGCGACACCGCCGTCAAGCAATCTCTGGCGTACATCCAGCTCGAGAAGCAGAACGAGCGGCTCAAGGAGGCATTGATCAGGTTAGTATATCTGCTCCTTCTCCTGTAATGTCGTGGTACTCATGAGCATGCAGGCTGCGAGACATCTCTTCAGAGACAGACCAGGAACAGCGCCGGCGCATTGCGGAGATGGAGAAGGACGTTACCAGCCTCGACGACTTACAAGGCAAGCCCCACATCTATATCTTCTGCACATCTATGCTAATCTGCACGCGCAGGCCAATACGAGTCCACCCTCATCAAGCTCCAGAATGCCGACGTTCAGATTGAGGACCTCAAACTGCAACTCGATGATGCTCTCGGTGCTGAAGATCTCCTCGTGCAACTCACGGAGCGCAACTTGATGCTCGGAGAGGTTGGCGATTATATATCTCTGCTAACGGGAATATTCGAGACTGATATTTGCTGCGCAGAAAATCGAGGAGATGCGTATCACGATCGAAGACCTGGAATCCCTCAAGGAGCTCAACGATGAGCTCGAGGAGAACCACGTCGAGACAGAGAAAGCAATGCAGGAAGAAATTGGTTAATACTAATCGCGCTAGTAGCCAGCGCACTTACTGATAATTCAGTCCTACAGACGCGAAGGACGCGCAGATGCGTGAGCAAGCCCGGAAGATTGAGGGTTTGGAAGAGGCATGCCAGGACCTCGAGGGAACGATCGTTCAGTTCCGCGAACTGGTCCTCCAGCTCCAGACGTGAGTCTCCGCAATACTGCACCTCTTCGCTCAATTCACAATTTGTTAGCGAGCTCGACGCGTTGCGCACTGAGACTCAGACGGCACAGCACCAGTCGCAGACCGCAGCATCACAGACCGCGGCGATGATGTCATTGAACCTCAAACTGCAGTCGTCCGCGTCCAAGAACCAGGCTCGCCATATCGACCTCGAGGTCAAGAAGATCGAGGCACGCGAGGCGCGGGAGCTGCTCAACATCATCCAGCCATACCTGCCGCAGATCTACGTCGAGTCAGACATGGACGCAACGAACTGCTACCTATTCTTCCAGCGTCTCGCGGCAAAGGTCGACCTCATCAACAGCGTTGTCGCCCAGATGCACAATCTGCCGGAGGCACTCAACGGTCCCGTTTCAGATATTCTTGTTGGTATTTGCGAGGTGCGTATTATCGTCCACATGTGTGTACGAGGTAGTTGCTTACATGGGATATCCATAGATGAGAGGACGATTGTCGAGTTTGTCAACGACATGCAAGCGCTTCGCGGCGATCTTGCGCAAGTGCGACGTAGAGACCTTCCTCAACATCGGTCGTATCTTCCCCGAGGTCGCACCAATGGAGAAGCGCATCGACATGCACATTGACCTGCTTCGCCGTGAGGAGTTCAGGGAGCTCGAATGCGTTAGCGATGCCGCTAAGTATGTCGAACGAGCTATGCTTTGGAGCTTCGCCGTGTACTGATGGGCGTTATTCTCACAGGATACAGTCGCAGTTTGACCACCTCTCGGAGACGTACTTCAACAATTTCGAGTATGACCTTGGGGAACGCGAGCTTGGCTACGCCTTGTCGTTCGACCATGATCTTGAGATGTTTGCTGCGTCTGTCGGCCTCATCAAGACCTCCGTCGCTACCGTTCTCAAGGACAAGGGTATGTGGCACCTTCCAAGCGCTTCCTTTCGATAAGCTCACATCCTTTTAGATGTCGAAGTCAATCTCGGCAGTGTCGACCCAGATCAAGACTTCTTCGAACCCCTGCAGAAGCTTCTTGACCAGTCAAGGAGCGCTAAGGTTCTTTCGAAGTACGCACCCTGCAAAGCCTCACACATTACATGCACAGCTTTAACACCCGACACAGGAAACTCACGAAGCGACTGGAGGACCTCACGCAGGACTCAGTGGCACTGAAGCCGCATCTCGTGCCCCAACTGCAGGCGCTTAACAACACAGTACCAGAGCTGGTCAACTTCGGTTTCTCTGTAAGTACAGGACCTGAACCTTCCTTGGCCTCATGCTGATGTTTTTTGCAGTTGGCGCAACTTGTGATGCCCCACATCAGCGACGTCCGTGCAGCCAAGTCTGCGTTCCAGCTATCTACGGTTCTAGCGTTCGTCAAGGAGAGCGCCAGTTCCACTGTCGGCAAGGGACACAGCAACGACTCTTCGGCCTGGGACTCGGTCAGCGAGTTCCTCAACCACGTCCTTCAAGAGGCCGGTCGTATCGTTCCCCTATCCCTCGAAGGCGAGAACACCCTCAAGAGTAAGTCGCCTTCTATCTCCTGCGCTAAGAGGAGCCTAACTGTCCACAGTTTCCGGCTCCGCGCCCTGGGTGTCACGTATCGACGAGATCAAGGCGGCAACGGCGATCAACGTCGAGGCGGAGCGCAAGGTCGCGCAGCTGAACGACGAAATCCAGGCGCTCGCGCGCACGCTGAAGCTCAAAGACCAGGCGATCCAGGAGACGGGCGTGAAGGTCGAGCTGATGGAGCGCCGGATGGAGACCGTGAAGAAGCAGGCGGACGCGATCACGGACCTCGAGAACGAGCTCTCGAAGGCGCGCAAGCAGGAGCGCGCGTACGAGGAGGCGATGGAGCAGCTGCAGGCGGATCTGGACGCGCTCGAGCAGGACAACGCGAAGCTCAAGACCATCGCGAACAACCCCGAGCGGCAAGGTGAGCGCGGGTCTGCGACGTGTTTTCGGATGGTGGAACTGAGCGGTTGTGTTAGCGTCTACAACCCAGGTCGTCGAGGCCGAGACTGTGCCCACAGAGGGGAACCTCGAAACATCGTATCTCCTGGAACAGGTACGCGACCCTGGGATCTGTCCATTTACGAATTTGTCTCACGATCCATCTCCAGATCGATGCGCTTCGCGGCACTGTACGCTTCCTGCGCGGAGAGAACTCGTTCCTCAAGGGCCAGGACCTGCTCAAGGAGATCGAAGCGCTCCCCGAACTTGCAGAGCCCTTCTCACGCGAACCCACACCGCCGCTTGTGCCCTCTACGCTCTCCGACTCGGAGTCAGACTCAGACGACGAGCCCCGGCCACCGCCCACCTTGCGCGACCTCGCGGTGGAGTCGAAGCTGCTGTACCGCGAGGTGATCAAGTACACCACGTCGCCGCGCATCGTCGACCTGTCTGTGCTGCGTGCGAAGCGCGAGGACGGCAGCGGCGCGGCGAAGGCGTGGATGCCGCGCAAGAAGACACCGGCGTACCAGCTCTTCGAGCGGAAGATGCAGGGCGAGCGGCTCGGCAAGCGGTTGAAGGGTCTATTGGAGATGACGAGCCATATCTCGTGAGAGCTTTGCGGTCGTGGTCGGTTTGGATAGTGCTATGCTCGCTTCTCGATATCCTAGGAATCGTTTATTGTTATACCCGTATGTCGTTTTATCGTTCACCATGTACCTTTCCACATCGCACCTTCCGAGACTGCATCATCATCAAACGTTCCACATTTGGCGTGAGCAGGGAGGAATCGATAGCAAACAGCAGTCTTACAACAGGTTAGTATGTGTAGTACAAGGCGGCGAGAGCAGGAATAGGGTGATCGATAAACAAGCACATAAACATAAGAAAATTCACAGTCCTCCGCGTTTTGCGGCTTTCTCTCAAACCTCCTCTTCATCTTCTTCTGCAGCGAGCTCTGCGTCCGCGGCAGTTCTTGCCCTTTTCGCGACGGCCTCCTCGGCCTCCTGGAACTCGCCGTAGTCGCCTGAGATCTTCCCCTCCCCGGCATCCTCATCGTCCTCGTCGCGGCCGCGTTTCGTGCCCGCAGTACTCGGAGGAGCGGGCTCTTCAGCGTCGACAGCATCCTCTTGGTACTCGTCATCCTCGTCGTCCTCTTCCTGGTCCTCTTCGTCAGCAACGGGTCCAGCCTGTTGGTTCTGAGTCTCCCGCAGACGGACTATACGCGCACGCGGATGCTTACCTCGCCGCCGAGCAGAAGTTCAGTCAAGCTCGGCCCCCGGGTGCGCTGTATGAGGTGCGCATGAGCGGTATGTCCACAATGACAGCCTGGCGCGTGGATGTGGCGTACCCCTGCTCCCTCCTCGGCTTCCTCCTCTTCCTCCTCCTCTACAGCCCCGCTCTCGCCTTCTTCCTGTGTCAGGCGTATGTGAGCTATCCTCCCGCCGCAAAAGGGGCCTATTCACGAACCTCAAACTCGTACTCGTCGCTCTCCTCTCCCTCGTCGAGCTCGGGCTCCTCAACAGGGTCCGCGGGTAGGTTGTTCGACATGTTCACGTCCGCGTCCAAACTTGTAACAGGGTTTCCGCTCGTGGTTCGCGGATGGGTGACCGTGCGCGGGGAGAGCGAACTGCCAGCGGAGGGTGTCACCGGTGTGGAGAGCAGAGGCTGGGAGGTGGTGCGGGGAAGGGGGCGCGAACGTTGCTCCGCATGATTGGTGGATTCACTCCGGACGGACGCAGACGGATGGGCGTGCTTGCATAAGACTCCCACTGTACACAAATGCGGCCAAGTTCATCAGGCACACTCTGGCTCTGCGCTTGTCCGGTCACGCAGGATATTAGCTGGGTTGTGTCTATCTTAGACTTGTCCTTGATATCGCTGATATGTTCTACACGGCAGTACTTCGTACGGATAAAGCACGAAATGTAAGCAATTAATGGTGTGCGAACCGGCGAAGGGCCAGCATTGAATACATCACGATTCACCACTCATCTCCACTCATCCGAGTCTGAGTCCCCGTCTGCGGCAGGTTCTTCGCGGTAATCCGTGTCGTCCTCCTCGGTCATGAATGTTTCAGTCCGCTCGAGCTCCTCCAGCCTGATCCTGAGCAGCTCTTCCCTGACCCTGAATTTTGCGAGCTCTCCTTCCATGTCGTCGCACCCACCGTCCGCGAACCTCCTCTTCACCAGATCGCACAGCTCTTCCGCCTTGCGGCGTGCGTCTGGCTCGCCGTCGGCGAGCGCAACGAGCGCCTCCACGCCACCCTCGATGATCGTGTCCACACCGACAATCATATCCATGTACCGCCAACCACCTGGAATATTGGGTATAGTGCCGTGTCATTAGCGACTAGGGATGAATAACTAAAAGCAGGAGCCTACTGACGATCGATCCAAGCGTGCGTCGCCGCGGCCACCTGGAACATCTCAAGACAGAGCACGTCCGATGTGAGAGGCTCGATCATGCCGAGCCGGAGGTCCACGCCCTCGCGCACTCTGCATGTGTGTTCCTTCCCCTCGCTGAAGCCTATAATGTAGATCTTGTCGCCCTTCACTGTGTACGGCGAGCCATGCCAGCCGCCATGTTCGACGCCGGCCTGATGGATAGCGACCATTGCTTGGAGCATTTGCTTCCTGGATGATGCAGACTTGTCAGCTGGAGACATATGTACCAGTATAACACTGCGAGTGCAACCCCAATGTTTACGTACCTGATCTCGAGATCTGAGAGGTTCGAGGACCAACGTTGGGGTGCCTCCGACCCCTGACCTACGTGTTCAAGGACTAGGCACCGTATAATGTCCCCCTTGGGGCCCGCGCCTTCGAAGAAACCGATCAACTTGGGAACATATACCCCTTGAAGTTTGAGCAGTCTGCCCTGGTACAGTGCAGCCTCCTTGGACAGGGCGTCGAATAACTCTGGGCCCCAGCTCCGAGTTGCAGACTTGCAGACGACCTTCAAGGTGTCCTTGCTAAGGACCTCGTCATTCTTGAGTAGATGTGCACGGAACATCTCGTATTCAGAGTGCTCGGCAATTCGGCGTTGATCCTTGAGGGTGTACTGGACATCGACGTCGACACCAGTGTCTTGCAATGCTGGTTGGAGCGACAGCGAGACGAAGGATGGTTTGTCCCAGGGGACCGACTTGTCGAGGAAAGCAATGATATCGGAAGGGAAAGCGAGAGTGGTGGACATCTGCTAAGACTGAGAGTGAGTACGAGTGGATAAAAGACATACTGGTTGAATGTGTATTCATGATGCAGCGAGTTGCCAGCGAGTCTCGCGTAGATCATTACCGTGGATTGCCGCCATTTGATGGTACAGAAGCTCCTCCATGAACTCGTACGCACACAAATAAACAGCTATACGAAGTAGTACCAAGAATTGGGTGTGGCGTCATGGTCGAGAGGCCCACAGAACAGAGACGCGAGGCGCCCATGCAGCTTTGCTTTACACCACGTCGCCGCGCGCGGAGTCTCACTCAGGATCTCTCGGGTCCTTCAAACACTACCGTGGCGGATGGGTATGCATGGTCCTTTTCTTTGTGTATACTTCTGACCATCGAACTAGATAATCTCACGCAGAGTTCCCAGTATCGATCGGGTTTGTGTATATTGTAGGTACAGACACTAAACTGACCACGACAATAGTAACGCCGTGCGAGGACGTTCAGAGGACATGCTATTCCATGGATGATAGAATGATTTATGGGTTCAAACGTCAAGAGCTTGCTTCGCCAGTATCGCATATCTGTACGACCCCGCGGAAAGAAACTAGTTGATGTTTCCGAGCTCGCGTGGCGTCGTTGGCGACGTAAGTCTGGGTAGTACGGCGTATGCTGTTTGTGTGCTGATGTTCTGCCGCACCCTCAGGTCTACTCACTCTTAAGAAGTGCGGTCACAGTTCGAACCCCCGGCCTTTCAGCACCAACGCTTCCGGGGCCTGCAGAGACCGTGACTACGCCGCGCCGACTCCATGCTGAAGTAAAACGTCTCATTCGAATTCTATAGGTCCACCATGCGGGGTTCTTGACCACCACGTTGCATTCGTCTTGACAGGACACGCATAAGCTATGAATGCTTCGCTGTCTATTAGTGGGTTCCGCGCTCAAACTCGGTGGGACAGACAGGCAATAAACTAGCAGTACGTTCACTCATATTACCCAAAACGTTTTCGTTTGCCGCGTGATGACGGTCTTCTATTGAACGTTAACGGAGCGCTTCCTTGGGTCACCCCGGAAGTATCTATATAATGCATGCCTCCCGTATTGCGTACCCTTTCAGTGGCCTCCAGCCTCCTCCCACGACTTTCCTCTACTAGACCACGCACTTTCGTACCCATTCATGGCGACAACCGACGACAAGGACAACTCCCCTACAGCTGACCAGGGAGTACCCGGAATAAGCATAGCGGAAGATGTCGACGCAGACTTCACCTCAGACCAAGCCGGGCCAAGGCCTGGGTCATCAGCATCAACCAATGTGGCAACCCTAGGCGATGCAGACACAGACGCCACATCCGAAGATGGTACAGACGACACGGGGAAGCAACAAGAGGAGGATGAAAGTGAGGAGGACAAAGAGGTGGGGACCGCCGACTCGGAGGGTAGAGCAGAATCCGCTACTGGACAGGTACTATGTTGTGCCTCTTCGAGATGAACTCGCGGCTAACACAAACTTGAAATGTACACCAGGGTCCCGTCATAGCAGATGAACCTAAGTGGGACCTCAGGAGGCGTGAAGACCAACGCGCTGCTGCAGAAGCTTGGACTAAGTGCACCGATGTTATGAAGGGTCATCACGAAGCCGTCTTAGCGAGGTGGAAGGACGAGATTGATACTCTGTTGGTCTATGTACGTGGCCTTGCCGCTGCTGAAGGGCGTGCTCACCTCATAGGACGGATGCCTAGGCGGGTCTCTTCTCTGCTGTGCTGACCGCGTTCAACGTGGAGTCGTACTCGCTTCTCCAACAGAACCCTACAGATACAACGAACGCGCTCCTCGCCCAGCTGTCGGCACAGATCAGCAGTTTCACTATCAACTCCTCATTCGCCAACTCCACGCACGCATTTATCGCGACCCCATCTACATCGCCATTCCGTGCTGCTAGGTCATATGTTTGGATCAATGCCCTCTGGTTCTCGAGCCTTATCTGCAGTCTTTCCGCCGCCTCTGTGGGGATGATGGTCAAGCAGTGGTTGCATGAGAACGCGCTCGGTCTGGCTGGAACGTCGCGTCAAACTATACGTTTGCGCCAGTACCGCTATGACGCCCTCGTAAGATGGCATGTGGGCACAATCGTGGCAGTCTTACCCCTCCTCCTTCTCTTCGCATCCGCGTTCTTCTTCGCCGGATTGCTGATTCTTCTCTGGACTCTCCACCACGGTGTTGCTGCAATTGCGTCCGCTCTCGTCGCAACTCTCGTCGTATTTGCCGTCACGACAATCCTTGCTCCGGCTTTCTCGAGCGATTGCGCATACAGGTCGCCGCAGTCGCTCGCTGTCTTCCTCGTGGTCCAGATGATTCGTCGCTTTATTGACTCTATACGTCCTCAGTTTCACTGGCACTGGCACCCCCAATGGCACATCCCCAACGGCCTTCGCCTCATCATCTGGATCTCTTCAACGCTCTATACTTCCGCTTCCTATCGCCTTCAATCCACGCACCTCCAACGTATCTGTGACTTCCTCACCCTCCAACCCCAACCCCTTCGTACTTGGCTACTGAGCCACCTTCGTAACGGCCATACTCGCATCAGCCGCTTTGCCACCGTCGTCCGAGGCATGCATTGGTTGAAGTACCGCCTCTGGTCACATCTGGAACGCGAAATTGTTGGGGTTCACAAGCACGACCTCGATCAACGTGCAATAGAAGCGGTTCATACTCTAGTACTGCAGGACAAATTCACCGACCAGGTCTTGCGACCCTGCGTCCGGACCCTACCCCCGGAAAATGGCCATCTATGCGTCCAGAAGATTCGGCAGGATAAGGATCGCGAAGCAGGAATCTCCCAATCAGCTCCCTCCGGCTTCAGTATGGGCACCTATGCGGCTCTCATATTCGATGTCATGGAGACCTATTCCGATGTAGACGTTAGACGCTTAGATCCCGACCAGACCCGGTTACTCAAGACACTCTTAGACAACCTCAAGGAGCCACCTCTCACCATCGTGGGTCTATCGTACGCAACCTGGGTATCGACCCCGGAGAGGCTCTACAGGACGCTTGCCAGGTTGATCCGAAGGAGCACCGAGACCGACGTTTTCGTGGACGATGTATGCCGCATAGCAGACATCCTACTAAACTGGGAGTATCTCTGGTCGTTGTACCGCCTCGACCTCATCAACATTCCGGGGGCGAAACTACCGCTGGCTGATCTTCGATCAGGCGGCTTACTACTCAGTTGCGGACCTATGACACGCCAAGGTGAGCCATGCTATTCCAAAGTTGTTCCACAAGCTTCTATCGTTGTTGAGCACATTCTCCTAGTAACCGGAGAACTAGAAAAATTGCTCCTCTTAGCTAAGGACGCCGGAGACAATCTGCGATTGGCTCAAGCGCATCAGCGACTCCTTGCATTCCTGTGTACGTGCTACCTCGCCCCGGGTTTCATAGAAGATCGCGACCGGGCGTTCGTGCAAGACCGCCTTGTAGCAGAATTGAAGGCATTCGAGGGCGACATCAGCAACTTGAATGAAAACCGATCTTGGGGAGAACGAGACATGTATTCCTGGCTGAACCACGGCGAACACCACGACCCTCAAGAAGGACTGGTCTACGAGTTGGGCGCTGATGCGCACACCCAGACCGACTCAGCCATTCCTATAGATGCCGGTGTCCCGGATCCCGAAGAGGGCTTGATCTCGAAAGGATATGTTGTCTTCTTACCCATTATCCTGACGAAGTTGCTCCCGCAGCTTCCGCCGGGATCCATCACCTCGCATCTTACCGACTCTATGAAGCGCATCATGGATGTCCATACCGACCCTCTGCCTAACTTCATAGCCTACTTTATCCACCTACGGGCGCCGTGGCATGCGCTCCACACACTTGTCAGCGGTCCGAAGGTCGGAAATACCAGCGGTGAGGATATCTGACACAGTACTTTTCCAATCTCACTGACGAAAATCCCATACCAGGCCCTGAAGAACTTCCGGACGTCAAGCCTAAACGACCCCTCCACACCGAAAGAGCACAAACGTAACAGGTACGAATGTTAAGCAGGATTATGTGCATGTTGCCATCGATATTGAGTGTCGTCTTGTTCAGTCTTTGCCCTCAAAGTCAATCGTCCCCCGACTTCGTATTGTCATTCGGTTAGCTATGTTGCTACTCAGACCGTTGCGAGTATAGAGGAGACCAGTGACAACCCATGGGACTGAGGATCGATTACCTTTGGCATGTGATGCTCTCGCGTCAGTATGTAACCGTTTATCCTGCAGCGTCGTCAATCTTCCACGGAGAAATGGACTCAAACGGGCGCTCAACACCGTACCTTCCTACCATAAACATACATACACTACGACGTGGTCCGCCTCACATTGCTTAGGCGGCTCACTGCGTGGGTGGTTTTCATGTGACAGCGAGGGCTCGTTAGATAATGGCAGTAATTTTTGTGGTGGGTCCCTCGCCTTTCGTCTTCAACGCTCCAATCAAGCTCACTGGCACTCTAGTCTCTTCACCCGGTAGCGTGGCCTCTTCTCTTCGGAGAGCGTGCCCACGTTCGCGCCGTCGCGAACACATATGCTGTCATCGCCCCAGTCCTGCTATGTACGTCAAACTGTGGTGTCATCCGTGCCGCTAAGGAACAGTGGCGGCCGCGTGCAGCAGCAGCACACCCCCGCAAGTTCTCCCGCGTCGAAGCGTTCCGCTCCATACCTGCCTGTGAGCGAGCAAATTTTCTATACCCCGCACCCCAGATTTGCGCAGCTTCCGATCGTTGCTGATGATTCTCTGACCACTCGGAGTACAGCCGTTCGGTGGCGGACGGTCATTCGTTGAGGAACTGACAGATGCCAACGGTGAGAAATCGTATGATGAATGGTACTTCGCGATCCTGATGTTTGAAGTAGATGTCTACTTACGGAAAATACCCCTCAAAAACTCGACAGCGATATATCGATACCGCGTACCAACTGGAGTGGCCCTTCGACTGTCTGGGGCTGACTCGCTGACCCGAACGGATCGAGGTCGTGTCGTTACAGGCTATACATTGTAATCCGCGCTCAGCAAGCCAGCTCGCAACCGACACTGTCTACGCTCGGGATGCAAGAGTAGCATTTGTACGGGTGCACAACCAAACAGGCAGTGCCTTGGCAGCTCAGCTGCTCACAAACTTCTTACGAGACTGTGAGTAGTCAACGTCGCCGTCGTCGTCAAGGGACCAACCACTAATTCCACTCCGATTCCCGACATTTGCAACGTGCTCGATCGTCGGCTGCAGCTGACAGCGGACTTAGTGTCGCGCAAGCTTCGAACTCAAGAGATGGATCATCACCCTGAGGCTCTCGTGCTGCACCCCGACGTGATGCGTGTCATCCATGTGCGCGATCTTTTGCGACCTCGGCGGGATATGGCAAACTCAGCGCGCACCCATGACCAAATAGACGCTGCGCACCCAGCGGGCGTCGGGCTTCGGATGCGCTGGCGTGAGTCTCAACACTGAGAAGCACATGGAGGCAGGAGGAGGTGCGCTGCCGACGTCAGGATGCGACGCACTAGAAGCTCATGCTGCGTAGGAACCGACCTGAACAAGGGAGCCTCGACGCGATCGTGCGTCATATCCGGCTACTCAGGGCGCAAAAAGCGACGACGATGGCCTGGATGGGCGATGGACGTCTAATCTGGGGCGGGCGCACGATCAGTTAGGAAGCCGGCGGGAGCACCTGAGCGTCACCATTCCGCCGCTTAGTTAGCTAAGTCGAACTACCGCTGTCCCGTAGCTAATTAGCTAGTCTCCCATTGAACCAGCGAAAAACCCAGCATTCAGCACTTTCCCTTAGGCCCTAAGGGCGACTACTGATATAGATAAGATGTGAGAGAGATCACTATAGATAAACACCAATCAATCTACCGATAACAACCTGATCGCTGTCCGAGAATGCCGGGCGTTGAGTATCGCATCAGCGCCCGCCGTTGATGGCGTCGGCAACGCTGCTTCTCGCGTTGTCCGGACCCCGCGTGACGTCGTTGCTGACGGCGCCGACGCCCCGCGCCCCGGGCGCTCTCCCGCCCGCCCCATCCCAATCCGGTAAGTAGTACCTCGGGTACCAGGATGCCCTCCCCCGACGGGCCATAGCTCCTCTCCCCCTGCCCCCGATTGACATCGTTCTTTTTGTATTGTGTGCGCATTACATGGGGCTATATAATACACTTTGTCCGACGCTTATACGTATAGTATTCGTTTATACAGTCAAGGAATACACTCAAGGGCACTTT